CAGGCCCTTGCGTTGGGTTTACTGTTACATCACCTGCCTGCAGCCATCTGCGAGGCGGGCCCCTTTTGGGTTGCCAGCGGCTGTTCTGGGTGGAGATAACGGAGGACTGGGCTACCTTTCTTCTTGTGCCCCACCGACTGCAGACCACACTCACTGACTGGAATTCGCGAGAGATGCACCAGCCCAAGGGAAGTCTGGTCTAGTAAGGGACCAAAGAACTAGCCTGACGGACACATTACTGCATCTGTGATGATCACACATTTCCAGGTACACCTGATCACTTAAGAAAGAAGAAGAGAAAGAAAAGAAAAAAAAGAGTACTGTCTCGCGAGCCCACACGACTTGGTTCCAGGCCGTACAAGCCAGCCCGCTCCTCATAGGCCGAAACCCCCCTCCTACCCCCCTCTCCCCACCACATTCATGCTTTGGGAATTATGCTCATCAGCGTTCAAGACACAAAGTATGCACTGGGCTACACACTCTGCCGTTTCGATCTGATGTGGTGGTATTTTCCTCACTAATGAAAACAGGAGGCTTCCCACTGGGGGCTAAATCACCTTGGCCAGACCTGACCCTCCGTTTTCCCGTCCTGGGGAAAAGCAACAAGTACAATGTGCACAGCAATTTACTGTGCAATACTTCATAGGGCGAACAGTTACAACGCCAACGAAGGGGTATTGTGCTAACGCCTTGCGAATTGTAGGAGCACCTCTCCAAGACAAGCGATCACGCGTCCCAACTGGGGCCGACCAGGTTCAGATACGAATCGGATTCTGCCAAACACTGCAAGCATTGACATGGAAAGGACAACCCTGTGGCCCCCTCGCTCTCGGTATCCACCTTAAGATCCCAGGCCTTACCCGGAGCCGGCCCACTGGGTCCTCCTTATGTCAACGACTTGTCAAGAACTTGGCTTGGACTCTGGACTCAGACCCCTGTTCGGCCATAGCTCTGAGGTTCTATTACACTTGAAAGGCTGCATGTGCATGACACAGCATGGCTGCCAACTCCCACGCTCACGATGCCCTATCTTTGCTGGTCCTCTTCTTTCGGTCCGTCTCGGAACCTCGGAACTTGGGCGATCCCATCGTTCCAGAGCAAAGTGCACACACACACACACACACACACACACTCACTCACTCACACTCACAAACGGATAGACCCAAGGTGCTGACAATGCACACAGGCACCAGCGCCTGGCCGATGCGTTTCCCGCTAGGGTCGGGGCGAACTGCCCGGCCCAGACTCTTCAACCGTTGCAAACGGACCTCGCCGACCCATATTTTATGTCCCTTACTATATGGTTCAAGCAACGCGTGGGGCATATCACGCCAGCACAAGCCTTGAATAAATCTCCGGGTTCGGTAACGAGATGCAGCATCTCATCTGCAGCTCCACCTCTGGAGGAAGAGAGAGAAAGAGAAAACGAGCCAGCTGGCAACGACCAAAAGACCTCTTTACGCAGTTCTGGGGCACAGTCTTGACATGTTTCTTCCCAACATGCATGGGGATGGAGAGGGGAGGGGGGGAGCCACCAGGGTGAGGATCAGGAGTTTCCAAGCTATCCAACTCTTTACCCCTTGCGACCATAATCAAAGAGAACTGACTTGCCCTGTTAATTGGTTGGACTAAACCGGATTCTCAGGCTGGTGGCCGTTGTCGCTAGATCAGAGACCCGCATTTTCTCAGGCGATGCCCAGCCCAAGCGTTTCAACCTTATTTTGCCTATACCAGTCGAGAGACAGCAAAAAGGAATGAATTGGTAGATTGCAAACCTGGAATCCTGGATACAGTACTTCAAACTGGGCCGTCGCAGGGCGTTTGCAAGGGTCCGGGATAATCATCCGGGTGGATGACTTACACAGAAAGCCTTGTAAATCCAGCCCCCCCCCCCTTTTCCCTCCCTCTCTCCCCAAACCCACAGTGTTCAAATGCTTTATTCCAAGTACCTACCCACCAAGCCACCCTCCCCCCTGCCTATATGGGAGGCTCCCTGGTCCCCCGTCGTCTCTTGTCTCCATCCAGATTGGCAGGCCAGTAAGTACGTACCTCGTAATGCGGATAACATCTTGGTGAAAATCAGGACTGGGCCCCAAATGGGACGATGGGCTTCTGAAGTCTCTCAGAACGTCTCAACCACAGCTTGTCGAGGTCTTTCTTTCTGCCTCACTGACTAGCAGGATCCCTCCTCTACTTGTCATCTCGAGTCGTTGTGTACAGCAGAAATCAGACCGACACACGGTCGCCCATTGCTCGGGGAGGTGAGCAATCGAGAGACAATTTGCGAACCTGGGAGATTGATGGCAACTCAAATCATCACGGGTCCACGACCATGCTGACCGGCCTATAATGCCGTCTATATTCGTCACCACTCTTGCGTCTTTTAGCCGTCTACCCCCCTCGGCTCTCATAAACTGCTACTGCGCTGTCTGATGGTGTAATGAGTCTGACCAAACTTGACCACCATCGTCTCTGGACCACAAAGGGAGCAACAGGACACGCCTCCCCCCTCGACCCTCGAAGCACCTGCGAATAGTACTTTTATCCAAGTCGACGTACGAAACGCCTAGAGATCCACAGCGCGACTGGACAATACATCTTGCTGGCCACGACGCCGCCGCAGGAAATAAAAAAGGAATATCACCTCGTCTGGGCAGGCAAGCCCGAAGATTTTCTGCTTGTGCCCGCTCTCTCGACAGAGTCAGTGCAGTGGCTTAAGAAGCTTTTCCCTTCTCGTGAGGTGGCTTTCTCGATCCTACCCTTTCGCCCTGGGCCAAAAGTGTGGTCGATCACGGCAGACTCTCGACGTTGTTTCTGCTGCATCCATCGCATTAGACTTGGCCTGTCTTCTTGTCACACCGAAACGTCCCATCGTTTCCTGATCTGGATTGGCTGCTACCACTGTTCGACTGCCTCGTCTTTTTTTTCTTTTTCTTCTCTCTTTTTTTTATTTATTTATTCTTTGCTTTCTTTTTTCCTCTCTTGGGAAAGTTGTCCCTGCCCGAACATACATTTCCTTCCCGGCGTTCTATCCCTTCTCAGGCTGCGACGAGCAAAAGCAAGATCCGAGACGGCTCTAAGGGGGAAACCGCTGGATCCCGTCCGGTACAGACAGAGACGCCACTGGATTAGAAATCTGAGGAGAAGAGCCAGGGGGAACAAGATATTTTCCTCACTGGGGCGTAACACTATTTGACTTCCGCATTGGCTCTCTGGGCAGGTGGCGCTGTCCAATCTGGGCCTGTACCTTACACTACCCTCCCCCCCCCCTTCCAAACGTTAGCCATCCTCCTCGCCGTTCCCATTTGGGGCCCTTCTTGGCTTCTCGTTCTCGGGCACGGCTTCCCTTCTTGCTGGCATCTGCTAGAGTCCTTGTGCCAGCCGATCTGCCGTACCGATCGTGACCAACGTCCTCCACCACCCCTGCTCCCGTCCACTGAGAGGCAAGTCAACTCCCGCGATCCAACCCAAGCAGACGCAAACTCAATCTTGTTTCTGGACCACGCTTTTTGGAATACCGCGCCTAGCCATCCCCCTGCCAGGGCCCTGCTTTTGCTCCAGTGAGAAGAGGCCCCTTGGGCCACTGGGGTTGTCTGTCGGCTAGCCTGTTGCTTGTGGTGGTAATCACACACACACGCACGCACGCACACACACACACACATAACAGCTACACCCTGCCCGCGCCATCCCTCCCCCATAAGACGGTCGTCCTTGATGATGATGAGGTCTTCCTCATACACGAATGACCTGAGTTTTCTCTACAATTACCTATGGCCCTCGTCGATCATTGACGTTCATCATTTTTTCACTTCTTCTTCCTTGTTCCTTTTTTCTTTTCTTCTTCCTCTCCTTCTTACAAGCCGCTTCGTCGGTGGCTGCTCACATTCGGACATCGATAACAACTAGCCTCGACGACTGTGTGCGCTGACACATGGGGGTATTCTAGAACAAGAGCTGTTGGTCTTTTGGGCACCGGATTCTCCAGAGCCATCATCTTGGGCTACCCTTCACCTCGAAGCCTTTCCTCGCGCTACAACCCCAACCCAATTTTCGAAAGATCTTCTGCGAGTCTTATACAGCCACCACTCGGTTCTCAGCCTCGGCTTGCGGTTTTTCTATCATCTCAAGAGCACTTCATTGTATCAGAATTTCTTTCTAGGAAGTCGACGAAAAATCAGACCACCTAGAAAACCACTTCGCTTCAACGCCAAGACCCAAATCGAGCCTCAAGACCTACAACGCCATTTCCGACCCGGAGCAAACCATTGTCTGTTCGAAAGCTTGGTCCTCAGCTAAGCCACCGCTGATCGCCCTGATCCCTCGTCCCCTAAAGGGTCTGTTGCCATCTGAGCTGGAGCACGACTTTAGCTTCTTTGGTAGCATTCCTCGCGGCAGAGGCCGGCCGAATACGAGACGTGTGTGATAAACAATCAAACGACTACAGCCTTTGCCACTACTTTGTTGGGCTCCAGGTTAGTACACAAGCATTTGTCCCCCTTGCTATTTGCCCACGGAAAAGAAGTTTTGTAGTATCAAGCTTGGACAATTTTTGAATTGTCTTGCCCAAGTTGCGTTGTTGGGTTGAGAGCAAGCGCGTCGAAAAAGAATCTGCGACCCTCGTCGTCAGATTGCTGATGGAAAGAGCGGTTTGTCTGCTTGCTTCGAAAAACAAAGAGGCGAGACTCTTTGTTATCGTTTGGCTTGCTGATCGACGTGCTTGACCACCAAATACTTTGTGTGCAATTTCGGGGCAGGCTTCTTGTTGAATGGTGGATGGAACGCAAAAGTTACTGACATTGTGCATCCTAGGCGAAGAGCAAGAAGTGCGACTTGGGTCCTGACGCTGGACGCCCTCTTAGGACCAGGCAGTTGAAGTTGCTGTGTGCTGAAGACCGGTGAAAAATCATCGCTGTCTTCCGACCACAATAATCAGTGCCGGATCGATACACTACAACGTCCAGTTTTGCAGGGGGTTGTCTTCTTTGTTTGACGGTAAAGCAATGGCCTCGTACGACTTCGGAGGAGCCCAGCAATGGGGCCAACCATTATACTCGATGGGGGGAGCATCGCAGAATATGCTTCCACAAGTTGCGCCAGCGCCTCCTCCAGTGCAATCAACTTGGGACCACAGCTCACCGTATCGCCTAACGGTGAAGCAACAACCGGAAAGGGCCAAAGCAGCCAACGCAAAAGACAAGGACAGAAAGCCAGTAGACCCGCCACCGATCGTACAGCTTGACGTCGACCCCAGCTTAGACCCGCTCCAGGTGTACATAACGTCTCCGTACCTCTTTGTGCAGACGTTTCTGATAGGGGCCTCCTCCTCCGACCCGGAACCAGAGCTAAATTCGCTGACGGGAAACACCTGCACGAGCGGGCACGTTGTCAAGGACGACAGGGGAGCGCACAACATGATGTTTTGTCTGAACGACATATCCGTCAAGAAAGAGGGGACGTACCGCCTCAAGTTCTGCCTGTTCAAGCTCAACACAACCAGCGGAGACGCCGAAGCCCTTACGTCCATCTGCTCACAGCCATTTACGACCTACAGCGGAAGACATTTCCCAGGAATGTCAGAGTCGACCTCCATGACTAGATTACTTGTCGATGCCGGGGTCCGACTGCGCCTCAGGAAAGAGTCCAAGGCGATGAGCACCAAGAAGAAGAACAACGCATTCGCGCAGATGATGGGTGGGCGGAACCAGGGCGGCGGCGGCGAGGAGGAGGAGGACCGGCCAGTCAAGCGCGTACGGTCCGAACCAGGCGACAAGGACAACACCATGTCTCTGTACCCAAAACACGGCAGCTTTTCGACAACACACTCATACACGGGCCACTCGACGCCCTCGACCACCATGACCCACTATCCAGGCGCCTTCCACACCGTCACCTCCTCGCCGAGCCAGAGCATGGCGCCCATAGGCTCCATGTCTGGCCACTACGGCTCGAACCTGCAGCTCGGGCTAGACACCTCTGTCGGCCACTACCACAGCCCCCCCTCGGCTGGCTCCAGCTACCAGTCGCCCGGGCGGCAATCCCCATCGACAGCATACCCGCTCCACGGCAGCGCAACATCGTCCCAGGGCCTCTTGACGGGGGCAAGCCCGCTCGGACAGTTCAGCAGCAGCCACGCCGCCGCCCACGGCCCTGTGCTCCCGCCCGTCGACAAGATAGGCGCGTCACACGGCAGCTCGTCGCCCGATCTGAACTACACGACCGCTGCCAACTACAATGGGGGCTACATGCCCACCAACAGTAGCAGCTCGAGGACCCTCCCTGGCATGCACGCGCAACGGCCAGGCAACAGCATCGTTGGGCCTGGAGGCTTACACCTGAAGATTGCCCAGCCGGGCCTTCCCCATGGCCAGGGCGGCTATGGCGAAAGCAACATGTTTGATAATTATAACTATGGGTCGCGGGATGGTCACTGAAAAAGAAGGAGGGAGAGGGGAGTTTCATTTTTGCCCCAGCTCTCGTGTGCGTTTGAGATGAAAGCTGGTCTGCCCAGAGACAAAAGCTGGCAACAACAAAAAGAACTAATTGCCCACAACTCTCGCTCTCCGACCTTTCTTGCCCCCCCCCCCCCCAACCTTCTTCTTGCGTTCTTTTTATCTTTTTTTGTTTTTTCTGTTGGTTCTCCCTATCTATTTATTTTTGTGCCCTTACCAACCTAGGGAACTTGACTATAAAACCAAACAATGCCTTCTCAAATTTCCATGTTCCCAGTTTGGATGACGATTCTACAACCTCTCGCTTCTCCGGTTCTATATGTTGTTTATCTACAAGGTCATGGCCCCAAATGCCGCATGTCATTACTTCACAAAAGGAAAAAGAAAAACATCGTTTTTGACAAGATCACGGACGCAATGTTACTTGATGAAGCACTGCAGGGAACCTCTTTCAAGATACCCCCCACCCCCCCAATCTAAGCTTTTGACTTCTACCCTTCACAGGACCTTTTTCTGTGGGCTATACTCGGGATGTTTTTTATGCCTATTGTGTGCAGGTATATTCCATTTCTTCCAGTCGGTCGGTGTATGAGATGGAAAGGCAGGGCACCAGATGGATCTTGTTTTGTGTCCTGGATGGAAGAGGAGGATGGAGAGGAAACTGGCCTTCTTCTTTCTGCCCTTTCTCTATACGACCACTATCACCACCATATTCTTCTTCACCTGTTTCTTTGAACATGAGGTTTGGCTTGGGTTTCCTTGTTTTGATGTCTTCGTTGGCAGGGACATCTATCACTTTGAGCCAATCTCCAACGGACTGCCCGTTCTCATGTTCGTCAAAAAGTATATTGCTGGCTTGTATTGTATTTTTGTTATCAAAGTCAGCTTTTGGGGGGCTTTTTTTCTTTCTTTCTTTTCTTGGCTTTTTTGTTTATTTGTTCTCTCGTTCTTCCTTTCTTTTCTTCTTTCTTTTCAAGGCCTGAAATTTTTAGAATAGGCTTTCGCCGTGAGCACTCTTTGGTCTTTCTGGTGGATAATAAGGTGCTAGGAACAGCAAAGGGAAAGACTGGAAGCTTTTGCAAAAAGCACAGGTACAGAGCATAGGCATAGGCACGTTTTGGGAATTGATATTCTATGGCAGGGAGGGAAGTACCAATATTTGGTAGTGATTGGTCAGAGCAGACAAGATGAACACTTTCGCTAATGACATTGCAAGAATATTAAATCTATCCCTCAGTCCCAAGAACACCCGACCAGACCTAGAAAGACTCCCTCATGAGTCAGATCTCCAATCATAGGAACGAGTTTATTGTCTAGACGCTGTGGGCCGCCAATCACCGCCCTGAACTCTTGGATAAAAGAGGCGGCATCGGAACGGGCGTTGGGTAAGCCTTGCCGGGACGGTTGATATAGGAATTACCGATGAGATAGCCGGTTTAGGAAGAGATACAAATGTTCCATAAGCACGAGAGGTCCTGCTTTGGTTATTTAACACATTGCGAATGAGCAGTGCTTTTATCTGAGATCATTCACATTTGTGAGCCTTATAAAACATACATGAACATACTATACATACATGAGATTAGAGGAAACCAAGCCGGCAGAAACAATCCTCCTCTTGTCTTCTTTCATGATGGCTTCACCAGAGGGCATGATTAACCCTCTCCACAGTTCTGTGATAGACCGGGTCGACCCTGACTTTGCGAGAGTTTACAATAAATACCAAGGTAATCATTCACCCCAACATAATGATCAGACAAATCCAGGACACCACCAATAGCCAGTTGGTTTACATTAACACACGCCTCTCTCTCTTTCCACAGCGCCCAAACTGCGAGCCGACCAGGTGCCCTACGAGATATACAACCAAGACCGCCCGAAATACACCGTCCCGACGCACGAGATCGAGGGCCCCATCGCAGACGTCGAGGGCATCACCCTCCACAAGGTCCCCGTGACACACCCCAAAGGCGAGATCGCCATCCAGGTGATCCGCCCGACCGCCAACGCCATCGCCAGCGGCGGGCTGGCGACCTCGGACGGCCTCCTCCCAGCATACATCGACTTCCACGGCGGCGGCTTCGTCATCGGCTCGCTGGCCACGGACGCCACCTTTTGCCGCGGCGTGGCCCACCACGTCGGCTGCATCGTGGTCAACGTCGACTACCGGCTGGCGCCCGAGTATCCACACCCCACCCAGGTGCTGGACTGTCTGGACGCGCTGCGCTGGGTGGTCTTCCGGGCGGGCGAGCTGGGCATCGATGCAGACCGGCTGGCGGTGGGCGGGTTCTCGGCGGGAGGGTGTCTTGCCGCGGCGCTGGCACTGCTGGTGCGGGACGAAGAGGGCGGTGGCGATGGCAACCATGCGAAGATCAAGATCCCACCGCTGCGCCTGCAGCTACTCGTCGTGCCCGTCCTGGACTGCCGGTTCGTGCCGGAGGAGGAGGACGGCCGCTGCGACCCGGCCACGACGCCGTACGCATCCTACACAGCACTGCACGACGCGCCCTGTCTGCCCATGCACCGCCTCGTCTGGTTCTACAACCTCTGGCTGGGCAAGGGTGCCCTCCGCGCCTCCAACGCGGCCGACTTCCGCGCCTCGCCCATGACGGCCTCGTCGCACGCAGGCCTCGCGCCCGCCAGCATCCACTGCGCGGCGCTGGACCCGCTGTTGGACGAGGGCAGGCTATATCACCAGCGACTGGTAGAGGCCGGCACCCGCAGCGACCTGACGGTGTATGACGGCGTCGGCCACCCGTTTGGGCACTGGACTGCCGAGGTACCCGCCGCCAGGGCCTTTGTGCAGGATGCGTGGGTTGCACTGCGCAAGGCTTTCCGCTAGTGCCCGTCGGATAGACTGTTGGAACCGGGCTCCGAGGAAAGAAAAGAGGATGGTGGTTGGGTTGGGTTGGGTGGTTGGAACCTGCAGGTAGATGCTTGCATAATATGGTGTTGTATAAATGGATACTATGAAATGATTGGTCCTCTTGTTAGTGGACTCGTTATCTTACCGTGCCAGACCGGATGACTCTCACGGTGTGCTGTTTGGCTCTACGTCCGTGCTGATAGAGGGCGGGAAAGAAGAAAAAAAAACAGAGAGAGAAGGGTCACGATCAGGGCAGAGGATCTTATTGTGGAGAGCAGATCCTAAATGTGGGCTGCTTCGAATCACAGGAGTACATATAGATCTGAACCGTAGATAAGCCGTGCAGTATGCTTGCTTACATTACAAATTGAATATTATGCCGCAATGATCGTGCGGATGGTTTCAATGTCCCATTTCTGCGATGTAGTTATTATTAATACGATTCTATAAGAAGAGAAGCTCAGCTCTTGTTTTTATTTTCTACCCTTATATTGGAAGCACCAAGCATTCCTCCGTTAGCTTGGATCAAAACAATCTATTCAAGTAATTCAAAGGGAAAAGTGCGGTAGAAAAATGGCGCCAAGTGCTCCAGATCTCAACATTGAGCCCTCCAAGACCACTGTCGATGTCCGGGGTGTGTACAGATCTTTCATCCCATCCACCATTATTCCAAGGTCTCTACTATCTCTTCTTCGCTTACACATACGCACAACACAGTCATCGACACAACGGTATGGATCTCCAACCTCCCTATCCAGACATTCATCGAGCAGCAGGTCAAGGGCTTCGACAAGCTCGACGCCCCCTCCTTCTCCTTCCTGGTCGAGCACCCCTCGGGCCGCAAGCTCCTCTTCGACCTGGGCGTGCGCAAGGACTGGCACAACATGAGCCCCTACTGGCACAAGCTTTTTGAAGCCGCTGCCGCTAAGATCGATATCAAGCACGGTGTCCGTGAGATCCTCGAGGAGCATGGTGTTCCGGGTTCGAGCATCGAGGCTGTCGTGTGGAGCCACTGGCACATGGACCAGTAAGTCTTTTTCGTCTACTCAAGTATCCAACAGAGACAAACATTATTTGTTGGAAGAGAGACTATGGAAGTTTCAATTTGTTGTAGTTAATTACTAGTGCATGCTTATTGTTCTTGTTTTCATTTCTTTTTCCCAACAAAGAATGAAAGAGAAGAAGAAAAAAAGTCGAAATAAATACAAAAGAAAATAAAAGGTCAAAAAATTAACCTAATTCTGCCCCTCCAGCGTCGGAGACCCATCCACGTTCGACCCACACACGACTCTAATCGTGGGTCCCGGCTTTAAAGAGGCCATGCTCCCAGGCTATCCCGCCAACCCCGATGCACCCATCCTCGAGTCCGACTACGAGGGCCGCGAGCTGCGCGAGATCAAGTTCGACCAGGGCAAGAAGATCGGCCGCTTCAACGCTTTCGACTACTTTGGCGACGGCTCCTTCTACCTGCTCGACACCCCCGGCCACGCCATCGGCCACCTCTGCGCCCTCGCCCGCGTCACCACCGGCGCAGACGACGGCAGCAGCAGCTTCATCTTCATGGCCGGTGACGCTGCTCACCATGGCGGCGAGTTCCGCCCGTCCAAGTGGCTGCCGCTGCCAGAGTCCATCTCGCCTCATCCGCTGCTGGACCATCATCATCATAGTAGTAGTAGTAGTAGTAGTAGTCCTGGTGGCGCTGCAACGCCGTGCCCGGGCGAGATCTTTGAGAAACTGCTCCGGGATGGAGACCGGACGAAGCCGTTCTTTACGATCCCGAAGGGGACTGGCACCAATAACCTGGACCCGGAGGAGACCGAGAGGACGATTGAGAAGTTGCAGGAGGCGGATGCGCATGACAAGGTGTTTGTGGTGACGGCGCACGACAAGGACCTGTTGTCTATTATTGACTTCTTCCCAAAGTATGCCAGTGATTTTGCGTCCAAGGACTGGGTGCAGAGAGGTCGCTGGGCCTTTTTGAAGGATTTGAAAGGTGCTGTGGAGTGAGCATTATGCAAACTATGGTAGGAACCTCGTACCTTGGGTTTCTGTACGTGAAACTTGATGGATAGTATGTATAAAAACCCTACTTTATTATTACCTCTTGCTTTTTGTGTATGGGGAATACTTCTGCCCAATGAAATCAAATCAATAAACTATTTAGTACTAGGATGGGTAATTACTGGTTGTTGTTTTTCACATGAAATTAATGTGATTTACACACATAAGGTGCGTGTCAACAAGTAGAATGCGAAGGACATCTCAGAAAGAAAAGAACAAGTGGCAACAAGGCCTCGCATCAAACTTTGTTCTCAAGCCCGTTTCTTCAACGTCAACAAGAGCCCATGCCGACCCCCCTTGACCTTGAAGTCCTCGGGAGCCACGCCAGCCTCGCGCAGGTTCTCCTCAATGACTCGCCTCATCCTGCGGACAATATCGTCCTCGGTCCCAACCAGCTCCGGATGGGCCTCCCGCCACCGGGTGACAGGGCTCGAGGTGGACAGCAACTTCTCCACCATGTCCAGGTCAAACTCACGGTCGACGCTGCCCTCGAAGAAGGGATCATCGCCCTCTTGGAAACCAAAGAACTTCTTCTGGAACGAGGCCTGGTCAAAGGCCGGCTCAGGGGGGTCGACCGTCCATGGCAGACGCAGGTCGGCGTACATGTTGCGCGCCAGCCGGTTGCCGGGCTCGAAGTAGGGGTCTAGTTCGGTATCTACCATCTTCTCGAGCGTGGCGTTGATCTTGGCTGCGTTGGGCACAGAGTCTAGAAGGTTTTTTTTGGTTGTTAGTTTGCTTCAGCTGGGAAGTTGTGTGGCCTAGGCGAGAGGGCTATTGTTGAAAGAGATCTGAAACATATCTGGAGGTTTACAGATCGATCTCTCGCCCTCTTTCCTATATGCGCTGGGGGTGGTTTCTAATGATGGGCCTGCGAGGCTTTCTATATGACCCCTTCTGGAGCACGGGCTCACTATTCTTTCTTGGAGAAGTTACATACGGTGTGCATTTGCAGCTTGACTGCACCAGATGGCCACTGTGCCTCCTGGCTTCAAGATGCGTGCCGCGGTGGGCCAGAATCGGGGCATATCGAACCACTGGAAGCAGGAGATTAGCTCTTTGGTTCGAGAAATATAAGAAGAAAATAAAATATTTGAGAGCAACTTACATGCGCACAGGTCGCTGCCGTGATAACATCGACACTCCCATCCGGGACCAAGGCAGGATCAATATCCTCGGCGGTAGACACCTCGAACCTGACGGCCGACTTCACCTTCTCGTCCTCAGTGGCCAGGCGGTCGCGCGCCGTCTCAATCATGGCCTTGCTGTGGTCGAGCCCCGTCACGCTGGCGAAGTAGTCGGCGAGCTTGAAGGTCGCGATGCCCGGCCCGCAGCCGAGGTCGACCACCGTGCCGAGCTGGCCGCCCGTCGAGGTGTGGTAGTCGGTTATGCTCTTGTATAGGGCCTCGCTGTAGTGAAGACGGATTTGAGCGTAGTTCTTTGCATCCTGGGACGAGTAGGACCGGAATGTGTGGTCTCCTGCTGCGGCTGGCTTCGACATGGCGAGTGGGTGGATGGCTGGATGGATGTATACTGCAGAAACGATGTTCGATAGATGCCGTTCAGGAAAAAAAAGTGATTTTATGGGTAATCACTGTATTGAGGCGCTCCAGAAAGAAAGATAAGGAACGGAAAACGGAGGGGAGAATAGGCAAGCTGGGTGAGGCTATCTAGATGGAGGTTGCCTGGCGCTATTCGGGACTAGGGACTCTTGCATAGATGTAGTCAGCACCGGTTCTCGGTATGTGGATGAGTTCACAAGTCTGTTGGCAGTCTTCACGTGTGGGAAGCAGCCAGAAGTTAAATAGGCAGAGAGTCAGATTATAAAAGAGAAGAATATGACATGTGCAATTTCCAAAACAACATCTCGAAATCCTCCCATTCCTCTGTACGTTATTGGTGTCTTGTTTACGTTGTCAAAGTCCGTTGGAGATGCCTAGAATAAAATCCGGAGTCCGGAGCAGTGGAACAACTGAAGCTATTTCGTGTCAGGCCTCAGAAGTAGGCCAAACTCTTCTAGGCGCAGCAGCATGCCCTCGCAGTCCATAATTAAGCGATTTGCGCTTATTTGCATTGGGGTTCGGGTGCGGAGTCCAAGTTTCCCTTTGCCGCAATCCCGCTTTGAAGGAATATGTTGTTGCAAGCTGGGCAGGCAAAGTTGATTTCATTAAACTGCTTTCTTAACTGACCCTGACTACTTTCTCCCTCATTTCAGGGTCCTTTTGCACGCACCAAAACATACTTTGGGGTCCACCAAGTCTGCCCTGCACGGCACTGCCCACGCGTTGCCGTTCGTATCTGTTTCCTGGGCGCTTGTTGGCCGCCCCGGATGGAGCCCCCCCCCCCCCCGGCTGAGCCCTGCGTCTGGCTGAGGTCTAGTCGTGGTCCAGTCAATCTTGGCCGCAGCGCTCTGAGACCCCCGGCTACGAAACACTCTCGCCCGCCGGCAGCCAATCATGTCGACCCTGCCCTGGTCTCTCGCCTGACCTTGTGGCTCTCAAGCGCCGAACCTCAGAAACATCCTTTGTCCTCAACGACGACGATGGCCAACCGTCTTCATGTACCCAATTTAGGACGGGCTTGCTTTGTGTGTTTCACTAGGCGACGTCTGCCTCTTCCATGGGCATTGTTATTCTGGGAGGGACGAGGGTCGAGACGTTGATAAGAAGGCATCGGCTGTCGAGTCTGGTGTCAAAGGTTTGTTGTGTGTGTGTGTATTCATTCCTCCATCAAGACCTGAGTTTCTTTTTCTTTTCTTCTTTCTTCTCTCTTCACAACATTCTGTCAAGTTACAGATTCATCTATCTGGCTGTCATTGTCTTTTTTCTGTTTTCCTTCTTTAATCTTCCTCATACCGTCATCGCTCGCTAGCCCTCGAGCTTTTTATTACCCTTACATACCGATCTTCCCGGTTGCAATTTCACTTCAAGATCCAGCTGGCAGGTACAGCATCAATTAAAATCATCCTCCCTTCTTCAGCAACACAACGCAACAACAACAGTCACAACAAGTTCACCACAAGCCGCCATCATGTCCAGCTTCGCCAACGTCGCCAAGCTCCTCTTCAAGCACCGCAAGGAGATCCACTCGGCTTACGAGAAGAACGGCACCGACTACAGGGCCCACGCCAAGGACGCCACCGACCTGGGCTACGACGTCGGCACCAAGGCCGTGACCGCCCCGCTGCGCGCCTGGGAGAACATCCCCCGCCTCGTCGTGCGCGGCCTGCAGTTTCTATTCGGCCTCATCATCGTGGGCATCTACGGCGTGCGCGTCGGCGACGGGCAAAAGAACGCCGCCGATGCCTCCTCGGCGTGGTGGTTCGGCATGATCGTCGCCGTGCTGGCCTGCATCTCTGCCCTGATCCTGGCCTTCACGGCCCCCTTCGGCATGGTCTCGAAGCGGTGCAAGACGCACCACATGTTCGGCTGGGACTTGTCGATCTTTTTGCTGTGGATCATCGTCTTTGGTGTCTTTATGGGCATCTTCCACAATCGCAGCAGTGATGACTCCTACAAGGGCAGCAGCACCGGGGTCGAGAAGTCCGCTGCCTGGCTGGACCTCGTCAACGCGCTGTTCTGGCTTGTCTCGGGCGTCTATGGCGCCGTCAAGACCTGGGCTGGGCGCAGGAGGGATGCGCTCAAGGATCAGGCGCAGAACAGGCTCCTCTATGGTGGCGTTGGCCAGCAGCGAGAGCTGGGCAAGGAGGAGGAGCAGATGTCGGTGCACAGCCAGGTCACCGAGCCTGAGCCTGTGTATCATCAGGCGAGGGGGTTCACCTTCCGGGTTTGAGTCTCGCGTGGCGAAGATGATGTCCATGTGAAGTCTGACGAGTTGACATTTGTCGCCTGAGGATCCGAGGGCGTCCTTGATTGTATAAAATTAGTATGTATGATAATGTATAGGGATGGCGTAGGAAACATGGGAACCGGTGTTACTATCTGGGGTAGAATTGGGTTGTAACATATTTCAAAGCACGTCTGCCTATCAAAACAAATCATTGTATCGGACACAGCAAAAATTGGCCGAGGTAGGAAAAGCTCCGGCAATAATGTGCGTGGGAGACTTGGTCAGCTCTCTCATCCTCAAAGATCAACCTTGACAGCCACGACATTCTCAGACGAGAACCCCGTCACAAACAACCACGCCTTCTTCTTCCCATCCTCCTTTTTGGGGTCGATGCCCACCAGCACTCCCGTGGCTGCGTTCCTGATAATACTCCCATCATCCTGCCACAACAACTTCTTCTCCCACTTCTCCGGCTCGTCCTGGCTAGGCTTCACGTACCAGACGACAACACCCTCCCGACCAGACGGGTCCTGGGCCGTGGTCACTATGTTGATAGCCTTGGACAGCCCCGCCAGCACAAACCCGCTGGCGTCCCCAGTCGCATCATCGGCGTATGAATCTACGAACCAGCTCGGATTATCGATGGTCGAGTCGAGATCCACGGTCCCCTTCACGACGATGGTCTCAGGCTTCTCGCCCAGCGACCCAAGCCACAGGTTTCCGCCCACAGCACTCACAACGAGGATCTCGTCGCTCGTCCTGCCGTGGCCGAGGCCGTTTGGGTTGTGCAGTTTGTCCATCACCACGTTGGCATCGACGGCAGATCCATCACCGCTGACAGACGCATGCACGACTTCAGACCAGGCCGCACCGGGCCACACGTCCTCGACCATGCGCAGGCGGCCCTCGCGGTAGTGGTGGTCGTTGGTGACAAAGATCTCGTCCTTGGTCACGCCGTAGATGTCGTTGGGCGTCCTGATCAGCGGGTGGGCGATGGTGTGCACGTGTCGGACGGTGTCGGAGCCCAGCACGTGGTGGAAGACCTCAACTCGGGAGGCCGCCTTGGGAGCAGTGTCGCCTGAGGGGCCTGCTTGGGGGCTGCTCCCGTCTCTGTGGAAGACGGCTTCGTTGGGGATGTGGTTGACGGCGAAGATGTAGACGGATGGGTTCTTGGATGAGCTGGTGGTGTCATCATCAGGGATCACATCGATGCCGTGGCTGATGAAGGGCCCGTCGAAGTTTTCAAAAGCAAGCCGTTTGGATTCTTTGGTCTGACATTTCTATGGTTAGCAGAAGATTCGATAATTTCAAGTAATTAATTCTCTTTTCTCTTATATTCATATTGCAAAGAGATGCATGCACTGCCGTTGAGGACTCACCTCCGGATCGATGATGTGTATCGAACCCCTCGCGTTCCAAGCGACGCTGGCATCGTCAAAGAAGGCCAGTGGCGGGAACCATTTGAACCGCGTGGCACTCACGTCCTCACAAGCGGTGAAGAGTATGTTGGCCGGTGCGTAGTAGTGTAAGTCCTCGCAATGGGTCGTGTCCCCGATCCGGACGAGGTCTTCGGAGTGTGTGAGCGGGGTCGAGGCTAGCGGCCTGAAGACGCCGAGCTTGGTGAGGACGCCCTGTGTGGCTGATCCGTACATGTACGCCGTCAGGCCGGTCAGGGTGGCCAGTACGACTCCGACACTCGCCATTTTTGTACGTTGATGAATTTGATTATTAGCAAGGGACGATCTCGGTGGTTCTTTTCTTCTTCTCTCTCCCTTCCTCTTTGCTTCACAGGTTTTGTTGCGGACAGCTGTAATCTAATGAGCACCGTCTTGATGATAAATGAAAGTGTATGGAGAGACGTAAGAAGCTATGGAAAGGGAGAGGGATCAAGAGCACAAATGTTGGATATTTTCACACAAGAATGGAAAACCCTCGGCAACCTTGTTCTCCAAGCAGTCTGGCTGTGGCTGCCAAGGTTAACATCACATACTTATGCGGGGTACTACGCAGCGACCTGCTCCCCACATGACGTCTACTTCAGTAAGTAGGGAGGGCGAATGTAATAAAACCCTACAGGCATCATGGCCAAATCCTGCCGGAGCTTAGGTAAGTAAATAGTTAATCAACCTCTTGCGGTGTCAGGTTTGAATAATACACCATAGATCATTGTGGCTTTATGATGATGGGCATTGCCTATCTGCTGCCAACTCCATGGCCAATAATAACATGTCTACTAAAGTACTTACCCAACTAGTGCTTAGTATTTGACATGTCACTTGCCCCACTATCCAATTAAGATCATGTCTCTTTTCAGTCTCGTCAAGTTAATCTAGAGACCTTGGGCTCTTTGATCAGAGGTGAGGTATAGACCTGAAATAGATTAGGTCTTGAGTGTTGTGCAACAACAGACACGCAAGGAAGTATTTGATTCATAAGTAATCACACACCGTCAGCAGTGAAGCTAATGTCAAATTCGACCTAGGATTTGGCGACAAAACACAGTCAAGGCCAAATCAAATCGACTTCTTGAGAGTTTGTAACCCTGAGAATTGTTATTTCCTGTTTTATTCGAAAGAAAAAAAGAGGAGAGAGGAAGCATAGTAACATATATAATAAGCAAGCAGACCGCCCACCTTCTAGTCATCATTCATTAGATGTTAAGCAATAGCTAGTTGTAGGCCTGAAACAACACAGCGTTTCCACACCTTCCGAGAAAGGGGAGCCGTACCGCACCTCGCAACGCACTTAAGTAGATCCTCATAACTTCACTCAGACCACCTGGACTCAGTGTCATACGCCATCTTCTCCTCCAGTCCAGCTGTTCGGACCCGGCCAGCCGTCCACACCCGGATCCTCTTCCCGAACACCCAAAGGACAGGCAGAAGCAGCACAAGAACAATCATGACCTCGGCATAGATGACAAACGTCGGCAGCAGGCCCTCCTCCGCAACCCACGTCGTCGCCAGGCTCGCCAGGAAGAAAGCAATGACGATGCGCAGGCTAGACACGTTGACGAGCACAGGCCCGGCCCACTGCGGGTACGACTCGACAACAAAGACGTTGATGGTGATCATGATGCACAGGAAGCCGAAGACGATGAGGAACATGCCGAGCAGCAGGACGATCCAGGGCACGCCGGTCGACTGGCCTGCGTAGCCAAAGATGAAGCAGCCCGAGATTCCGGCGATGAAGGGGATGAGCATGTTGGCCAGGCCGAACTCGGCCTCGCGGACGCCGTTGCGACGTTTGGCGATGGTGGTGGTGACTTTGTCGGCGACGGGGCCGGAGAGGAAGCTAAGTTGTGGGCAAACTGTTAATTGATTGATGGTGCATGGTCTGGTATATGGAGGCAGAGATTGACTTACAAGACTACAACCGTGGCGAGCACGAATGGAATGACGGACAGACCAGTCCATTGGAATTCCCATCTGCAAGACATGTTAGCATACCACCTTCTCAACAAGAAATTGAGATCTCCTCCCGCATCTGAGCGAACTTACCCCTGAGCGAGCAGCACAAACGAGCCCAGCTGCTGCGCAGCCTGGTTGGCGATCAAGAAGATGGCGTTGGCCAGGACGGACCACACCACAGCAGGGAACAGCGTCGTCCGCAACGTGTTCAGCATCGACACGGCTGCATTCTTCCACTCAAAGCCGGCGTTAAAGAGGCCAATGTTTGTCCACAGGTCTCGAGGGCCGTACTTGGTGAAGTCGAGCCTGGGACGTTTCTCGCCGGGCACGAGCTCCTCCTCGGGCCGACCAGCTGTGATGAGGGCGAGCCGAGAAAGTCAGTCAATCAACATAGCCCGTAGCCTCTCTGCATTTTTATTGTACATAACAGGAGAGGGTAAAAGAAAAGGAAGGAAAAGAAGAAGGAAAAAAAAAAGCAGTTTCTGATGATGTGCTTACCGAGCATCTCCTTGGACCTGGTCCACCGGGTCTCTGGTAGGAGGGCGATGAGTAAAAACCAGGCCACGATGCCCGCGCCTGAGGTGGCATAATAAAGATATCGCCAATTATAGTTGGCCGAGACGTACGGCGCGGCAATACCGAGAGCGATGAGGACCACACCCTGGGAGCGACTTGTTAACATCCATACTCTTGTGGCCTTGTCACTCTCTTCATCCCTGCCGTTCCCTCGCCGGCATAAAAATCTCACTCACCTGACTAGCCACAATCGCAGACTGCGCCTTGTTTCTCTGGTGTATAAACACCATATCCTGAACAATCAGCGGGATCAGCGCTTCCACAGCGCCAGCGCCAAGTCCCATAACCGCGCGCGCAGCAAGGTGATCATCCAGCGACGATGACAGGCCCGCCCACAAACCCCCGGCCCACGCCAGGACGGCAGTCAGCAGCAGCACAGGCCTGCGCCCGATGGCAATAGACAAGGGCACCAGAAAGTACGAGGCGATGCCGTTGGTGATGAGCGGGATGGTGGCCAGCATGGAGACCTTGGTCAGGGACGGAGGCGTCACGCCCGCGGGGATGACGGCGAGCGGGTTGAGCTGGGCGCCCTGGCCTCCTGAGGCGGCGACGAAGTTGATGTCTTGGATGGTGCGCGGGTCGAGGCCGGCGTATTCAAGGAGGAAGATGGGGATGAGGGAGCCTATGATGATCTCGGCGGAGAGGGCAAGGGAGCCGACTGTTGTGTGTGCATCCCGGAGAGTCAGAAGGCGGATGATCCTCATAGATGATCCTCATACAATGGCGACGAGTGTTTTGGGAATTGGTGATTTTTGAGAAAAGTAAAAGAGGTTGTGCTTACAGAAGCAGAGGACACCAATGGCTGTCCATTTTCTCAGATCCGTCATGTTCAATGGATCTATCAAGCAATATCCTCACTCAGTTTTGGGGGTGGAACCATGAGAATGACCAACCACAAGTCCACTTCGAGTGCTCACTTACCCTTTGGATTCGACGACGGCATCTGAGACCAGCAAAATCAAGTCAGTAATCACACACACAACGACCATGCTTCTCCAGTACCACACATGTCTTCCTCTCTGCTTCGTACTGTGTAACTCACCGGAATCAACCTGATCTCCCCATTCTCGTCAAAGATATCTGCGCTGCCCACGACCTGCGTCGAATCGTTCCCGCTCCGAACCCCCGCTGACACCTCATTCACCTCGACATCAACTTGCTCCGCCTTTTCGTTGCCGCCAAAGGACCTTGAGGCCTCGTACATGGCCTCCGTCTCGGCCCTCCCCAGAGGCCAGCTGGGGCGGACGGCGGCCATTCTTCCCGAGTAGAAGCTTAAAAGAAAGAGACAGAAAAAACAAAGAATTAATAGATTTTATTCAGTATTAGGCACCAGGCCATAATAAAAAATAAAATAAAAAAAAGAAATGAGAATTGCCCCCCAAGAGAAAACAAGAAAGAAGAAAAAGGATCTGATAAATTAGAGTTGGCTCGACATCAGCAAGTATTTCAACCATCTCCCCCAACCAGCGCAGTGCAGCATTGAATATCAGATGACATGCCTCCACCTGCTATCCACCATGTCTTGGAGTATGTTATATCATGGTACGTCAGAAGGCGATCACTGGTGTTTCGAAAAGGGCTGCAAGCTTGATGGGGTGCTGGCCTCTCTATATGGGAAGGGAAACTGCCGTCATGCCTGTCGGTATTCGTTTGAGATTTCAGCTCTGGCTGCAGAATAATGCAAGGTTCTGCTTGGGGGTTTGGTCTAGCCAGGGGAGGAGGGGGTGGCTAGTTATTAAGGTTAACGATTTCACTATTCATAGCAGTGAGGCACAAGGGGGGCCCGCAGCAGTACAGATCAGACCAGATAAAAAATTTAGAGGATTATAGTTGTAGTCTACTTTATGCTATAAGTAGAATGCTTATCTGCCAGCATTCGTGCTCGCTGCCTCGTCCAGACGTCGCGGGGGAGGACGAACCAAAGACTGCGCCAGCACACATCGTCGAAGCTAAGCCCAAAACCTTCTCCCCTCCCAATGAATTTCAACCCTGCTGCTCCTCGGAAGGAACATTATAAATTCTCCGGCTAAGATGATCGTGGGGGAGGAGAGGGTTTCACTGCTCTGTGATGGCCAGGGACACCGGGGGGAAACAAGAAAAAACAGAAAGAAAAAGACAAAAGATCGGCAGAGGGGACGGCATGAGTGATGACGATGAGCAGCCTGAGACTGAATCATTGTAGATGCAACAAAACGCATGATCGTCCGTCGGACATTAGGAATAAAGAGGTGTGTTTGTCCAAGGAAGAGGGAAGGGGAAACCGGCCACCAGGATGGACTTGATAACGGTGAGACCATCATCCTCGAGATTATTCAAAGAACATGTTCCAAGAATACGAGGGGCTACAAGTATGCATAACAACCCTTTCTGGCTTGGCGGGCTTGCTTGAGACAGGCGCCTGTGTGATGCACGGCAGGGGAGCCCTCCCCCGGAAATGGAGCCGCCACCGGTGTCACCCCACATGCTGCTTGAGTCTAACTCTTGTAGTAAGTATCATAGTTTATGAATACACAATTACATAGTATACACAGACGTATATATGTACACTGTCTTGGTATGAGCCACGAGGACGACAGCACAGATCTGTCCTGAGTGTTTGATTGATAACCTTGATTTATAAACAGGATTGCATTACCTTCATCTCTATCTCACCGTCTGCGCTTCCAGAAAGATTTCTATACGTCCTTAACAACGCTTCAGTTGCTTGACCTTCGGGCTCTCAGGGATACACCCTTCGATGCATTCTTATGCATTTCTGAAGTGTACGGCATTGCCAAGCACGATGGATGTGTCAAACTCTCAGACATAACGGATGATGAGATTTATTCTTACTCTTTGCTATGTTGACAAAGTATTGGCCCAGCAGGGGCGATCTGCTTGTACACACACAAGTGCTCCCTCAACCGTGTCCATGCAAACCAAACGCCAGTTATGGAAATGTCTCTGAGCAAAGAGTGCCCCTCCTACTCCTGCAAAGCAGAAAAACATAGCACCCAGGTTTCATACATGTGTGTGCGTGTGCGCCACCGCATCATACGCTCTCGCCCAGCAGGCGGGCGATCAAAACGTAGATGAAGACGACACTGCCAAAAATCAAAAGCTTGTGGTTGGACACCCAGCCCCTGCCAGCTTCTCGTTGCTGTACCACGGCATCCACGACTGCCTGTGTCTGGTTCCCACTGCCTGCGATGGCTCCTCCGACCAGCTGGGGCCCACACGAGGAGCCCGCAGCGACGGGCCTCTGGCCGGTGGCAACGTCTACGTTCTCCTCGCGTATCCATTTCCAATTCTCGGCGTCCTCCTCCGGCCACTCCGCGCGAAACTTCTTGCCGCCGTCGCCAGCCTTGATGTTGCCCTTTTGCGCCACGCGCGCGCTGTCGTGCGATCCGCCGCCGGTCGAGTTCCACCAGCGTGACCGTGCTGCCAGCATCTTTCGCTCCTCGGTGCTGGCAGATATGGACCCGGTGGTGATCTCATTCGAAGTCATAAAGGAGAGCAGGCCGGTGAGAATGGTCGAGACGCTCCATGCTGGGTTGAAGGAGCGCGGGTGGAAATCGGAGATGGTAAGACACAGTCGCGATGAGGGCTGGAAGCGGCCCGAGGGCGTGTGCATACGGATCGCAGGAGGCTTGAAGGGGTAGTCGGGTGGGAACATCAGCGTGCCCCAGTACTGGCCGTTGTGGTAGGGGGTGTCGGGTGGTCCGGTCAGGATGTAGTGCCACCTGCCCAAGTATGTTAGCAAGAGATGCGGAGTATCTACTAGAAGCGTCAGATAAACTGGGTGCATGCAAGGCTACTTACTCTAGAATATTTGAGTCGCATGGGTGGGCGACAATGTATGGAGTGGGCTCTTTCTGGATGGCTTGATACTCGCGCGTGAGGCGCTTGTGCGCAGCCTTGGTGGCCATAGCTGCTGTTTGCGGAGCTGGATGTCGTAGGAAGGGGAAGAGAAGATGGGGGAAATGAAAGGAGAGGAATGGCGAAAGAGCTCGAGCGCTTCCCAGAAAACTCAAGTTTTCGCGAGAAAGAAGAAGGCCGCTCTGTCTGTATGCGTCGAGGAAGGGAGGCGTTTGCAGGTTTCACGAGCGCCGTAGTCAGCCTGCGACGGCACCTGAATAGTGAAAGAATGAAACAAACAATGATTTATTTGAATCCGAAGTGACAGTTGTGCAGGCAAAGAAGAGAAGAAGGTGTGGTGGGAACGGTGGGAGGGGTAGGCGAGGACGAGAGATGGAGGATGGAGAGGGTAGAGGACGGGAGTGACGGAATGAAGTCGAGAGTGGATGTGGTGAGATAATGCAGTGGCAATACCAGCGCAAAAGGGTGTCGTGTTGGTTGGCTTGTGATGTGCACGGGCCCAACCAACTGTTCCCCCCCCCCCCCCCCTTTATTTTTTCATTTTCTTTGAATACTGCAGTACTATGTAGAACCTATAATTAGCGCTGAGCCAATTGTACATAGCCCGCTAGCCACGCGAGCCTGCAGTGCCAAGCCACGCCTATAGCGCTGAGCTACAGATGCATCATCGCCTGGAACTGCTGGTGTGACAGGTGCCTCCACTGTAGCTCCTGCAGCTAACTGTCTGATTGATTTTCTCGCGTCGCGATCGATAGCGGCAGTGGACCGACTTTTCTCGCAATTTCTCGTACACCTTTTCACTTCTTTGTACGTCCTGGAACAGAGCCACACCCACGCTCGGCGAGAACTGCTCATGGCTTCCAATCAGAGCTCCGATGGCCTCTCTGTAAGTCATATCCGCTATTGCATCTGATTTTCCCGGTGCTTGACAGTCAATGGCTGACCGCAGTACTCATGGTTTTTTTTTTCGCCGCCCCATCTCAGGCCATAGACAGCCTGCGGAAGCTCGAGACCGACGCCGAGGTCTTGCGCAGGGAGGCTCACAACATGGACCAGGCAGAACTCCTACGGAATCAGCAGGCCCTGCAGAGGAGACTTTCGCTGGTCAGTCATGTTCCCTGGTCCTAGTGCTGTCCTAGCTACAGGCGAGCGCAGCCTGGGTTGACTGACATGTGACCGTACAGTTGAGCGACCACCTTCAAAGACCTGCCACTATACATTCTATCGAAGTGCACGGCGCAAAGAACACTCGGAAAGGCTTCCTGGATCCTCTTTTTGTGCCGCTTGTCGACAGTCAGCGCAATGCTGCAACGACGCTGGGCGAGGTCCTGGCCGGCATACAAGAGGTTACGGACAAGCTGGGGCGATTTGGTATGCCAAGGACGAGAAAGATCTTGGGGAGGTCAAGGGGGACGGTCTACTGACAGCACCTCACAGAGATCTTCCAGGCCGAACCAGCAGTTTTCCTGTCTGATGCTCGAGAATCCAGTCCGCATGCCGCAGGTACCGACATCGATGTCTCAATACGTGTTGCCGAGAAGTCCCGATTTCTCCTGAAGACCGGCACCGAGCTTGGCAACACTGAGGGCTCCGGTTACATCAACCTGTTATGGAGGAATATGTTTGGTGGGGCTGAACAGCTGTCCGTCAACACGAGTGCTGGAACACGAACACGATCGGCCTACAGCGCCTCTCTCTCTGCCCCTGTCAAGGGCAATCCCGATGTTCGCCTCTCGGTGGAAGGTCTGTCGTCCGACACGCAAAAAACCTGGGCAAGCCATGAGGAGGTCTCCAAGGGCGCCACAGTGCGAACTGCATGGCTCTCCCAAACACGCGATCTGCACAACCTGGCCTACTCCAGCACATGGCGGCAGATTACTGGTCTCAGCGCTGCAGCCTCGCCCACCGTCAGGGCGGATGCTGGCGACAGCATGAAAAGCTCCATTACGTACACATTCACCCGCGACCGCCGAGACAACCCGATGCTGCCCCAGAGCGGCTATCTGGTGAAGGCGATTACGGAGCTGGCGGGCGTTGGACCCCTGCGGGGCGATGTCGCGTTCTCAAAGTCAGAGTTCGAGATTGCAGGAGCTATGCCAGTGCCGCTGCCTGGAGTGAGCAGCAGCAGCCAGACGGGCATCTCGATCGGGGGCGGCCTGCGCTTCGGTGCTCTCTGGCCCCTCCCTCTAGGCTGGTCTCCCAAGGGCGAGATTATACCGAGTCTGATTAACGACCGCTTCCAGCTCGGCGGTCCGACCGATGTGCGCGGATTCAAGATTGGTGGTCTGGGCCCCCGAGACGGGAACGATTCCGTTGGCGGCGATGTCTATGCAGCAGGCAGCGTGAATATGCTCCTCCCCCTCCCACGGACAGGAGTGGACTCGCCGTTACGACTACAGGTATTTGCAAACGGAGGCCGTCTGGTTGCACTCGAGAACAGAACAACGGCCAGAGAAAAAGAGAGCAAGGGTCTCGCCATGGCTCCCAGCGCAGTGAGGAGCGGCATGATAAGGGCGCTTGGCGAGTTGGCCAACGGCCTGCCCAGCTTGTCCGCAGGGTTTGGACTGGTCTACGCCGCACAGGTCGCCAGATTCGAGCTGAACTTCAGTCTTCCCCTTGTGCTGAGACGAGGAGAGCAAGGCCGCAAGGGTCTTTCGGTTGGCGTCGGCATCGACTTTATGTGAACGAACGATGCGATGGCAGCCTCAGGCAACGAGGCAGTCATGTGAAAAGGCGAGAAGGCACAAGATGAAATTAGCTAAGGGAAGGAGGGAAAAAATTTCAGCCAGCAGCAGCAGCAGCAGCACGTGGATGTACAAAAGAACGCGTCCGTCTCGGCTCACCAATCCTTCCCCGACTTTGCCACGTGAAACTACCGCACGTCAACAAAGTAAACCTCGTCACAATGAAGACGCAAGCGACTCATGTTGCCTTCTCAAGTTACCAACCATGATCCGGCTCTGCGCTTCTAAAGTCCTCGAAGTTCCCGCTGCTGAAAGACCCATTGCCGAAGTCCTCGTCCATGAAGCTGCTGTCATTGAACTCCGTGGTCGAGCCGTGCAGGTTCGGGTCCACGCAGACGAAGTCGTGGGGCGATAGCTCTGGACCAATGCGATAAGGTCTATTGCTGACCACTGGATTGTGTCCCACTCCTACCATGCTAAACATCCCATTGTGTCCCATTCCTACCATGGGCGGCGCGACCGGGTCCGTATTGTACGTGTCCAAAAATTCCGTGCAATTCGACAGGGGCTCGGGCACTTCTATAGAGCCATAACCAGAATCAGGTATACTTGGGTCTTCAGGGCGCGGGACAACGTGCTCAGACGCGATACGATTGTTGGTATGCTCGCGCATAGTCCTTTTCGAGAGCTGCTTGGCCGCTGGCATGGACTCGCCTGGTAAGCCTGATATGGGTGGCCCGAAGCCCTCCAGAAAGCCCTTGCTGTCGCTGCTGTTGCTGCTGGCGCTGCTGCTGTCCTCAAGAGCCCATACATCTGCATTCATTATCAGCGCCTAGCTCCAGGACAGAAGTCTGTAAGCTTGCTCCTCATAACTTACGGAATGTGTTGGGAAGAGTGCTAAACCCTATAGCGGAGTATATCTTCTTGAGTCTTATTGCATTGGGACCGCGGAATCTCTTTACAGCTGCTAGAGCTTTCTGTTGCTCCTCGGTCATGAGGTCGATTTCGTCTTCGCCCCTCTGCCGCATTTGGCCGTTGAGCTGCTTCTTTTCCAAACAGTTCTCGATATGACTCGCTCGCTCTTCATCGAGATTCTTGCGGGCAGTCCCCGGCCAGCGCTTATCACAGTAAGGGCAGCGGCTCAACAGAGAATGGCAGCGCCATAGGTGTTGACTGTGGGATGGAGCCAAGTCAGTAAGTGGAATATTCACAAACACATATACACACACAAACACCCCCAAGGACGATGCCAGAGTATTTCGAGGTCTCAAAGCTGAGAGCGATCAAGGGGCAGCACCTACGTGATTTGGTTGACCGTCCACGGTTTGGCCTTCTCCGAATGGCAGTGGATGTGCTGCTGATATCTCTCGGGGTACATCTTGAAATACGGGCACGCCAACCCATTGCCGTTCTTGATCGCGTCCTGATCAAACATATGCGCCGTGCTATCGGCCCCAATCGATGCCATCATGTTATGCAAGGGGGGGGGGGGATTACGCAGAGAAAACTGGTGATCAGGTCAGACCAACGCGGTGTTGAAATCGGTTGGGCCGGGGCGCTGTGGAAAGAGACGGTCGGCCGAGGTGTGCTTTGAGAGCTCTGATCATCTATCTTGTGAGTTCGAGCGACCGTACACCCTCTCAAACTGCTCGAGATAACCGCCTATCCTTTTTCTGCGATCTGTCCGAGGCAACTCTCCGACGGGACCAAAAGGATCGCTGGCTGGGGAAGTGTCTCGATATCTCTTGATTTGGTAGGTGACGACCTCGATACGACCTCGAATAGGAGAGGGCTGATTTTTTTTCACTACAAGGTGCACAACGAGTTAGCTATTTTGCAACTAGAGACGTTGTTTGCAGTGCGGGTTGGCATTATTGGCAGCCTCTGGTATGGACAAGGAGGGAGCAAGACAAAAGGGAAGAGAAGCTAGCTGGTCGACGATTGGCGATGAGAACAACTGATACATACTTTGCGTTTTTGCAACATTCACTACAACGGACCTGGTGAGCGGTTTGCTGCAGGCCGCTGTCCTCGACGATCGGGCGGAAAAAAAATGAGGGAGTGGAAGAGGCTGGCGGCAGCCTTGGTCGGGAGGACAGCTCGAGCTCGTTCAGCATTTCAAGGGGAATCTTGGGACTGGGAAAGTCTAAGCCTCGCCGGCAGCGGGTGCGCTCGCCGTCTTATTCTTGAAACCCAACCATGCTTTGACCGCCCTCGGTGCTGCAGCCCAAGTCGCAGGTCAGGATCGCACCCGGATCGCAGCCAAATGAGGTAGTGACACACGACAAGAGGAGGGCGGGGTGGCCTATTCAGCATTAGCAGCTGAGAGCCAAGTCATGATTACAACCTGGCCCACCCCTCCTTAGAGCTTAAGCGGGATGGCGTCTGTTGCTGCATGGTCGACCGACGTTGTGGCTGATTATGTAGGTGGCGCCTGACCCAGACCTCAGTCGATATGCGGGATGGATGGAGGGAAGAGGGAGGAATTGATTGGGGGGTATGCAAAGAAGAAAGTGTGAGGACGACGATGTCTTCATTCAAGGGGCAAGCGAGGGAGCAGAAGAACTTTTTTTTTTATTTTTTTTTTATTTTTTTTTTTACAAGAGCAAGGGGGAGTTGAAAATCCTGGAACTGTATTGCTTCCTCGGAAAAAGGGTGTGTGACGAGATATTGCTTCTGCAGCAAGAGGAATCTCCATCCCCCCCTTCCTCCGTGGGGCAGACAAGTCAGATACAGCACCTTTCCAGAACTACATACAGATGCATTTGCAGTACTTTCGTCCCCCTGCAGGGTGTGATGAGTTTCCCTAAAAGGCCCGTCCCATGCACCAACGCTTTTGGAGACAGTGAGGAAAAAGCAATGATAGCGGTCCACCTCGCCAGTCCCAAGAGCCACTGATGTGTCTCCTCGGCCAGATACAAGCATTTTGAGATCGCACGGTTGTTCACGCTCGGTGAGAGGATTACTCTACGAACGCCCGAGTTCCAGCAGCCGGAACCTGTCTGCGATTCCAGTAATGGCGGAAGCTGGGGAGTATTGTATCATCGTCCCCACCCGATTTTTTTTTTTTGCACATTCAGCCGCAACCAAGGGCCAATTGGATTCTTTGCAAGATCGCAGAGTACGTCAGGTGGCCATGAAAATAATGCCAGCTATCGTATTGGGCCAAGGGCCAAAAGCAAAGAAAAAGGAATTTAGTGTTGATTCAGGTTGCAAGTATATCGAGTAACTTCGAGCAGAGTTCCACGAATGGCAACCCAAGGAGAGAGTCGAAATTAGGAATAGTATTATGTATGTGAAATCGTTCTTCTTTCTTTTCTTTTCTTTTCTTTTATTTCATTTCATTTCATAGACCACCAGGCTCTCGACGATACATTGTCGACCAATCCAGTATGGACCATATCACACAGTTCATCGATGTTGTGCCGGTGAAAACCGGCCCCAGCCGTGATGTCTCCTACCTCATAGATCACCAACAACATATCTCATTTAACCTCCTCGAAGGTCGAACAAATAAATGACGGATGACCCAAACCACATGATATAGTCTAATATACCGTAGCTCCACTCGGATCTCAACATTTGAAGTAAAATCTCAAAACAAACCTCCCCTTCATATCGTCGACTGGCAGTCGTATAGAATCGACTTGAACGCATGTCGTTGGAAAAGCAGTTGACAGACAGAAGCACGTGCAACGTCAATCTATCAGTGTTAATCGATTGGTCTTCGAGTGCCTAATGGCTTTCGAGACGTTGCAAACTAGGTGGCGCATTGACCTATGTGCTCCAGGGGGTTCCACAGAAAACAAGCTTCCTCCCTTGTAGGCCAACAATGGGACAGCATGGGGGGGGCATTGTCGAGGCCCTAGCCAGTCAGGTGGCAGATCAGTCAAGCAGAGAAGAAGACAGGGACAGCGGGAAGGAAAGGGAAGCAAATGGCATGTTGTTGTTGGATAAAAGAATTTTTGGGAATTACCCGTACCGTTCATTAGTAGGGCAGGCTGGTTGTTCAACACAGCGTCCAAGGCTTCATGGTTGCTAGCACTCTTGTCTGCTTCGCGCACGTGATTCAATTATCATTTGATAGTAAAGGGGGGAAATCCAAATCATACCATCAGTGTCCATACAGCATAACGTCAATATTCACATCAGATCGGGACATCCTTTCCCTAACACCTGTCTCGTCTCTTAAAGCACTCGCCCATCATCTTCCTCCCCTTCCGTTTCCGGGACACAGGTGCAATGAGTTCGGGGACCTGAGAACAGGAGAAGTCGGACCACCCCAGGAGTGGCAGGCCTAGCCCGTCCGTGCTGTAGTCCCCTCCTCCTCCGCCCTACCGGCCCCCATCTCCTTGACCTGCTGCTGCTGCTGCTCCTCCTCCTCCTCCTCGGCATCCTCGATCGCCTCCATCGCCCAGTCCCTGAACCCCTGGCCCCTGATCCAGCTGAGGCCCTTCCGCCAGCTCTCCTCCCGCACGGCCTCTTTATCCTTCTCATAGACCATGCCCGTGAGCATGACCGCAAGCACAAACACCCACACGTCGCCGGCGCGCATCGCCTTCCACCACCGCCTCTTGACACCGACCTTCCACAGGGAGTCCACGCTGACGCGCGCGGAATAGAGGAACGCACCCCTGCCGTTCCTGCGCTCGACCCAGGCCCAGAACCCCGCGAGGAACCCGCCCAGGAAGAAGCGCTGGGTGGCGAGGAACGAGCGGGGGAGCCAGTTCTGGAAGAAGCAGATGGAGGCCCAGGCGGTGGAGATGGAGCCTGTCACGAACGTCGACATGCTGAGGACGCGCTTGAGGAGCTTGTACATGGTGGTGACAGGGGCATGGTACAGGGCCTTGTACCGTGGGATCATGAAGGCCGAGTAAATGACCAGGAAGAAGCGGGCCAGCAGCGGGAACGAGCGCGCCCAGAAGGTAATAAAGGTCTTGGTGCAGGACGGGTCGTCGGGGTGAAGAAGGGCACAGCTCAGAGAGGTGATGAGCGGGTGTGCTGGGTCGGTAAGGGGTGCGATGTGCCTCAGGGTTGGCGGGAGGGTCTCTTCCTTGTCGGGGAAGAGGATTGGTGAGACGTGTGGTCTGAGGCGTGCGAAACTTTGTCAGTCCTGTACTTCTTTTGTTCTTTTATGCTACGTGCATAGCAGAGCCAAGACAACAACTTACGGCCAATTCAATTTAGCCATTTGAGCCAGACTGTCTACGACCTGTCGTGTGCTCGGCCATCTCAGAGCAGCAGGATAGTCCTTTGGTCGCTTGTGTATATAGGACGACGAGTTTTTCAGGATAAAGTCGCCGTAAGCCTGCAAGGGAAAATAAAAAGAACAACATGTCAGCACTCGACCACACAAGACACAAAGTCATTCATCGCAAGAAGATCCTCTCTTACCGTAGGGAAGCAGTCGTAGTCAAAGACAAAAGCATGCAACAGCTGGCCAAACGCAAAAGGCTGCACCATCCAGCTGCCGAACCACCATGGTCTCTTCCTCAGCCGGCCATTCTTCTCCCGGCCCCAGACCATGCCGGTATCCTCAACATGGTTCCACCCGAACTCCAACGCACGGAACGCAGCGTATATGGCAATCGTCACGCGCAACTGCTCTGCCGGATACACACCGAGGGCCAGACCTGCCATCGAGGCGCCAATCGCAGGCGTATAGATGGACGTCAAGGCCCGCGTCACGAGCGGGTTGCGCATCCGGAAGGGCTCGGCGTTGGGATCGAGGATCGCCTGTCGGAACCGCCAGAAGAAGCGATACAGGAACCGATAGAGCAGCAGAATCGAGCTCAAGGATAATGACAGTCGGAACACTGGCGACTTATACAGAGGTTGCTTGTTCGCGTTCGGACTGAGGCAACGATGTCAGTGTGTGCTCCTCTGAGGGGGCGGGGGGGGGGGGGAAACAATGATGAGAAGTCGGGTGCGCGTAGGAAACCAAAAACACTCACACCCTCTTGGCGCCCATAAACTTCTCTGTAACTAGCCCATACACCTTCAGCGCCGCAGCGGTCGCGCCAAACACGCGAAGTGAGTGCCTGACGGCGCGCGCGTTATAGTCGTCAGCACCGACCATGGCCCCAGCGCCCGCTCCCGCACCAGCGCTCGTGCTCCCCACGTCCTGGATGTCCAACGACCTAAGCCCCCCGCCGCCTCCACCTGCTGCTTCTTTCTCCTTCCCTTTGCTGCTGTTGCGTTTATGCTTGCGGCTGTTGGGGTTGCTCACGCCAGGATCGCCGTTCATGATCTTATTCACGGTCTCGACGCTCGGTACGCGCTTCTTGACCTCACGCGAGCGCGAGAGTATGTACCGATGCAGCAGCGCGTACTCGCGCGCCGAGATGGTATACCGCAGGGTGTTGCGCAGAATTGGGTCGGAAGTGGCCTTGGCAGAGACGCCAGAGGCACGGCGGGGACCAGAGGGTGGTTTGGGGGCAGAGGTGATGGGATTTACTGCACCGCTGCCGCCGCCGCCGCCGCTGGAGGAGGAAGCCATGTCTTCTTCTTCTTCTTCTTCTTCTTCTGCTCCTGCTGTTCTTGTTGGCGTCGTAGGCGACTCAGATGTGTCAGAGAGGGCGCGTGTGAGTTTTGGCCTGTGTTGACAGGTTCTCGACGCGTAGATGGAGTGGCGAAAGGTCTTGAAGCTCGGGGAGACGGTGAGCTTGGGACTGCCACCAGACGAGGTCGAGGAGGCGCTGGGGCTGGACGGGAGCTCAAGGGCTGGATAATCGTATTGCTGAATGGTGGATGAGGTTAGAGGATTGTGGTCCTCGTACAAATTGAGGTATTCGAAGACGGTGGCAGAACGAGAGAACGATGACAAGATCAGGAATTCAGGAATCAGGAAAGGTATGTAACTTGAGGCTTACACAGAATAGTTTAGGGTGTAGCGGCAGCGACGGCAGACATGTGAACGCGCCACACGTCGTACTTTTCTTTTTAACAGTCCCGTTCTCCTCCTACAACACCTCAATCACGAGCTGGTGGAGATCCGACGACGAATTCGAGAGTGATTTCCGGAATGGAGAATACATGGAGATGATCTGTGACTAGCCCAGGCAAGCAGAAGTAGCATGGTATGGCCGTCAAGCCGGCTCGGTGAAGGGAAAGGAGACAAGGTTAATAAGGTGTGAGGGTCTCAAGTTCGGGCATGAGCTTGTCCTCCGCTCTCTTTTCCACGTGCCTCGGCTGCTGCACTTTGAACCTGTTCATGCCCGCCCCCTGTTCCTCAACCCCACATCCCAGTACTATTCCACGTAGCGCAGTTGGCCTAGGTGTTGCTTCAGGGGCCCTTACCCCGGATTTGGCAGCTGTGTCAAGCCACGCATGAAATGTCCCTGGACGGATATTTCCAACGTCATTTCACTGTTCCACTCCTTTTTTTTCTTCTTTCTTTCGGCCTCTTCTTGGCCTCGTATTCAGCCTGACCGGCAGCAAAATACCCCCTTTGGCTCTTGCAGAGTGAATTAACGTTTTCTGAGCACTCACAGAGTCCCTCAGGCTCTACTTCATTTACTGTCTATATTCAGGCTGGCTATGAAGGGAACAGAGCCCTTGTGCGGTAAGAAGAGAGACACCCAGGCTCAGGTGGGTTACCAGTGGGACCAACCTGTGGTACGAACTGCCCTTGAATCTATCTTTTCCTTTTTCTTCTCCTTTAACCATCCATAATCAGACCCTTACAATGGTGTCATTGTGGGAATCGAGGGTCAAGGCAAGAACTGGACAAGCACTTGATTACGTATTGGTTTTTGTACTGAATCGGTTCCCTAAACCGTTTGGCCCCAAGCCTCCCAAAATGCAAGTTCCTCCGTGGTCATTATCTTGTAGTCTCATTATCAAAGAGACCCCGTTCCAAAGAATTATGCTTAGCAGGCTTGAGCACTCGTGTGCCCTGCTTTGGTGTATGTGATACCGCCTCCCCTTTTCGGCCGTGATGGACGGAGAATAGGATCAACCAAATCGAAGACATAACCCCGTCCTGTGGTTATCAAATGACGGAAAGCCACCCGTCGTCCACCTATTTCCCCTTTCCATGTCCCCATCCTTGGAAGATAGAAACCTTCCTCGTCATGACAGCTAAACAAATGTCCCCTTTTTGAAAATCCAGTCCAGTATAACATACGCAGAAACCCCTCGCAATGCTTGTTGTGCCTTTATTTCCGTTCCCGTTTGTTTCTTTTGTTTTTTCGTCAACCCAAAGCAAGGACGAGGGCCGTAGCCAGGGTCCATCGTGCAAATTTCCACTTCTCAGACGCCTGCCAATTTGTTATGAACCCCCGCAAAAACGAACCGTAGAGCCTCATAAAAAAGACAGAGAGAAAAAGAGAACGTCACTCGTCATCCCATCGTCCGGAACCCGAGTCGACTTTTGTTCAGAAAGCGGTGTCGATAGGCACCCACCGCCGGTCCATGGAGAAGACGTCGGGGGCGTAAGGCACACACTCCTCCTTCCAGCAGACATTTCCCCACGATAGTTCCATTGGCTGGGCAATTTTACTGCGTAATCGGTCCATGGGCACGGGTCCCTGGAAACTGCCAGCCATGAGCTCCCCAGCAAAGCGGAGGCGGCGGGATTCCCTCTCGGCAATCACCTCGGGCATGATGAGACGCCGCTCCTGTGCCGTCTGCCAGCCCAGATTTCTCTCACCAACACTGTTCGTCTCCAGAACCAGTCTAAGCACCTCAAAGGGGAGGTTGAGCAGTATGCGAGAGAGGGCTGACTGAATCTGGTCGGACTGGGGCTGAGAGGGCTGGGGTTTGTTGTGTCCATTGGCCTCCGTCAGGTCCATGTCGCCAAACTTAATGTTGATGTTGGACATCCGCGACGCGCTGTGGCTACCATTTGTGACGCTGGAACCTGGCGCTGCCTGAGATGGATCTCGAGGTGTGGCGGACACCGATGGCAGACGCGAATAGTTGGGATCGCCCACGGTGGTGTCCAGCGCGAAATTGGCTGGGAAGCAAGTGATGAGGAACAGCACGATCTTCTCCACGAATTCACCAACGTAGACACCATGCTTGAACCCGAAAGTAGGGAAGTTGTGCGGGACATGCATTGCCCGTTGGGCCTGTAGCCCCGTCAGGGAAAATTCCAGTCCTTTCTCGACCGTGTCCCAGCTTAGTAGCTTGGATGCCTCTTGCACTGCACTGATGGAGACGGCAGGCACTTGAAGGTGGGCACCGGCCGCAGCGTAGCCCAGCGCGAAGTGGAACTTCTCAGCATCTGACTGCGCCTCCAAGTGGTGGGGAAGCGGCACGTAGCGACAGCCATACAGGTGTTTGATGGCTCGCCACATGGCGTCAGCTCGTAGAAAGGGATCATCCGACTCGATGCGTACCTCGCACGGTCCATCGCCAAGTCGGGCCTGCTCTTGAATTATGCTGCGCAGGAGATGGTGCTGAGATAAAACAAGCCGGTGACCAGGGAGCCGCAGGGGGCCACTGTGCGCACCCGGAAAGCGCGAGTTTATAGGGGTGAGGCGGTCGGGAAGGGCGAGGACCACCTCGCAGTCGGCGAATTCGGGTCTCGCAAACATGGAGCTGATGAAATCGGAGAACGCCATCACGTCGCCAGCCGCACCGTCAAAGCCACCGGGACTGAAGGCGGCCTGGTTGCTGGGATGGTAGGAATGCCGGCCGGGGGCTGGAGGTAGCACAGGGCGTCCTACGCCGGTTCCGTTGGCCCCATTAACCGGTAACACCTTGGGACCGAAGTCCTCGGTTCGCGACGAGTGCGACCCATGGAGACTATGAGGAGTGAGGGGGCCGTGGTTCATCATCATCATCGGTGCATGAACGTCGATGGGCGCCGGGGCCAAGACAGGCCGTCCATGTGCACCCACACCATTGACAGGGATGTGCTCAGGCGCCATGGAGATCGGAGGAGGAGGAAGAAAGGCACCGCCTGGGTGAGGCAGGGGCGAAGTTGTGTTGGATCCCTCGAGACCACCAAATACAAGACTATCATTGCTGGGATGGGGCTGGTGCATGCGGGATGGGTGGTCAAGAGGGTGTGTCGGTAGATTCATGGGCCCAGGAATGGGCCCCTGCGGGTGGGCCGGGTGGTTGTTGGAGGGGTAGAAGGAGGGCTCCGTACTGTTGGGCGGAGACGGCGACGAAACGGGAGGTGGAAAGGAGGCCGGAGAGGGGGCGCTTGGAGCAGTATCTAGAGAAGAGGCATTTGTTAGAGGAATGCAAAACCTTGTGTATTCTGTCTCCCTGGAACTCATACCTGGAGGCGTTATCTTCCCAGATGTCTGCGACGGGCTAGCAATGCCCTGTGTCTGGGGGCTAGCGGTGTCTGGCTGCGGCTTCTCATGAGGAGGCAAAGCAGTCTCGACTGTTGTGACACCGACCTCCTCCTGCTCAGGCTTCTGGGGTGAATCTGAGGCATTGTCCTCCAGCAAGGTGCCGTCTGCAACAACCTGTGTCTGCTGAGGCTCGGGCTCAGGTTCACACTCGGGCTCCGACTCGGGTTGAGGAGTGGGCTGAGGGGTTGGCTGATGTCGGTCCTGGCTGTTCTGCTTTGGCGTCGGCGGTGTGTTCTGGCTTGTTCGAAGAGGAGAGGGAGGCAGCTGTGTGCTAGCAGCCGGGGCGTTCTGTCGGCGCTGCAGGAAGGTCAAAGGAATGACGGGCTCGATGCGTCTGCGGCCGGTGGGCTTCGCAGCAGAAGGCCTCCGTGCAGCTGGACTGGCGGGACCGGAGCCAGAGGGAGTGGCCATTGTGGCTGGAGCGGTTGACGGCGCCATGATGAACTCCTCGAGGGGGAAGACGAGACTAGAGGAAGGTAGATGTATGGATGGACAGGCCACAGTGCCCAGGGTGCGAACTCCAAGCCGGCCAGAGAGCGACACCAGCTGCCGTGACTATGACGGCGGGAAGGATCGTGGGGTGGGAAAGGAGCGACGGTGCAGTTCTCTGAGAATGGTGCATGGATCGATGATGCTGTGCAAGCCTCCTAACCATCTGGGCGAGGAAGGAAGAGGAGGCAAACAAGAAGAAACCAAACGTAGAGGGCAATAGGGTAACCCTGTATGGGCTGACCCTCGTCAGGGAGAGGGGCCGGGGCGTATCGTTGATGTTGTGTGACGTCTGAATCGGGGAGGGCGCTGTTCGAGATGGCGTTGTCACAAACGCAGTACAGTGCCAGACCAACTTTTTTTCTTTCGTTTTCGGCGACGCTGGACGGCGCGCAAAAATTGACAAACCAGAGTCCAACTGCTCACCACAACAACTTCGAAGCCCAGATGCTGGAAGATATTTTGTTGTGAGATCTGGCTGCCCCTCGAACTGGCAAGTCTGGCGGGGAGAGGAGCAGCAGAGCAGTGAGGAAACAGGTAGAAGTCTGACCGTTAGTTGTTGACTGGGAAGCTGCGCCGTGATGGATTTTTTTTTTCCCTCTCCCTCTCCCCTACTTTTTTTTTTTCTCTCACTTGCAAGGTTACCTCACTGCTGCTGCGGGCAGAATTTGGGGAGGTTGCATCCCCGCAGCTGCCAGCAAACAGTGCACTGAAAACTTGGTCAGTGCTCCTCTTACCCCCACCCACTAGCGCCTCAAGCTGTAATTCCCGATGACCAAGCATGGCTATAGAGGCGGGCCAGGGGGTCCAACGGGACCCAGCAGGCTCCGCCCAAAAACGAAACTCTTTTTTTTTTCTTTCTGTATTTCTTAACACAGATTTTAATTTATCTATCCCCGTGCTTTACACTCATCATGTGCACCTTTTGCTATTTACATGCAAAAACGGTCCCCCCAAAGTTTGTACAAATGTGTGGCGACTCTGGGTATTTAGTTTCAGATACAAAAGTCAGGAAAGTCCAGTACAGTGGGCGGTACTGCTGATCTGTTTTCAGGTCCACCCTCGTACGATGTACCAGGGGAATACTCCGTGGCAAAATTCTTTGGTTGTGTGCTATCTCACCCTATTACCAGTTATCGATGAGCAGATCATGTTTATCACGCCGACAAGACAAGCCCGTCTCCAGAGCCGAGCTCGACAAAGTCATACGCTAGCACCTCTTCGTCTCTTGCTAGCTTTGCCTCCTCGGCGACCACCGCATCACGAAGAGTGTACGTGGTTCTCTGGAGCAACCACGAGATGAACCCACCTCCCTTCTTCGCCTCGTCATGCGTCGCGATCCAATACCTTGCTCCGCTCGCCCTTACAGCTTGAATGCCGTTCAGGGCGCCCAAATTCAACTGCGCCGTCATCCAAATCCGCACGTCATGCAGGCCGTGAAGCAGCGCGAGTGTCTTGATGCCCGCCGTCTCCACACACTGCAGATCCGAGCTCTTGATCCCATGAGGCGAGTAGATGACAGCCTCGGGGTCCCTCGAGCCCATTTTGTCCCTCGACCGCGTCGACCGCTGATTCGGACGGTATCCGAGATCGAATACAATCATCACAGCTGAGTGGTAATAAAGCGCGTTGTTCTGCGTGACTACCCTACCGATGCCCAACCACGGGGGTATCGTTGCCGTCTGGTCGACCAGTACCTCATGCCAGTCTGGCGTATCGGTTGAGAATGCTGGAGTGGTGATGACTGTATCAAAGTGCTTCCACGAGCGGATCAGATCGGCCGCCTTCTCTGTCGCCACGACAGGTACAGTCTTGGACAGCTCTCGCAGCGTGGCTTCGTGGCAGTGATCCGTGAACTCATGCGAGATTGCCACACAGTCGATACATGACGAGCCCTCCTCGCTAAAACCACCGTCCACCTCAGCCAGGATCTCGTCGAGCTCTTTTATGGTCTGCACCGTCGGCGCGACAACATGCCACTGCGTCGAGAACCACGAGGCAACATCGCTCTGTGGACCCTGGAGCCATGGATCAATCAGGATGTTATACCTCTTCCGCCTCGAAGGCTCGGGTTTCGCGCTGTGCCTGGAGCTCGAAGTGACGGCGGGGTCTGGTCTCGGCAGCTGGAGCAACCAGCTGGTATCGGCATTGAGGTGTGCTAGAACGGGATGCGATGACTCCAAGGCGGCGGTCCAGGCGGCCCGATCCTTGAGGCTAACAACCACGTTGCCGTGTGGCGAGGGCTGCTGTTCTTTCATGCTGAGGGCCTCTGTGTATATCCTGCAACTCTTTTGGGCCTTTCAAGTGGTTCAAACAGTGGGAGCGTGCTGCTGCGGTGTCCCGTGTTCTGAGTGCGGTGCTCTTGTTTCACCAAGACGAGATGCCGGCCCCTCCCTCGTCACCCTTGCCCTCGTACATTTGACGTCGGATGCACGTCACAAGCTCATTGCCCGATCGAGACTAGGCCTGCGTGGACAAGGGTCCCTAGTCGTAGGCTAGTACATAGACCCTCTCATCAATAAATAAAACCTTTTGGGTTTCCCCCCCAAGGAAACTTCGTTCAACCGGCCAGCTACGCCTTCCCAAGTGCGTGTTGTGCTGCAACTCTGACAGAAGGTCCCACTGGTTTAAGTCATCTGAGCCCTGGCCATATGGGCCAGTAGATCCGATGGCGTGTTCAAAATGCTGCAGTCAAGCCCGTTTGTGACTGACATTATGGCCTCCGTTCCCTACGCAATGTACAAATGGCCTGGAAAATGATATGAAAAGATTAAAGAGAAGAAGAGGGGGGAGGGGGAGTGCACGTACTATCACCGATGATGGGGAAGGGACGCACCAAAGCAATGATTTCCGAGGCTACAGCTGACCTTACAATCTTGTCGTCCACAAATATGCCCCTGAATGTTCGTTGGCCGGTAACACACGCTTGAGGCATGTCATTGATCAGACTGGGCCGCTATACATATGCATTGGCTAAACTCAGGTGACAAGCTCGACTCCCGCCATGTTTGCCTGGCATGCTTCAGCCATGGTAATTGTCAATTGCTGTCCTTGTAGCGATATTCTTATGGCGATTTGGTCTCTACATTTAGTATATTGCCCACACTTGCTTATACCCGGCAGGATACCAGTGCGTTCATCACAACGGAATACTGTCTGTGTATGATTTGATCCAGTGTGAGGGGGAGGGGGGTCTTTCAACCCTATTATGAAATGATCATGCGAAATGAAGGTGGAAAGGGTACCGTATGAGTGTGCTTAACTACGGGCTGTATCAATAGGTCCAGCAGATGCACAGCCTAGATGGATGAAAATACTTCACTTGAGGTATGGTGTTGGCTGCAACAGGCTAATCAATCGGTAATAATTAAGTATTTACAAAGACATGAACGAAACATGCGGATCATTGAACTGCCAAAAAAAAAAGACAAGCCGACAATGATCCCCAGATGACTTCGACTGGCTTACAAAACCCCATGGGGAACAATTCTCCTCTCATGAGATTCTTAAACCCCCCCCCCCTCCCACTCCAAGTGGAAGGATGTGCCTCCTTGGCTATTGACTCAAGATCTTAGACTTTTGTGCACCCAAGTATGTGGGTCAGCCCTCCTCCCACTCCCTCGTCTTGTTTCAAATGCACAGCATCTGGGGGTGGAGCACCTGGGAATGCTATACACTATGTATACCATACCATGTACTTGATGACGTCTTTGGGCATATTATGGTCCTACTGTGTGTCAATTCAATCTTGACCACGTGCAAGTGTCGTATCGGAGCTGTTACAGAGGGGATAGGCTTTATTCTCTTCATGCAAATGTGACATGCTTCATAGATCGGCTCCAGCAGAATGGTAAGCTAGAGATCTTGCATTAGTTTGTTTTCAGCCTTTTCTTCTTCGAATTGCTCTCTTTTCAAACAAAGGGGTGATGTCCCTTCGGAGAAGGTTCGGACTTTGGCTTATCTATACGCGCAGGGGTCATGCGGTGCCGCGTAGGTTTTCAAGAACACGCCGCTGTTTTGGCAGACTCTTGGCCAAAATCTAGCAAATCCCTATAGAATAGGACAATCAGCAAAAGCGCCAAGAGATAAGAAGAGCAAAAGCATATAGTGAATGAGCAGCACCGAAAGCCAGCGGGACAGCGGAACCTTGCATGTTGGTGGTAAGGCTGGCAATGTCGATGGATAGTTGGGCCGGCGGGCCTTGGCGTAATGAGTTTTGGTGATAAGAGATACGAAGCCGGAGATGTGCAATGCAAGTCATCCTGTTAGTAGCCGGAACTTTACGCCCTGCTATAGAAGAGACTGTACATACATAAAAGGAAGTGGACCGTGTTACGTTCTTTTTTCATTAGAAAACAGTTGTTTTCTATCTTCTCGTTGTCCTGACCTCGAAAAGGAAGATTGGAATCAGTTTCGAACCAAAGAGCCTCGTCACCTGGTCAGCACGATGAGTGCAGCAGTAAGAAGCCCCCCACTTGGATCTGTTAATGATAATAGTAGTAAAATGCAATGCTAACACTACCAATTCATTCAAAAGCCAAGCTACAATGAGTCCATGCCCAATGGCGGCGATCCATTGACCACTGATGTCAACGCCCAGTACGTGGGATTCGAGTACAACTACACGTATCTCGTCTTCTGCGGCTTTATTGTATGGCTCATCATACCAGGCATCGGCCTCCTCTACGGAGGCATGGCCAGGCGGAAATCGGCCCTCACACTCTTGTTCCAATCTCTCATGGTCGGTGCCGTCACAACCTTCCAGTGGATGTTCTGGGGCTACTCCCTGGCGTACAGCCGCACCGCCGGGCCCTTTATCGGCGACCTGGCCAACTTTGGCATGAAGAATGTCATCGCCGCCCCCAGCATCGGAAACTCGACCATCCCCGACATCGTCTTCTGTCTCTACCAGCTCCTGTTCTGCGCCTGCACGGTGCAGATCGTGGTGGGCGGTGCCTTTGAGCGCGGGCGCATCGTCCCGTCCCTCGTCTTTGGTTTCTTCTGGGCGACCATCGTCTACTGCCCCATCGCCTGCTGGACCTGGAACCCGAGCGGCTGGCTGTACAACCTCCCCTCGCTCGACTTTGCAGGCGGCGGCCCCGTGCACATCGCCAGCGGCTGGGCGGCGCTGGCCTACGCCCTCGTCCTCGGCAAGAGGAGGAAGAACCCCGAGGACCGAACCCACGGCAAGGCCCACAACACGACCCTTGTCTTCCTCGGCACCGTGCTGATCTGGTTCGGCTGGTTCGGCTTCAACGGCGGCTCGGCCCTGAACGCGAGCGTCCGCGCCATGTACGCCGCCTTCAACACCAACACGGCCGCCTCGACGGGTGCCATCGGCTGGGTCATGGTCGACTATATCCGGCACAAGGGGCGATTCAGCGTCGTTGGCGCCTGCGAGGGTGCCATTGCTGGTCTCGTCGGGATCACGCCTGCGGCTGGCTACGTGAGCGTGTGGCTGGCTGCCGTCATTGGGTTCCTCACAGCGGTTGTCTGCGCCCTCATGGACAAGGTCAATGACTGGCTGCACACGGATGACGGCCTGGAGGTCTTCAAGCTTCATGGCATCGGGGGCATCTGTGGCTCATTCTTCACTGGCATCTTTGCCACGGCTTCAGGTGAGTTCGTTCGGCGACAACTTTTTGATTACTATGTCCTGATGCCAACAACATCTTGGCTTAGTATAACAATGCTAACCCCTCATGAATGATTCATAGTCTCCGCTCTTGACGGCGTCACCGTTGCTTCTGGTGGTATTGACGGCAACGGCATCCAAATCGGAAAGCAGTTCGCCGAGATCTGTGCCATCTCGTCCTACTCCTTCGTGGTCTCGTTCGCCCTGCTGTTCATCATGAAGTACATTCCGGGCCTGCACCTGCGCGTATCGGACGAGGCTGAAGAGCTGGGAATGGATCTGGACCAGTTTTTTGACGAGCAGATTGGCGACTGGAGCTATCTCGAAGAATCCGAGAAGCGCCGGAACACGACGATCCTGGGCCAGGGTGTGATGGGTAACAGCAGCTCGTCGACGGAGAGAGTTACAGAGGAGACGACGGGAGGCCATGGTGCGGGTGTGAAGACGGCATAAATCGTTGTAAAGTAGCAAAGCTGGATAGCTCTTCAATCAGGATAAAAAAAGTATTCAGATGTGATAATCAAACGGACACAACAATGGTTTCCTCTATATGACACTCACAAAAAGTCTGGGAAATGGCCCACCATTGCATCATCTTGTATGGATCAACAAGTAATGCTCGCATGTCATGATGTGAATGGAATCTTCTCCCTTCAGCTTTCCTTCATCTTGTGTAATTATCACCTGCTATTATGCCATGTCCAAACTACAAGGCTACCAGACCATAATAGGCTTGACAATATCCCCCCGTCCCATTACCTTCACCGCGTTCTCAAAATCCTCAAAATCAAAGAACTGAACCAGTTTCTCGACAGGGAAAATCCCCTCCTTCCACCACTGGATCATCTTGGGCACGTACTCGCTCGTCCTGCTATGGCCCTGCACCGCGCCAAAATACTGCTTGCCGCTGACCATGAAGCTCTGCATGTGCAGCGTCAGATTGGCATTGGGCATGCCCGTCCCGACTTGGATGATCTTGGCCATATATCTGGTGTACTCGACCTGCGCAGCGACAAGCGGCGGGTAGGCACTCGTATCGATGGAGATGGTCGCCCCCAGCCCATCTGCAGCATCCTTCACGGCCGCCACGAGCTGCTCCACCGACATGGTGCTGGTGTTGAACACATGCGTCGCGCCAAGCGACTTTGCCAGCTCCAGACGCGCCTCGACCTTGTCGATGCCGATGATGGTCTTACATTTCTGATTCCTGGCTGCCATGACCGCTGCCAGGCCGACCCCTCCCATCCCCACGATGGCGATAGCGTCCTCGGGACCGGCCTTGGCCACGTTGATGACGGTGCCGCTTCCGGTCTGTAGTCCGCAGCCCAGAGGAGCAAGGAGCTTCAGGTCCTCGCGCGCCAGGCCCAGACCGCCCACATTGACCACCGATTTGTCGCTGACGATTGTATACTTTGCGAAGCTCGATTGTCCGAAGAACCGGCCGCCGATGGATCCCCCTTGTTGGTCTGAGAATGCGGGCTCACCCATGAAATTGATGTCGAAGAACGCCGTGCAGTGCGAAGGAGGTCCTGTTTTACAGACATGGCACTCGCCGCAGTACGAGAATGACAGAAGCACTGGATCTCCTGGTTTGACCTGCACGTATAGATGGGCTTGTCAACTGACACCGATCCCTGAGACTAGGCAGAGTTTTCACGGCTCACCTTGGTTACAGTCTTGCCGATTTCCGTCACATATCCAGAACCCTGACCAATAGGTTAGAAACAAGAAGAACAAAGATGCCGCGAGTAGACAGCGTCTTTGCTTGGACTGGCAGCCCGTGGCGGAAGAATATGTTTATCAAAGTAGTTACCTCATGGCCTAATACCCTTGGATAATACACAGCAGGGACGCCTTCATCGTCAGGCGTATCGCCGCAATGCAGATCTGTATGGCAGATACCTGATGCAACGATCTCTACCACGACCTCGTCGTCCTTGAGTTCGCGGAGCTGGACCTTCTCTATCGCCCATTTGCCCTGGCTAAAGGGCCCACGTGAGACAAGGGCTTTCGACTCCATCATGTGGCGGACAAGATGTGCTCGGGGAAGTCGTGGTAGAGACGAGCCGGGACTCCTTTGAGATGATAACTGAATCGGAATTTGGGTCTTTGTCGAATTTCGGGCCCCGGCCTGTCGTAGGAATTGTGAGTTCTCCCAGAAGATTTGACTCTGGCGTCTTCAGTTGAGTGCGGGGGGAGCCGGAAGTTGGAACGGGAAGACATGACAAGTGATCTGCTGGGCTAGGGTTCGTTCGGGGCACAGCCAGCTATTAAATCACAGGGCCATTTTAGTCGGCTCGTACAAGTTTTAACAACAAACAATCATTTATGAAACTTCTTACTGTCTTGCGTCGAGAAATCCCCTCCTTTTCGCACTAGATAATAATTTAAAGAACCATAAATGAAAATGAATGTATTGAGTGAGGCAAGGAGTTTAATGAGCGTGATCTGAGGCTCTTGGAGCATAAAGTACTTATACCCAGCGCGCCTATTAACTGTTCCCTGAGAGCATCGTTCAGCACCTATTTGCCTCCGCTGCCTTTTCTTGTTGCAGGCAAGAATCATGAGAGAGTATGCCATTATCAGGCTCCACGATGAACAAGAGCATTGCATGGATCTGCTGCTAGAACCAATACTTCTTTCCAAAATTCTCACTTCTCTTCCTAGTTCCTCTTGAAAACAGTTCCAGTGCTGTTATCACCTGTAGAAGAGATCTGTTAGCGATAGGTTAAGAAGCTGATGGTTGTTCAAACCACAATTCCAGAATTTTCCTTCTTGGATCATTCTCTGCCTGCTTTCTTGCAATTGCATGGGAGTCCTCTTATCAAAGGAATAATTCTCACCTCCTCCAATAGGGAACATAGGCAACGAGATTCCAGGACCATCGGAACAGCCGTCGCTCGGCTTTCCCAATCCGAAGAGCCCCCGCCCTTTCTTAGCATTTGGCGTACATGTCGACTCTGCAGCCGGCTCGCTGACTACCTCCGAAGAAGGCAAGGCACTAGTAGTGACGGTAGCCAGGGTCGTGGGGATCGACGTAGTAGGAATGGATGTGACCGCGCTCGAGGACACAGACGTGGTCGGCGCTGCAGACGTCGGCGGGGGTGGCGGGGCGGCGACAGAAGTTGTCGGGGGCGGCGGGGCAGCGACAGACGTCGTCGGGGGTGGCGGGGCGGCGACAGAAGTCGTCGGCCGGACAGGCGCCGCCGCCGCCGATGTGGTCGCCTTGGCAGGAGCCTTGTCAGGCGACTTCGCAGGAGCTTTCTTGCCCTTGCGTGCATCAAGCTGGTGGCTTCCGCTCAGGAGGTCCGCAGCCCTTGCGAGGATTTCTGCCAGGGCTTCGTCGCGCTCAGCGAGACCGACGTTGGAAGATCCATCGCTAAGGTAAAGAAGAAGACAGAATTCATCAGTGACTGGATTGAACAAGATGTAGTGACGAACGATGAATTTTCCACAGCATACCGAGGAGCGACTTGCTGCAAGGCACTCGAGACGCCAGCAATGCTGACAAGCACGGCAAAGATCTGAGTGAAGCGCATGGTGTCCAAGTAACTTTGAGGTGTGTCGTGGTGGTGGGCGCGTGGTCAACAAGTTCAATTACCAAGGTAAAACCTGAACTATTATTGCTGCAGGAACGAAAGTGGGAAGGGATAGAGATCCGGCTCAATCGCGAATTAGACAAACACTGATCAATGAGCACGCGTAACGAAGGTGAGGTAAGATCCAGTCTTGACCCAAAGCGAGTGACAAAATGAATGGCGATTAGAGGCAATCCCAGCAGCAGAACCAGTCTACTGAAGCCGAAAAGAAGGACAAAAAACACAAAGCAGTAATTATCGAATAGATGCAGTGGTATGTGAATGAAAGAAAGTAGAGAGAGGCTCTCAGGAGCATTCATATACACATTTATATTATTCGATTGGCTAAGAACGGGTTCAGGAAATTGAGCTAGTCCATCTCCTCGAATTGCGGAACATGGCCGGCCACGATTCGACCTTGGGCCAAAGGTCAGGACGTGGCCGCACACACTTGTACAAAGATGACAGGAAATAAGCAATGGTGCAACGACCGCATTCCTACTTTGAGAATGCCAAGTCGTGAAGGGTAATTGCCAGGTCGCGGAAGTCGGCAAGCTCAACATTCTAATACGGCCTCAGAAACGGAACCTTCATAATGTTCGAACTTTGGTCCCCAAAGAATGACCTCAAAACGAATGGGACAACACCGGCCTTCTCTTCCATTTAATTGCAACGCATCTTCAAACAATTTTCATCCGCCTGCAGTATCCGCCTGCATAGTTCGTCGATGTGATGGAGCGTACCGCTGTCTGTAAGTCAATAGAAAGATCAGGAATGTGCAGAGTCAGCGTGCATGCTTCAAAAGGTAAAATGTAGAGGAGATGCTGCAACAGAGGGTTCAATCCTGTTCCTAATGTTGACAAGCGCGTGCAAAGGAAAGAACCCTGGTTCCGATTGTACTTTTGGGCGACCAGGTAATTCTTGTGGGATATCAAGATCGCCAAGGAGCCGCAGATTCTTGGCGGTGAGAGAAGTAAGATCATTCTGCTTCATTGAACAACGACAGAGAAGGCTGCAGTCCAAGATAGGCTGCTACAATAAAGTTTCACGCTGAGTAGATTAACATGCCAAGCTGTCCCTTCCTGACATTTCTTGATTTAGGGGGCGAAAATATTCGTCAGACGGCCTTGCGGCCACTACTTGTCCTTGCGAGACTCCTGCTTGAATGAATTGACTGGATAGTGGAAGAGACTTGGAAAAGTCTCACATTGTCAGTCGAAGAGGCTCTGATGCACTTGAGTGGAACTGCCGCCAAGGTAAAGACCTTTGGTCTGCTCTCGCCAACCTGCATGCCAAGGCAGGCTGAGTAGAAGCAATTGTCTGAACATGATGTGCATGTCAATTCAGATACGTCGCAAAATAGAATCCGAGGCCAGCGGACGTTGTTCTTGGCATGTCAGATCTGGGCCTAAGAATGGTTCGCGCTGATGCGCCCAGACAGACCTCTTGTCATCTGTGGCAGAAGGGACGAAACAAAAGCGAAGGCGGCCCTAGAACCAACAAAATCTGACTGGCTATGCCTTACTCATATCATCCCAACTGCCAGAGGTCATCGTTTGAATATGAGGACTCGGTCAACTTATCCGCTTCGGAATTTTGATACTTGTGCAATGTTCACTCAGAAAAATGGATGGACGAAAAACCAAAAAAAAAAAAAAAAAACCAAAAAAAAAACCCCCCCACCTCAGAATAGACCTAAGTATAGCATGCTAGAGCCTCGTCAGGTCGCTGGACAAGACGAAGCTGCACTGCAAGTAAGATGGGCAAGTCGGCTGGCATAATCTATGGGAGGTGAAGTGGACATAGAGGGCGGCGACCAATCTATTCAGTAGGACGAAGCTGGAAGGAACGAAAGACATGGCTTTGTGACGAAACAATCAATTTCAGAACATGCCGGAAGTGTCGATCGTCGAGCAGTCATTGCTGAAACTCGCTGGTCTCTCAGTGGCCGCAGCGATGGTAAGTTGTTGTCCCCGTACATTTACCCTTCTTGAACATTGCAATCTATTATCCTGTTTCCAGAAATACGACGTCTTACTCATTCCAAAGATCAACTGCAGCTCTCTCTGAGCAATCAAAACACTCATCTACTTCACTTGTAATTAATCCTCAACCAGCGTTACGAGTCCGTTAGAGGTCAGCTATGATGGCAGAGACGCGAGTATTCGTGCGCTTCGAAACACCTCCAAGTATTCAGAAAATCGATGAATTCAACGTGCCCCCAGGTACATACCTGTTTCTCGGCCAAGCGACTCCGAACGATGAGCGATGCAGCCGAAACACTCCCCGAAATCCACGGTCCTTGATCATCAACCTCTGGTGTCATCTGCCCATTGCAAGCGATGTCGAGAGCGAAGATTTCCTGCAAACCCTCCGGAAACAGATTGCGAAGACGAGAAATGACATGGATCGGAGGAGATGCCGCGTGGAATGGAACAATCTTCTGGGTCATATCGGTGTCGTTGTGCCCAAGAAATTCCTGCGGCCCGAGAACTTCAACGTGGTCATGCCAACGCGTGCGATGGTATGCATCGCCCCCAAAAATCTCAGCTACGAGATTGGCAGCACCCGGAGTGAAATCAAGCGCAGTTATGTCAACAGCCTTTCACAAGCCATGAATACTCCACGGCGTCCTGGATCAGTGGAGGAAGGGAGCGGCGCGACTGCCGCATACCATGACCTATCTTATCATTACAGGGCCGTACATCGCTTCAACAAATTCTTACACTTTCAAGAAATCCAAGTCAAATGGAAGGGAGAGCCGCAGGTGGACATGGAAGGCTTGGCTGGCAAAGAGATTTGGACCATTGCAGACAGAGCATCGATGAGAATATATTACCTGCGGCTCCAGCAGATCCAGAGGATCATCGATGCGTAGGAGGCACGAAAAAAGACCCAAATGGTCAAAGGAAAGCAAGCATAGGTCTATAGAGATGCGCCACATGACAAGTTCTGGACGGCCGTCTTCGAGATGGCGAAGCGCAGGTCAGGCACTATAATCGATGATCCCTGATGATAAGTAGCGAAAAATAATCTTCTTTAAAAAAAAATGAATGAAGCGATTGAAAAGCTTGGTCGGAGGTGGTTTTTCCTCTAGTCAGTGTGAACAATTTTATTGAGTTCAGAGGCATTGATGGCTCTTCATTTCGAGATGCCCATAGGGCCAGGACAAGGTGTCGTCTATTGTTCTCGTCTGTGATCACATCGGTCTTGTTAGTCGTAATACCACTTATCTCAACGTCGCTACTAACTCTCATTCGCTTCTACAAATTTCAGAGATGTCGAGGGGTAGGCGTCCTGAAGTGACGTAGACGTGACGTCGTTGACCTATCAGCATTCAAAACAAACCCATTGGCATCTGCAAGATTTGAGAATCATTCCCAATACCATCACTTTGCACCATGAAGGAGTATACTGCCGAAGAATGGCTTCCATCAGGTTCGGGGTTGGGAGAGAGCCCCTTGTACCGCGCCAGCGATGACACATTCTTTTGGGTCGACATCAAAGCCCAACTCATCCACGCCATCCCTGCACAGAAAGGCTGGGAGTCCAAAAGAACCTACCAGTTCGAAGAGTGTATGACCAGGCTGCACGTCGTCGCGGGGCGGGAGGACGTTTTGGCAGTGCAAACCAAGCGAGGTTTGGCACTGCTCTCGCTGGACTCAGGGGCGCTCAAGCCTCTGGCGGATATCAAGCACAAGGATGCAAGTCTCAACGATAAGGTGCGGATGAACGACGGAGGTATCGATGCTCGAGGGAGGTGGTGGGCTGGGACCATGGCTCTTGACGAGGAGACGGCCATCGGCCGTCTCTGGTGCATGCACAAGAGTGTCAAAGAGACGGAGGACGCCTCGGTGCTCGAGCTAGACAGTCTCGTGGACACGCCTGTGCCCAACGGGCCGGTGTGGTCTCCCGATAATCGGACTATGTACGTGTGCGAGACGCCGGGCGGGAGGATCTTCCGGTACGACTACGACCTGGAGCATGGGACAGCGTCGAACAAAAGCCTGTTCGCGGAGCTGCAAGAAGGCGGTATGCCGGATGGGATGGCGGTAGACGTCGAGGGTCACGTCTGGGTGGCGGCGAACTCGCAGGGCAAGCTCGTGAGACTCAATCCTGAGGGAGAGGTTGTGGCTGTGTGCGCCGTGCCTGGTGCGAAGATGACATCTTGTCCTGCATTTGGAGGCAAGGACATGAAGACGTTGTTTGTCACCTCGATCGCGTCAGAGGGGTCAACTGGTCATGTATACCGCATAGAGGTGGACGTTCCCGGGATCAGGCGACACGAGTTTCAGGCATGATTGAAGCAGTATACGACCAGGAACTATATTAGCCCTACAAGAGGAGACAATCTGGCCATTCTCGCGGAGCACAACAGAAGTGCTTACTGGCTTGTGTCACTCCGAAGGCAGTCACGAGGAAAGGTGTCGGTTCGGATATACGTTGGCGCGGGTGACGTCAGAATCGTTCTATAATCCGAGACAAGGGCAGGCCATGGAAACATTGAAAGGTCGTGCAGCTGTCCTTAGTGCCCAACCTTTCCAAGCCGCAGCTTTCAGAACACAAACTTCAATCAACCATTTCTAAACAGATCTCCCACAACACTGCTCGCATTTGGCTCAAAACAATCAAGCAATTCCAGGTGATTGATTCTGCCAACAGAGGGCGCAGCCATGCCGTTCAACTTCTCCTTCTCCAGCTCTGTGACGTTCGTATCCACTACCTCCGGGAACGGCGGCGATCCTAGAGGCTGGGCCTACCGCCGGGAAGCCTACTCCAACAACGCGGGCTCAGGCGTGCGCACGACGCAACAGAACCTGGGCGAAGCACCGGTCATGCAGACGAGGATGTATGACGCACAAGGACGACCGCTCCTCACCAGCGGTGATGGAAGCGATGGCCGGCGCGCCGGTAACCCGCACGGCATGACCAGGAGGATTATCAGCATCGAGGACGTGACTGAGGTGGACGAGGCGGGCAATACAGCTTCGACTTCTCAACAACACCAACAACAACAAAACAATGCGGGCAACCAGTAGGCTCGTCTCTGAATAGCCAGAGGAGCTGAAGAAAACCAGAATGCCCCAAGGAGAGAGCGGGGCTTCGTGCATGCCAAAGTGGAAAAGGGTAGTTGGGCATATGTGCCCCTTCGTTGTCATAACTTGTGATGGAAATTACTTCCAAGCGGCAAGAGGACATTGATACTTGCCCCTCTAGAGGTGTGGCTGCGGCGGGTCCAAACATCAGTCATCTCTTCTCTGCCTTGGTTGTTTTTTTTTTTTTTTTTTTCTCAAATTTTCTGTTGTGAGAGGGGGGGGGGGGAGGAGGGCGCACGCTGCCTGGACTTTTGGGAAGGGCTTCGTTGAAGGGTGCTAGAGCATGGAGGAGAACCAGATGAAGGAGATGATGGATGAGTATTGTGCCTTTTCTTCTCCTTTTTTTCTTCATGTCAGCATTCGATGATATTGACAACTTTTGGTTTTAATCTTAGACAACTGACCATTGACTTCTTATTTTCAATAGTATAGCTGCAGTACTGAGTATGCGAGGTTGATTAAATTCATGCTTAAACCCTAAGAACCCCCCCCTCCCCCCTCCCTGGGATAAGTCTGTAATCATGGACCTGTTCCTTTCGAAGTCTTCCCTATTGAAAGTTACAATTCTGTATTCGTTTCTATCTGCTCGAACCACACGTTGGCTACTACTCGGGCGTCTAGATAGTCACAGCTCAAGCAGCACCTCCTTCTCGACAACGGTAACACAACCCAAGCAAAGGATAGTGAGGGGAGGGCTGACACTCGACCATTTGAAAGAAAGAAAAATTCATTTCCAGTCCCGGCCATACAAACAAAGACAAGGTTCAATATGAGTATGTCATTCACATACGATAATTTGCAAAGCACCTACTAATTATTTCCTGAGTGCCTGATACTCGGACTTTGCTCCTCGTTGGTACGGTGGCCTGATAATGTTTGTGTCAGCAGTCAGGAACCTGCAGCAAGACCTGGGATGAGCATATTTACCTCGCAATGTTCCTAGCGACGACAATCCCAGCAGCTCCCACTGCATACAGCCCCAGCAAGTTACTCCAGCCATGGTTTCCATAGGCCCGCTGTCCTACGGCCAGCGCCACCAGATCGTACACCAGACAGCCTCCAAAGATCCAGTCGCTGCACACAGCCAGGCCGCCAAAGCCAACGGCAGTAAGCAGCTTGACCGTGTTCGAGGGCTGCTGGTTGACAAAGTACGCCACCGAGCCGTTGTGGAGCAGGTCCAGCACGCCGATGCCCGCAAAGGTCTTGCTCACGACGTGCGTCAGGACCGAGTTGGTCGAGCTGAGGTCCATGGGCGGGAGCCGCGCGAAGACGTAGTACAGCTGGGCCAGGGAGTTGATGACGACGAAGACGTTGCTCAGGCGCAGCTCGGACGCGTTCCAGAAGATCATCCAGGTGGCGATGCAGAGGTTCCCCACGACGTAGAAGGGGCTGAAGTCGACCACCGTGCTGGTTGCGCCGTCCTCGAGGGCGGACTGCGGGGTGGAGCGCCAGAGGCGCCACAGCCAGGCGAGCTGGAACAGCTGCTGCGGGAAGAAGAAGCCGGCGATGAAGTAGGGCTGCGGGGAGAAGAAGGAGAGGTTCGCGTCGTGGATGTCCTTCATGTTGGGGCTGCTGAGCATGCCGTACTGCTGGGCTGCGAAGTCGACGATGAAGCTGAGAGGCGCAATGTAGCGCGCTGTGGACAGAGAGACACCCATCTTTGGTTTTTGTCCGGTTGTCACGTTGATAAACTAATCACAAAAAGGGAAGCCCTGAGAATAATACTGGAACTTATGGATAATTTTCTTTTGTTGGCGCAGAAGAAGTCTTTACGTGTTACGATGTGAATACAACGCGGGAGGCTTTATCTACCTTCGGATTCTTGGGGTTATTACTTAGTGTTCCTTTAAGTATACCATCAACAGGACGAAAAGTGGTGATGTCAGTCTAGTTGACCTGGCGCCGGAGGAGCGTGACAATAGAGACTCTAAAGTCAATGGCGTAGGCTCTCTAGGCTGTTAAGACCGCTAAAGCCGTTAAAGCTAACTCGTCATCGAAACAGGACGAGCCGCAGCCCGGCGCAGAAGTGTTAAGTTGTGAACTAATACAACTCAATACTTTGTACTACAGTGTGTATATTGAATCTCACCATACAAGTGTGTGAACAGGTATGTTGAATATATTCTCGATCTTTATCCTACAGACTCTGGCTCGCTCGAGACTCTAATGGTCGGCGAACTAGGGCTCTGGTCTGCATCCTTGACTGCTACATGAGGATCGGAACCCCAATCATATGAAGACTCCCTCCGAGGCACAGGGCTATGATACGACGGTTGCGGTACCTCCAATGTATCTCGTCTCCCTTTGGGCCTCTCTCCCGAAGCCCTGCTAGGCCCAGCCACCGTATCCGAGTCCTGCGACGCCCTCTCCGTGACGCCCAAGCCCACGCCCTTGATCCCCAGACCCGACGCCGCGCTGGTGAAGCTCTCGGCGCGCGAGCGAGACCGCGAGCGTTGGAGCATGTTGGTAGGTGTGATGAGCCCGTCGGAGTCGCGAGGTAAGTTGTACGACGCCATGATCTGCGGCAGGGCGGTGTTCCTGTTTTCCTCGCCGGGCACGGTTGGGAAATCCGCGGCTGCCCCGAGCCGGAACGCCGAGTCGTCATAGGCATCTGGGGCCGGCGTCCCCAGCCTATCGCCGAGCCACTCGAAAGCTGCCTCGACCTTGCGCCTGTTCCCGGCGTCGCCTGCTGTCCTGGTGGTCCCTGTCGTGCTGTGACGCTGCAAATCATGGTCGTTGTGGTGATTGGACGTAGTGCCCCTGGTGGTGGTGTGTGTCAGCCGTCTCGATGTATGAGAAGCAGCAATAACGGATTCGTATGTCTGTCGCCGTCCTATTTCTGGGCCGTCCTGGGCTTCTATATGGTGCACCTCGGCTCCGTTTCCGTTCTCGCCGTTCGGTTCGGTTTTGCCGGAATGTGCGTTGAAATGGTTCGGGTAGTCATGGTGGTATGCGCAAGTGCAATGGTGGAGAACAGCATCTGCGACGGAGCTCGAGTCACTCTCCTTGCCAGCATCTGCCGCCAGGAGAGCATAAAGTGAGCCGAGTGCGGCCAGCCCAGTACCGACTATGGGTGCCCACTGGCCTAGATTCAGGTTACAATGCGTCAGAAGGAGGACTTAAGAGAACGAAGAAAGAGCAAATAAAAAAGCAACATTGGGGGTAGGTATAATTTTGGGAATTGTTGCTTTTTTAGGCGACTCACCCACGCTGGCAATTGGTTCGCTCATATAGAAAACCTGGTAACTGAAGAAGTTTCTCTCGCCAACAATGAGGATGGCCAGGATGGCGGCACTGAAGACGGGTATTTCCACCATGCTGAGGAAAAATCGGATCCTGTCGTTGACGTTGATCATCTTGGCCTTGGAGGCAGCGTTCTCATTGGGGTCCTGCGCGTCCTTGTTGTTGTCCCTGTCGTCGCTCTCATCTGGATCGCCAAATTGTTTCTTCCAGTTCAGCTTCAGAATCTTGTTCCACATGCTCACTAGCGACAGGATGGCTGGGATGCAGCAGGCTGCGGCGAGGAGTGTGGCTGTCCCGAAGCCTAGGATGTCTGGAGCCTGGATCACGTAGATGTTGTTCTGAGACCCGCCTCGCAAGGGTGAATAAGGGCCCTTGTCGGTCGAGCAGGTAAGGCCGCAGGTACCATTCTCGCCATACTTGAAGTCGTCGGTGCGGCAGGATACGGGATCAGCCCTGAAGAACTCGACTGTCAGGCTCAGGAGCCCAGACAGGATCATTCCCGTCCAGAGGAAGATGAGGTTACGGCCTGGCGTGTTGAAATACGTCTTGGAGATCCTGACAGTGACGGGACCGGCCAGGACGCCTATCGCGCAGAGCTGGAATGCACCGTAGACGTCCATATCAACGGCACCTGGATTGTGATCATCTATGTGTGAGCATTGCAAGAAGGCCACCAGAAAGCAATAATAATCTTGGTATGATCAACTTAAAACTTACCGTCGACGTGAACCGTAGCGAGGACGATTCCGTGCAGCGCTGCCACTGCCGGGAGCAGCAGAGCAGCTGCGAGGCACGCATCTCTCAGCCACTCGGAGCCTCTTCCTAGAACGCACGCAGCTACCAAGACATAGTATCTATAAGAGAAGCAAGGCGACGTAGGCAATGTCAGTTATTTGCAGGGTTGCCAGGAGTAAGACCGACGGAGAGGAGGGGCGAAATTGCGGTGTATTGTTCCGCATGAATAATGGGAACGTACAGGTATCTCGTACCGGGGCCATACTGCCCGGAAACGGGCCAGGCACAAACTACTTGTAAGGTCTCAGCAGCAGTGCCGTTGATTGTTGTGCTGTTCAGTGGCAGTGAGGAATTGGAGACAAGGTGTAAAGGCAGAGCCGGCATTCGGGCGCATTTTCTGGTGGCGACCACTTTATTTGTCCGCCTGAGGAGAGAAGCCGACTACATTCGGGGTTGGGAAACAACAGGTGCAGATAGAAGGATATCTAGAGGTGGAGTGAGAGATGGGGCGAGAGAGACATTCCCCAGATAGTTATAGCACCATGTATGCAGGATGAGGCTTTGATGCGGCTTAAAAGAACGATCCCCAGCCAGTCAAATGCAGGGAATGAGCAAAGCCCCTCGGGTAAAGAGAAACGTGATCCCTCTTGGTCATGGTAGGCAGGGACATTGATGTAGTCTGTCAACTCGGGTGCCAGCAAAAGGAATGCCTTTCGCATTCGCACACTAAAATGCCTCCATCAGCTCTACTATACGAGTTCAGTAAGCAGTAGGCCCGAGGTGGAAACTGTAGGCACCAGGCCACCCATGCCCATCTGCATGAGCTGGCAAAACTTGGCTGGCGTGGCGCTTGGGGATTCAGCGTCAGCCCGGGCATCTCATTTGTCTTATCTGACGGGGAACAAAAGAGCTGCATCATGTAAGCCACCGGGCCCCTCATTAGGAGATCTCGTGGCCAGAAGTGACTAGCTGGAAATGCCTCGGTCGGTTCTGCCAGACATGTTCCATACATGGTAATATTTTCTGCAAATTTGGGGGCGGTGGAGCGGGAGCCAAGATGCGGAAGAACTGAAAGGCAAGTCCAATTGATCATGTCGAGAGTCGACTACGGATGCGAATGCGAATCACAATCATGAACGTGAAGGCGTGGTTGCAGCTGATGAGAACCTCGTGTGTCAGGATGTTGGTGTGAATGCATAAATGATGAGGTCCCAGATTTGGACTGTATGTCAGTCAATTGACACCCAATGATACCATCCAGGCATATGGAAAAAAAAGCAGCCTGTAGATTGTTTACGCCGATAAACAGAGAGACAAGAGAAAGACGGGTTAAAAATAACTGTAGAAACAAAATCGGCCCAAACCAAGAAATCAATTTCTTTCCCGTCACAGTAGAGCTCGAAGAGAACAGACATTTACAGGGCAGGAGTGCCTGAAATCTGCTAGACTATAACTGGGCAGCAAGGCCATTTCTGCGCTAGAGCCTGACGACCCCTAAAATCTCAGTGACTGAAAAGCCCAAGTACACAGCCCATCGAAAAGCATACTCTGCAGCGTTTTTGTTCTTCCTCCAACCAGCCAGCCCTCCTCCGCCTTCTTCATCTTGGCAAAGGCTCAGCCACACAACGACCAGCCTCCATCGAAAAACCGCCAGGACTGCCAAGATTGAATCATATGCACAACAACTTCCACGTGCAAGTCTCACTCGGCCACAGCCCATCTTAGCTGTCTTGTCTTGCTTGAGGGGTCGTCGTCTCCGAATCTCACTCCTTCTGATCTCTCACGTGCTTACCACACCGCCACCCCGCCGGGCGACGGCGCATTTCTCTCAAGACAACAGCACAAGACGTTCATGACACTCAACCGACAATAAGGGCGTCCGTCTGTCTACACGATGGGACAACCTCGACATGTCAGATACAATCAGTCTCAACGTCGATGACATTCGGTCATGGCGAAGCATCATCACACTGTAAGTGTATGCTCGTTCAGCTTCTCAGACTCTCTGTTATCTTGTTCGAGAGAAGGAGAGACGTGGACTGCCGAAAAAGAACAAAGAAAAAGGAAGAGAAAATGAACATTGCTAACCAGGAATTCTCCAGTATTGTTTTCGTTTTGACGAGTAAGTCGTCGACAACCACCGCCACCCCGCTGCTGTACCCACCTGTTCACTGCTGCGACCCCATTACTGACCTTCGCATTTTATTGCTACTTAGATCTCGTAGTGCTCTTTCCATTTCACATTCCCATCTTTGTTCCCACGGCGCTTGTGCACGGCACTTCGAACACCTTGCGCCGCCTGCGAGTAATTCCGCCCAAGCAAAAGAGCGGACCTGACAGCTGTAATGATGATGGAGCGCGAGGAGCCGGCCCTGGAGGCTCAGGCTTCTTCACACGAATGCGCTTCCCTTTGAACTTTGTTACGGCCCCGCTGATAGCAGACTTATTCTTATTGGCTATCTTAGCCATAGGCCGGGAGGAGGTCTACGACGGAACCGTGGGCTCCAACAACATCCTGCCCATCGACATCATGGTGTTCTTCCTGACACTTGCTTACATCGCCATCTCCATTGACGCTTCTGGCCTCATCAGATACCTGGCATTCAGGGTTTTGAGTTGGGGTGGTGAGGTCGGACACAGGCTGTTCTTCTACCTCTACGCGTTCTTCTTCGCCCTGGGGTCCTTCATCGGGAATGACCCGATTATCCTGTCGGGTACGGCCTTCCTGGCTTACATGACCCGCGTGTCGAGTAATATTGAGCACCCTCGAGCATGGATCCACACTCAATTCGCTGTGGCCAACATTGCTTCAGCCATCCTCGTCTCCTCGAACCCGACTAATCTCGTTCTGGCCGGTGCGTTCAACATCAAATTCATCGACTACACAGCAAACATGATCGTGCCCGTTGTCATCACCGCCATTGTGCTCTTTCCCTGTCTGCTCTACATCATATTTGCTCATGAGAGGCTCATTCCCATGAAGATCACGATGCACGAGCTGCCAGAGGACATCAGGGCCAGGCGTCCTGTCAATCCAAATATCCCTCACGCCAGGGGCCAGGCCGAGGACTGGGAGGACGGCAATCCAAACAGCGAGCAAGAACAGCTGCTCTCCCTCGAGGAAATCATGAACCCGTTTTTGGACAAGGGAGGAGCATCCTTTGGAGCCGTCATCATGACGGTCACGTTAGTGACGGTCCTGGCGCTCAACGCCGCAAGCCAGAGTACAGGCGAGCACCCTGTTTTCTGGGTGACCCTCCCCGCAGCCTTTGTCATGTTTTGCTGGGATGTGGGCTTCGGGTGGCTGCACCGACATGAGACGCGCGAGATATCTCGAAAGGGCCGCGCTGAAATCGAGACTGCCCGTGCCGAGCGACTGATGCGGGCGCAGGAGGCTGAGCGTGCTGACGCAACCGGCTGCTCTGGCTCAGGGCAGCAAGGAGAGGAAGCCTATGCCGGCGAATCGATGCACAATGTGCCGGTAGTCATCCGAGACGACCGGTCGAGAGATGATGATTCATCTAGATCGAGGAGTGCAGAGAGCAATAGCCACGACACCAAGATCATAGAGCTCGCGGAAATTCGGCCATCCAAAGAGAGCCAGATCTCGGAGAAGCCGAGTCAGACCGGAGGCGACAAAGTGTTCCCGCCGATACAACAAAAAGAACAGCGAGTCAATGGTCTTGGTGACAAAGGAGACACTCTAGGGCCAGACGCAGACGTCGAACCTGCGGTCGAAAGCAAACCTGACGCCGTAAAGCCTACCCGGTCAAAAGAACCGCAAACACTTGTATCTCTCCTTGAAGATTGGTATCAATGGTGTCAAGAGACATTTCCGACGGTCACAGCAGTGCTTGCACACCTACCATTTGCCCTGATTCCCTTTGCGCTCTCCATGTTTGTACTGGTGGAGGCACTCGTCACCAAGGGCTGGGTGCCTGTCTTTGCCTATGGTTGGGACCATTGGGTCGACAAGACGGGCACCGTCGGCGCCATCGGAGGGATGGGCTTTCTTTCCGTGATCCTGTGTAATGTGAGTCTTACTCGCTCGACGAAAGTTGTTTGAGACCACTTCTGCCTTCTTTTGATACTGATTTATCTGTGCAAAGTTTGCCGGTACAAACATCGGCACCACAATCTTGCTCTCTCGAGTAATCCAGGCCTGGGAGGAGATCCACAAGAGAAACGGCATTCCTATCTCCGACCGCAACTTCTGGGCCTCCGTCTATGCCATGGCCCTGGGCGTCAACTATGGTGCCTTCAGCACCGCCTTCAGTGCCTCTCTCGCGGGCCTTTTATGGCGCGACATCTTGGGCCGGAAACATATCCACGTGCGGCGCCTCGAATTTGCTAATGTCAACTTGCCTATCATTGCTATCGCCATGACTATCGGCTGTGCGGTTCTGGTTGGGGAGGTGTACATTTATAGGAGTGACACGCGGCCTTACAGCTTGGGCTAAGGCTTTGTGGTTGAATATTCTGTGGGTTTTCCAAGCGAGCGATGTTATTCATCATTACTCCAGCGCAGCATAGAGATGAATGATAAAGTATAGACGATTTCCTCTCCGTCTCATTTCGATCCTACAGACCCTCTTGTGATGATAGAGTGTGGATGCTTCCAAAGCAGGGTTCATCTGACACTTGAGTAGATGGATTTGCCATGACATTTGTCGACACTGATTTAGGTAGGTTTTGGCGACAAATTGAACTGTCAATGACTCTGGGCTTTTTCGCTAGAACGAGTTCCGAATTGTCAAACTGGAAGTAAGTTTTAATGAGGCACCTGCAATCCAGAGTAATTTGGTCTTGGCACTTCAGCAGTAGATTGGCCTCGCTCAGAACCACCCTGACCTATCTTGATCCATCGTGAACTGGTCCGTGACCAGGACGGTACCCTCCATAACCTTCCTCCTACGACGTGGTGATAGTGTTTTTGGCTACAGTAATCACGTAACTTCCACTCTGGCTCAGGAGAAAATCGCAGCACATCCCGTTCTCATGCCATTCGGGTTGTAGGACTGCCATGTCTTCCTCTTGAAACGGGAACTGCAAAATAAGAATACCAAGGCGATGCTATGCAGAAAGACCTTCATTTATCCTGTGTAGTATTTCTGGCGTTGAGTAGTGGAGGCAGATGAAATGTGAATATTGACGAATTTATTGCAGCCAATTAGTGGACTGATTGCATTGATTGCATTACACAATATTTAGAGACTGTCAAATCAACAGAAGCAACTGACTCTGCCGAGCCTCGTCGGATCTAAGAGTAGGAATATAACGATGCCAAGGTAAGAAATCCCAGGCTTGTCTAACAGCAATAAGCAACCGGTGAGTATCTCCAGATTCAAGTTTTGGGTGTGGTCAGTTTGTTGGTTCTTAACGACCTTTCCTTGGATCGAAGGATCAGCAGTCATTGTGGGAATGGGCACTCATGAAGTCAGGATACATCCCCCAAACATATAATTGACTCCTAAGCACAATGAGCACCAGTATACTCATGTTTTCCATGCCTACTTTGATAACAAGACAAGGATATGCAGTGATTGTATGCAGCTGGGAACAAGATGCTAGGTTTTGTCCTCGTTTCTTGGCTTCTTAATCTTGGCTGCTTCCACTGCTGAGAATGTTAGTTACTCGTTCATTTCTAGAGCTTATGATAGGCTTGAAAGGGTAAAAGGAATAATTGAGAAATTGGCGCAGTTGACTCAGGATTTACTGCAATAAACGGCGCGATTGCTTTGATGCTCAGTATTGCGTGTCTGTCATGGTTTATTCATTCGTGTTCTTCAACAAAGTTCTGTTCAAATTGTATCTCGAAGAACACTATAGGCCGTGCAACCTTAAGGTCTTCACGGACCGTTTAAGGGCAGAACGCCCTCGACACATCCCTAAGATGTTCAATTCTATTAGACGATATGCGAGCAGAAACGAAGCTATTGTATATATGAGTGCCGTCCCAGAATTGTAGACTCCAAACGTCAGTGCTTCTGATATGTCTTAAAGCGGAATTTACACTGAGTCGCAGATCAAATTGGCTCGTGGAAGTTGAGAAAAGTTCTGTCTTGAGATCCGGAGAACCACAAGTCTTCATACACAGAACTGTAGTCAGATACTGCGCGAGCAGAATGCTTTAATCTCAATACTGTTTGTCAGGACGCTGCCTAAAAGATGCTCTTCGAATTGACTTTTTGATTATGGCTCAGAGCAGCGTACATCCATGGATATGGACAGATGATTGGAGGAAAAACGTCAACCTATGCGTAGCCCTAAGAGAGAAAACAACTCATGTCTCCATCTACATACATACATTATCTATTACATTCTCAAGTCTCGTATCCTATCATACCTTCAAATTCAAAGAAGCGCGGGTAGCTACGCCATGAGCAGGATGGCAACACAGCCGCAATGAGGCTGGTGGGAACCAATTGGCTGGACCTGACCTGCTCAGCTGGTTGTTCAGTTTCAAGGATGATACCCCTGCGGCCAGCCTCCTCAGCTGCGGACACTAACCTGTCTCGTCCATGATATGCCGTGATTTATTACCTTGACTATTTTGCTGGGAGACGTTTATCACTATTACTACTCATATTTCTTACGAGTACTTCGGAAACGGCAGGCAATCTGAGCCGATCTTTGTCGGACCGAGTACTGGTGGAGTCTCAAATTCCAGGAGCCTGGATAGCAGTATGAGATGTGTTATTATCACAAGACATTTCTTCGATCCAAGCTGAGATCGAGCAACAGACGAGACGACTTCGTCACATTCGCAGGACTCGTTTAGCAATCCACTGCATGAGCAAACGGGGCAGACATGGGCAGTAATGATCTCCCGACACGACTCGAGGAATGAGTTCTCACTCCCCAGTCCGACGTCCCGCAGGCTGCAGCACATTCGTCAACCATATGCACTACTACCCTAACGCGTAATTACCCAAGGCTTTGTCTCCACTAGGGAAAATAAATTGCCCTCCGCGGAGGAACACAACCCAACATTGCCTAAATCAGTGAGCATCTGGATGATGGGAAGTATTGCATGTTACAAAATTCTAACGGACCGGTCTGAGTGCTTGCCACATTCTACTGAATAGCGGTAAAACTAGCTGCACATCAGATTTTCTATGAGGCTTTCACGAGAAGATCTTGACCAAAGCTTATATTCCTTAGTATGTGAGGCGTCCTATAGAGGATTACGGCTTCCCGCCCATCCGGATGATCTGCACTCACTTCTCATCTTTGGTTCGTCGAGGTGAACAGCATCTTGCAGCGGCATAGTGGTCCCGGTTTCCGCACTACGTGCATATGCATCCGCCCCCAACTCTCAACGAAACGAAAGTCTTCAGCTCCCGCCTTCCCCCCCCCCCCCCACCCATTCGCCCCCCAGACAACGAGACCAGTTCTCCTTTTACAATTAGCCCTGCTGCTTAAAGCGGATTGACTACGTCTAGCAGTTGCGGTCCTGACGGGACGGGAGATTTCAAACACTATTAGGCGGGGGGCGCAGCTCGGAAGTCCTGGAAGCCGGGAGAGTTCCGAGCAAATAAATGGCTCGCTTAATAGCGTTGATAATAGTCAGTAAAGGCTACATGATACGTCTGGGGGCTTCTTTACAATTCAGGAACCTTTTCAGCGCCGGAAAGTTCCAGAGTCAACTCCGAACAAGGGTTGAGCAAGTTGTTTCGATGATGCTCAGGTGATGGATAAGGTTAGCAACAGTTGCAAATGCACTTTTGACATTTTCAGCTATCGATCTCAGATCCAAGGCCGATAATAAGCTTGTTCACAGACACACACTCATGAGGCAACATATTTAAGGTGTTTGACCGGTCTGCAGGTTGCAAACTAAAGGCCACTTGCGTTGCCAAGCTTTCCATAGACAAATTTTCACAACCTGTGACGATGGATCTTTTGTGACAGCACAAACGTTCATATTTTCTCTCCAGGCACAATCACGGTCTGCAACAGCTGAGGTGCTTTTTGGATAAATCGGGTACCGAAACTCCATCGAGACTAAACCTAGGAATCATCAGTGTTCCTTAGTGGCGGATAAAATGCCATCTCGATTGTTGTCCTAAAGGACAGCTGAGAATGTTTCTGTCTTGCCATCGATGTCAGCCAAGGCTCTAGGACAAAATGCAACCGTTCTCACTATTACTATAGAATGCTTAGCGACTGGCAAACATTGGGACGGAAGGCACTGGAACGGTGACTTGAAGCACAGACGTAAGTAATTTTAGATTGAAAGGGGCTCCGTATCAGGAATTGATCTTGTCGAAAAGTAACATTACCCTCAACCAGAAATCTCGCTACGTTGGTCTCTGTGCAACAATTGAAGGCAGACACGAGGCAGGGCTCCATTCCGTATTGCATGTTACATGCAGTTCCCTTATCTGGCTTTCCTGGTTTCAAGGTTGTTCGTATGAACGACTTCGCTGCCGTGTCACATCCCATCCATCCATCCACACACACACACGCGCGCAGGCGCGCCGCAAGATGACGATTTTCAACCCGCATGAGACTTCTGCTCCATGAGGCCAATGTCTGATATCTCGGATCATCTTTCGCACCTTTCGTATTACTCTAGCGGCCACCATCAAAATTTCAGGACAAGATTCGGGTAGGCTCGGGTAACCAACTGGTATGTGGCTGAACTGACTGCCAATCGCACAATAGGATACGGTCCGTAAGACCGAAGGGGGCAAGATGATGGTGACGATGGCAATAACAGCACATTTTTCTTCAAGCACCACTTTTTGAGGTTTTTTTTTTTTTTGTAGCTCAAGAGTGGCTACACGTGTTTCTACGAGAACCACTTTTCTGTCTTCCTTCTGCACAAGAGTGGCCCCAAAGTGTGATGGCTTCCGAGAACTTGCAACCTCACATTGGGCCTCAAAACAACGCAGAGGTACTTTTAACAAAAATAGAGGAGACCCGGAAACGCCTGTCATCCAAATGTTGGGAGCTGAAGGGATCTATCCTATGAGTGTGTCTCGTTCTTGATTTGGTCAGCCGTCCTCCTAAAGGACCGTTGTCGTTCTATTCATTGTGATGGCTGTTGGGACTATGACTAGGGCAACAACTGATGGTCTGCCCATGTCTGGTGACATGAAAAATTATTCAGCCCGGTGTTTGACCAGATTGACTCCGAGAAAATCGATGCCAAGAACACGAGAATCTGCAATACATCGGCCTGGTCATCATGAGATTGATCATCAGACATGCCATCCAATGTAGTTCTCAACAATGCCCCAGCCCATCAGATGCTACCCAAACTTCGATATCCGCTCCACCACGCCTGGAGCCTAAAGCAACTTTCCACAAATCTCGTGCCCAATGATAAGCCACCGCGTCAGAGGGTAATTCTACCGGTCGCGATATCCTGATTCAGTTGTTGTTGAGGGAGGGGACTCGTCGAACAGCAGAGTTCACTAGAGCATCATTGTGCATGAGCTGGCTCGAAGGAGAAGTGGAAGAGGAGCTGTCGTCTGGAGTAGGAACCCCGGCAGCGGGCCGCCTTCTTCTCCACCAGTTCCACTATCCTATCTATGTCTACAGGCCGAGATGCGACGTCGTATCTTGCTGAGGAATCCTATCACGGGCTGTTTTCGGTCGGAAGGCGGCAAGCTGACAGCTAGTTGGGTCCTGAGGCAAGGATGGCGAGGGAGGATGGCCCACAGATGGCTGGGCCGAAGTTTAAAAGAAAAGCAAGTATATTAGCCCACTTTTGAGTCAATAAGGATGCGGTGCAGCCGCACAAGTGGTACAAGGCTCTCGGAGGGCCATATTAATAGGACACCATGAGGGCCATGCACGTAACAAAGCGAGCCGGCTTTTTGGGAACCAGGGTATACTTACTTCTTCCGAGAGCTTATTTTCACCAAGACAATCAGGATATTTCTCCCCATACCTTCAAAATCCCTGACACATTCAATCATTAAACATATGAATTCGGAAAGAGAGAAAAAAACAGAAGGCCAGAAAAGGTAGTGCAACAAAAGTCTTTTGTTGCTTGTGAAAATGAAATAACGTCACATTCACCCTCCCACACCACTTCTCACTTGGCCTTCAGCTCAGACTAGTATACTTGTAAGCAAGGGTCTCTCGAAGGGGGAATGCGCCGCCAAGCGGCGAACTCGGATCGGCCAACGCCGCCTTTCAAAACGTCCAATGCAACCAGCTTAGCGACGGGTCGACTGCATATGACACTAGATTGACAGGCACAAGCGTAAATGTCTCCATAGAGTCGGTGCCCGCCACTGGCGTTGTACTGGACAATACTACCACCCCACCACGCACCCGCAGTCGACGGAACGGGAGGAGGATGCCCACATCCCCAACGTCCGAGTAACCTGTCACAATCAACAGAGAGGACAGACAAGACGAGCTACAGGCGGGTAGCTGCAATTTGTGGCTTCAGCAGCTGGGTCTAGAATTACCAGGGGAGCATCAACCGATTTGATTGCTTTTCCTCCTCTCATTTTCGTGGCAATATCATCGCCTCCGCTTGTACTTGCCCCGAGCAACGCCTCGTCCTCCTGGTGCTGCGATGAGTGTGGATGAGCTGGACAATGCAAGTAAGCGCCCGGACACCACCGCGTGGATCGAGTCCTACAGCCCTAAAGGTATTTACTATCAACTTGGCTAAAATATACTGTTGTATGAAGAGGCCACCGACGTCATGACTTCAAATTTCGGAAAATCTCGTGCAGGCGAGCCTCTAGCGAGAAGGATCTCCCAGCTCTCTGCCTGCCAGAGACAGTTGTTCGTGCAGAAATGCAACCTCACACCGCTCCCTTGAGATACTATGCTGGAGCAACAAGGCCACCTCGGCGCCCAACATACCGCGAGAGGCGGTTGATTTTCTCTTGAGATTTTCTCTCTTGACGAAGAACACGTCTAGACGAGTGAGGTTTTCGTGGAGAAACTCAAGCAACGGGAAGCCTGATAAGCCTCAAGCGCCGCTTCGTCATACAAGTAAGAGGGGAGTGCTCGAGGCTGAAGGGACATAGACTGGTTGACAATGCACATCACTAAGATCCTGTAACACAAGAAAAACCAGATTCGAGTGTATTCAACAAACACGAGGACCGGGGAGGCGTCTGGACCAGGCTCATGGTATGGCTGTGTCGATCCACTTCCCTCCTTGGGAACATAGCCTGCAGCTTTTGATGATGTCGGAAGGCAAAGTGTGGTCAGCTGCAGACTAATCTGCAGTCTGAACCTTGCCTTCCAGCATGATGACGATCCTTCCCTATCTTTCCAGTCCCTCCAGAGTCCGATGCGACATTGGGGCTTGGTAAACATGGAGCTGGGGGAGATTCAGCCTGCGTGGAGCCTCCTAGTGGTTGACGAGCGTCCAGAATCGATCAGGATTCGTACGGGCGGAGGCATCCAGCTGGTGAGGTCGACAGTGATGGCAGACGACCTTGGTGTGGTCCATTCCAGGCCTCGAGACAGGACCAGAGAAGCGGCCAAAAAGTATAAAGAGCGGTCTCTTCTCCCGTAATGAAGGTTTTACTCCTCCTTCTTCATCATCGACAACAAGAATCTTCGCAGCTACCTTTGCTACAGTCCATCTTCTCAATTCCGTAACTTGCAAAGTCTTCGGGTCATTTCCCTCCAAACTTCAATCAAAATGCAGTTCTCCATCATTGCCATCTCCTTCCTTGCCTCCCTCGCTATGGCCTCGCCTGCCAAGCGCGGCGGTGGTGGTGGCGGCTCTGGCTCTGGCTCTGGCTCTGGCTCTGGCTCTGGCTCCGGAGGCGGCTCCACGACCTACACCGCTTGCAGCTCCACTCTGTACAGCGAGGCTCAGTGCTGTGCCACCGACGTCCTCGGCGTTGCTGACCTGGACTGCGAGACTGGTAAGTACTCATCCCCTCCTACTCCTCATCCTCCTCCTCTCTCCTGCACCATTCCATCCGTTCAGGAGAGACCCAATGTGTGCTTTCTTTCGAATATGTCCTCGAGCCACAGAAGCTGACGGCCATCTGTTTTAATAGTTCCCGAGACCCCCACCAGCGCATCAAGCTTCGAGTCTATCTGCGCCACGTCCGGCAGAGATGCCAAGTGCTGCACGATTCCTCTCGTAAGTTCCCCTTGTCCTGAAGTGATGGCAATGGCGATAAAAGGTGCTGACGCCCGATGCAGCTCGGCCAGGCTCTCCTCTGCCAGGACCCAGTTGGTCTGTAAGGGGATTCCGAAGTCTGATAGCAGATCGACCGTGCCCAAGCCCAGGCTCGCAGGTGGCACTTGCAAAAGTTGAGGTTGAGATGCTTCGGAGTTGATTAGACACACGTAGCAAAGGTGAAGGGATTGGGCCCTTTGATGCGAACTGCCACTCCTTTTTTAATGTCTTTTTGTCTTCACATCAAAGTGTAATAATTTGGCCCATCCTTTCTTGCTCTTTTATTCATAGTTAGCTGGCGCCGTTATTAGCAATCCATTGAGCTCAATGCATGCGTGGCTTGACGTTGCAAATCTAGTGACATGCTCTCCCGACCCGGTGATGCTCAAATGATCAGCACTTTTCCGTGTTGACTTTGTATGTCTTCGGTTTGGCGTTGCATCCAGCGATTGGGGTACCATCGTCCTACCATGGTCCTTGCCATGCCGTAGGCTTTGATTTAGGTTGATGTCATGGCGGTGGGCACGGTAAAGATGGGGCGTCTCGGCGAAGGCAATGGACATGTAGAACCTGACTACAGCTCAATCATGCTTTGGCGGTGGCTCAGGATGCGTGAGAAGACTCAGAATAATGTTCCAGCAGAACCCGACGCACACCGAGACCAACTGCCGCTTCTCCACCGGCACGAGGACGAAATTGAGGACCATAACCCACGGCCAGATAGCCCAACTGGCGTAAATCAGGGTGAATATTTTCGATCTCCAGATTACCGCAATCTCCGCGAGGTGCTGCACACGGAAAAAATTGGTCCAGGTCAGGAAGATGGACAGGAAGCAGAACATGCCCACTGTCTGGTCCAGCACGAGCTTGGCAACGATGTTCCGCCAAATGACTCCCTGCCTCGACTGATTCAGCGACTCCAGAAGGTTGAATGAGGCTCCCTCCGTGCTTAGTCGGCTTTCTTCGTCGTCATGAGCCTTCTCCTTGGCTGAGACATTCAAGACGCTGTCGACGGGCCGGCGGCTAGGAAACAGGCGCTCTAGCAAGATGTGCCAGAAGAAACCCAGCTGGGCCTGAAAGAAACCGTAGAGAGCGAACTCGACAATACGCTGTCGATCGAATGGCGGTGGGGTCGGATCCTGTGAATGCCATCTTGCAACAAGCTGCGCGGTGATATTTGCAGCACCTTTGAGGAAGAAAGCCCTGACTGCGGTCGAAAGGAGTGGGCCCATGATCTGGCCTAACCTGGCGCCGCTATAACGACAGCGGGATAATCAATTGCTATGTCAAGATAGCCCAGGTCAGAGCATCTATTGTCGCAGTGATGTTGCACGCAAGATGCCTGTTGGAGAGGTGTTGAAGCCTGGATGGGAAGACGTCGTTGTAATTTGGCTGGTTTTGGGGACACGTTGCTGGCAATTCGATCTGCCTCACCTCATTTCAGAAACTCGGCATGACCGAGGTGAGTTGCGGAGGAGCAGGGTTAGGGTCTGGGTCAATGCATTGTAAAGACTGTCGTTTGAATGTGGAATTCCACGAAATTAAGTATCGTGTTTGTAGACTTGCGAAACAGATGAGTCGAATATGAGCCTCAAGTCTCTGGTAAGGCTGATATAAAGGGGCAAAAGAAGGCGCTTTCTGAGACAATCGTTACACTTGACCTTCCTCTTTGACTAACTACTATGGTACTTCCTAGTCGGTCGAGAACCTGCCGTGGTCGCAACTGCACCATAGTAGTTTTCTCTAAAAAAAATGATTATGTCAGCATTCTGACCCCTGTATCCCTGTTGTGGTAGGCACGATGGGATGGTAGGGTTTGCCCCCTGCAATAATCCCGACGTCATAGGCGTTTCCTGGTGCTCGTCCATATAGGACGCTCACTCCTCCCCTAGACTGGCCGCCGCCAACAAACATAAACTTGTTGACACTTACTCTACTCCTCTATACCGCCCTCGTCACGGCCGCTGTGTGAAACTGGGACTACGTCCCAATTCTTACATCATGGCCAGCATCATGGAGTGCCTAGGTGTATTCTGCTGGTGCCTTCCCTGCTTCGGCCCACTCGCAGAGGATGAGGACCGCGAGCCGTTGCTCCCACAGTACCTCGATGACACGGTGCTGCAGAGGGAGCTTCACCAGAAACTCCATACCTATCAGATGCTGCGTGCGCTCACACAGGGCTCCATGCCATCAAATGAGCAGGCCATCATCAATCTGAGGACTCTGCTAGCCTCAGATGTTCTCAACGTGGACAACGCCGAGCTCAGTGACTCGGGCAGAGCCCTCATACACTACACCAAGCTGTGGCTCAAGCAGTTTATGGATCTGTTACAACACAAGAACGGGAATGACCAGATCCAAGACTTCATTTGGTATTTGACCAAGGCACGCGTGTCTGTCGACATGGAGGATATTGTACATAGAACTTCCAAGGCGACTTCGAAGGCGCAGACAGCTGCTGGTCAGTGTTGAGATACATCTCGTGCATCTTGCAATCTGGATACTGACACATTCCATAGCCTATCAGAGCCTTCAGACAGTCGGCTCCCTCTTATTGACAAACTCGGATTTCCGCCTCTTTCTGGCCGATCTCAGTACTATTGGGAGGGAAGTCTTCCGGGACACGGCTTTCACTCTCTCTGAAGTATCTCAGCAGGCTGCCCACCGCCTGGAGCCTTCCAAGCAGCAGCAACAGGCCCTGAGAGAGCCAGGTACTGATGGAGAGACTGTCCCGAGCGCGGGTGAGCTCGGAGGAGACGTGACAGATGTCGCCAAAGTCGTGGTCGAGGGTGCTGCTGAAGTGGCCCAGGAGGCCGAGCACAGCTTCGTCGAAAAAATCACAGGAGACGAGAAGACGACCCTCCTCTACCGTCTCAAGGAGGCAGTGACAAAGCTCAGGAAGCGACAAGATTACTCTGAATCTGTGTCGACGATAGCGAAACTATTGCAGCGCTATGCTCTTGTGTATTCACATGTCGTTCAAGAGACGGCATCTGTAGCAGAGCGTGACATCGACACGAATTCGGAGATGGATAAGGCAGTCAAGAACTTTTGGGCGTTCGTCAAGTCCTTTGGGGATTCTGCCGAGTGGCAGGAGCTGGAGCGCAGATTCAACCAGGTGCTCGATCATGGCAAGATTGACCCTCAGTTTGACAAGCTGGTTCAGCAAGCCGGAAATGCCTTACAAGAGATGTTGACCGATCCTGGGTTTTTCGAACACGCGGAACAGAGGTTCCAGGACCTAAGGGCACAGTCAAGCCAGCTTGCTTCCGACTCGTCACTCCGCGACGACATTGACGGCCTGCTCGCTAAACTGCAGTCTACGATCAAGTCTGTCCTCCGCGACGTTGATATTTCTAAGCTGATGCAAACATCGACCTACATAGCCAAGATCCTATCTCCGGCACATCAGTATACAAACACCGAGCTGGTGACCGACGCCATGCACCATTTCATCCCGAAACTGATCGAGTCGATCCAGTACGTGCCAATACCAAGGGTCGAGGTCTCCACCCCCGAGGTCGACCTTCTTCTCGAAAACATCATTCTGGAGCCTGGCGTCACCATCAACAGCACGTCTTTCCTCCCGTACCGTCTCCGAGTTGAAACCCGCAACGATCTCGAAATCCGCAAAGCGCGAACGAGGACGACCTCCAGCCTTGAGTCCCTCGTTACTGTCAAGGTCGATGGCATGTCCATCCGTGCCCAAGAGATAGGCTACTGGATACGCGCACACTCGGGGTTGCTTCAGCTTGCTGATGAAGGCATTGCTTCATTCGAGCTAGACGAGAGGGGCATCGACGTCGAGATAGACATCGAGGTCGCAAAAGAACGGATGGAGAGCATTATTTCTCTCAAGGCCGTCCGCGTTCACATTCACAAGCTCGACTACACCTTGCGCAAGTCCAAATTCGCACTCGCCGCCACTTTATTCAAACCCATGATCATACCTATGGTTCGATCAGCTATCGAATCACAAATGTCCACCGCCATAGCTGATCTGGTCCACTTTGCGAATAGGGAGCTGCTGTACGCACGGGAGAGGCTGCGGGCCACGCGTATCGCCGATCCGGATGACCTCTGGACCTTTATCAAGGCTGTGTCGGCTCGCCTGGTACCAGAAGAGGATCCAGACCTCTACACACGAGTGGGCATCACCGCGCCCGGCAGCGGGGTGTTCAAAGGAGTCTACGCTCCCGGAAGCATTGTCAAGGTCTGGAATGAGGAAGCCATCCAGGCGATGCAGAGGATTCGGGAAGGAGAGGACGTCGGGTGGAGAAATGACATTTTTGATGTCGTAACGAGTCATCTGTGATCACGAACACGTTTGTTTAGGGAGCCCGTATACCTGTGCTGTGGCTGTTGGGGGTGGATTTCTTTTTTGTGGGCCTCACTGCATAATGAAGGCCAGATGATAGCATAGGGTTCAAGGGGAGGACAAAACATAGGCAGGTCATAATCAGTACCCTTTCACTCTCGAAGCATCGGATTGAGAAGGAGTCAAACAACAACCTTGGAATCAAGACTGGACCTCTTCTGTTCTCGGACTTCCCGAGTTTTGCCGCTTTAATGTCACGTTGTTTGCCGCTGCATGAGTGAGGTACGGCGCCAGTATAACAGATTCACAGAGACCACATTGGGAAAAGCCTCTCAACTCAAGCAGCTCATGCCGTCCACCCTCGTGCGATGCGAATGCGATAGTACCAGGGACTCCCTCGTATGGTTCGGCTCGGACCCACGTCCCTTCGTCCACTATCCGTCGCTCCATTTAGTCGACCTTCTAGAAGACTTCGGGCATGGTTGCTCGGCACCGCTCCGAGTGCCCACGATGTACATACTTGGATAGGAGATCTTTGCCCGACCCGGTACGGGCCCACACCTACTCCGTACGGATTACAGCCGACGACAGATCTCAGAATACCAGCTAGCCGGATTTCCGAAATGCGACCTCAGTCCTTGCGCAAGACCTGGCCCGCAAGACCGGAGCACCCTGGTGTTACCCTTTACATTGATTGTGACCAGAGCTCCTCCCACCCTCCATGAGAGCGTGTGTCTCAGGTCAGGCCCTCGATCTGCGTTGCTCCAAAAAGTTGGACGACAGACCGTTGCATCGAGCAACAAGTGTCATGCAATCCCTTGACCAGAAGAAGAACTTGACCGAGGTCCTCGCCATGCACTTGCCAACAGCCTCGGCAACAAATTGTTTTCATTCTTGGATGAATCCGGACCACCTCAGCCCTACATGGAAGGTTACCAAGGTAAGCGAAGGCAATAAACACGTACGCATATTCTTGGGTGCAAACGGACACTGGTACGAAATCTCCGGAACCTCAGATCATTGCCTGCGTTTCCTGCCATGTGCCACCTTGAGCTTCCGTGTAGGGTGCGTGTGGGCAAGCACACGTGGCATGCAGGGTGGATCAGCGCGCCGCTTGAGGGAGCTGTTGTCAACAGCTGAAGGGCAAGCAGAGACTTCCAAGACATAATTTGTGACAGACTATATGTCAATGACGAGCCTCGTTTTTTCTGGGGAGCCTTGAGACACCTTCCGAATACAGGAAACCTAGGGGTGTATTGCAGGGCATCGTGCATCCTAGGCCCGCTTTCGCAGCGCGCGTGGCTTTCGAGGGTGCATCGGGTTCCGATTCGGTTCAACCACCATCCACTCCACATGTTGCATGCACAAGTTGTCCCAAATAGGCAAATGTTTGTCAGTCATGGCGCCGACGATTCATCTTGCAGAGTGGGCTAAAAGAAAAGAAAAAGAGAAGAAGAAGAAGAAGGGAAAAAAAGAAGACAAAAGAGTCCCCTGGTACTGTATAAAATCCCCGCAGGATCCCTCCTATGTATTTCACATTTACCCTGACGGATTTTCCACCTCTCAACCCGACCTTTCCACCCGCCGCCCTTGTTGCATTCCCTCCCTCTCCGGCCCTTGATAATCCGTCTCCTCGACCAGACAACAGCCCTTCTTGCCAAGTCTTCCAAGGGCAGAGGAACGGAGAAAAGAAAAAGCATCATGGCCTTGTTGAACCTCGCTAGGACGCTGGCGCTCGTCAGCCTCGTCGCCAATGCTGCCCTGGCTGCCGTGACCCAGCGAGCCACCACCCAGCCGCTTCCACCCAGCGAGGATCCCTGGTACACTGCGCCCGACGGCTATGAGGACGCCGCACCTGGAGAGATCCTCCGCAACCGGACTGCCCCAGGAAATCTGGTGTCCGTTGTTGGATCCAACTGCTCCGCGGCATACAACCTCCTCTACCGCACGACGGCAAGCCAGGGCAATGTCACCTTCGCCGTGACCACCGTGCTGGTGCCCCAGAGCGATGTGGCGACCAACGCCGTCCTCTCCTACCAGATCCCCTACGACTCGGCCTGGATCGACGCCAGTCCCAGCTACGCCCTGTACGAGAGCGTCCCCTCGGACATCAAGATCGCCCTGGGCAAGGGCTACTTTGTCATCGTGCCAGACTACGAGGGACCCCTCGCGAGCTTCACCGCTGGCCACATGTCTGGGTACGCCACGCTGGACAACGTTCGTGCGGCCCTGAACGCTGCCGACCTGTACGATCTGCCTGACGACCCTTACTATGCGGTCTGGGGCTACTCGGGCGGCGCCCTGGCCTCCGAGTGGGCTGCGGAGCTGCAGCTGGACTATGCTCCTGAGCTGGACTTTGCCGGTGCCGCGCTGGGCGGGCTCACTCCTAATGTGACCAGCGTGCTCCTCCAAATCAACGCGAAAATCTCTGCTGGCCTTGCTCCGGTAAGAAGAAGAAGATAACGGCAGAAGAAGCCTTTCCTCTTCTCTTCTCTTTCTTTTTTTCCCTTCTCTTTCTCCCATGGCATATCTCAAAGTTGCCTGCTGACTCTGACAAACTCCCCTCAGCCCGCCATCCTTGGTCTCCTGAGCCAGTGGCCCGCAACCCAGGACTATGTCTTCTCCCAGTTCACCACCAACACCAAGGGCATCTACACCGAGGCCAACTTCATGGCGGCCGAGAACTACACCCTCTCGGACGACGAGTCGTCCTACGAGCTCCAGGACATCTTCCTCTACTTCCAGAACGGCGAGGAGGTCCTGACCGGCGCCGAGGTCTCGGCCGTCGTCGACCAGGACGGCGTCATGGGCCTCCACGGCGTGCCGCAGATGCCCGTCTTCGCGTACAAGGCCATCCAGGACCAGATCAGCCCCATCGCCGACACCGACGCCCTGATCGCACAGTACTGTGCCGCCGGCGCCAACATCCTGTACGAGCGCAACACCGTCGGCACCCACGGCAGCGAGGCGCTCTACGGCGACCCCGCTGCTACCGCCTGGCTGGATGCTGTGCTCACGGGCACGTACGCCGAGACGTATAGCACCACCGGGTGCACTATTGAGAACGTCACTGTCCAGACGTCCCGGTCTTTTGATAGTGACACGCGCAGGGCTCGGGGTTCGAGGTTGTTATTCGAATAGACCGCCGGGAAGACTTGTCTCTGTGAAAATGGCAGTGAACGTTGGAGGGGGGGTGTGAGAAGGGCAGGCACACACCACAAAAAAAAAAAAAAAAAAGTTTTCTTGTTCTTACATCTTCTCTGGACATATTTGAATGCACAAAAGAAGCGCATTTAGCATCATAGCATAACCTCACTTGAGCATTTCATGGCATATAAAAAAGGGAAACGTTATGGCAATTCCATCAATAAATAGAGACTACAAAACATCAAAAGTGTTCATGAGTATAGAACCGTCAGAAAGTCTGTGACAACGATCAAGATCATTTCTTTGCTGTCAGCGCTTTAGCTGTGGTGGAGTTTCTTGAGCAGTCGATCTCATTATTAAGACATGGATACATGGAATAGTTCTTTGTAAGATCAACCACTAGAAATCGGCCACATTTAGATATAGCTACCAGGCACCACAACATACAAAGTGTATTTTATAGATCTCTTCTTCCAAAGAGTGTAACTAATCTAAGCCTGTATTCTCAACTCCTTATAAGGTATGACGGTCACTGGAGCAATCAGACCATACGGCTGCCCTCCATACTTGGTAGAATACTCAGCCTCTTCCCAAGACTGCGTAACATTTACCTGGAGAAGCCTGTTCCTCAGCGTCGAGGGCGCCTCGATTCTGATAGAATTAGTCCCTCGGACCAAGTACGAGCCAATATCGACAAAAGCGTTCGTGACATCCACAGGTCCCGTCCACTGGTCATTCACAAACACTCTGACAGCATTCAGTACCGGTCCAAGGTTGAGAAAGGCCCCAGCAGTGACGTTGGTCGGAGTCCACGCAAATTGCGCCGTATATGTGCCGATGCCCGATGTGTTCTGCAGACCAGTGATGTTGTACCAGGGGATGAGCTCCTCCAGGGTAAGGTGGTGAAACGTGAACACAGACGAGTAATTCGTCCAGGGCTCAGGCCCTGGTTGCCAATCCTGCACGGTGAGGTTCCAGGGGCCAATGTCGAAAGGCGGAGACAAAGAGGAGGAAGAGGAGGAGGCGGTACTGCTGAATGTCAGATTCCGGCCGTCGCTGAGATTGATGGACTGCGAGGAGTTGCGGCTCGATTTGGCAATGAGATAGTCTCCATCGGAAGAGGAGTTAAAAAACTCGACATCCGATTGGATGACGTGGACAGCTGGAACCGTGACGTCTGCGAAGAAACCCTCAGGCGCAAAAGCGACGATGGTGCTTTGATTGGACTTGAGATCAAACCACAGGTTGAAGCGTCCACCCGTCGTGGTGTAATTTAGGATCGGGCTGATGGTGCCCTTCCACGCGTCGAGGGCATATGGGATTCCGCTTCCTCTGAGGGAGGCTTCGGTGGCATGGCTGGCGTTGAGATCGGAGTTATAGACCCAGTAGTAATCAACTACATTTTCAGCATCCCACCTGTGCGTGTATAGAATGGGACATGGAGACAAATTCTCCGCGGCAGGCGAGATATCAAGTTCTTTGAGGGCCCCGACGACGTCGGCCTCCGAGCTGAGGTTCTTCACGGTTGAGTATGTAAGTAACTTCTGCACATCTTGCTTGATTTGCAGATCGGCTGCAGCCGAGTAGTAGGGGCTGGTCTCTGGCACACCGCCCACGAAAAGGATCGCAAAGCCCTGCTCGGCGTATTCGAGAAGTCGTGTCACAGCACCGGTGGTGATATTCGTGGAGTTGTCGACGATAAATGCCGAAAATGCTGGACCATCCTCTGCCAATGTTCCGTTTGTGATAATAGCGTTGTCCTGGCCAATTTTTCTGATGATTAGTGATTCCGTTACTCTCGATACTTGGATGATATCATAGCGACGGCCACACTTACTCTCGTGAGCAACGAAGGGCTGACGGATACATATGAATATCCGGCATCCTGTAGTGATCGATCGCCAAAGATATTTTCACCCATTCCGTAATGCTTGATGTCGACGGAGAGGTACTTGTGCCTGTATATCCCAACATCGACCCGGGGCACTCCAGTCTGCAAAATCAACTGTGTCCTCGCGATCCAGTCCGCCATCTCCCGCACATACGCCCAGCTGGGCTGTCTCGGCCCCCACATCTCGCTGTACGTCCACTCAAATGTAGTGAGGCCGGGCCACTCGACCTCAGGCCGGTACCCAGAGTACGGGAATCCGTGCGTAACGATCCTGTTGACCCCGCCAGCATAATTGATGGCGCAGTCGTTGAGAATCAGCGGCCACGTTGCCGCGTACGCGAAGTACCGGTGGGCCCCCAGCTCAGAGCTGAAGATCTGCTTCTGGCCCATCATCGCACCTCCGCCCATGGCCCTGAAGGCGTCGATCACGCCATCGAAGTAGTTGGACTCGGTCTCGGGAGCGTCGATGTGTGCAGCGGCGCTGACCATGTCCCACGGCGGTGCGAGGATGGGTGCTGTTGCGTATGGCTGGAGGCTGCCCTGTAGGCCCCATTTTGAGGACCAGATGGACAGACCTTCCAGGTGGTATGTCTCGTACAGCTCCTGGAGGGCCTGATAGAAGTCATTCCGAACCTTCCAGTCAATAGCCGTGCCGTTCACGCGCCCGCTATCGAAGGAGAAGTAGAAGTACGCGTCCGCCAGCGTGCTGGGAGGTAAGTCCGTTGTACCAAACAGGATAGGCAGGAATGGGACGAGGTCATAACCTCGAGATTGATTGAAGAAGTTGAGGAAGCCGTCTGTCCAGAACAGGGTGGCTGTGAACTCGGCTGAGTCCTCCCATGCGTACAAGCCCAACTGTTGGATCAGGTCACCATTCGCGCCGTTCATGACATACTCCTCCGTAAAGCCAGTCCAGAGGTCCGTCCCAGCTTGGCTGAAGTGGTCGACTACGTAGGCGAACCAAGAAGCTGGGTTGTCGGGATTCGTGGCGTTGTTGAAGGCGCCTTGGGCAGCAAGATATCCTGTTCGCCTCTGATAGAATGTGAAGAGGACGTATTCATCACCGCCATCAGTGGGCGCAGTCCACGTTATGCTTCCATTTTGTACCAGTGAGGTCACGTCCTGGATGCTATCGAAATCCAGTCCCGTAACTCTAGGATCTTGGGAGGGCACTGTTTCAGGTACATATCGATTAGTTGATCACCTCGTGTCATTCAATTGGCCCAACGCAAGCGAGAACAGGCTGTACAGTCCGCCCAACGATTAGTGTAGCTCATCACCCACCTGTACTTTTCCTGGCGACGACAGCGGCGACAAACTTGTTTGTATAATTCTGAAAGGGCGGGTAGAAATCTGGGGCATTCGCATATCCCGCAAAGGTATGTCCAGGGGGAGGCAGGGCGCCGCTGAATGTCGAGCCAGAAGAGATGCTCACGTTGCCGTAGGCCAGCTCCGTGTTCATGCCTTCCGAGTCGGGGTCCAAGATGGGGATGGACGCGCCCTGTGTCGGTCCCAGGGCGAAATCGACAGTCATGTTGAGGTCCTCGGCTGCCCGGAGCATGGTCTCGAAGCGTCTGGTCCAGTTGAGTCCTCCGTAGCCATATTCGGCCGGGTCGACTACCGCCAGCTCGATGCCGTAGTTCTCTAGGCAGATCACCTCTACACTACCCCATCCCGAATCGTGGATGGTCTTGAGGTCCGCGTAGAGAACGTCATCGTCGACATCGGCATCCGGTACCCAATATCGGAACGTTGGCCGGGCGAGGCCGGTTGGATTCACAAACTCGCTTGGTACGTCGTATTGGATCCATGGGGCCGGTCGCTGGCCGAAGCCCTGAGGCTTGGGTGAGGCTGCTGTTGCTATGCTCGCCAACACAAGCACTTGCATGAGAGCCGCCGTGGCCGAAGTGAATCCAGTGAGAGCCATCCTGGGTGTGACGGCTGCCATGCTGAAGCCGACGTCTTGCACATCCAAGCAAGGTGGGAGCTGGAAACCTGGACCACCAGGGCGGAGACGGCGGTCAAGCTCCTATTTGATCATCTTCCGAGGGCCGCCTCAGATGCTCATCGTTAAGATAAGATACTGCCCCTGCTGCCGCCTTTTGCATGGTGTCAACTCGTATCTGTGTTGATCTGCGTGGTTATTGTGACTGTAGTGGGTAAAGTGTATGCGGGGTGGACATGTAATCATAGGAGGAATGGCATCATTCCGTGCGCCGAAGTGGACCTCATCAGCGTATGTAGGAATAGTTGTATCCTCAATGCGATGATTACTTTGTGTCGAGGTCAGTAAGAGAGTAATTTCCGATAATCACTGGTTGATCACATCATTGGGGCCTCTCCATAGTAACCACATAATTGATCTCGCCTTTTAATTGTTAGTCTACAGAACGTTGTTGGTGAGTGGTCAACGCAAAATGCTCCTCTTTTTGAGAGTAGAGGTCTTCAGTGAGACAGACTTCAAATGAGCAAGTAAACTGAATAGCAATTAAAGGGTTGAACCCACAAATGGTCCAGGAGGGGAAGAAGAGAAGAACAGACTGTTTCAGCACTGATGATGTTGAAGACACAGAGTCATGTCTAGGGCAAGCTGACCCTGAAGAAGAGGAAGATACTGGTCAGCACTGCTAACCCTGGTGGTTTGCTCTTTCCCAACTGTGCCCTACCCGAGTACTCCAAGCGCTTGCCGTTAAACATTAACGCCTAACCCTGGTCCCGCAGTCCACTGCATCGCGGGCCCAGAGGGCTGAAGCTGTGGACAAGGACGGCATCCAACCCCAGTTCCGAGCGGCATGTCAAGCCCGAGACCCGTCCTGATCTGTCTGCTTTCTGTATTCTGACGTGCTCACATTGCGGGGAAACACATGCCGTCAGGTCATTTGTGTCTCCTTTTTTCTCATTATCATCATTCCATATACCCAGAATATTGAGAATGACGAGATTGTGAATTGGGGTTCTCTTTTGAAAAAGGAATTTGGTCCATAAGCAGGGCATGGCCCAACCAGCATCTCATGACTGGGGCCTAGGGCGTAAGTACCATTTCCCCCGTTCAATATTCATCTTGGTCTCACTGACAACTGACCCACCACGTGCAGGTCTCCCGCCCGAGCTGCGGCTCAGGATCTGGGAGGCGACATGGCCCGCCACGCGTCTCATCGAGGTGCATCTGCCCCCTGGCGGCGGCGGCAAGATGCCTCGACGGATCACACCGAGTCGGCAGGTTGGTGATGAGAAGATTACGGTGTGGAACTCGACATTGCGACGGCTCGAGGACGTTGTGTGCCGGCCGTACACCCATCCAGTCGCCCTCGATGTATGCCGGGAAGCTCGAAACCACACGCTCCAGGCGTACGCGCGCCTGCAGCACCGCCAGGAGCCCCATTGCGTCTTCTACTTCCACCCGGCCCACGATGTACTGTGGCTGCACCGCGACCTGTCGCAATTCGACACGGCAGCTCTGGGCCGGGTGCAACGCGTGCTGTTCAAGGACGTCGAGCGGGCCGACGACAGCGACGCAGACAAGAAGCAGCGGCGGCGGGAGCTTCTAGAGATGGTCGAGTCGATGGGTAGCGTGCGCGAGGTCATGGTGCTGGCCCACTGGACGAGCATCGCAGATATCGACGGGGCCACGAGCATAGAGAATCTTTACGACTGGATGCAATACTTCATGTCGATCCTGGACGAGAACTGGGAGATTATGGACGGCCATTCCTGGGTCCTGCAGTTTCTGAGCACGTGGTCCGAACTGGGCGTCTGTTTTGAGAGCGGTGATGCGAAGATCTGGGGCGATGCCAGAGAAGGGCCGCTGTATTCATGCCCGAGTCACGACGTTGTGTACAGGAAGCGACTGGTCGAGAGGTTTCCCAAGCAATTCGAGCACATCAGCAGGATGGCGTAGTATATATGTAACATAAAGCAGGCCAAGGGGTCTGGGGGGAGTGCTGACAGCATCAAAACCAGATTCCAATGGCAGTAATAATAGTACTTTGGCATTACGGGGCAATAATCAGCACCTAGGCGCTATAATTATAGTAGGTCACTATCGTGAGCTGTGCTGCTGCTGCAGCGGAAGGGGCCAGGTGGGGCGCCCCCTGCCGTGTTCATGCGCTGTAACAGAGCCCCTGGAGCAGAGGGTGAGGGTGGCTACTGCACTTAGTTTTAGTTTACGATAGGGCATCTCAAGAGACGAGAAACCTCCCCTTGATGCAGGTCACTTTTTATCGTTCATGGAACCGACCCCGGCTCAGCTTACTCACTTTAACCCACTTACTCTACTCCAAAGACTCAATTCTTCAATATGGCTTCATCATCCGCTGCGGAGGAATTCTGGCTACCACAGCGACGGCCAGCTCTGGCAGACGCTGACGCGTCGTCGTATTTCAACCTGGGCACATACTCTCGCACAGTAACCACCAAGAACAGCGAGGCGCTGACGTGGTTCAACCGCGGGCTGATTTGGAGCTATGCTTTCAACCACCAAGAGGCCGTGGCATGTTTCGAGCAGGCCATCGCCCTGGACCCGACATTTCCTATGGCCCACTGGGGCATCGCATATGCTCTGGGGCCCAACTACAACAAGCCCTGGGGCTCCTTTGACGAGGACGAGCTGGGTCCGATCATCGCGCGGGGTTACCAGGCCGCAAGCAAGGCTGCCCAGTACGCGAAGACAGCGGCAGCAACGCCGATGGAGACAGCCCTCATCGAGGCCCTCCGGCACCGATATCCTCTCGACGGGTTGCCACCAACCTCCAGCAACTCATCGCCACAACCCTGGGATGCCTGGAACCACGAGTATGCCCGCCAGATGCGTATCGTGTATAAGGAGTGGCGCGACGATTTGGACGTGGTCGCCCTCTTCGTCGACGCCCTGATGAACCTGACGCCGTGGCAGCTGTGGGACAATAAGGGGAGGAACCCTGAGCAGGGAAGCAGCGCACTGGAGGCAAAATCAACTCTTGAGAATGCCCTGGCGATGCCAAGAGGCACCCAGCACCCGGGCCTGCTGCACCTCTGGATACACCTCATGGAATTGAGCTCCAATCCCGAGGAGGCCCTCGATGCGGCCAACCACCTGCGCACACTCGTCCCCGACGCCGGTCATTTGGCCCACATGCCCTCCCACATCGATGTGTTGTGCGGGCGCTACCAGCAGGCCATCGATGCCAACTCGGCCGCCATACTTGCTGATGAGAAATATGTGGCGGAGGTGGGCACCCTGAACTTTTACACGTTGTACCGCTGCCACAACTATCACTTCCGCATCTATGCCGCCATGCTCTGTGGGCAGTCCCAGGTCGCCATCAACACCGCCCGAGAGCTCGAGTCTACCATATCTACCGACCTGCTCCGCGTCGAGTCGCCTCCCATGGCCGACTGGCTTGAGGGCTTCCTGTCGACAAGCGCCCACGCCTATGTTCGATTCGGCTGTTGGGAGACCATCCTCGAGCTCCCTTTTCCCGAGGATAAAAAGCTTTTTTGCAACACGACAGCAACTCTACACTATGCCAGGGGCTTGGCGTATGCCGCCCTTGGCCGGGTCGACGAAGCCAGAGAGGAGCAATACAAGTTCCACGATGCCGAGAAGCGGGTACCCAGATCGCGCACCATCTTCAATAACACGTGCAGGGACATACTCAAAGTTGCCAGTTTCATGCTAGGGGGGGAAATCCAGTACCGCCGTGGTAACACCGCCGAGGCATACAAGTTTTTGTGGCTCAGCATAGATCATTACGACTCCTTGCCCTATGATGAGCCGTGGGGTTTCATGCAGCCCGTGCGACACGCGCTCGGGGCGCTGCTGCTGGAGCAGGGCTTGGCTGAGCAGGCGATGGCCGAGTATAAGGCTGACCTGGGGCTCGATCTGGCGGTCCCGAGGTCGCGTTGGCACCCGAACAACGTGTGGGCTCTGGAGGGATATCACGAGTGCCTGGTGCGGACGGGCCGGACAGAGGAAGCAAGATATCTCTCTGTGAAGTTGGAGAAGGCGCTGGCATTGGCCGATGTGCCCATCAGGTCTTCATGCTTCTGCCGGCTGACGGCTTACGATCATCGATCACCTACGCCGGAAAGCGGGGAGGAGCTTATAGTTTGAGTTATTTTGTTCTGAAGAAAAATAATTTATATCCCAAAAGCCGAGCAAAGGAAGATAGAACCCTTCCAATCCCGGAGAAGAGAAGAGAGTGAGAGAGAAAGGAAGAAAGAAAAAAAGAACAACAGTGCTATATGCCCCTTTGGTGTGTGTTGCCTCATCATGAGCAGTCTCCATTCTACCAATCCCTTTTGCCTTGCCCCTTAGTCCTATCCCAACCTCGTCCTCCACACATCCACGCTCCCCCTCCGCTCCTCCGGCCTCCAGAGGTCTTCCTCCACCCTCACCAACCTCTCCTCCACCGCCCTCGTGCCAGCGGCCGTCCTACCCGTCGAAACAAGCGGCTCCACCCAGTCCGCCGCGTCCTCGTCCCAGTCCTGCGCGTCCCAGTCCTCTCCTGCCTCCCCGTCCTCGCAGGTCTCGCAGTCGTCAAAGTCGAGGTACACCTCCGCATCGACGTCGAACCGGGGTGCCTTGACAAACTCGGACCAGCGGATGAGGGTGACTTCGTATCTGGTTCCGTCTGGGCCGATGGTGGTGCGGGTTACTTTGGTTGGGACGGGGTGGGAGGTGCCGAATAGGGAGGCGAAGAGCATTTTGAATATGTGTGTGTGTGTGTGTGTGTGTGTGTGTGTGTGTGGCTCTTGAGTCTTTTTTTGTTTATCTAGGGGGGGGGGTGGGGGGTATTGGTCGAGTGTTTTTTGAAGGTTTTTCTTCTTCTTTCTTCTTATGAGTGTATTGATTGATGCCCAAATGAGGTCTGGTAGATGTTTGGTTGTGGTGGTGGTGATGATAGTAGTAGTGGGTGGTAGCCGATGGTATTCAACCAACGATGAGTATGAAAATCACAACACCAAGCACAAATGAGGGGATTCACGCTCTTAAAATAGACCTTCTAAACATCCCTCAATTACAAACAATCGTATACTATTCAGGCTTCAACGACATTTCTTTGCCCCTTCCTCGGCACTGCAATCGTCCAAGCCACCACGAACTTCCGGATCCTACCGGACGTGTCCGCGCGCCCACGTCAACGATGATTCCCTCCCGAATGACGCGCGAATGAAAAAGGGGGAGGCGAGCAAGCACTACGAGAAAGAAAAGAAAAACAACCAGGTCTACCTTACGAGGGCTTCCGTCTTTTCGGGCCTCGCTAGCCACGTAGTGGCCTGGTTTGGTGACCGCTTGCTTCCTTCTCCTTCGCCCGGGAGGGTCGCCACCGGGCCGGACTTGTGGCCTCGCGGTCTCCTTGCCTGGCCCAGGCTGCATCGTCTTTTTTTTTTTTTCCCCAGTGGAAGGGGGAATGGCGAATGGGGAAAGGGTTTTGTTCTATTGAGGATTTCATTTTGGATTGGCGGGGGATGGAATTATGTGGCTGTTCGGTGATGCCTGGGTTGGGGTCTTGCTGGGGTTTGTATGTGGGTGTGTGTGGTTGGCCCTTTCGTGGAGGACCTGGGCTCCCTCTGTTTACTTGGACTGTACTACAGTGCTTACTCTGTATGTCATCCTGGATTCTCAACAAGAGGGGATATGACGGAAGCCTATCTGATTGCATTGGGGCTCATCGAATAATGGTATGACATATTGTTGTGTTGCTAGATAGGCTGATGATACGTTCCACAACACAAATGCGCGGCTTATTCATGAACCCTCGTGGTATGTCGCTGGTTTAGTTTACATAGATCCAAAAAAGAAGGAGAAGATATTTTAGGATTAAACCTGTTATCGATGCGAACACAAGATATCTCTTACACATGAAAAGCAACAAGGCCATCACAACTTCGACTCCCTCCTCTTCCTCTCATACACAGCGACCTCAATGCCCCCCTTGACGCCCCCATCCTTCATCACCCGCCTCAAGATCTTACCACTCGGCGACTTCGGAATCGCCTCCACAAAGACAATCCCACCCCGCAGCCACTTGTACCGAGCCGTCCTCTCCTCCACCAGCGTCTTGATCACGGCGGCCAGCTCCTCCAGCGCCCTTCGATCCCGCTGCTGGACCAGCTCGGCGCGCTGCGGAACCACAAAGGCCCGCGGCCACTCGGTCGCCTCATCGTTATCATGGATACCAATTACACCAGCGTCTGCCACCAGCTGGCTGCTGCATAGGACAGCCTCCAGCTCGGCTGGGGCGACCTGGTAAGCCCGGACTTTGATGAGCTCTTTGAGGCGGTCGGTAATGCGGATGTGGCCCTTCTCGTCAAGATACCCCACGTCGCCAGTCCGGAACCAGCCGTCTGGCGTCAGCGCCTCTGTCGTGATGGTCATATCCGGCGGCGTGGCTCCCTTGCTGCTGCTGTTGCTGCTAAGACCGCCGATGGGCAAGTAAGCAGTCAGTAGAGCCGGGGACCTGATCAGGATTTCACCAGGCACGTTGGGGTTTTCCGCTCTGGTCGTGGTTCCGGGCTTCAAGTCCTGCTCGGCGGCCGCGATCATCAGCTCGACCCCCCAGTGCGGAGAGCCGCTGTCGCCGGCGTCGGCGTGCATGTCTGCCTCGGTCAGGCCTCTCTGCAGGGACGTGTTGCAAGTCTCACTCAGCCCGTAGCCCATGCGCACCCGGAAGCCCAGGCGCCTGTGGACCTCCTCGACCACCTCGTGGCCCAGTGGCGCCCCGCCTGTCACCGCGGCGATGATGCTCTTGAACCCGCCATTCCTGGCGTACTTGTCCACAACAGCCGCCTTGGCCAGCATGACGGCGACGGGGGGTGCCATGTGCAGATATGTGACCTGGCGCGCGGGGATCGCGGCACAGACCTCCTCGAGGTTGAAGGACTGCATGACGTAGCACGTCGCGCCCACACAGGGCGCCAGGAGAAAGATGTTGCACAGCCCAAAGACGTGGTAGAAGGGCACGTAGCCGAGCCAGCGCTGCTGCAGGCCCGGCCTGTGGATGTCGGCGTCGTACCAGAGCGAGACGGTGGCAAAGACCAGCGCGTAATGGGAGTGCAAGACGCCCTTGGAGCGGCCAGATGTGCCAGACGACCATAATATCAAGGCGGTCCGGTTGTGGCTGTCCGAGGCTGACATGCGGTACGGCTCGACAGCGAAGGCGGGCGCGGCGAGCAGGCAGGTCCAGTCCCTCTCTTGGGCGACTGGGCCCGGGCTGGTGCTTGCGCTCGCTGAAAAGGGGTAGCGCTCGGCGGCAACATCCACAGTGAAGACGGGAATCTGAGAAAAGTACTCGCTATCCTGCTGGGACTGGAGCGCCTCCCGCATGGCACCGAGACAGGCCTTGGCCGTGACGATGGCTCGCGGCCTTGCATTCTGTAGGACCCAGCCGATCTCGCTGGCTGTCAGTGCCGGCGAGACCAGCGAGGCCGCGAGCCCAGAGGCGAAAACGCCAAAGACGACAGGGACGAATGGCAGGCAGTTGGGCAGCTGGACTAGCACTACAGGTGCCAGCTCAGGGCGCCCACAGGTAGGCGTTGGCGGCAGTGTCTGCACATCGTTGGGATTCAGGCCCAGCAGGCGGAGGTTCGCAGCAACGGTGAGCGCGTCCCTCCTGGCCCTGCCAAAGTTGACGGGTCGATCTAGGAGACAGAGTTAGACTTGTTTTTGTTCTTTTTTCCTTGCTTCTTTTTTGCACAGTATATTGTTCAAAAGGCAGTAGAGGGAGAGGCTTCTTAACTGGTCTTATTGTCAACAAAGATGGGATGTGCATCATCTACTCTTGGTAACACTTGAGAAGGAGGCACATGACCGTTTTTCTGGGAAAAGGGATTTCCAAACATAAAGTCGAAGATGCTGGTTTGGGGACATTGACTAGGGCGATGGCCAGTGTAAGCCAGGCCGACGTCCTTTTCTCTAGACATGATGCGTTTCCCAGATTGATGAAATTGTGTCAGCTCGAAATGCATACAACACAATAGCAGGCGTGCAGTCAGTCACCATGGGTGAGGTTCAGGTTCAAGTCAAGTCAAGCCATGTCAATGTGACAACTCGTCGAAGAAAGAGAAAGAAAAAAAAGAAGGGAAAAAAAAAAAGGGAAGGGAGCGAAGGGCAATTTGAAGCAATTCGATGGTGAGCACTGAAGTAAGCCTTAAGAGCAGGCAAACCAGCAAGCACAATGACGACGGCGACAAATGACGCTCAACTATGATTGTCGGGGCTTATGCGACCGTGTTTGGCCAATTCTTGGCCGATTACCTTGGCCCGACGGCACGACTCGGCTTGTTACCCATGGTGGGTGTGTTGTATAGGTGCGTGCAGTGCATGGAAAGGGGGCGGTAGGTTTAACCTTCAGCCGTAGTTTGTCCCAGAGCTTTGGATGAATGCGGCGCTTTTAAGGTGCACGGTCGGTTTCCACCTTATTACCCTGCAGCGAAAAGCTACCAGGGGGGGGGGGGGCGCACTATGGTAGTGCCTATTACCGCTATGACATACACGCTGTACCATCCATAGTGCTATCCCCTGTAATTGGTATTCCAGCGGTACCCTAGCAGCACCCCCAGCAGCGGTCCATGTGTGTAATCTTCACTGCATAATCGGATCGACGGCCTCATCAACCGATCTGCTCCCCAAGATCCCAAGACCCCAGTACCCAGTAAACTCTGATCAGATTAGACAATCCTCCTAGGGCTGGTTCTGGCTTGCCCTTGCTGTGCATATTATCTGGATCTTGAGTGGATAGACTGTATGTGGATGGTACCGGAAGGAGCGATAAACAGGGTCAACAGTGCTTACGACGGTAATTTCTCAGGACCAGCCAGCATCGTCATTATCACCAATATCAACAACAACTATACCATTCTGTTGCTTGGGGCGGTAATACCGACTCCAAAGCCGTATTGGTTGTAATTACTGCAGCCGAGTTCAGCCGTGCTCAACGTGAGCATGTTTTCTTCTTCTTTTTGTCTCTCTTTGCTATCTTGCTCGTTGTTTGAAGAAAGATCAAGAGACTGCGTGTACTCGTGCATGTAGTTCTATTTCTTTAGTCTCAAGATGAGCACTTGAGCCTGTCCATGACCTGTATGTATCTATCGTTCGTATATCCCTCTATCATCTGCATCATCACCTTCACCATCTTCTTGACCATCAGTGTCACCACCATCACTCAGGCAGCGTCAATATATCATCGACATTGACCACCTGGCCCGTCGAGATGGAGCGGTTGGCTGCAATGCCAGTCAGGATGGAGGCAGCACCGTCGATGTGGCTTGCCGCCCTGCGATACTCATCCGACACAGGCTCGCCAAACAGGTCCTGCAGGAGGATAGCGTCGCCGCCCCCGTGTGCGCCCTGGCTCTCCTCGATCTCGATCTCCCTCGGTTTCTCAAACAGGGGCCGAAGCAGGATGCTCCTCGTCTCCATCGACCCCTCGAGCGACTGGTCACCGCCCGAGTTGACATAGCTGTTCTCCACGACCTCTGCCTCGAGACGACCGCCGGTGCCATTGAAGCTGACCCGGAACCCTTCCCAGGGCGCATACGCCGTCAGCGAGTACGTCATGACGGCCCCGTTCTTGTACCGCACCAACAGGTTCATGGTGTCCTCGATGCTGATGCCGTCGCTGAAGACGCTCTGGTCGCGATAGTACGAGTCCTCGTGCTCCGCGTCCAGATACATGGCCTTCAGGTTCGCATTGCCCTCCATATGCAGTGCGAACGGGTCTGTCTCGGCCGCCTTGCTGCCGTGGGCGCGCGTGTAGAAGTCCGTCACCCCGCGCTGCTCGGCGTTCTCTCTGCCGTAAAACTTGAGATCGCCCTGGGCATACACCGTCTGTGGCCTCGTCTGCAGCCAGAAATTCACCAGGTCAAAGTGGTGCGTGCTTTTGTGCACCAGCAGGCCGCCACTGTTGCGCTTGTCGCGGTGCCAACGCCGGAAGTAGTCAGCCCCGTGCGACGTGTTGAGCATCCACTCGAAGTGCACGCTCGTCACCTTGCCGATGGCCCCCGATTGAATGACTTCGAAGATTTTGGTGTTGTGCGGCGCATAGCGGTAGTTAAAGGTCACCCGCACGTTCTGTCCTGTGCGGTCTACTGCTCGCAGGATCTCCTTGCAGCGCGGTGCGTCAATGGTCACTGGCACGTGCACACACACACACACACACACACATTGTCAGTCAGTCCACAGGAGAGGGAGAGAGAAAATCGAAGGGAGAAAAGAAGGAAAAGAATGAAACAATTCTTGGGTCTCGCAAGTTCGTAGAGACACTAACTTGGCTTCTCGGTAATCACATTGCAGCCGAGCTCCATGGCGCGGACAATATAGAGATTATGCGTCCTGTCCGGCCCGGTGGTGATGATCACCTCGTCCGGCTTGTGGTCTGCAATCATTTTGGCGAAGTCGGCCGCCAGGTACGTCGGCACACTACCGTGGCCCAGGGACTCGAGTTTGCTATTGGCATGGTTCATTCGCGTCTGGTTGGTGTCACAGAGCGCAACGATCTCAGAGGTGCTGCTATAGTCCTTGGCGATGGCCGTGTAGTAGAACCCGGACCGGCCGCCGGTGCCCACGAGGGCGTAGCGCTTCTTTGCTTGCGCACTCATGTTTGGAAATACAGTGTAAGTCCTTCTTGTATTTCTTTCTTGAGGCCGATGATTCTTCTCAGGGTTGAATGAAAACTTTCATAGCTCTTCTCCTCATCTATCTACTGCTCGGCATCTCTCATGGAAATAAATATGTCTCTGCCCGAAGAGACGCCCGTTTTAGCCGGAACCCACACACACGATATCGGCGGGCGTTTACCCGAGCGGACCCTCGAGATTCTCAAGGAGAATAGAATAAATACCCGGGCACCACACCAAACAACTCCACACGAGTCAGCAAAAGCAGAGCGTCTGGGGTAAAGAGTGTGGGGGAAATCCGGGGAAGAGGCACGGCTAAGGAATACGACTAGCAACAACAAAGGGCCCACCACCATCACATGAGCTGAGGAGAGGTGAGCGTGGCAAGGAGAGGTTGCATGATATTTATCCCCCTGAACGTGTTAGTATGAACTACTACTCATGTGACCGTTGACCAACGGATTAGCCATCCTGTTTGGGCCTCTTGATAACCCGGTCGTCTCATTTTGCGGGTGGATAAGACCACGAGGAGTTGGATAAGACGAACGTATGCCTGGCCAATCACTTCTGCCCGCGCCCAGTCCCACAGCATAGGGGTCCTTCCCCATCCCCCAACCCATGGTGCCATGAATCTTGTTGGTGATTCGTTTCTCTCTCTTGTAAAACAAAAAAATAAAAAATAAACAAGGTCTGGGGTCAGTAACGCGGGGGTAAGACGTATGCCTCGGCCGAGGGCTTGGCCGAACCTCGAGTGGTCGTAAGGTGCATGCATGTACATAAGTAAACTCAGAGAGAAGCCTTGACGAAGCCTGACTCTCTCCTTCTTGATTGTATAGCCTTGTAGCCCTTGTTTTTGTCGTTGTCGTTGTCGTCGTGTTCTTCTCTCCTTGAGAACGACGAGGTCTTGTCAAGAGACTTGTAGTACGACTCTGCATACTTATTAAGGTGCCAATTCGGAACCAAGTCGAATTTATTCACAATGGCAAACACAAGCGACGAGATTGCCCCGGTTCCTGCCCTTAACCAGGAGCAGGCTCGCCGTGAGAAGGCCGCCGAGTTCCTCGCCAGTCATGAAGATACTTCCTTCACCTACGAAGAGGAGAAGGCAGTCCTCCGCCGCGTTGATATGCGACTCCTACCACTGCTTCTCGGGGCCTACTTCTTCCAACAGCTCGACAAGTCCACTCTGAGGCACGTTGTTCCGCCTGCACTTTTTCCTTGTGAGGAATTGAATAAATGGAAGAAAGAGAAACGAAAGAGAACCATAGCTGACCATGAAATTCAATTTACCTCACAATAGTTACACCTCCGTCTTCGATATCGTCTCCGGCGCCCACCTCGTAGGCGACCAATACTCATGGCTCGGCTCCGTCCTTTACCTCGCCCAGCTGGTCATGCAGCCCGCCACGGCCTTCCTGCTCGTCAAGTTCCCCAACGGCAAGGTCATCTCGTCCGCCATCCTGCTGTGGGGTGCCTCCCTCGCCATCATGTCCGCCTGCACCAACTTCCACTCCCTCCTGGGCATGCGCTTCGTCCTCGGCTGCTTCGAGGCCATGATCGCGCCGTGCTGTGTCGCCTTCACCCAGACCTGGTGGCGCCGCTCCGAGCAGACCATGCGGACCAGCTACTGGAGTTCTATGAACGGCGTCACTCTTATGATCGGGAGTCTGTTCACTTATGGTCTGGGTCACATTGACAGCCCTACCTTGTTCAAATATCAAATTGTGCGTAATTGCTCTCTCCTGTTGTGACTCTCCTTCTCGACTCCACTCGCCCCTTGTGGCGGTGATTCTCTGGACTTACTGGCATTCATCATGACTACTTAGCTAACACTAGACTAGATCTTCCTCTTCTGTGGTCTTCTCACTGTTGCCTACTCGGGCATCGTCTTCTGGCTGATCCCGGACTCGCCCATGGAAGCCAAGTTCCTGTCGGACCGCGAGAAGGTCATCGCCACCGAGAGGTTGAGGGCCAACCAGATGGGCATCGCCTCCAGGAAATGGCGTTGGGACCACGTCTGGGAGACAGCGACAGACCTCAAGACATATCTGTGGTTTGTGGCCGTCACATCTATCTCGTAAGTGGACGGATTAATCCAAAGCAAAGTCCTGGTGTCTCTCTTTTGTTCCCCTTCTGCAATGGAGCATCAAAACCTAATCATCGGAAACCATCTCAGTATCGCCAGCGGTGGCATCACAACCTTCGGCTCTCTCATCGTCAAGTCTTTCGGCTACGACAGCTTCACCACGATTCTGTTCAACATCCCATTCGGGGCAATCCGTATGTCGTACCGCTTACCCAGGACGAAGTTATTGTGTAACCCCAGCTAACAACTGTATCATAGAAATCATCTCGATTCTCGGAACTGCCTGGCTTGCTCAGAGGTTCCAGTGCAAGGGCCTCGTCATTGCCGCGAACAGCATCCCGCCTACCATCGGGGCCATCTTGATGCTCACTGTTCCAAGAGATCAGAAGGGTGTGCTGTTGTTCGGATACTATCTTGTGAGTCGCCATCGCCAAATAACCATACAAGGAAAACAAAAAGAGAGATCTTGTGTCATGTGTATGCCAGTCGGCGAACTAACACCAAAAAAATCCCCATCAGGTTTCCTGTCTTGCTTCCATCACCCCGTTGATCTACAACTGGCAGTCGTCAAACACTGCAGGTGACACCAAGAAGAAGTGTACCTCTGCGGTGGTGTTCATCGGGATGTGCACTGGCAACGTGATCGGTCCACTGTAAGTGCATCATCCATCTCCGTTTTCAAATTTGCTTCACGGGCAGGTTTCCTCTGACAATCTGATAGGCTTTACTCCACGGACGAAGCTCCTCTGTACCGCAAGGGTCTCATCGCTGACCTCTGCATGTTTGTCGTTGTTGGCATCGTTTCCGGGTAAGTTGGGAAGAAGGGGGAAAAAAAGAATCCCCATATTTGTCCTCATTATTCCCCAATATTATGTATATGTACAGCAAAATGCTGACCTCTTTCTTCTCGCAGGCTTATCCCACTGTATCTCATGTATCTGAATAAGCGTCATGCAAAGAGGCGCGAGGAGCTCGGAAAGAGCGCTGCCATCGTGGACGAGTCCATGGTCAAGAAGGAGAAGATCGAGGAGAGCAAGGCGGTCGAGCTGGAGGATGCGCAGGCACCGCAGTTGCGGTCCCTGGAGGAGGATAATGCCTTGCATGATGTGACGGATCTCAATAACGAGGACTTCATCTATGTATATTGAAGTGGTTTGGTACGGTGTATACACACACATATAGATGTGTGTGTTTTTTGCATACATGCGTGGATCGATAAGTAGCCTGACGTAGCAGCGGAATTGAGAAGTAGCAATTCAAGTACCAGATTAAAGCGAGGGAGTAACTGGCTTTTCGCCTGTGCTGATCTGCAGGTTCCGGCATTGAAAACTGGTTTGAACATGTCGCGGGCATCTGGGAATTAGGGAAGTCTCTGGCCAATTCTGGCTTGACCGTTGTCCCAACTGGGGTCAAAAGGACTGATTTCATGCAGTTACCCCTCTCAGTTGGATTAGGTGTTGATCAAGAAGATAATGTGATTCAGCATTTGTCAATTCTTCTGGACAAGTAGATCATGGACACTGTGATACAAGAAAGTTCCACAACGTCAGCAATAACCTGGGGAGAAGATTATCAAAATGAAAGCCTGCTGGTGTTACTTTCTTTACCTATGAACCTGTTTATAAGCCTGACAGAGACATATAGCTTGCTCAAAAATCCCAAAACACTCGAAGTACTTACCGGCAACTATCGCCACAACCAACAGCAACATTCTCAGGTGACAGATGTCTGTTTCATCAGTTCATCAGTAACATTCTCCTTCCTACCCCCTCTAGGCAGAAATATCGAGACTAGCCATGGCCCGGTAGACAATGAGACAGTAATCACCAGGCCAGGAAACCAAAATGTCTATAGAACTGTGGTCATCCTGACGAACAGAAATAAAGCATGCCTACTTAGGTACTTAATGATGCACGGATCCTGAAATTGCCCTCAAAGATCTGTAGATGAGTGAGCATGGAAGGAGCACAAGATGGCGGCGTGAATACAGGAATGGCCAAACCAGTAAGAGAAGAACAGAAGAATTAAATATGAAAGTAATCACATTTTGCGTGTCTTCTGAGTGCCATACTGCTTCTCATCTCATTCTCTGGGCCTTGGGAAGGGGTGTGGACGGAGACGAACCTGTTTGTTTGACATGGTTGGAACAAGAGTCCTTATTTGATCCGACAAGCTGGCTGAGCATTGATGACTTGAGGGGGGAAATATTAGGCAAAAACATACCAAAAATCAGTGGCTCCTGAGGCTCACTGATTGACTAACCAGATGAATATGCAAAATTGAACTTGACATTTCCACCCTTTTCATCTACACGAAAAAAAAGCACTCTACCTCACCAAGCTAAAAGACATACCCTTATAGGCACCCACCCTCGCTGTCTCCGTCTGCAACATCTTCAACGACCCTCTGTCTTCAATTGTTCTTGGTCTTCTCGAGACCCCGTTTGGCAGCCCATTCCCTGTCCAAGATCGAAAACAAGATGCGGTTGTACCACTTGCAGTCAAAGTAATAGGCCTCCCTCGTGGCGCCCTCCCGCACAAACCCCAGCCGCGTGTACAGCTTGGCGGCGCGCTCGTTGAAGCTAAAGCACGACAGGCGCACGGCGTGCATGCCGGCCACGCGGAACGACCAGTCCAGCGCCCAGTTGATGGCCTCGGTCCCGTACCCCTCGCCCTGGTGCGCGGCGGCGATCATGATGCCCAGCGTGCAGGAGCGGTGGTGCAGCGTCAGGGCGTGGCACGAGAGCGAGAGCCAGCCGATGGCGGTGAGGCCGGTGGTTTGGTGTGGGTCGGATGGCGAAGAGCGGTGGGATTCGCGGTCCGAGTCCTCCTCTTCTTCGTCTTCGTCGTCCTGGTCGGGCCGCAGGCAGATGATGACGGCCAGCAGGGACTTGACGAGCCCGGCCACGTCGTTCTCGACCTCTTCGATGGTGACGGGGGCGAGGAGCCGGTCGGTGCTCTGCGCGTAGGTCTCGGGCTCGTCCATCACCATGTCGCGGAGGAAGGCTGTGTGCTCGGGGCTGTTCTCGAGCGCCCGGAAGACGAGCCTTTTCGTCCGAAAGAGGCGCTCGAACACATTCGTCCGTTCCGGGTGGTCTCGTGCCATTGTGGTGCCGCGGTGGGTTTTTTTTCCCCTTCTTCTCCTCTTTTTCTTCTTCGTTTTTCTGCTGCGAGGCCAAGATGATTGCTCCGAGTCTCTTACTGCGCCAGGTCTGCTGCTGCCCTCCACTTGTCGCGCGGATAGTCCCAAGGATGACGGCGGGCTCTCATGACTTTCAAGAATTCTTCAAGCAGTGGGCGCAAATCAGGACTCAAATGCTCACCGAGCATCTTTCCCACCCCCCCAAAAACACTACCATTTCATTATCTGCAACGATTCTGCAGATTTGTGACGTGGGCCAAAACACTTCCTCGGTCCGGCTCTCGCGGCGCTGGCTGGTTTGGGCAGGTGGGACAAAAGTTTCCATATCACTCCGCCCCCTTCTCGAACTTGCTTCTTTCTTCTTTCTGTCGAAATGAAAAGTGCCGCATGCAAGTCCGTATCAATTGCAACTCTGACATCTCGGATAGCTTTCCGTCCGCTGCAACCGTAGCAAAGCGTCACGGCCCCAGCATGAAGCGCCCAGACTTCGAGACGCGGAACCGAGGTTTTGCTGCTGGTGGCTACGAGCCACGCAGGAGATCGACCCTGAACCTATCCAACATGATGGTCTGGCTCGGGGTCTTCGTGCGATCCGCCTGCGTGGGACGCGCAAGCCGGCGCAGTGTTGCTGCTACGTTGGGTAAAGTCCTGTGTGAGAGATTGTGGGAACTGGTCAAGATAAGCATTTTTAGATTGTTTTCCCTCCTTTCTTCGGCCGGCGGCTTGAGAGGGATGAGATGCTTGATTTGAGAAAATGTCCGCACGTACATCCCTGGAATATGACATGTGCTGCCGCCCTTCTTAGATGCGCAAAGCCAGACGCCGATGTATGCATGGATGACGATGTCGACATGAGCTATGGTACAACCTTCAACCAGCCTCGCGCAAGACTTGTCGAGACTCTGTTGACGTCCTGTCCTGTACGAGCGCAGTGGCTCAGGAGCGAGGGGCTTTTTCTCGTTCACATCCCTACCACAGCCAGCCCTTCTTCTTGGGTTGTGCATCCTTTGGTTGTATAGGGTCTGCGGATGCGTCTCCGGTGCCCAATCGGTCCAACGGCCCCCCTTCCCGCTGGTTCTCCTTCTCCTTCTCGAAAGCCGCCCGCGCGGACTCCAACATGGCCCTCTTCTCCTCAAGCGACCGTTGCTGGTGCGCACTGGTAGCATCAGCCTCTGCCGAGGCCTGCCCCTCTTCCTTCTTAGACCCGGACAAGAAACCCCATAGTTTTGACGAGGTGGTCTGCGGCTGCGCATCCGGTACTGTGGGTGTCGTCACTGTGCCATTCTCCTCGCCTGTTGTCTTTGCAAGCGGCTTTGGCGCGCTCAGGATACTGGGCATCTGGAAACCGTCCGATCTCGAGTTCGCTTCGTCCACCAGGGCAATCTGCTCGTCCGTCGCCTCGCCGCGCATGTACGCCAGACGAGCAGCCTCGAGACTGTCGGCGGCCATGTTCTTCTGGACCTCCAGGAAGTCGATCTTGCGCTGGCGGTTGTGACGGAGCATGTCGTAGGCTGTGTAGGCGGTCATGGCACCGGCGATGGCTGTCCAACCACATCATGGTCAGTTTCCTTTCCGATTTCTTTTCTCTTTCTTTCTCTTATCCGCAGTGAGCAAGCTAAGGCAGGAGGAACAAGCATACCAGTCAGACCAACGAGACTTATCACCGTGATTCTATGCGCAGAGTCGAAGAAAGGTCTCGCCGTGGCGAGGATCCGGTCGAACCGCGACACCTTTGCGTTTTTCGCGGCCTCGTGTGCGGCTCTTAACCGAGCGACGCGCTGCTCTGGGGTCTCGGTGCCTACCGATGGTGCTGCTGCCGATATAGGTTTTCTTGGGCCTCCTGGTCCTGCTGCAGGGTTGAATCTTGGACTAATTGTCCCTGCTGCCGACCCCATTTTGGAGGATGCATGTGGTGTGGTTGCCGTAAATCGGGTCGCAGACGAGGCACTGCGCTCGCCGTCTTTGCCTGCCATCTTGGGGGATGGTTTTCTCCTGTAGGCTTATCTCGATGATGGCTATAGATGGCGGGAGTTGAAAGAGGCTCCAAGTTGCTCTGAAAAAGGAAGGGAAGCGAGAGCGTCACGTCGTTTGGTCACAGGAAGCAATGGGCAAATAGGCTCGAAAAAACTGAATGCATCATCAGAAGATTTTACCAGGCCTGGGGAGCTCCCCAAATCTGTCCCCCCCCCCCCTGCAATTGGCCCGCTAGAACACCCAGGGTGGGCTCATCCTTGCCTTTTCTGCCGAGTTTTATTGCTTGAGACAGAAGGCGGCCAGCAGTGGCAGCAGCTGGTCCGTGCATGTTTCTGCAGGGCCAAGTATAAGAGAAGCCCACACCTCATTGTTACTGAAAATCTTCATACGGGGTTCTCGGGCTCCCCTCTCCTCCTCCGCTGCTGGTATATGCATGTTATCTTCTAAGCTACCCCGCAGATATCATGACAACCCAGGGAGGGCTAGGTATCGATTTTCTTCTAGTATGGCTTGACCCTCATCTTGATCAAGAAGCAGGGGATGTAGGTTGGGAAGCCTGCATTGCACACTGTGGAAAGTGACTGGCCTGGTATTGTCCTTGAGCATCAACTTTAGAGGCCAACTGGAGTATATAAACGCCCTTCCCCCCTATGGAGCAGTCATGTGATTGTCTCTGTCCTATTTTCCTTCTCCTTTCATTTCATTTCCCCGCTCCCTTCATTGTGTTCATCGCTTGATGCGGTGTCATAAGGAAGAATGGAATTGTACATGTTTGAACGGCACATGTGCTCTTTGCGCCCAATATTCGCCAATTGTCCGTCACTAGTCACGAAACACGAGCCGCCGACCAAGTTCTCGACCATCACACTCCAATTGATGAGGCTGCCAAGCCGCCCGGTCCCCCGCGTCGACATGCAGCTCGGCAGCGCGGCTCATACGGGTTTGGAAGCTGCATAGAAGCTGACGCATGCTGCACAGAAGAGCACCTCATACTCGGGTGGGTGTGGAAGCTGCTCAGAATCCCTAATGCTATAGTAGTAGCCGCATGAGTCCTCCCTATAGTGTAGGTTGTGTGGCCTGGAAGACTCAAAATTGGTCCGGCTGCCGCCTGCCTATCGCGGCATCGTGCCTCTTGTCATGAGGGCTTTTCGGCCAACATCGCAAACGTGAAGAAAGAAAGAGAGAGAGAGAGAGAGAGGGAGAGAGAGAGGGAGAGAAAAGAGAAAGACAGTACAGACTGGAGGAGATCGAACGTCTCCAATGAGAACTGAGCTAATCTGATCCGTAACTACACGGACCGCCAGAGACAGATTCTACGCCATGTCCTGAGATGGGTTGTCACCGTGTGCCTCGTGGTTTCAACAAGCCTATATGATGAGAAGCTCCTGCCTTTTCATATTTCAAGATGATGCCGTCTCCTGATGTCCTAAAAGAGAGAGAGAGAGAGAGAGAGAGAGAGAGAGAGAGAGATAAGGAAAGACCAGTGTCCAAGCCTTTCAAGTAAGTAGTGGATGATGGCCTGCCAAAACCGTCAAAGGTTGTCATGAGTGGGCTCTACCGCAGTTGGGGGCCCCGGGAGCGGTAGAGGCCCCTCACTCTCTGGTTGTGCCCAGAGACGCTCGAGGAATAAAAGAGTGCCTGATACATGCAACACGTTCTAATTGGCAAACCATGGTCATAGACGGGATGTCTGACCTACTATATACTATATGCCTCCAAGTAGGAAGGTAGTGAGTGGGTAGGACGTCTGCAGTAGTACCAAAGTACCAACACGCCCGGGTTAGTCAGGCGGCCTAGTTCCGCCAAGAGGGTTTTAACTGCCAAGGCTGCCTGACCTGCAGTGACGAGCAAGTACTCCAACCCTAATCAAGGTCACTATTGCCATAGCACCTCTCACTGTACTCCACTCACTATAACCCAACCAACCAACCCACAGCACACCAGCACACCAAACCCACCCACCACCATCACTGTGCATCAAACGTTGAATTCAGCCAGCCTTCGTTGGTTCCCAAAGGTCATCAGCCCCCTTGCATGTCAGTTCAGTAGCTTTGTGGTGTGTGTATGTGTGTGTGTGTGCACAGCACTTACTGGCAGGCCCATCTGTTGTCGAAGGAGCTGCTTGTGGATTTCGACCAGAGAGAGGCCAGAGTCCTTGAATTGCAGCTGCTGAGGGAGGACCAGGACGCGGAGGTGGATTCTGTATGTACGGCTTGTACTCATCCCAATTGTTCTAGGTTCTTCATTCCGCACTTTCTTTGAAAAGAATGCTGATACCGATGCCAACCGAAACGCGCCAGTGCCTGTGCCATCATCATCCTTCTCACCGAGGAGAAGCAGCCCACACAACCCAGTCACCCCCATCACCTCATCGGCTGGGAGCTACTGTGGGTGCACACCCGAGGGAGGGAGCACGAGAGAGAGGGGCAGCAAAAGTATGAGTCGTAACTCTCTCTCTTCGACGGAGGACATTCGTTCGTTCATTCATTACTCCTCGTATTTTATCATCCATCCATCCATCAACAAGCCAGTAGGGCCCATAAGCACGCACCGCCTCATCCGTCCACACAAGGCCTATCCGGCCTCTTCGGGAAAAGTGAAGAGTCTAGAAAAAGCCCACTCTTTTCATTAAAAAAAACAACCTTACTCTTGCAGCCAGATTACCTCGCAGGCGACCCAGACGGCCCCAGACGTCCACACCACAAAATACCCCTGGACTTTAGAGACCAAAATCTTTTATTTTTATTTTTATTTTTATATTTATTTTTTTGCCTTCTATTTTCGTCATTAAGGTTGCATGATTCCACCCGGAAGCTGGAGGACGTCGCTGCAAGCTTGGGAAGGGGGCCTTCCTAAACAACACCTCCGGGGGGCCTACTTGTGGTAGGAGACGAAAAGGTCAGGCTGTGGATGAACAGAGAGTGTGTGTTTAGTGTGTGTGGATGCATCCTGCACAGAGATTGCGACCAACATGACCCCCGACGATATTGAAGACCTTTTCAGGCGCACAGATGGCATCGTCCTGGCCGGCACTGCCGACGGCGAGGAGGAGCCGACCCTCACCGAAGAGGAAAGGCAGTACCGCATCGCCCACCTGAGGGCCGTCCTACTTGAGGCGCATAATGCTTGGGTCAGCGGGTCCGAGGATCTCGACCGCATCGCAGAAAAGCTGGGCGATGGGAGTCGACACCGTGAGTCCGTCTCGTGAAGAACTGAGGGGGAAAGGGAGGAGCCTGTGCGCGTAACCTCTGTGGCCTCCCCCTCTCTTTCTCCTTGTCCTTGGCCTTGTCTGCCAATCCATTTGGATTTAATTGTGCACTCGGCTAATATTGTGTTACACGCATAGCCCTCTGGCGGTCACCAATAGGTGCATCGGGCATCTTGAATTTCTTTCTAGGCATCCTCCCTACCCCTGGCCTAAGACCTCTTCTCAGGTCGCATGCTCTTCGTCTAATCGGAAACTCGTGCGCGGACACAGGTAAGATAACTATCTACAACACAGCATTCCTTTTGCACGAGCTGTTGTCACAGGAAGTCTCATGTGCTGATACAGGCGACTGGGGCAGATGAGAATAGAGCCCGCGTGGTGGACAGCGGCCGGATCCATGCCATCATAGAACTGCTTTACGATGATTCTCTTCTCCCTTTCGTGATACCCGTCTTATATAATGTCTTGGTCGACTATGGTAAGGCTGCTCAACCTCACCTAGCTTGTTTTATGGGAAAATCGGAGGAGGAGAAGCTGATCTCTTCTCTTGCAGAGCCAGTCCAATTACAGGCATGCGAGGCTGGGCTCAGCCAGAGGCTCATGGAGATCCTTGGCGGCCCCCGGCTGGAAGCATGTCGTCTCTACGTCAACCTCATTTGCAAGATTCTGGCCCTCTTGATAACACAAGGTCTGTATATTCTCGCTTCGGCCACAACAGCTCTGTCCCTCCTCCCTCTCTCGTCTGTCGTCGCTGACCCGTGACCCAGAACCCGAAATCCGTAACGGGCCCCCTGCAACACCCCTCATCCTCCTGTCTGTCGCCACGAACCGCCAGCACCCGGTCGACCTAGAAGACTTCAGCGGCCTTGCCTCGGTGGCCCTAGCCTACCTCACTCACGAATCCTTCCAAACATACATCCTCGCTGGTCTCCCGCTGCTCCTTACCGCCTTCTCCATGTCTTACACGCACTTCGACCCCGGCCAGGCCCCAGATCCAGACGACGCCGCCCAGCTCCGTCAGGTCCGTAACGCTTTTGTTCCCGTGTTAGCCGACATCTCGGCCCTGCCAGACTTCATACCTGGTTCAGCCCAGGGCGGCGCGGGCATACTGTCGCACCCCGTCTTTCAGACACTTCAGAGTTGGCTCCACGGCCCACCGGCGCACGCAAACCTACAGACCGCGTCTTGCCTGGCGCTGGGGAATCTAGCGAGGAGTGACGCCACGTGCGTGACCTTGGTCCGCGATGCGCAGATACACCAGCCGCTTCTCGGCCTGCTCGCTCGTTGCATAGGCGGAGAGGCGCCACCCAACGCGCAGCTCACGCACGCGGTGCTCTCGTTCCTCAAGAACCTCGCCATCCCCGCGGTTAACAAGCCACAGCTGGGCCGGCTCCTAGAGCCCAATATGCTGCCCAAGCTCTGGTCAACGTCGGGCGATAGCCAGCCGCAGACCCAGTTCGCAGCCGTGTCTCTCGCCCGGCTGCTGCTCGTCGGCTGCCCGCCCAACGTCCGGCGCCTTTGTGCCCCGCTCAGCCCCGACCCAGACTCTCCGGCCCACGACAGGAGCAACCTTCACGTGCTCACCGCGCTATTCGAGCGCAGCGACGCCGAGCCGACCAAGATGGAGGTCGCGAGGGCGGTCGCCACCGTCTGCCGCATCCTTCACTCGACGCCCGTGTCCCCTGTGCTGCCCGACGACGTGCCCAGTACGGCGGCCACCCACAGTACCAAGCGCGTGAAGCGCGAGAGCGCCTCTGTTGACGGAGGAAACACCATTGTCGTCAGGGGAACAGACCCACACACGACGTCTTCGTCGTCGTCTTTCTCCCCGACCTCCTCCTTGGCCCCGGCGCCGCTCTCCCCCTCGGCCTCCTCGAACCCGCACTCACCCGCCTCCCACTCATCCTCATCTGGGGCGTCCACGGGTGCTGCATCCACGGCCTCCAGCCAGACCCGCCGCGCGCGCTTCTACAACGCCCACGACCTCGCCCTACCGCTGTCCTTTCTCATCAAGCAGACGCGTTTTCCCGCACTGCGGTCCGAGGCGTGGTTCGTGCTCGCCCTCATGTGTCGCGCCCCCGACGGCGCCCGTGTCGTCCAGACTGCCCTGCAGAGCTTCGAGGCCTGCCGCGCCCTCGTCGAGAGCGTCACGGGGCGCGACATGGCCGACGGGCACGACCTGCTGCTCGCAGCCAGCTCCTCGCCACCAGCCGAGGGGCAGGAGGACGGTCCCGGCAACGCGCGCGTCAGCATCGGCGACGGTGCCGGCTCAGGCCCGGGCTCTTCGGGCATGGGCATGGGCATGGGCGTCGGCAGCAGCAGCAGCAGCGCCATGGGCATCGAAGGTCTCGGTCTCGGCTCCCTGGAGCCACAGCAGGTCGACGCGGCCACACAGGCCAACATGGCGCGCATCGACCGCGAGAATGGCCTCTGCATGGTCGCCGAGCTGCTCAAGAACCACTCACATGACCTGCTTCCCCTGCGCAAGAACATCTACGAGCAACTGCTCCTGACAGGCGGGGAGCTGGTCCTGCACGCGCGGGAGGACGGCGGCGGAGACATAAGTATGGGCGGTGTGGAACGGACTTCTTCTGCTGCTGCTGCTGCTGCTGCTTCAGGAGCAGGAGCAATGTTATCGCCCAGCCAGCTGATGCAGCAGCAGTTGCCGGCCGGTGCAGGTTTCGCAAACATGGGCATGGGATACGACGGGGGAATGGGCGGCGGAGGCGGTGGTGTCTATAGACAGGATTGGAACACCCAATAAAACAGGTCGCCAGTTGCATAGATTTACAGGTGTTTAGTTGCATGTGAAAGGCAAGGGCAAAAGAGTAAAGAAAAAAAAAGACAAGTAGTGACTGGTTCCCACAATCTATCCCTGGGAAGTTGTCCATACTTCTTGCGCGTTGACTGTCTATATCCTCCCATGTGACTTTCAGGTGATTGTCAGTATTCATATATCACGGACAAGTTGGAATCAAGTTGGAATCTTTGGTTGGTTCTTGACGTGACGCCTTGTATCCTGGGGAGTTTTTCAGTTCTCAAAAAGTCAAGTACGAAACACACTCGAGCAGAATGTATGCATGTACCGCCAAAGTTGCTCACGATTTGGCACTCTTTTTAGCATTACTGCACCTTCCCATAATGCACACTCATCTCACTGACCTTTCCTTACGCCCGGGTTGGGGGGAGACAGCGGGGAAAGATAGGTTTGATCATGACTTTGTGTGTATTTTTTTGTCCCTCATCCCTAGCAACCTTTAACGCAGAGAAGCCAGACCAACCAGAACGACCCAGAGATGAAGTACCAGTTGCGTAAAAAAGTGCTGCGCAGCCCTATCAGCCTGAACCGGAAACCTCTTTTCCCACAAGCAAAACAAACTCCCCTCACAATCATCTCGTGCGAGCAGCTTATTTTTGCTTGGCCTTCTCCTCCTCGGCCCGCTCCCTAGCCCTCTTCTCGCGCGCACCCTCGTTGCGCTTGTTGGAGCGCTCGTCACGCAGCTTGCGGTAAGCACCGCCCTCGATAGGCTTGGGCAGCTCGGAGGTCTTGATCGTCTTGATGGTCTTGTCGGCGTGGACGATGGGGAAAGCGGCGCCGGTGGAGGCAACAGCGCTCTCGACGGCCTTGAGATCCTCCTTGGAGGAGTCACCCTTCTTGGGCTTGTTGCTCTTCTTGGGGAACAGGATCAGGCGGGCGGTGTAGGCCTTGAGGCGCTCCACGTTGGCGGCAAGGGACTCCTCGGACAGGTTCTGGCGGCGGGCGTCGACGGAGATGCCGATGGTGGGGGCGTACAGGCGAGGGATACCGGCGGCCTAAATAGTTTCGTTAGACACTGTCTTTTTACTCTTGTCTTTCATGCGAGCGACCACGAAAATTTCCTGTATTGCTGTTGTCGTAAGGCGGGGGGCCTGGAGGGTAAAAAAGTATCCTCGCAGATTGACGCGCGCTCGCTTCTTGGAATCGTGGGGAATCAATGTACCTTCAGCTCAGCCAGGGTGAAACCACGGCCGGCACGAACACGGCGGTTGTACTTGACGGTAGGGCATCGCACAACAGGTCGGAGCTTGTCGATGGGACGAGGGGCAACGGCAGCAGCCTTAGCCTTGCGGGCGCTGCGTCTCGAAGCCTTCTTGCCGGGCTATATTGCAAAGAAACCAAGGTCAGGTTCAACTCTATTATCAAATCCACACGGGGGCCAAGTCCGAATGCTGCTGAAGACGTCCTCCTCTTTCTTTTGTGCGCATCCAGATCATCGTCACCGATGTGGGGTTTCATCAATCGTTTGCGCACCTGGTCGAAGTGGCATCGAACCCGACGCTGCCAATCCTTGCGGAAGTCTGGTATCCAATACAGTCAGTGTCTCTGTCGCTAGATGCTTTGCCCGTCCAGTCGTCTATCGTCGGTGGGAAACTGCAATCGATGTCGCGAGGGGAGAGGGAAGGCGGTTTAGAACTAACGGTTCTTGACGATGGTCTGGTTGTGCTTGATCGCCTATAGATGGAAAAAGTAGGGTCAGCAATGTCATCTCGACGACTATAAGAGTCTGCTTTCTTTGAGAGTGCAGTAATTTCTTACCATTTTGTCTGTGGTGCGATCAACGACTGGTCGGGAGTGATGGCAAGTTGTTGTATCGTCAAAAGCGAACCTACCAGATGGTTGTTGCAGGTTGGTGTTGAGAATTTTGAAAGTGGTGCTGGTGTGCGCTAGACTTTGGAGCCCCTGTTGATTGGTTATAGACCCGCTTTTCCTGGCTCAAAATCAGCAGCCGCGGGTCTCTGCGCTTCTGAAATTTCGCCAGCCCACATTTCTGATGGAACCAGCTGGCCGCCAGCTGCCCTCCACCCCAACATCATTCTATCACTCTGCCGGGCGCAGACCAAAGGCCGGCGCCAGCCTTCAGGCCACGCCAATTGATTCACCGAGGAATACTTCGTTCCCGACACACATCTAAGCACAGCATGTCTATTACGATCCTAAACAGAACTCCACACTTCGACGATTGGCCTGGCGACGCAGGTGCACCGTCGTAGCAGATTTCTTCATACTATCGCCCAGTTCGACCACGACCAGCGTCTGGTGGCAGGGTACTCGTCCACCACATACATGGTTAATGAGTGATGTGATAGCCGTAAAATCAAATGCAATTGAATGTATGCTAATTAGGTGAAGTGGTATGTCCGGTGCCGGTCAAGGAAATATGCTCGGAACCGGGATCATGGCCACGTCATTTCTTACTCCAGTTTGCCCTCCCAACTCCTCAGCCCTTGGGTATCTGATATCCGCCCCCCAACTGGCTCAAAAATGATTGTCCTGGTGAGACGTCTCTCGACACTTGTAAATCTTCCCTTCATGCAACCAATGCATGCACCAATCAAGCATGCGCCTTCCACCAGAATTTCCCCGAGATGCGTGATTAGAAAGTTTGACTCCAAACTCCGTCAAAAAGATGATGCACGCCCACAAAAGCCGATACATGCCGCCGAACTTAGACAGAAACGCCGTAAATGGTGTGGTGCTACAGCACTGGTCATTGATGCTCGTCCATTGTGGTCAGATCGTCCACCCAGCCCAACCTGTCCCGATTCTCGTCACAGACGCGGGCAAACTCGAGCAACAACCGCCACACGTACAGAACAGTGTCCTCGCGCCTGAGCACCATTTCGCCCCATCTCTTGCCGGTCTCCGCGATCAACCTGGCCGCAGCATCGCCCTTGTCATCGCGCATAAAGTAGTCGAGGATCCCATAGAGATCCTGGAGGGTATTGTCCATCGGAGCGAAGTGCAGCCACGGCTGCAGCCGATCGTCGTGCCACTCGGCATAAATCGTGGCCTTGATTGGCAGCGAGGTACTGAGCAGGAGCCCGCGGTACCGTGCGCTGAAGGAGTTGCCATCCACATCAGGAATGAACTTGTGTTGGAATTGTTTATCCATCGGCTTGGGAGCGACCTCGTGGAAGAACTCTGAGAGGTACGAGCAGTTGCCTTCGCGGGGAAAACAAAGGAGCTCCGTGAAGCCGGCATCGGTGGTCTCCGAGAGCCATCCACCAACCTCGCCTTCGAAGCGGCGGAGAAAATCATACCGGTCAGCCGGGGGCATCTGGAAGGTCATGGCTGGCACAGCGTTTTCTTCCAGGTTCTGGACGGTTGTGCCGTTCAGCATTTCGATCAGACGCAGCCGCTGAAAATGCCTCCAGTTGGTGTCCTTGTGCCTACCTCCGGACGCCACACCACGCCACGTCACTGAGGTGGTCTTCTGGTCCCACGACGGCCCGTGCCAGTTCCCCCCGCTGTAAAACGAATCTGCCGTCAAGTACATGGCACCAGGAATCAGTATCTCATTGTTCCTGGACAGCTTGGAGCCTCCGAAGAGGGGAATCAGCTCCTGCGTCGTCCTCATGCTGATGGGCTCGACGAAGGTGGAGTGCAGGCCCCTGAGGTGTGGTTGGTAGCACGGATCCATCGCGGCCGTGTGGTTCTTGACGTAGCCTCCCTCGCTGAAGTCAGGATCCCAGTTCTCGGGGAACACAGGTGGCAGGGAGAAGTCCTCAAGGGCCGACGCGTTGCGACCTGGTGAATCAGGTGGGCAAGTGGCCGCCGTGTAGTCCCAGATTTGTTCGGTGTCTGTGAGCCATACTGGCTCATACGGGCGCTGAGCGTCAGCGGTGGAGTCGCCATGTAAGGACCTGAGGCCGTGCCAATCACTGACGACATCATCCACAGGCGTGATCTTGCGCCACATCCTCGCGTTCTCTACCATCTGGCCAATGTCCTCCCATGGCACCAGGATCCGCGACTCGTCCATGTAATTGATGGGCATATCCACGTCAGGCAAAAACTCGGCGAATTCAGCGACCAAGTCCGTCCACAGCTGCAGCCAAGGCACCTTGCCCGTGACGTCGCCCACTGGTATGGCCTTGTTGCTCCTGACGCGCACAACATGCTCCCAGTCGGCAGCCCTCTTGGCCGTCTGCCACGAGTCCAGGGCCCAAAACGGTAGCAGATCCTTGTATATCCTGTCGAAGAAGGACTCGACGATGACAGCGTCGTGCTTAGAGGCATACTCGAACCATTTGTCGAAACCAGGCGGAGGATGCCGTCCCCGTCTCACGCGATACCGTGCTGCCGCGCTGCGCAGGTCGGTAGACCTCATCTTGAGTAAGGCATCCTGCTTGCGGAGCGCATCGGCAATCAGGTCGTTGATAGGGTGGGGGCCGTACTCGCTGGTAGCGTTTGCAAAGATTTCGAGAAGCTGGGCCTCGGAGGTAGGTTTGCGAAAGGCAGAAGAGAGGGCTGGCGGAATTAGGGCCTTTGCGCTCTTGGAAGATTGAGATAAGAGGAAGGCCGTGAAGAGGAGTGTCAGGACACCGGCGACGGCGCAGAAACGTGTGAGGGCGGGGACTGATGTGAGTCGACGTCGAGGGCGGGGGAAATTGGGCCAGACGGGAGTCGTGAGGGTCAAAGGCGACTGGAGCGTTGAATACATCTTAGACATGCCGACCACCGCACGGCAAGTTGCTCCAGTTTAGGATGGACGGAAGGTAAGCCACTCCAACCAAAGGGCGGGTCAACCACGTCCTGGTCCAAAGACAGCAGGCGTCCAAGCTGGCAAGGCTGAGAACCCCGTCGTAATTGAGATGGGACACGGACGACCGTAAGGGGTTGTCACTTGTGACTCGCAATGTTGTGAGATGGCCGACCTAACGGTAATCGTGACGGTCGCAGTGTCCGATGCACGCTCTTGCACGGTGGGTGATGAAGGGAATTGGGGGGGGGGGGGGCGTGAATTTTCAGAGATCTTATCTCACGGAGCCACTGTGATGATGATTGTCACTCGATGGTCATCGGTATCGATAGGGTCGACATCGTCCCAACAAAGACAGACTTGTCAAGAACGAGGGAAATTACAAGAGGGCATTTTTGTTAACTTTTCTTGATCTTCTTTAGGCGACAGTAAACAAGTCAGCAGAGGATGAGGAGGTAGTAAGAAGGGGCCAAAAAGACCTTTTGAAGCTCCCACCCGTTCACTGTTACTCAAGAAATATCAGACCAGCCTAACGAGAACCATCCATCCCGTCAAAGGGAAGATGGGAACCAAGACAGGACGGGGCCCAGGCTATGACGCCCAAGCCCGCGCCCTTGCTCCTGCTGCTCTTGGCGGCTCATTAAGGAACTTGGCAGCCACCCTCAGCGATCATTAAGCCATCCCCCGCCCCTCCTTCCCGTCCCACAGCAGGCGCCAGGAAATGAGGTGCTAGAACTTGTTAATGGATGGTTAACCTTCCCAGTCATCGGTGGCGTTCGTGGGGGCGGCGTTGAGCGATACGGGAAAGGCTCCTACCATTTCCCTAGTCCAGCCCCGGTAGCCCTTTCTGGACTTGGAGGTGACGCCCGCCGAGGGGAAAGCCATGATTTTAGCTGCATGGATAGCGCCTCAAGGAAGCGCCGTGGAGAAAGATTGACTGGAAGGAAAATCAAGAATCCAACAGGTTAGATGGGGAAGGTGGGGGGGGGGGGGGTGTCATGACAGAGGCTAAAAGTAGGTGGTGGGACATTTGATCCTTGGTTGATTTCTGATCTCAACTCTGGTCTTATCAAAATTTACGATGACAGTACAGACGAAGAGTTGAGTTCAAGAGGTCCAAGACTGTTGGTTGACAGGCCAAATAAGCATACATAATAACAGTATTATGTACTATACCATATGTCTTGTTGGGAGACCCCTGTCTGTACCACTCTACTGGGTCCACATAAGCCCAGCCCAGAGCAACCCAGCCCTATAACAGAGTACCGAGTTCAATAGGACTTATTTGGGAAATGAACTGTATTGAACTGCGCTTAGGGAAGGAAAAAAGGGAGGAAAAGAAAGGAAGGGAAGAAAAAAGCTGGCTAACTGGAGCTATAGCTAGGTTGGCTGGCGATAGTGGGGCCAGTGACCCACCTGGCCTCGCACAACTTATGGCTGCTAATGAGATAAGCTTGCTGTTGTATCTGCTGGGTAAGCGGGCGATACAGAATAGAAAGGGCAGCAACAAGAAAAGTGGCAAGCCAACAGGTTTCAACGTTCAAGTAGGAGGAAAACCCAGAGAAGAACGCATTCTCAAGGGGGAGCCAAGACGAGAAATATGCTAAAGGAACTAAGGGATCAAACCTGACCTTGGCATAGTGGCATGCAACATCAACGAGACAAAAAGAAGGCCATTCATCTGGGACTTTTCATACCTTGGCAGCCAAGTACTGGGTTGGCTGATATCAAATTATATAGTTCTGACCACCTCGCTCTTTCCATGACCTTGGAAATATCTGCCACATTCAGTACAGTCATGCTTATACTATTACCCAGGCTTTACCACCTCAAGCTGCACTCAGCCGGGCCGGCGATATTGAATTCTGACAATCAATCAACCACCTTTTGCCGAGGACCGGCTGCAATACAGAAATGCCGAGCGGCAAATGTGGAGATGCAACCTTGATTTCTGGGTCGATGAATGAGCTCATCTGCCTGTTGAGGATGTCAATTTGATGTTGATCATCGCCATTGCTGGCATTCTCCAACATCGTGCTCACAATAACTTTTCGAGGCAATGAGGAGCTGTGGGTTATCAGTGGTTACCCCGCTGTGCCTATCGCTGCAGGCGGTCCTCTTTCGGAGGGCGTCATACTACAACGTTCGATGCTTAGATCTACAGACCGAATTTTAGACATGGCTTTGAAGCACAAAAAAGTATCGTAAAGCGTCTTCACTTAGGTGGGTGGATTTATCGTCGTCTTCTCTCTCTCTCGGGCGAGGGAACTTAGGCAGCCTGTTTCTCTCTGGGTAAAGTTAGGGTTCACACCCCTCCCTCTCGGTGTGTTTAAACTTTATATTATAAACACGATGCATTTTTCTAGACTTGTCGCCAGTGCGCCTCTTGCGCTGGCCGCTACCATCCATCACCACAACAATGGTGGCAGCGATGGCCAACGCTTCCTCTTTGGAGGAGGACGAGGCCATGATGTCTTCTCTTCTTCCTCCTCTTCGGCCAAGGATTTCACATGCGATCTACCCTCTGCCCTGGATCCCTCAGACGACGGCCTCCCTTCAGCCACTTCCCTCTTCACCTCCAAGGAGGCCCTCGCGAGGCAGATCGAGCGGCACTCAGCCCTTGTCCGGGTCCCCACGATCTGTTACGACGACCTGGGCCCCTTCGATACCGACCCGAGGTGGGCGCCGTACCACGAGTTTCACGATGTCCTGGCCAAGACCTTCCCCCTGGTGCATCAGCGCTTCACCCGCCAGAAGATCAACACCTTCGGCCTCCTCTACACCTTGCCAGGCTCCGACCCGTCCCTGAAGCCGCTCATGCTCGCCGCTCACCAGGACGTTGTCCCTGTCGCCGACGCCTCGACCTGGACCCATCCGCCCTTTGACGCCTACTTCGACGGCACCTGGCTCTGGGGCCGTGGCGCCTCCGACGACAAGAACAGCCTGACGGCCCTCCTCTCCGCCGTCGAGACCCTGCTCGCCCAGCCCGGCTTTCAGCCCCGCCGCACTGTGCTGCTCGCCTTCGGCTTCGACGAGGAGTGCAGCGGCGCCAAGGGTGCTGGCCACATCGCCACGCACCTGCGCGACACCCTGGGCGAGGACTCCCTCGCCATCGTCCTCGACGAGGGCGGCATGGGCCTCCAGCAGATTGGCGACGTGCTCTACGCCCTCCCCGCCGTCATGGAGAAGGGCCACGTCGACATCTGGTTCAGCCTGCACCTCCAAGGCGGCCACTCCTCGACCCCCTTCCCGCACACCGGGATCGGCATCGTGAGCGAGATGGTCGTCGCCCTCGAGAGCAACCCCTACCGGCCCGAGCTCATCAGGAACTCGCCCATCTACAACCACTATGTCTGCCAGGCCAGGTACAGCCCGGACGCCGAGCCCGAGGTCACCAAGCTGCTGCACGACGGCGACCTGGAGACCCTGGCCGAGGAGCTGGCGTCCCAGGACCGCAGCACGCACTACAGGCTGCAGACGAGCCAGGCCGTCGACTACATCGGCGGCGGCCAGAAGATCAACGCCATGCCCGAGGTGGTCACGCTCGGTGTCAATTACCGCGTCGCGCCGCAGGATCACATCGGCAAGATCATGCACAATGTGGTCAAGTACATCACGCCCGTGGCCAACAAGTACGGCGTCACGCTCAAGCCCTTTGAGAAGGACGACGAGTACGCTGCGTATGTGCAGGAGGCTGGCGCTGAGCACGACCTGTGGGCGATGAAGGGTGGTGCGGGTGCGGGTGAGGTCGACGTGCTGTACGACGTCGACTACAACGCTACGCTGGTCCTGTCCGCGAGCCAAAAGACCCAGGCCGCACCCGTGAGCCCGTCGAATGATGATGACGTGTGGGATGTCTTCTCCGGCACGATTCAGCATTCCTTTGCGTTTGACGGCGGCAAGGTTGTGCCCGTTGGGGAGTTGATGACGGGTAACACCGACACAAGGCATTACCTTGGTAAGTCTTTTTCTTTTTTTCCTTTTCTGCATCCCCCCCTGGCTATGTTCCATACACGCTGGCTACCTGTGGAGGGGGTTCATGCTCCGAAATTGTGCAGTGGCTAATTATCTTGTATTCAGATTTCACCCGCCATGTCTACCGCTGGTCTCCAACGCGCCAGGGCGGCAGTGATAACATACATACAATCGACGAGAGGGTCAACATGACCGTCCACATGGAGCTAGTACGGTTCTACTACGACTTCGTCCGCAACTTTGATGCGGCAAATGTGGCCAAGATCGACAACAGTGAGCTCGAACTGTGAAGGGTGATACCTGTGCATCAGAGGCTACATCTTATCATGAGATAATGAACATGTGAGAGAGATGAATCTGTTCGGTAATCATTAAGGACAGGCCGCAGGCAAAATTTGGATTAAAAATTAAATATAAGGTCAAGCTCTCCTGGATATATCATAGTTCCTGCCATTCGCTCTTTCTTCGTCCTCGACTGTTATCGAGGGTCTTCAGAACGCTTATAAAGTGATGACAACCAAAGGCAGAGCGCGAGATCCAATTTGTGCGAATTTTATCAGCCTTGTCAAATTATACCTATTGGGCTGCTTTTCTTCTTTCTTTCTTTCTTGCCAGAGATTGCTTCTAATTTTCCTTCTTTTCCTGTTGACTATCTGAATGTCCAGAAGATGGAACGGGCGAATAGTTAGACAAACCAAGTATGCTGAGATGCTTCGTTCCTGTACAGCAACTGCAGCAAACTAAGCGCATGCAATGTTGTTCCTACTCAAATGTGTCGCATCATGACTATACCTGCCCAGCATTGTTGCTCTAGTGGCCCATCGTGAGCCATTGGCTAACAATTGATGATTGTCCATGTTTTTGCGTGTATCATTCATTTAGATCGTAGGAATTCAAAATTGATAACCAAGATACGGAGGGCTCATGGATACTTCATCTGGCCATTCTGGGAAACAAAGATGTTCCCATCTTTTCCTCTTGAAGGCCTCAGATTTCTGCATTTTATGTAAAATCACTTGAGCTTCATAAGCCCAGATCGACTCTGCTCAGCTTGGTGGACGAGAGTGAGGCGGCCACTATTGCAGTTGTTGCTTTGCTGTCACAATCCTAGAGCCGCTGTGGCTGGTGAGTACTGATTCTGGAGCAACCAAAACTGTCTGTGTATGAACTCATACTGGTATCATTGCCACTATCCTTGCTAAATGAATGTCAAAGTTGCTGCGCTGGAGTGCATGCTAATTAAGAAAAAGACACAATCCAAATGAGGGTAGGGGAATCCTTCCCCTATAAAGCACATGTCAACTCCCTTTCCTTTAATCAAAACTCAGAACCTGTTTCACCGGCCGCGAACGCCAATCACCCACGCTGATTTCCTTGTGATATGGAAGAAAAAGAAAAAGAAGAGAGGAAAACCCAATAACAAAGGCGCGCGCAAGCTCAAGTCCTCGTTTTCATGGCAATAACGGCTGCATGCATCAATGTATGAGCTGCCCATCAGCCTCTGTGGTCCGCGTCTCCTTAGGTCGATTAGGATTCCGAGCGCGGCCTGGATCACATGGTAGTCCCCACCATTTAAACAGCTGCTTCATGACGCTGTCCCCCCGGGTCCTGCTGACCTCCGAGACCACGGTGGCCTTGCTTGGGGCATTTGAGGCGGAATGCTCCCTAAGTCTCTCTGGTGTCTTCGCAAAGAAGGGTGTAGGCGCACACGGTACGTCGTAATCATCAGTAGCAAAACGTCTTTCCTCGCGATCAAGGTTACTGGTCGTGTGCAGGCGGCGCTTCCACTTCGTGCCTTGCAGGGTTGCGAGGCACCCCATGAGTTCGTTCTCAACGGTGGCTAGATCGCGCTCTGCATTGTCGACATAGCCGTGGTCTTCTGGCTCGACGTAAACCCCTGACTGTAGTTCCTCAAATGCTCTAGTGATATTGTCGATCGATGCGTCCAGATCAGCAAACCAAGCATCAGAAAAAGGTTCGATGGTGATAACCGGAGTTGCGGTTTTATCAATATCCATCTTGTCATCATCGCTACAATCATCTTCAGATTGTTCCAGTGACTGCAGATACGAGGTCTCCCGAGCCAGACGCTTCTGCTTTGCCCTCCACGAGAGCTTGCCATCTAGAATGGCGGGCCCAAAGGTTTTGTCCCAGTATGGATGACCGATCGGGTACGAAACGCCCTTCTAAGAGACGATGATGTGGTTGAAATGACCAGGCACTTTCTGTCGGCACTTTTCGCAATCCGCACGGTATCCTATACTGAACGTCTTCTTCATGCCCGGTACATCCTGTGTCCAGCCATTGAGCGTGTGCCGGCTGCGCGTGTGTCCCTTCTTAGGGGACGGGGCTACAGCCGGCTCAATGTCCATGGCATGTGCGCTGACGTCGCAATCTATGCTGGTGGTATTGCCCGAGTGGCTCGAACCAGAACTGGAGCTACCCGTGACGTCGCTGACGGTGCTGAGGGCGCTTGGTGTCCGTGCCGGCGCCGAGAAATCCATGGCAGACGCTGCTCTTGGAGGCATGCCCGGGTGGGCCTGACTGTCCAGCACCATCCTGGGTGAAACGAGCTCCTCCCCTCCGCTCTCGCTAATCGGAGAAGGCAGTCGTCGATTCTGTACCAGGTCCCAGTCGACCATGGCATTGCGATCCAGAGATCGGGGAATAGAGCGGTCAGGAGGCGGTTGACTAAAGGGACTGGCTTGCATCATGTTCCCTGCTGCGCCGCTCCAGTTGTTCCCCCGGACCTGTGCTGCAAACGAGCAATGAATTGGAGTAGGCATCCTGCTAGTGATACTCCCGGGCTGCATAGGGTCTGGCTGTGATGGTCCAGGTCCCAAATAGACGGGGCTTTGTGTCTGCATTTCGTTCTGGGGCCCATCCATGTCCATGTCCATGTCGACGTCGGCAGTCCTGTACCCATCCACCATCTCCGGGGCATGATCGAAGGGAGCAGCATCCACAGGTCGTACGACAGCCAAACTGGGGGATGCAAAAGCCTGACCTGTGAATGCTGTCTTTTGGTGTAGATGTACAGTGTTCACATCCTCAGAGTCCGAGTCACCCGGAGTGATGGTATGGGGGGACCGCTGCGGCGCACCGAACAAGTTGCTGTTGGACAAGGCGCCACTGTTGAAGCTTGATGGAAACGAAAGTCGCTTGGACGGTGGGGATGTGCGGAAGGGCAGAGACTGCAGGCGTTTCTGTGAGGTGACATTGTCAGTACGGAAGCAGGACGGGGCGCATTATTAACGTCATTGACAAGGTCGATCGGGAAGCGTACGTTGCGGTGTTCTGTGAAGCCCTCGGTGCCTCCTATGGCGACATCGCCATCCCCATCCTCGTCTCGGTTGCGTTTCTTAGACGCCATGCCCCAGGTCTGGGTGAACATGGTGGGTAATCCTCCCAGTAATTAGATCTTTAAAAGACTCGTATGGTGGATGGTGCAGAAAAGCAATAGGCAGCGGGACGCCTCACAGGTCGTGACCGTATATTAGTGAAGTACCGGAAAGTAGAGTCTAGAAGCGAATGTCGACGAATGTGGTTGATTGAATATTGCGTCGTATCGACGACCAAGGAGAGGGGCGGTCGAGCTTCTTCCAGCCTGCTCCCAAAGAGCGGTGTTTACGCCAGACAGTCTGCAGCCAGCGAAGAGGCAGGGGCGAGGACCTCGAGGTCGCGCTGACGAGGCAGTGCCGGCCGAGCTAGGCCTTGAACTTCGAGTGGCCTGCCTGATTCCTGTAATCAGGACAAGGGAGCCGCGGTGTACAGCCGAAGCCAGGTGAAGCCGGATCAAGTCCACTATTAGGTTCAAGATCGGTCGCTATGGCCGTGTAGAACGAATGCGCATTTGTTGTGAAGGCAGAGGAGATGGACACCCCCGCAAGCGTGCAGATGGACACGAGCCCTCCGGTGTTTCGTAACCGCGAATTGATGCGAGCTGAGTCCGGGCTCTGTCTAGACGGAGAGGAACAGAAAGGGCGGACAAGGCACCGAAGAGTTCAACGGGTGACTGGGGAAGGAGACGGGAGGAGGGAAAGAGAAAGTAGGGAAAGAGGGGATTCCCAATCGGGCGAGAGAAAATAGCCGACCAGAGAGACCTGCTCGTTGCCTGCTCTGGTCCTCAGGGCGAACCAGTCACGCGAGGGGCTGTCCAAAGTCGTTTGTAATTATGATGCAGGGAAGAGTTGGGGTATCTCCGCAGCTGCAGCGTGCAGTGTGCAGTGCGCAGTCCCAGTGTCAGCACTCCCTTTTCAGCCAAGAGCGTTCTGCCGTGGAGGAAGCCGGATGTTGCTGTTGCTGTTGTGGTAGCCGCACGCAGCTCGAGGACGGCTGCGGCGGTGCGGAGGAACGAAAGTACTATGTACGTCAACGATCTCCTTCAGCCTATTGACATCTGCTGGGTGGACTTTGCTTCTGGCGGCGAAATGGACAGGATGATGCAGCATCAAAAGTATTCAAGTAAGCAGCAAAGAAGATAGAAGAAATAAATTCATCCCTTAACAAGAGCAACAAGAAAAGAGAAAACCACGAAACAAGATAAATCCACTTCGCCTCGCTTGAGAACAGGGTGCCGAGGTCGTATCCTGACCAGAGTAGAAGGGACGGGATGATGTTGTCTTGCAGGGGATTCGTCCTCTTTTTCCTCCACTCCTGTAGTATGTACCACAGTACTATGCACACATTATGGTGCCCGATGAGCCTGTCCAAGCCTCTCTGCTAAGCCTATGCTACAAGAACTAGCGCTCGCCCTGTCCTGCTAGTCAAGGGTCCAATGGTTGGAGCCTAGGCCTGAGAGATGGGATGGGGAACCATGAGACCCCGGCCACAGTGGGGGGCCGGGGGGAAGGGGGCGGCTGGGGATACCCTCATTCACAATCACTATTACATAGTACACTTTCAGATACTACCAAATGTGTAGGTGCATCATAGGTCCAGACCACTCTTATCCAATATTTCGCTTTTCTTCTCATAATTCAAGAGGATAGACAGGCCTTCGACCTCCAATCAGCAGTATATGGAACTACGTCATGTTAGTGGTTAGGTAGTGAGGGCTTCAAGACGCTGATAGAAAGTGCGTGCACAAAACGCAAGGGAGAAAAGAAAAGAAGAAAACAAATAAGACACTTACGTATGACTTTGCGGCATCTACCGCCAAGGGCTTTCGCTATCAGGGATCCCGTCGCAGGTCACTTCTCGACTCGTTGTTTCTGTCCAGCCTTCTCGCGGGTTAGACCCCCTCGGTTTCAGCATTGCCTCAGACTCGGCCGGGAGGGGCGGGCTCCTGTCCAGAAGCATACATACCTCACAACTTTGCACTGAGCAACTATTCATGAATGTGCTGTCTAGTCTTGGCAAGCAACATGGGAGGACTTGAGTGTATGTTGTCCACAACAGATGTGCGCGCGTGGAATTTTAATTTTCCATCCTCATGGCGTGCGTGATGTAGAGCCTCTGGGCCGATCTTGAATGCCCGAGTGTGTAGTGCAACTTCGATAGGCAAATTTTTGTTCCATAATTCATTGTTTAAGCGCTGAGATGGGCTTCCAGATATGCGGATTTCTCGTGTAGAAAAAACTGTGGACACACACAACCGGCAGCAGTAACCCAGTGTCTGTTGACGTGCGGTTATATGTCTTGAGCAACGGGCCGACATCAGTCATGGCAGATGACCTCACCAATATGTCCATTGACACCTCGCAAGCGCATGCAAAGCCCGTTTGTGCTTCCGATCCGCTGACACGAAATCTACCATAATTACAAAACTAAACAGTATGTTTGTCACTCATTGCTACATACATACCTGACCAAACTGTATAGGGGGATTTCAATCCAACAGGGAAGAAAAATGCTGGGCACTATCAGTATACCATAATAGGTCCTTCGCATCATCAGCATCAGTCAGCTCTGGACTCACGTTCCTTTCCTCCATGAAGGCGGCTCAGGGGTGCACCGTGATGTATTTGATGTCCAAGGCCTCTGGATATCAAGTTAACAGCTTCATTGCTATGAGACATGGTCACCGCCACAGAAAAATTGCTGCCAGACAGTGCATCTAATAGCAAGGGAGGATTGAACAGAGAAAATCATATGTTTGCCAGATTCATCATCAAAGTCTTGGGTGTAGGCTCCAGTCCAGACTCACAGTCATGGTAATCAGAGCGGGCCGAGATCGGCAGAGATGTGGAACAGGGCCATGCTAACAAAGAGCCTTGCCCCTCCCCCCACTTTCTGCTCTGGGAGCTGGAGACTGCCCCGCCGTCGCCAATTGCAGTCGTGATGATTCGTCCAACAAAGAGTATCCATCTCTGTTGATGAAGATGGGATCTGAGTGTACTTGTCCTGCTGGCAATGTTTTATACTCTCTCTCCCTGTGTTGAATCTGAAGATGGCCTTAGTACTAGATTTCCTACTGGTTATCAGTCTGCTCCTCAGCGTTTGAAATCTTGCTTGACCACTTGATATTATCCTGTGTCCTTTGTCCCCTGCAAGCTTGCATTGTCACCGGAATTATTACATCAAGCGAGGCCCTGATGAACTTAATTTGCCCTTCCTCTGACTCACCATCCACATCAGGAAAGCAATTGATTCTCCTCTTTTGACTGCTATTGAATTCCCATCCTTCCATCGTCCTATAAAGAATTTGTTTCCATCACCAAGAGGGTACACAAGTCTGTAGTCATTGTGACTAACATACATCGGGCGATTTACAACTGCTCCACAAAACTTTTTTTCCTGGAACATCTTTGAAGTGCCCCCCCATCTTGACTGCCAACCTTGCCTGACCACCTTTCATTCCACACATAGCACATTCTGGCACCACCAAGAGCACGTCCTCTTGAATTCTCCAAGAACCTCTGGTCCTGTTGCACCCGCACTCGTGCTTGTCAAACGCAGCTCAGTGACTATAAAGGCCCTCGGTGCTTTTTTGTCACACAAACATCTTACAACTCCCCGAGAGTTCCTCCATTCAGACTCAGGATGCCTGGACTCATGCAAGCTCTTGTCGCTGATGACACCAGAGGTATGTGTAGCTATTAATGCGAGGTTTTCTTCATGATGCTTTTTGCAACTGGATCACCATCATCATGAGTCTCCAGTGCAGATCTAACTGCATCACAACACCCTGTTCCCCCCTCCCTTCCCTCCCCCCCTCTGTGCGCCAGCTCCGGCTGACAACTCGCTCTTCCTCCTCCGCAGTGGAGGGACAGGACCCTTTGATCCAGCCCGCCCTCCTCATCGAAGAAATCCCCGTCAGCGATGCATCCCTAGAGACTGTTGTCAAGGGCCGCCGTGAGGCCGCAGAGATTGTCATGGGCCAGAATGACCGGCTTCTTGTCGTCGTCGGCCCCTGCTCGCTCCACGACCCTGCCACTGCCCTCGAATACGCCGATCGCCTAAAGGCCCTGTCCGACAAGCTCTCTGACGACCTCTGCATCATCATGCGCGCCTACCTCGAGAAGCCTCGGACAACAGTCGGCTGGAAGGGTCTGATCAACGACCCGGACATCGATCAGACCTTCAAGATCAACAAGGGTCTGCGAATTTCCCGTCAGGTCTTCTCCGATCTGACGGCCAAGGGTATGCCCATTGCCAGCGAAATGCTGGACACCATCTCCCCACAATTCCTTGCCGACTTCATCTCCGTCGGTGCCATTGGCGCCCGGACGACAGAGTCTCAGCTGCACCGGGAGCTCGCGTCTGGTCTGTCCTTCCCTGTTGGCTTCAAGAACGGCACGGATGGGAATCTCGGCGTCGCGATTGATGCCATTGGCGCAGCTGCGGCAAAGCATCACTTCATGGGTGTGACGAAGCAGGGTCTGGCCGCCATCACCCGGACCAAGGGCAATGAGCACGGTTTCGTGATCCTTCGCGGTGGTAGCAAGGGCCCCAACTACGAGAAGAAGTTCATCCAGGAGGCCAAGGACACATTGGTAAAGAAGGGCCAGAAGCTCGCAATCATGGTGGATTGTTCACACGGTAGGTTTTTCTACACGCTGATAACAGGGGACTCTCCAAGGCTGGGTGTATGTTAATCGTAGTCTAGGAAACTCCAACAAGGACCACCGGAACCAGCCCAAGGTTGCCAAGGTTGTTGGCGATCAGCTCCGCGAGGGCGAGAAGGCTATCACCGGTGTGATGATCGAGTCCAACATTAATGAGGGTAACCAGAAGGTCCCAGCTGAGGGCCCTTCGGGACTGAAGAAGGGTGTCAGCATCACAGATGCGTGCATTGATTGGGACTCGACCGTGTCTGTTCTTGAGGACTTGGCTGCTGCTGTCAGAGAGCGGAGAGAGAAGAACAAGGGCGAGGCGAATACCCCATCTAAGACCACCCTTCTTGAAGAAGACTAAGCCGTTAAGGGCGAATAGTGTTATTGTGATCGGGACGTTTAGGTCGTGAGCCAAGTGACTCGGTTTGCAACGGGCGTTGTTGGCTTGGTGTACAATCTGCTTCTCTATTTCTTTGCAGTTGGCCCCTGGTAGCAAGGGGATGCGCATGAAATCACAGCATCGAGGAAAAATCAAAACTTGTTGGACGTTGCTAGGACTTACTGAATTCAAGAGCCACAAATGTTAATTATTGGAGCGCGTGTCTCCCTTTTCTTTTCTTCTTTTCTTGTTCTTCACTCTGCGATACGTACAAGGCGATAGGACGGTAGTTAGAAGCATTGGATTCATCAGCATGCAGGCACTGTGATGGAGTGCACGTCACCAGGCAATCGAAACCCTGTGCTCACCATCTATCTGCGCTCTGTTCAGGGGTGGAGTATGCATGATTCACAGCTGTCACCACTATTTCAACCAAACACCGCACTCCCTTCCCTACTATTCTCTGAAAGACCAACATACCTGCCCCGCCCGCCATCACTCCCCGTACTACCTAAAATGTTGCCCCCAATTCCCAACCCCGTCCCTCCTCCTCCTCCTCCACTCCCCCTCGTCAACCCCCCCGCGATACTCGCGGCTATCCCACCAGTCCGGTCATGCATGTCCATGACCTTCCGCAACGCCGCCCAGCCGAGCAAACCCGCCGTGCCGAGGATAAACGCCCACACGATGATCATGTCCTTGCGCGAATCCCGCTGGAAGCACATGGTGACGACGTCCTTCTCCGCCGCGCCCTTGCAGATGGGCAGCGACTGCGAAAGGCAGAAGGCGCGGTTGCATTGGCTGCAAGAGGGGGAGAGAGAGGCGCGGCTAGTGTGGCTCTTGCTGGCGCGTGGGGCGAGGAGGGCAGCAGCGGAGCCGGCCTCGGTGTCGGCGAAGAGACTATCGACGAGGGAAGAGGAAGAGGAGGAGGGGGATGCCTCGCCATCTGTCGGGTCGGCGTCGGCGTCGGCGTCCTCATCGGAGGACGGATCGTCGGGTTCTTTGAGATGGGAGTTGCCCAGGGAGCTTGACTTGGACTTGATTTCTATTATGGTGCTGTTGGTGAAGCAGGTGCACTTGCAGAATGTCGGTGCCGCTGTGAGATAGACGAGGCAGGGTTCAGTACATCTATGCTTTAAAACTACGTAGTACAGGATTTGGGGGGGACAAGCTGTATCAGTTCGCTAGCAAGGAACTTACATGCTGCAGCGGCTATGGAAGTAAATGCCCCGAGGAGCAGGAGAAGGAGGCCGAGACGATTCATCTTGGGCGACCTGGAGAGCACACAACTGGCATCCGGTCTCCTTTGGCGACGTGCGCGTTGACCTGAAAGGGTGGGGTTGCGAGATGAGTGCGAAAAATCTGAGCTTTGAAAGTAAGGATTCGTACGTATTGCCTCTACACAAGAAAAAGACGTTGACTGCAGACGAGCACTGAACAGCGAAGGGGTATCTATGGTAGTTCTGTTGGATTTTCAGGAGGCGATTGACCTTCAGTTGCCATGGCCAGGGATCACTGAGTACAGTACTCTTAGTGCTGTTACAATAGCATACGACACAGTAAGTACTGCGGTAAGAGCCGGCAGCGGCAAGGTACTGCCGGCCGCGAGCACCCCTGTCGTTTTGCGCTACCGCGAAATTTCGTTACTTGACGAGCTTCCCAACCGCGAACCCTCCCAATGGCGACAAGTCTAGGTTCAATTCCTCAAACCAATCGACACGATGAGAAGAATACCAAGATTACGGCAGCCTTCTGCCGTCCTGACGCAATGTCTGCAGTCGTCTACCCCAGCAACACAAATCACGGCGTCCTGCCGCGCAGCTACGACTGGCTGCATGGCGACGCCGCGTGCCTTCTCGACAACACCACACCCAGCGTTCCACAGCTCAAGGCCATGGGCGGACAAGACGAGTAACAGCGGACCATCTGCCGATGAGGCCAAGGTATCATATCCAAGAGAGGTGCAGGCGGAAGCACAAGAGGACGCTTCCCTCTCGGAAGAGCAGGACCCCTTCACCGCGATCCAAGCCGAGTCCTCCCACGCCGCACCGGTACCGTTGCAGACCGACCTCGTCCTGCCGCCGGCCGACACCATCGTCGCTCCGCGCCCCGACGACCTGGACACCGCTGCGGATCAGTACGAGCCCGCGAGCAGCGCAGCAGACCTCGAGGTTGTCGGAGGGCTTGGGGACTGGTTCTCGGAGAAGAACGACAACTGGGGGGCCTCGAAGGCATTTGTGGGCTTCGGCGCGGCGCAGAGGATTGACAATTCAGAATTGTTGATCCTGTGTGCGCGGAGGGCGGTCTTGGAGGCATTTGCGATTGTGGAGTCATTGAAGGGGACCAAGAAGAAAGGAGGCCTGCTGAAGGAGGCATGGGCCCGTGACGGGGGACGGGATGGCATGCTGAGGGTGCTGGGCCTGACGTTGGAGGTTGATTCCGAGGGCCAAGCGCTGGTCAAGGGAGACGTGAAGGGAATTGTGCAGGCTCTGTCCGCCCGGCAGGCGACGAATGCTGCTCCAGAAGAGCAGATGGAGATCTCTGCGGAGGAGGCCAAGGAGATTATCAAGTCATGGGATGGGAGCTGGAAGAAGATCTCGTTGGAGGATGTGAGGGTCAAGTTTGCGGTATGAAACCCCCTCACAAAAGAGGGTGCTGGCGTCTCTTAAGTTTCTCTCCTTGATCAAGAGTATACTGACACCCAATCTTTTGTGCAGATCACCAAGCGCATCTTCCAACTGACCGGCCAAACCATACCAGACGCCAAGCTGCTCTACGTCAACACCGTCGGGTCGCTGCTCTCCTTTCTCGTCAAGCCGCCGCCCGCCAGGACGGTCATGCAGGCCATCGAGCAACGGGGCGAGCTGGCGCAGCTTCCCAACGTGGAGGTTTTCGCGAAGCGGCAGACTCCCGTGCACGAGGCCCAGAGGGTCGGACGATGGAAGGTCATTCAGCAAGAGCTGGAGAAGAGAGGCCTGCCTGTCCTGGGCAGCGACCATGTTGACAAATACAGGGAGCGCGAGTGGCTTCGGGGCCCGAAGCCAGATGTGAAGGACAGGAAGAAGAGACGCTGAGCGAGGGATGTGCCGTCAAATTCACATCAATGTGGAACATGTTGATAGCACAGCTGATAGCCCAGAACTCCAATCTTGTGGGTTTGTAAATTACACAGCATCCAGCAAGTACTCTTTTCGCACATAGGCCTACGGCAGTCGGTCAAGATATGTCATGTACTTCAAATTACCAACGCAGACGTGTTCGACTTTTGACTTGGATTGCGGCAGTGGGACACATATTCGACCACCCTACGAAGGCCATATCACACTATCAAGATCAAAGCGTAGACAAGGTTCAGCCAGCTGACATCGGGAGTGAGAGGATATGTTTGTATTGAAGGTTCAAAAGCAGTCCGTTTTACTGGGCTAAATATCTCCAAAGCATTCTCTCTATCACGCCGTTCCAGAACCATTCGACCTCTGCCTGTCACCGTCCAATTTGTTGTTGGCCATGCGATCTTTTCCAGCCATCACCTATGTTGTGACACAATGGTGATGTGGTGGTCAGGTTGACAAGCGTTTTGTTGAGGTGAGGCTAGCTCCAGGTTGGGTGTTTATTTCTTGTCACCGCACTTGCCTATACGAATTTGTTAGAAATCTGCACGTAGAGCTTTCGAGAGGTAGTGGGGTTGAATGGTAAGGCGGGGACGACTTACAGCCTCCGGAAGAAGCGCAGGTGCAGTTGGTGCCACAGTCGCATCCAGCCATGTTGATTATGTGCGGGTTGTTGGGTTTGAGAAAAAGGGGTGGTTTGATGTTTGATTTTGTTCTGTTTGTTTGGAGTGCTTGGTTGGTGTCGAGAGTGAAGGTTCTGCTTCCTGTGATTGAGCTTTGAAAGAAGCAGCGGCGTGGGTTTATATATTCAGAAGGCCCTCCTTCCAAAAGTCCCTTTCTTGCTGCGCGAATTGTGCCGTTTGCGCATGCCACTTTAGTCTCACGGGGAGGGGAACCCTGTTGATATGACGCTGCGGCCCCTCTGAACCTGCTGGCTATTTGGCCACTAAAATCATCGATACACTGCAGAGAGGGTACTAAGAGGTGGGGTGTTTAGGGTCCAGACGTTCATGCTCTAGGGGCCCGTGTGGTAGCGATGGGGGGCAGGTTAGTGGGGTCGTTTGGGGAAATGGGAACCTGTTGTTGGGGAGCTATAGCTACCGCTATATGGTAGCCCCCTCCGCAGTGTCAATGCACATGATCGCCACGACCATCCAGAACTTCAGATGGAAACCCACCATGTTGGCCAGAAGCTTGAACCCGCATGCGACATTTGTGCGTGGTTCTTGGCCTATGCCGACATCCGGCCTACATCCTATCTGATGGAACAGCAGTCTACGTCAGTCTGACCCTGCTTCCCTCCATGTTCATCGAGATTGTGTTTCGAGATGAGGTGAGGAAGATGATTGGTGAGATAGTCCGTTGTTCCTATCCGGGCGCAATGATATGCATACCAAAATGCTCTTCTCCAACCACGGTAATCACCTCCCAGCGACTCACAATCGTGGGGCGACGCCGCCCAGATCAGGTCATCATGCTGACCTCTTGCTGACCCGCTGACCATCACGTGCAAAGATGGATTGTCCACGCTTGTTTGTGGTGGTCGATCGTTGTCCGTATGGATCGTTGGTTGCATGGCTAGGAGCAGGAGACTACTGGAGCATCTCCGACCCTCATGATCCTTGATTCTGATACTAAACTTGCTATGTTCTGCCACCTTGTTTTATCTGCTTACGTGCAAGGCTGTTTCAGGACTTCTAGTTGCCGGTTGATGTGGACGCCACACTCAGGTGTTTCGGGCGAGTAACAAGAGGACCGCAACAGACATCATGATCCAGTCTGCTACCTTCTCCCCCAGGCGATCGTGTCTTCTGCTAGCCAGATATTCATGGTTCCATCGGACGTGCTATCTTATCGGATTTCCTACTCATATACAACCTATTCGGCGTGGATTTATCTCGGTCGTATTAATCTCCTGTACTGTTCAAGATTGATATCGCCTTATCTTGACTCACAAACGTCGCGATGAGTCAAGTGACAATACGACCCGCCATCGTGCCAGTCTTGCCGTCAATAGTCTCAAGTCAGGCGGCATACATAAATATCATGTTCACATAAGTAAACCTATTGATCGGTAGTAGAGTTTCAGACAACATCCACCAGCGCGTCGAGCAAACGGGCATACAGAGATCGCCGAGGTCTTTATCAGCAATCGTGGTCTTACACAGCCAATTGTCTCATCACCTGCCGGGAAGATGCCCGGAGACGAATATGCCACTGATCCGGAGGGACAGCCGGCGCTTCAATCAGAACAATTGGACCCAGCCACTGACAACATTCAAAAGATGCACCGCCTCTTGACAGCTGCCGACGTTGAAAGCCGTCTACCGTCACTCCGTACCCTGCTTCAATCACTTGTAAACGACGACCCGGCGGCATCCTCCATTGGCTTCCTAGCCCCACTCTCAGACGCAGATGCAGACGAATATTGGAGGTCCGTCGCTGCAAAGCTAGATACGGTGCCTCAAACATGCTATTTGTTTGTAGTCTGGGGCTCCGACGCTCTCGACATCATGGGAACCGTGCAGCTGCAACTCATGCCCAAGGCCACACATGCCCACAGAGCCGAGATCGCAAAGCTGTTGGTTCGGCCCTCTGCCCAGCGGCGAGGGCTCGGCAGGAAGATGATGGACCACGTGGAGGACGTTGCACGAGGGTCTGACATCCAGCTCCTCACCTTGGACACCAAGACGGAAACCCCAGCTCGGGCCTTCTACGAACGCACTGGCTGGACAGTTTGGGGGACATGTCCTGAGTATGCTGCCTTTGCCGATGGTCGGTTAGGCAGCACGACGTTCTTCTACAAGAGCCTGAAATGAAGCTTTCTTAGAAGCAATCTGAGTGCTCGACATACCAGGGCAGACTAACTACAAAAGGGCTCCAGGCTCGCAAAATCAGGAGATGGTTGAACAGTATATCACTAGAATGAAAGGAAAAGAAAGGAAAAGTGATCAAATTGGGCAGGAAGCTCGATGGTGAGCATGATATCTAAATCTCAAAGATTTTGTAGATTCACCAATATTTCAGTGCATGTGTGTTTGCACTCTGAGCCTCATCAAGAGATCAAGCTCTATTTTCTCCATGATAATCAATTGTAATGACCATGGAGTTTACAGTGGCATCAATCACGTTGGGGGACCCGAGTCTGCTAAATTTGGAATAATAAACGATTTATAATAACTTGACTGTGTCATGTAGACAACATCAGATTACTAGGCTCGTTCTCTCTGGAGAATCCTGTTCGTGATCGTTCAACATCACCCTGAACAATCCACAGATCATTCCCTTTCCCACGCAGTTGGCTTTACTGGTATTGAGAAAATCAACACATTTCAACTGATCAGGCTCTGCAGGGAAGCAATCCAAAGCCAATAATTGGTGGATAAGCATGATACTTGTCAAATCGTCTCAAGCATTGTATTAAGACGTAACAGGGTTATTATAGAGTAGTAATCTTTTGACTGAATAGCATTCCTCAGTCGTGATGGGCCCCTCCAGCTCTCATCTGAATGTTTCAATGCTGCTCAACAGTCTGGATGTCTTTTTCTACTCTTCTTCTTTTTTCTTTGCAAAGAAGTCTTCCAGAACAATTAGCACCGGAACCATGCTAGGGAGCAGGGCCTAAACTAGAGGGCATAATTATCATATGGCCTGTGATTCCCGTCCGGTGACAGGGCAGTCAATCCAGAGCTGGGAGTATCGACCAAGGCAGCAGGAAGTGGATCAAGTCATGTGTGAAAATGGCAGAGTTCGAGTTCACAGTATATAGCTATGCAGCCTCGTCGAGTTGAAGATCGTGTGTTTCTCCATCGCTCGACCCTCGAAAGATCCAACATTCATCCATAGTTTCATGCCACTCTCCAGTGGAGGGCAGTGCCCTGGTAAGCTCACATCTTATTCGAGCCCCATGACAACCTCATCGCCTACTCCCCAGCTGTCGCCGCCCCTGCTGCTCGGCGAGCCAAGCCCAACACCTAAGCGCTCTAGGCTCGCCGCCTCATCCTCGCTCTGTGCCTCGCTCGTCCGTCTGGACCGCCGCTGCCGTGGGCTGCTCGTGATGCTATCCTTGTAAGTCTGGTTGAGGTTCTGCTGCGACTTGCTGTCTGTCACTCTCCTCCGCAGTGAGGGCATCCTGAATCTCATCGACCGGGACGACGACGACAGCACGGAGGCAACGTCGTCGGCCTCGCCTCCTTCTTCCTTGATCTCTTGCAGCCCGTCAGTCTTCCGGTCGCCCAAGAGGTCTGTCGAGCTCATTGAGTCGGAGGTGGTCGTGAACGGGGGCGCCAGCGTTGGTAATGTTGGGCGTGGCGGGAGAGATGGCGGCCGTTCAGCGCCAAGTGTTGGGGTATTAGATGCTGGTAGTTCTTTGGCCTCCTCGTCCGCACCTTGTCGGGTGGTTGGTGTATTTTCTTCCTCTTCTTCATCATCACTGCCGACCTCAACCAGCTCAGCATCGCGGTACCATTTACGTCGTCGTGTCCATCTGCCCCAGCCATCTTGACCGCGGCGGCCAGATTGCCACTGTAAGGAAGGACGTCAGTATGCTGTACAAGGAGCTCTCCAGGGGTTGGAAGTCTCAGCAGAGCTGTAGACATACCTTGTTATCGTAGTAGACCCATCCATTCCTCCCGGCCTCTCCATCATAATCCCAGGGCGCACGCTCCCCATCGCCGTCCGAGACAGCCTCATCCGGTACTCCATCCACCCTCCAGCGGCCGCCATCGACCCACCTCCAGCGCATGGTGCTGTCGTCCTCGACCTCGGGCAGCTCAAACTTGTCCTTGGAGGGCACTGGATTGTTGTGCTCGTCCGTCCACGCCGCCCTCTCGTAAGCAAACAAGCTATTTGTCCACCCGAGTCCGACCCATCGCCGCTGGTTCTCATATATGATAAACGTGAACCTGACGCCGGCGTCATTCGCACCACGGGCTCGCCGGATCGCCTTGGTCAGCTCCGACTCTTTGCTGGATGACGCGCGTCCGGTGGACTTTTTGTTGCTGGCGCTCATCGACTTCTCCAGGGCCTCCTGGGCCTTGGACTTCTTGCCCGGTGGGGTAGGCTTCTCAGGGATACTGATGTCCAGCCCCGTCAGCAGGGCCGCCAGCCGCCGTACGGTCGCGCTGCGCCAGAGTATCGTCCGCCCTGCCTTGACCACCCGTGCATGCCATGTGAGGACTATGGTCCCGAAGCACAACACAACCCTCCTTGTTGTGACGATCCGGAACGGGGGCAGCGTGAGCGCCACCCAGAACGGCGTGCACATCAGTATCCTAACCAACAACCTCGTCAGGGCGGGCCGCGTAGTGGCGCTCGTCGCGGTGCGCTGGGTGCTGAGGGAATCCGTCAGCTCCAGCAGCGGTTCCAGTAGGATATTGCACCGTGCAGTGAGCTCCTTGAGCGTCTCGACGATCTCGTCCAGCGTCTTCTGGTGCTTGGTGTTGGTCACTTCGGAGGGACCTCGACTATGACCCCCAGTCCCACCTCCTCCTGCTGCTGCTGACGCTGCCGCTGCCGCTCCTGTAGCTGCTGCAGGCCCCGAGCCTCCCACCGCCGCAGGGGGCTCTTCGCTCCCCGTGGTGCCACCGCTGCTGCTGCTGTTGTCTGTGCCTGAGCTACCCTTGCCTTTGCCTTTTGCCTTTGTCTTCGTCTTGGAAGGCGCCGCTCCGCCGGCCCCACCGTCCTCGCTCCAGCCTGAACTACTCAGTGGGCTGAAGCGGCGTCCGTACATACCCCCGATGAGGAGGAAAACCAACAGCACAGGGCCGGCAAAACGTATGATGACATCTCCGTAGAGCACGACAGCCCAGAACAGGCCGACCAGCAGGAAGCTCTCCCATGGGTCTCCCGTCGTCCAGGTCAGCAATCCGGCCAGCTTATTCAGCGGCAGCAGGAACGGGTGACTGTAGGCAAGGGCGCGGGTGACCTGCGGCGGAGTGGCGAGGAGGAGAGGGGATTTCTGGTGGACGAGGATGGTCGAGAGGCGCTTTGCTGCCGAGATAGGCTGAGAGGTGGTGGAGGTGGCGAGGGTCAGAGGGGAGAAGGAGGCGTAGACGGGGGGTTGGGCGGGCGTCAGGTAGGAGGAGACGCTTGTTGGGTCATGGCTGGGCGTGCTGGAGGAGGCGGCGCTGTCGAGGGTGTCGCCTCGGGAGCGATGAGGAGTGGACATGTGGGTGAGCCAAGGGGTGTCCTAGAAGAGGGGTTGACAAGTTGTGTTAGCCGGGCCTGCTCGTGACTGCTGATGGCTTGTGTCGTTTCCTCGTCTGTCTCGTCGTCTGGAGGAGAGGCAAGGCAGTTCAAATAAAGACCATAAAACGGGAGGGGACAATAATGGAAGGAAGACACAGAGCTCAAAAGCCCTGACGGGGCACAAGACAAGGTAACATAATGGCGACTGATTTTCTCGAGATCCTAGAGTAGTAGTGGTAGTAGCAGCCGCGAACGTGGCAGCGACAGGGCTGCTGTTGTGGTGACACAAGGCAGTCAGGCGCAAAGGAGGAGGAGAAGGAGGAGGAGAAGGAGGAGGAGAAGGAGGAGGAGAAGGAGGAGGAGGAGGAGGAGGAGGAGGAGGTAGTGGTGGTTTGGGCTGATGTCTGATGTCGTTTGAAGGGTTTAAGGCTGCAAGGGGAGGAGGATGCCATAATTTGGAGTAGCGGGTATGGACCGCTGACGTCGGCCTCTCAGCTGCCACTGCACTATTGCTGCCCACTGATCGCCACCACCAAACACCAGCACTACCAGCGCGGACCTTCCTCCCAACGCTCGACTGACAAGACAGGAATGATGAAATACCGTTCGAATAAGAAATAGAAAGGAGGGGAAAGAAACGTAACAGAGAGGATGATAACTTACTAATGCAGCCATCTAAAAAATAACTGTTGTTTGTATGTATCGTCCTTCTCTTCATCGACCCTGATGCCTTGCCCCCTTCCCCAATCAATCAATCGAGCAATCAGTTTAGTCAGTCCAGCCAACGCTGGCACTTTGGTTCTCTCTCACTCTTCTGCTGCAGCTTGGACGCTCGATTTCTAGGCGGCCGTAGCACTGCAGATCCACAACACAACCTCTAAAGCTCAAAGCTGTTCGTGCTACGAAGTCATCGGCTGTCTGCTTCTGGAAGAAAAATAAAAGACTTTGGCTCGGTATGAACGGAATAGAAACTGTGTCGCTCGTCTGAACAGGAGCAGCAGCACGACGCATCAGACACAACCTCTGTCTCCCATATAGTTTGGTTTTCTTGTCAAGTTCGGTTGAGAGTAAGAAGGGGTAAAACAAAAAGTCGAATTTGGCAAGGAGGATCAAGGGACTTTGGCCACGTGAGATGCCAGGCTGGGGAGATGAAGCGAAGCAAAAGCGCCGGGGCCGCGGCGCTGACCTTCTTTTCTCATCCCTGCACATAATCACATGCCAAATGCTGATATGGCACAAGGACGCACGTGGTATGGTCTGAAGTATCCACTACAGAAGGTTGGAAGGTTAGTATGTACCATAGTACACGCACGACACGTATAGCCTCACCGTCTACCGTCCTTGACCCACAACACGCTCTTCTCAACTACAAACTACACAATCGTGAGATTACATAGAAGAAGACGAAGAAATAAGATTCATTTTGCGTGGCTCTGTCGAGACACGTCTTGTATACCCTCAGGTCATGGAACTCCAAAGAAGATGCAGACCTTTCCCTCCCTTGTGCAGCAAATGCCCTAGACCCGCCATGTCATGTACCATTGTCTTTCCGGTCCTGCTATGTACCTGGCCTAAATTTCCCTTCCATCACGACAGCCTCCACCTCTTCGTCTTCCCTATTTACACCTACCAATCACGCGAGACCCAGACTTCCAAGATATGTTGGCAATTCCGGAAGGTAAGGTCAAAATGGGACCTCACCGTAGGGCTGTCCTATCCCCTCTCCCTGTCAGCGACAGCGAGAGAAACGAGAAAACTACGCAGCCGTAGCCAGCCGACGCCCATCAACTGAGGTCGGAGAGTAACTATTCATACCACGTATCAGCAAATCAACCATCCTCTTTGTTATGATCACAGGAGGGACGTCTGGTGGTGCAGGACATACCCATCATCGAGACATTCTACCCCTCTATTGACCTGCTTTACCCACGATACAAATCGTCGCCCCTCCAGTGCCGCTGTTCGGGAGCGTCCGTCTTTGGGGTTGGCTGCAAACACGAGCGTCTGCTCGTTGCCGCCCTTGAGTATCAGCCGCACCTGCTGAGTCCCCTGGTCGTCACTTTGGGCGGCCAACTCGATCCGCCACACCTTCGCTGGCTCTACCGTAGCTGCCACAGGTGAGCCGGCCGGCGTCTCTGCCCACCCGCGCATGAGATCTGCGTTCAGCCGTAGACAGGGACCCGTCGAGCCATCACGAGACCACAGCACACCACGGGCGGGATCACGCAAGTGAGCTAGGTGGAATCTCTCCACCTTCTCCGGGATCGGGGTCCCCAGCTGAGGCGTGGGTGTCGACACCTCTCTGGCTCTCTCGGACCGCACAGGTGTCGTCGTCTCCTTGGGCACTGCTGCTGCTGCTGCTGCTGCGGCGGCGGCGGCGTCGTCGTCGTCGTCGTCGTCGTCGTCATGAATAGTCTGACCGGGGTCCAGCGAAGACAAGCCGACGGATGACGCACGAGGGGTTTGTGACTGCTGCGGCGGCGCAACGGACGCATTGCGGCTCGCCTCCCATTTATTCGAGATGCTGGCACCGGGTATCACGATCTTGGGCGAGGTACGCTCTGAGTCCAGGCGCTGTACCGGCGTCGTGGATGAGCTCCTAGGCACCACCGTCGTGGACTGGCTCGGGGGCGACAGAATGTGCGAGAGGGACGGCGAGCCCTGGGCGGCATGACTCGGAACGTGTGGGGTGGACTGCACCGAGGGTGATCGGAACGACGACGTCAAAGTATGACCTCCATGCACCGGCGCCGAGGTGGACCGCTTCTCGGGACCGTCTCGCGCCATCTGCGCCTTGATGGCCTCGTACTGCTTGTACGGGTCCATTAAGCTGTCACTGGCCGCCGCTTCTCTTGAGCTCTGATCCGCGTTCAGGATATTTTGCAGGTCCGATGGCTTGCGAGGGGCTTCCGTGTCGCTACGGGGGATCTCATCAGATCTCGAGCGATGGTGTTCTGCATGCGGCGGGCGTGGCGAGTATGGCCGTCGTGCAGGTTGCTCAAAGCTGCTCTGGCGCGATGCCAGCGCAGGGGCCTTCGTAGCGCTCTCCGGCACCTCCGACGATGCCCTGCTGCGAGTGGCCGCCTCCCTGACAGCTGCCGCTGCCTTGGCCTGGACGCTCTTCCGCAGATGCTCTTGCTCAGACAATACTGACAAGAGATCGCGCTGGTCTCCTGCCTCCATACCGACAGGCATGGGTTCGGACTCGCCAGATCGCTTCCTGGTAACACCGGCTTGTTGGGAGAGGACGAGTTCTGACTCAATATCGGACTTTTCTGTCGCAGGCGTGTCCTTATCAGCTGCGACCTCGTCCACGCTCATCTCGCTGACAGGACCACGTCTGCTGCTTGGTCGGGATGAGGATTTGGACTTGGTCTCGAGAAGGCCAGACCTCCTACGGCCAGGGCGGACGACATGCTCCTTATCACTGTCGTCCTCCTGACCAGCAACCTCTGCTTCCTCATCAGAATTATCGGACCCCGACTCTCCGACATAGTTAGAGTCGTCAGGTTCAGGGACAGGGCCGATATCCATGGTCATAGGGTCCTCGTCGTCACTCTCGCTGCCACTGCCGAAACCGAAGAGGCCAGGCTTATCCTGGATCGGGCTCTGGTTGTCGGTATTGGCGGAGCGTAGAGATGGCCACTGAGCTGCGACATCTTCTGAGGACCTTGCTGAGGTGGGCTCGCCGGGCCCTAGTCTCTTGAAGTCTTCCCAATTCTTGCGGTGCATCATGTGCTGTGAGTACCATTCGCGAGCGGTTGACAGGCCTCTCTTGTCCACGCTCTCTGGAGGGTGATCCAGGTCAACCTCACGAAGCTTCTGCGCAGTGAGCCAACCCAGGGAATGCCTCTGGTGGCCATCGAAGAACATGACTGGATACTCGCGCTTGTCCACCTTTGGGCCGCCGTCCTCGTAAGCGGGCTGCCACCCTTTGATGAGCAGACTAATGCGATCGACCCGGTAACACTTTGGAACTTTGCTCATCAATTGTGTCTCCTGGAGCTTCTCCCTCAGGCCCACCTCCCTGAGGCTGCCGTCTGGTCTGATAGGCAGCACGACCAACATGTACCACTTCTTAGTAGGCGCCCAGAGTCCCTGGTAAAACTTGCCCTCCTGGGGTAAGGTTACCTCTCCTGCCGCTTTCATAGGCGATGCCGACTTCGATTTCTTCTTGGTAGGGCTGTCACCGCTAGAGAGAATCTCAGGCCCGTCCGTGAGTCGTCGACGCCCCTCCTTGGTGAGTAAATTCATGTTGAAGACATGATATTTGTCCTCTCTCAGCGCGCGCTCGAACTCGCGGTTGTTCAGCTCGGCCAGTTGGGCGTTGCAGCCCAAAACGCGGTGACCGCACACCTCCATGGCGAGGTCATGCCTCTTCTCCATGTTTCCGTGTTGAGGACTGTGCACGTGCTTGGCGGCGCCGTGGACCGGATTGCCGAATCCGAAATGCACCTGATGCTCGTCACACCTCACAATGTACCAGTTCCCTGACCCTATCTTCCATTCAAAGATCTTGTGCTTATACTGAGCCCTACCGTTCTGAAAGATCTCGTCAAAGGAGACCGTACGCTCGGCCCGGGTATCCAAGGTGACTGGCGAGGTTACGCCGCTTTGTGGACTCCGCTTCAATGGGGGCAGCAGTGTACCATGTATCTCCTCGACCGGCCTGTCCCTGGTCCGCGGGCGCTTTGAATATGGTCCATAAGCTTCCTCCGTTGCCGGCGACTCGACCGCCTTTCTCTTCGTCTCCAGGCGCGCAGGTGCCATATCTGCGATAATAGGGCCATGGTTTGCCGGTCGGCTTGAGGTCACATCAGGACGCTGCTGCAATTCGGTGGGTTTGCGCTCGTCGTATCTTTGCCGCGCCACTACGGGTTGCACAGAGCGGGGCTCTATGGGACCATGTTCAACCTGGCGGGGCTCGATCTGGCGCGGCTCTAGGGGACGAGGCTCGGAAGGTATTGGCTTGCGCTGTTTGGGAGTTGGTTCCAACGGCGTAGGGTATGGAGCAACATAGTCTCGACCTGGGGGATCCTGAATAATGAACTCCCTGATAGCGTCGCTCGGAATCGGTTTCGGCATTGCTTGGTGACGAAATGGTGGGGTCACCATCGCAGACGTGGTTGCCGGAGAAATCAGGTGATCACCACTGTTGGACTGCCATGATTGTGAGCTCTACTGTCACGCGTGCCGTTGGGAAGTTGGGCTTACGGGAACGCTGGGAGGTACCCGTGGTGGACCTGTGGACACGCTGGGAACAGGTTGTGGATGGCGTGTCGTAGTCGAGGTAGACATTACCAAACGCGATGCCTCGTTGTGGAATCGCCTCTCGACATCCTTCTTGTTCGTGGTATGCTCCTCGCGCAGTCGCTCCTGTTGCATGCGAAGTTTTACCTGGGCCTCAACGGTAGCATGGGCTGTCTGCGTCAGGCCAGCGTAGAGACTTTGCATCCCCTGCTGGAAATGTTGAAATAAGCGGTCCAGCTGGTCACGTATCTGGCCTTCGATCACGGCTTGCTGTTGATGATGATGCCGGTCCAATCGCTCTAGCTCGTCCTTTTGCTCCTTTCTCATAGCACTGAATCTGGCCAGATCGAACTCATCCTCTTCGGAGTCGCGACCATGGGGTCGAGGACCGGCCGATGTGGGAAGGAACTCGTTTACCGGGTGAGAGCTCATGTTTGCCATCATCTCCTGAAGGTTAGGTGATGGTTTGACTGGGTAGTTTCCCACCATGGACATGGGTGCTGGTGACTCGGCCTCCGCCCGGAAGTTTGAGAAACTAGAAGATTGAAAGTCAGCTTGAAGAACTATTGCGTGATAAGGCCAGGAAGCATGAAGAAACGGTAAAGATAAGGGGTATGCACATGTACACCATGCCCTGCTCTGCAGAGATGAGTCTTGATGGCAGTATCACATGGACACAAAAACACTCAAGAGCATATACAAAGTGTTCTTTGACCCAAGCGAGTCAAGAAAAAGGGCTTAGGTGAGTGATAGAGAGGCAAGGGTCCAGATACATGGTTGCAGGTGTGGACTCTCTGATGACTTTGGGCAGACAAACTTCAGAGCCACCTGGTGGGACATGTAGCAAAATTCAGCTGCCAAAGGGTGACATATACAGGGAGACAGAAAAGACTTCTGGCATGAGGACCCTAAAGAGACCCTACCTTCTTGGACAGTGGACAGTATGGCCAGTGGCTCTGGGTGTTTAGATGATCAAGAGATATACGGAGGTATTATGTAGTGCAGTCGAGCCGATCTCTTGTATCCCACGCCCTCAACAGGTTGTTTATTTGGTTTCCCTCCCAAACAAATGACAGGAGATTAATGATAGAGTGAAGATTAGGGACAATGACTGCACTGTAGGGAAAAGTAGAGAAGAGGGTGGTTATGAGATGTTAGGTAAGTAGTCTTTTGGTGGTGAGGGAACGAACATAAGGTAGATGAATGAGATGGTGGAATTTCGTTTTGAGAAAAAAGAAAGACTAGGTGGGTGGCTGCTGCATCATCTATTTGTCGATGCTGCAGGTGAGCATGTCCATGAGTCCATGCATGCCCTTGTCATGCCGCTCTTTCTTCTCGAGCCCACTTGGACCGGAAAGCAAGAGCGAGGTGTGACCCACTTTTTAACATCTTTCCTCAAGGTAATATCATAGTACATAAAAAAAAAGGTACATGGGTACCTATATCGTACCATATGTGCCGTACAGTATAAAGTATGCACCTAAAGCCCACTTGGACTAGGACTGCCAATCTATACGGTGCGACCGCTTGACATGGTAATGGGGACCAACATTGCTCGTACCTTTTCTTTTTGGACCTTGAACAAAGCCTTTACCCTAGAGTATCCCCAATTCTTTTCTCTCTCGTAAATATAACTTGTCACGATTGTCGAACCAACCTTGGGAGGCGATCAACTGCAGCAGCACATCGTATGTACCACAGAGTTGAGTATGGAATCGAATTGAGAACCTATGTCGCTAGACATGAGCCCGTCAGCAAGCCGATCCAACGCAGTCACAGATTCCGACCCGCTGTGCTCCTGTCCCCAAATTGGATCATCAATACTCGGCAATATTGCACTATACCAGATATTGTGGCCAGCATCTCATGGAGAGCAATAGTCTGAACGAAAACCAGACGGTATGTGGCTCTCAAGTAGATGACCCGCCCGCAGAAATCCAAAAGTGAGACATGCATCGCACTCAACTTGATGTGCTCGGACGGAGATGTTCCATATGGATAAGGTGGGGGGAGGGGAACATAAAGGTCGACTTACTCCCTAGTCTCTGAATGATAATCTCTGACGACCTTACAATCCTTGCTCGGAGATTTCCTTGCGTGTTGCAACTAGTGTAAGTGGCATCCGGCATGTCACATGCTTTGATTTTTACTTTCTTGTTGTATCGGTTAGGATCGGGAATCGAGCATCGAGAATCAAGAACCATATTAAGATTGCGTATGCCAAAGCCAGATGCGTATCGCTCTGGGTTTTATATGATCAGATCAGCTAGGAAGCAGTCTAATACACGGCAAGTAAGATTATGGGCGGGTGGTACAGCTCGCCTAAAAAAAGATTTTTCTGTACCAAAAGTAACCTTACCTAGCTATCGGATCATAAGAAAACAACCACCCCCCTGTGCCTCCAGCTCCATCGCTCGGGGCTCTGTACTATATTGTTCCCACGAACCTCCAGGCTGCAGTTTAATTATGCGATGCTCTCTTGCGGCGGCGATTTGGGGCCAAGCTGAAATACGTTCCTTCCTGGTCACACCCTTGATAATACCCTAATGTGTTGCTGCATATTGATGCTGCATTGCATTTTTTCATGCAGATGATGTGACCCCGCCTCCGCCCCTCCCTGCCTGGACCTATATGGGAGGTGACGGACGGATTTGGCGAAACCGAGGGGTGCTTCTGGAAACCCGAGTATCAGCAATAGAAAATGGTTCCCACAGGTCGGTTTTCTCCGACACTATCGCGTAATCGGTCCAACTAATCTGTCATTGTGTCAGGCATAAATGGGGCGCAACTAGACGATACAAAGTCGGGACAACGTCCTTTTTGCATAAAGGCGCGCACACGGTATGTGCTGTGTTCCCCAAAGAAAACTCCACCCTAGACCTAAAAGGTTATGTGCTAACAACAAGATCTCTTACTAACGGCAATCCTTGGGTCTTGGCTTTTCTCAAGACGTACTGTGTACCCCGTCGTCCCGCACGCTGGTTCCAAGCTACGAACGGGCAGCTGATGCAAAGGTTGTGCTGTACCATAGTCATACTACACCGCTCAGGCACTACCAGATACGAGATTGATCCACGAAACGAGGATCCTGACCCGGCAAGTCATAGTAAGCAGCTATCGGTTGCTAATGTCATCTGTATAACAGCAAGGCTTATACTATGGCAACACAGTACGTTCTACAATCCGTCTCTCTCTCTCTCTCTCTCCAGCTTTCTCTCTCTACTTGCGCATCCCAAATAAGCTACCCAATTAAGACTCCTCCTCCTCCTCCTGTAGCATCCCCCTTTCCTCCCCTGACCGCTATCTGAAACAACGACCCATTTCGCCATATTGAACATGCCAACATGCTCGATTAAGCCTCTGGGTCTGAGCCCATTTTAACCACGACTCAGCGCTCTGCTCCTACCTTTTCTATTCATGACGCTGACAGAAAGTCTAAAACTTCGTAAAACGAAGCCCGTACATGCTGTAGAATGTCGATCGGCAGTTTGTCTTCTACCGGCACAGAACCATCTCCACAGCATCTTGGGGGGGAGGTGGCCCCATCCATCGATCATCGATCTTTCCCCCTATCAAAGGCCAACAAGACCAGTATGCCTATCGCGACCAACGCTACACGCGACAGGTGACACTAAAGTGGGAGCGGCATATGCACAAATCCACTAGCAGAGATCAATCACCAAGGAAATATTAAAATCCTCACGGACCCCACTGACACACAATGGTGTCCTAATGCGGATTTCAAATTCGCTCGTCAGCGCAGGTAGCGATGTGTTAACATAACAGGGGGGAAGAGGGGCTTGGACGTCGTAATTATGCGCCGGTGGGTTCCAGTGCAGCCAACACCCGGTGCATCCGACTGTGGCTGGCTGGATTTAATTTAATGACAGGTCACGAAAATTGGCCGTGCTCTCACTGGTCTTGCATTTACCTGATTGGGGTGTTGAGGGCATCATGTAAGGTTCTTAGCATGTCAGCACTCCACCCCAACCCATCGCAGATGATACACGTATGTGTGTAACTCGGGGATTCTGGGGTTTTTTTTTTTTGATTTTGTCTTTTTGCTGCAGGGGTCTTGGTTCCAAGTGACAAATTTCCCCGGTCTTTTCTCCTCTGAGCTTGCGAGAACGGCGGCCTGAGGTTAATTCACAGCCAATCTGTTCCGAACACGACAAGCTGCATGAATAACGCCACACACCAATCTAATAGACATTGGTTTTTTTGGGGGGCCGGGGGGTAAAAACCATCTGGCTAATAGGCAAATAGACCAAACAATCTTTTGGGGTCACACTATAATAATCTACACGCTAATAGTACGAAATTTGAAGGCTCATGATTAGGAAAACCATGGTCACTAAAATGTACTATGTCATGTGCCGGTCCTATCATACACAGTGTCCTCGGCGAATTTTAATTAGTTCCTGATGGATAATCGGGAAAGCTGACACACACCATTCATTTAGCACCAACAACAAACTCTCAGTAAGCAAGATAACAATGATTTATGTCGTTGCCTGGAAGGACCATATGGATTTTCCACCCACCCTAGTAACGTAACTTAGCGGTGGGTCGTTCTCGAATCCTTTGCTGAGAAAGGGAAAAAGGCTTACCTCACCTGAGTGCCAGCATGGCAGACCAGCCGCATGAGATACGGGGTTCTTTTGTACGTCGGTACTTTAGTCCTTACACTGTTACTAAGTACGTTGCGAGTGTTGGCATATTATTTACTTCCAGTACACCTTGCCCCATACAAGGTTTTTTCTTTTTTTTTTTTTCTTTTTCGGTTTTGTTTTTAATTTAAAAAAGACACTTTTCACGACCCACCTTTCCATCTGGTACTTTTGCTCAGATACTTTTTCATTCTTCACGGACAGGGTAGGCGGAAAGCATCCGCTAACGCCTGCGACGTCGCGTGCTTCTCCCAAAATGGGGCCATGTCCGATTAATATACATGGATGGCGTGTAATCGAACCCGTTCCTAGCCTTCGCTGTCTCACAGTGATCTATCATGGTTTTCAGCCATCATGTAGCATGTAACATCGCAGATAATACCCAAATTAGTCGTCACGAAGAATGCCGTGCACACAAAAATCTTAAGAGGTGGGGAGGGGACAATACTGCAACCAGGTTCCCCATATGCGTCAAAAGCTGTGCGCTGGAGCTTAAAGTACATAATACTTCATAGTCTGCCAAGGCGCATGCGTACTAAAGTAAGTCAGTACTTTACCGTCATACCAACGGCGACCCTACCATATGAGCGTCCAGTCCGACCAAGCGAGATCAGCCATCTACTACGCATTGGTTACACATGCCGGCGCTGACTCGCCTTCCTAATTAATAACGTAGACTGTCTCACCCTCACTCTCGCATGCTGTATTACAGCTAAAAATTGTCCCTTTTGGCTTCCTTCAGCCCGGCCGACGTAAGCCACACATCACACGTGCTGCTATTCCGCATAATCTTGCCCAACTCGAGACCGAGGTTAGAGTCGTCATTTGATGCCCTCTTGCGAAGTGTGAGACAAGATGCTGGGCTGGGTCGACAGACGTTGCGTTCGACATAGTGTGCCTCTCGTAGCAAAATGTGTGCTTGGCCAGAGATTCATTCTCTGCAGTGTTCCAGTACTATTTAGAAAAGAAACCTGGCATTGTAAATATTCATGATGTAGAGTATCTCCGCCTCTTGATGTTGAAGATGTTTGTATGTCAGCCAGGCTTATCGCTGTGTTCCATCCGCAGTACTGTGGCTGGTTCCTCCCTCGCTTCTCATCCCGAGGAAGCAGCCCCCAACTCCTCCCTTCTTTAGTCTTCACCTTGATTACTAGTGAGGTTGTCTAATATTCTAGGAAGCTGAGATGGCAACTGTCAAGAAGCGGGGCCGCGTCGGTATCTCGTAACGATGATTCCAGGAAAATGACCTGCGTCTGACATCGGGACTAGAATACGAGGCTACCGAGATCGGTTCATCCGCAGATTGTGATCGCCAAACCTTTTGAGGTCCGATCGTTTTGGCCTACAACACCTGAAGACGGTACCATATAATCGGCACAGGTTGTCCATCATCATGATGAGAATCATATTGGAAGGTTGCTTGACACCCGAGCCTTTTCGCAGCTGTGTCTCACAGGATCTCGGAGGGTCCTCGTCTTGTTCTATTGAGAGGCCTGTTCCGAAATTCCGCAACTTGCAGTCCCGTAGTATGTACATGTTCAATTGCCTAGAATTACGGTAGCTAGTTCACAATCCGTGTGCCTTATCTGGACCCCAAATAATGAAACCTTGGCTGTAAAGCGATCGGCTCCAAGATTAGCTATGTAACTCTTCTGTGTATGTTGGCCAGTGTGAGCGCCCGCGGAGAATGGCACAAAGGCGACAATTCTAGCAGCTAGAGCTGATAGGCTATAGTGTTATAGCTGAATAAAAACATGTCTGGGATTCCAGGCTATCATTGTAACCCAAACTCTGCAGTCCTAGCTCTCAGCTCGACACATGTGGGGGCCGAGTCAATCTTTGTCCTTGATGGGGGCTAAGTTCAAGACATGCAAGAACGGAGAGAATCCCTGATGCATACTTGGATCTGTGACGAGGCTGCCAGGGGTACTCGATACGAAACAATACGCGCTTCCGTTCGAGCTTCAACTATCCTGAAGGAGGACTAAGAATTCGCCCCTGGCGTGCGACCAACTAACTACCCCTATATGTCCTGCTAACTATGCTCAAAAATTTGCAGCATAATTATTTGGATATGCTCGGGACCTCTGCGAGATCTCGGGCGTTAGAATGCATTTCACCAATAAGGAACAAAAAGGCCAGTTTTGTATGGCCAGTTCTTCAATCAGAGAAACCATATTTCCCCCTCCTTTGTGCCGTATATACTTATTCCATTTTCACATTAATACGCAAAGCAAGTCCGCCTATGGGACGATAGCGAGTGGCTCAGTGCCCGTAAATAGGTTTTGAAGGACCCGGCCTCTCACATGTGGACTTCAACCTGGTGAGAAAAGAACTCATGCATAGGTCTCTTGATTGAATTCTATGATGACCGAATCACATTTCTAGCATTTGAACAACATGTGTTTATGATTTCCCACCCGAATTCTGCCTCACGAAAGCAGACAAAAGCCTCGTTGCTGTGGACTAGGGATGGATAAACTCGACCGCTATGTAAGTGAGCAGAGCTGGACAACCAAAACATGTAAGATTTAGAAAGTATGGAAAGTATTGCGAATCACCTTTTCCTTTGTTTTAGGATGCTCCAACTTTGCCTCAATCAGCACCAAATTATCACTCACCTTTATGAAGCAGTCAGAGTCCAGCACAGTACCTAAAGTGTCTCGGGGAAAAAAGAGAAACAAAGAAAAGAAAAGAAAATATGCTCAGCACCGTACCTCGGTCATGCCAGATATTCCAGCTAGCTATGTCCTGTGTTTACCAACAACAAGCCTGTCTCATCGATGATTCATGAGCGTCTTGTTCGGAGCTGTGCTCGTCTAGTCTTCATCGAGTTATACGTCGTGGAAGACTCGATAAAGTCAGCACTCAGAGACAGCTCGGCTACTCTCCCCGACAAAGCTTGCCATGGATTGATTACCGGTTACGATCTGAGCAAAAAAAAAAATAAAAAAGGTGTGGCAGCGCCAGCGGACCATCCCATGGCGTTGTTCGATATAGTCGTTCTTTCTTTTTAAGCTGCGCCCTGTGGCATGAGATGTAAAGTGTCTGGCACTGATTTACGCTATCAAGTATAAAATGGCACTCGTCATTATGTTTGAGTACCGGGGATCGCTTGATATTGAGCTAGCCGCACGAGCTGCTGAGCAAATGATCAACTTGAGGGCTGTAGACCAAGCTCTATTAGTTGAGGAGAAGACATGCACTTTCTGTACCAGCTCATGATATCCCAGACCGAACTCCCACGGTGAAATATACTTTCTTCGAATGCTAGATTATGGTATGGCCACTACCTAAGGCATATGTAAGAGCTTTCAGGGTTACGCTACCGACGATTTGAATTAAAGATGCTTACTTGGTACGCTCATCACAAGCAATGTGTCGCTAGAGCTCCGAAGGGGAGTTCTTGGCTACTTGCGCGTGGGCAGGTTGGTGACGGGACTGACTAACTTGGACTTTCAAGTAGACTATCTGCTTTTCAGAGATCGGGCCAGCTGTTATGTTTGAGAATTGACATGTGTGTGAGGGCAAAAAGATTGCATTTCTGAGCGCTGAAGAAGAAAGAGAAAAGAAGAGAAAAACGCCACGAGGCCAGCTATCCGAGGCTATCAACAGGTCTGGCTGTTGGCTGGCTGGAGGGGCCGTGCACGGCCCTGGGCCAGTGACTCACTGGCCCTCGCACAACATGTCTTTGGGCTAGCCTTGTTATTTATCAGCCAAGTATCTTCTCTTTTCTTTTATGTTCCATAGGCACTTGAAATAGGCAGTTTTGGAAGCAAAGTCCATGTTGTGTCATTTCCTGCCTGTGGCGAAAGTGAAACGATTCATAGTCTTAGCTGTGTTCACAATCACAAAGTCTCCCAATTTGCAATGGTATCTCTGACAAGCTAGGCCAATCTATGGAACCTGCATGTGTGTCTTGGAAAGACTCTAGGCTTCTGCTTCCAGCTTCTGCTTCCAGAATGTGAATGCTCGTACTGGTCTGCCTCCCCCAAAGACCCCAAGTCTGTGTGCTGTGTGGTACTTTCTCTCCAAGGCTGTCCATTCCTATGCTGAAAGAACATGTTGGGTATATAACGCCGTTCTGAAAATGCGAATATGCTGATGGCTGTATGCAGTCTGTCTGTCCGTCCGTCTCTTTCTCTTGTCATGATTATAAATGAGAAATGCTCAAAAGGAAAAGGAAAAGAAAACAAAAGGCTTTAGTGATATGCAAAATGATGCTCCTTGGAAATGCTGAAAAGTCGTTTACCCTTTTCACTTGCCACCCTTCAGTTTCGCCCACCAGCTGTGCTTCGCACCGCGGGCCCGAAACCCCTTCAGCTGCTCACCCACGGGGCTGGGTGGCACCGAGTCCTCCGGGCATTCGATCTCGAGGTCCAGGCGGTACCGTCGTACGCTGCCGCCGTCGTCATCGAAGCCGACTCGGCGATTAGCTTTGGGCACGAAACACTCCGGAACCATGTTGCGCATGACCCACCCGCGCACACCTCTGCTGGCAGCGTCGATGGCGGCATACTCGAGACGGCGGGTGCGGTCTGATGTCCAGTAATGGGTCGTCTGCGGAGGGACGTGAAGGGATAGGGGGGAGGTAGGCGGGTCGGCATGGTGGTAGGGGTCATGCTCCGATGACGACTCTGGGCGCTCGTCGTTGCAGTTGGCATTGGCGGTGTTGACTTTCAGAATAACGGGGGCGAGGTCTATACTTGGGCGGGCTGATGATGATGATGACGGCTCCTGGCTGTCTAGGTGTTCTGGCGATGGGAATTGGAAATATGAATGCTTGCGATTGAGATTCTGTTGTTGCTGCTGGCTGAGCGATGTCGGGCGAGACAAGGTCAGGCTGGACCGGCCCGGCACGTATGAGAGCGGGCCGCCTGCGCCGGAGCGTTTGAGGGCCGGCCGTCTTTGGCTCCGGTCCATTCTCGGCGGTGAGGGTGAGGTCTGCTTGGCGCTGCGCCGTCGTCTTTTGGCCGAATGTGAGCTGTGTGGTGGAGGAGGGGTACTAGACTCATAACCAGAGTCCTGGCGGACCATCTGGAACGACGCAGGGCGACTGTCGGGACCCTCTCGCTGGGACGGCCTTGTCCTTCTGAAGAGAAGCTCCATTGAGCAGGGCATTACTGGGCTTTTTGCGGTTGAGGAAGCTTTGGTTTCCGGCGGGTGATTTGGATCGTACAACTCAATGTCCTGGAAGGAGTGGTATGTTGTCGTCGAGTAAAAGCTTGCTCTCGAGTGAGACCGAGGTTCTGGTGATGCGGCCATTGTTGTTGGTGGAGAGCGCAGGTGAGCGCCGTGACATGGGAAGTGGTTGGCTTGATGTTCCTGCTTGATTTCGATAGAGGCTCCCTCACATATCCTGCTGAACAACTCGCAACTCTCGACAAAAGAAATTCGGTATCCCCGTGGGAGGGCAGACAGGGAGGAAGATTTCGTCGCTCTATTATGGCTCTGGCCTCATGCGGCCACACAGGTCTCTGTGGAGCTCGCCAGCCGCCTCGCTTGCTGCAATCGTCAACCTCTACCCCTGAATGCTGAAGCTGCTGAACTCTTGCCCCGGGGAAATAGGAAGGTTTCTTCACGTTGTGGGGGAGTTGCGGTCAATCACTTTGTGTTGAGCAGGAGTGAGAACTCAGGGGCTGCAAAAAAGGATTGAAGAGATCGTGAAAGTGATTTTGTCATTGTCCCCCTCTCGACTGTGCGGGTCGTCCGGTCTTCACCGGGGGAGGGGGGAAGAGAGTCTTGAGTTGTCGTATCTCGCGTCGAGATGCCAAGACCACTCTGCGACTGCAGCGTCTCTAAGTAATATTTATCTGCCCAGGCCATCGGTCGCGTGTTTATCCCTCGGGTGTTCAAGGGCTCACGAGATTGGCCGAGGGGGAGGCGAAGACGGAGGACAGCAGCGCTTCTATTGGCGCTTGAGTCTTGAACCTGCTGCGCATGTGCTACTGGAACCTGCAGTAGGCGCACGCCAAGTTGCATGCGTACTGGGGGGGGCTGAATGCAGGCCGGGATTTCTGGTGTGGAGGGGTGGGTGGTTTAGGTATGAGCACACCTGCCGCTGCCGCCCCCCCTGACCAAGAGTCTCCGTGACCGCTGTTCTTCCATGGCTGAACGAGACATGTTCAGGTCCAGCATAGCCGAAGGCAAACACATTACTTGTGCACAGAGTCGCAGCCGACAGTAACACGCAGGATTGGACTTCGGCTTCGAGATTCGTAAACGGCAGTTCCGCAACTCTGAGAATGATCAGGTGTCCAGGCAATAGACTGGAAAGGATCCATCCCGACAGCTTTGGGCGTTCAGCGGTCAACAAGAGACGTTCGAATCACACGAAAGACGCTCTTTGATGAAGACTACAGTAACCGAGAAAGGGCAGAGTATCCGGAGCCCCTCCCGCGGGTCCCAAGATCCGCCCCACGCCACGATCCACCGGGCGCTAAAACCGGGCGGGAGCGGTCAGGAAAAGATCCAGAAACCATTGAAATGGAAGCCAAAAAGAAGAAAGAGAAGGGGAAAAAGGGCGCACTCCTCAGAGTGAAAACATTGATGGGTTTTGCGAAGAGTGAGGGGCAATGCTGGTTTGAGTAGACTGGGCTGATGGGAGAGACGATGCCGGGCTCCAAGGAGCAAGAAGGAAGAAATGCCGGACGGAGTACAAGTAGTGTGCAACAGCTGATCTAAGTTTGTGAAGGTGCGTGTCGAATCTGTCGTCACGTGGTGGATCAATACTGGGATCAACCAGGTTGCTCTCAGAGAGAAAAAGTGAAGGCTCGACGCACCATTCTTGCTGACTCATTTTCGAGTGTATGAGGTATGGCGCTGTGCTGACTGAGCAAAAAAAAACTGTGCCTCGACGTTGGCGCCACATGTGGCTGAGCCGTAGCCCCACAATCGGGCGCAGGAATTTCGAAACCCACCCTTTCAATTGTGCAGGATTTTGCCCTTCGCCATCGTCAACTTGCCAGACTTCGACCTGCCACCTCGCACGCTTCGACATCCACAACCTCCCTCAACCATCTCGAAGCAGCATATCAAAATGGCCGCTACTAAGGGTGCGCCTCGCTCCGGCCTCATTGTCGTAAGTCTCCCCTCGAGCCTTGTTGCGGACGTAAAATGGCAATCGAGCAAAACTCTGTTTTTTGTGTTGTGGATCATCACCAAATCGCTTCCTCTGCCCAGCGGAGTAAGAGTACGATGCTGACAATCTCAATATAGGGCATCAACCATGGACACGTAAGAACTCCTCCAACTCCTCTCACGCTCGATGATAGATGAAGTCGACAAGCGCATGCGATCGATATCGATACCGACCCCGATGTCAACACGAACACCGGCTGACCCTGCCTTAGAAAACCACCCCCCGCGTCGCCAGCAAGCGCGTGAGCCGCATGAAGGGTCGCTCTAGCAAGCGCACTGACTTCGTGCGCTCGCTCATCAAGGAGGTTGCCGGTCTGGCTCCCTACGAGAAGCGCATCGTCGAGTTGATCCGCAACGGAAAGGACAAGCGCAGCCGAAAGCTCGCTAAGAAGAGAGTATGTTCTATAACAACAAATGGTCTCAGGATTGTGTATTGCAGGAGGGGCTAACCATTTTTCTAGCTGGGAACTTTCGGCCGTTCCAAGGCCAAGGTGGAGGAGCTGCAGCGGATGATCGCCGAGTCTCGTCGTGCTCACTAAATCGTGTCGACGAGTGCTGCCCTCTGATGGGTATTACGCATGGCCCAGGCGTTTGGCGCAGTATACCCGATGGGTGGATCAAGATGCTGGCTACGACCTACATGTGGACGGCGATGAAGCAGGCAGAACGCATCCAGGCCTTCCTACGTGTGGAGTGAGCGGTACCAGAAGACTCGGGTCGCAGGGTTGCGAACACACAAAAAACGAGGATGGCGAGAGGAATTGACTTGATGAGCCCGGGTAGATGTCCAAACAACAATTCTTTCTTCTGAAGTGTTGTCCGTCTTTGTCTTGATGCATGCAAGCCATTCACACATTCTGAATCTCGTGCTCGTTTAATGTGTCAGGATACCGACCAGGTGATGGCGGCGACGACTTTGGCCCTTAACTGTAGACGCTGCTGCCGAGCATTTGCATGCCCCTAGTCTTGAATACGGGCGGCTTCTGTCAGGCGTCTGCGTCCCTTGAGGCATATTTTGATGTGGTGGCTGCAGGCAAATCATCACTCCAAGTTCATGTGATCGCATTTTGAAAGCTTGCCCATCGCTGCTTGTCTTCCCCTCATCTCTGCAGACATGTACCGACAGTACTTGTGACACCTCCGCTTCTTCCCACCTGAGCGTCGATACCAATGTGCACACAGAAGAGGTCTTCATATATTGTCTTTAAAACGCAGACTCGGATCAGGCTAATTACTCGATTTTTTGCAAGATCATCCCACCTTCTTCTCGAACAGAAATCCTCGGCTACTCTCTTCCGGTTACCAGTTACTCTTACCGTGGGAAATGGGACGCTTCTGTCCATTTAGGATTGGCTCAGCAACGGACAGACTCATGGACTCCAATTTGGGACAATGATGCCCAGCACTTGAGAAAAGTGCTGATGGGTCTATCCGACAACATACGCTCCATGTCTCGAAAGCCGGACCTCGTAGCATCAAGGTTCGCTGCGGCCTTCACGAGATATGAAATGTGGGAAAATAGACGTTGATACGCCTCGCCCTGTGACTTTTCTGTTAAGACCACACAGCCACCAACAAGCCTAAAGTAAGCACTTTCAAGCTTTTTTTGTGCCTTCCACAATAGTCTCCGCATCATCATCATTCTTTCTATGCTCGAAGTACTCTCTGATCCTCCTCATGCGATTACGGAGGATAGAGATACAGAGGTTATCGCCAGGACGAAAACAATCGGGACAAAACAAGTGGCTTATATTACGCGAGACTATGGGACGTGGCTCCTCGAATTGGCCTGCTTCCTGGGCTTCTTGACGCCTCATTTGTTGTGGATGAATATGAGGAGCTGCAGATAAACCAATAATATCGTACTATAACAGCCTGTCAAGACACAATGAAGGCTACCTCTGATCTTACATGTGATCATGTCGACTTTGCACCATCAAGGCTGGTGGCTTGGGACTCGCTGGACATTTACCACAGCCCCCCTTGAAGGCGGAGGGAAGGGGGACTTCGGGAAACATTTCTGTTCCAGCCAGATGCATCACTCATCTCGATGAGACGTAGATCATCGCGCACCATCACATGAACGCCCTTCAGAAGAACCACCTCGGCTCCTCGTCTCTTCGTCTCCTGCACCTCACAGCCATAGAGGGCATAATTACCACGTTGCAATAATATAACATAGTATCATTGTGCTCAATGTCGATCTCCTCATCGGTGAAACTCTTGATTCACTGGGGTCAGCTGTCCTGTCCTTTCACATGTGTGCCAGCCGAGCTTACTTGGTCGGGTGTGTTACATCGCTGCGGCGAGGCGCTGGGAGGCTGACACCATCCGGTACCAATCGTCGCCTAACGCGCCTCAACCCATGAAATAGACTGCACTGCACTCATCTCTGCTCCGGCCAGCGCTTGTGGTTGCAACCACCATCATTGAGGACTGGTGCATCGCAACAGTGCTCACAAGCCTTGAGCCTGGCCGGTTGGTGTCTCTGATCGGCGAGTGTAAATTTCTCGTGGGCCATTTTGACTTACCTGCTGACTCCTTGAGTATGTATCCATGCAAGCGAGTGCCCATCTACATGCCCTCTTGCGTAGCCAAATTTGACCTCACAACTGAGCCCCGTTCGCCTGCCGGAAACACCACCGTAAAGTAGACTACACCGGATCCCCTCTAAGATTTATGGCCGAGTCCTAGTGCTTTTGTCAAGCCAAATATAATGGGCTGGTGTACCGTCAGGGACGGCACTGGCCTCTGTGCCAAGGTGCTCGACATCAACTGCCTCTGTGGGAGCAACGGCATTGCTGGATGGACAGGATCAGGATAGAGATTCAAAGGTGGGAGATCATCTCCTTGCTGTTGATGGGTAGCTTGTCAGCGGTGTTTCTACAGACTCTACGGTGATTGATTCTTACCATAGATCGGATCTTATGGGCATCGTCCTGGAATCAAAGGCGACGGCTATGGGAGCTTTGCGATTAAAGGAGCCAGGCCAGGTTCCGTGATGCCTGGACCTTTGATGAGATACCTGCGCGTCATACGAGACTTGTTATTTGGGAGCTGCAAAAGTACACCTCTTATGTAGATCGTTGATGACCAATTAATGAACAGCCCTGGGGGAAATAGACTAGAATTGCACCGTAAAGTATCTTTTTGTGGCAGCAGTCGATATAGCAGCAATATCGTGAAATCGTTGGTACATGACAAACTGAAACAGGACCAATCCGCGCCCGTGGGTCGTGTATGGGCGTGTCGCTGCGTGGAATGTGGTGAAGTTCAAAAGGCAACCGGAATGAAAAACACCAGAAAGACTCGAGAATCATACACGTGTATGGCCAGGGCATTCATCTGAAGAGCATAAGACTTCAAGCCGGACTTATTGCCCTGGTTTTAGAGCACGCCTGACCCTCCTAATTCACAAGCTGATCTCGGGTCTACTTGAGCATTCGTTACGCAAGTTGGCTTGAGAAGTTTATCTTGACGATCATGCCGTGGCTCTCCACTCCCAAGATCTCACCAGATGGATCTCCTCGAAGCAAGCCAACTTCCAAATTCAGTGGGAAGTTAACGCCGCCAGCGGCTCAGTCCGATCTGTCTCCTTCGATAACCTATATCCCGGCCTTGATCGATGGAGCGTGCGGGACAACGTCTAATACACAACGCTCTGTGGCCCAGCAGCTGCAGAGCAACATTTCTCATACCGTACACCTGCTGCCAACGCTGATAAGAGAGGCTGTCTTTATCAGAATTAACATATTTGAGACGATCCAGCATGTAGCGCTCGCGCTGTTCGAGATTTACATGCTCATCTTTGTGATTCCGCTCTTGTTGTGTCTGCCTGGCGCCTTGTTCATAGTCTGGATCGGATGCTGCAGCGCTTTGATCATGGGAATAACATGGCACTTGAATCGCAGTGGTGCTAGCGGCGAAGTCCTCCGCTCACCGTCACCAGCAGCAGCTGGATGGATGATTGGGCAGGATATCGATGATGAGCGTTGGTTCTTTGTTGCGGGGATGGGCACAAGGTAAGTAAGACTGATCCGCTCACATACTAGAATATTTGTAGTAATATCCCGCACCGTGAAGCTCGAGGTCTCTCGCCAAAGAAACGCTCCCTACCTTGGCCAGGCTATTCAACAGGACAATCACGGCAGTACACGCACCTGGATATGGGCTTCCGTTTGATCTGGTTCTCGCGCTTCTTCAGCAATCTCTCAACATCATGATCCCTTTTGCTTCTTCTCGTACCTTATATACACAGGTCCGGACCGCGCTGTTGGACAAGCATAATAGACGAACTGTCATTATGGCTCACAATATTGGCGCTATGACAACATCCCATGTCCTTCGGCAACTTTACACCGATGTGCCAACTGAAAAGCTGTCAAAGCTAGAGATATACACCTTTGGCGCGGCTGCCACCGACTTCCCCATGCCCTTGGGTGATCGTCCTGTTGAGACAAAAAAGACCGGCGGTCAGGTCCACGCGCCAGAGCTTGTAGCAATGAATTCCGGTCCGCACATTGAACATTTTGCCTTTACTAAAGACCCTTTTGCGCAGATTGGGGTTCTGCGGAGCGTCAGAGAGAATCTACAAGGCCGCTTCTGTGGATCTGTGTTCGTGTTGGATTGCGCTGGCACAGCGCATCACGGGGTCGGCGCTCTGAGAGGGGACACGAAACCAAAACGTACTGGAAGGCTTACCGCTGCATCTATCAAGGCGAAAATCTCGTCTCGCTCGGTTATGTCGCTGAACGACTACATGTCTTGCTTGTTCCCCGACCAGTCTCAACTCAGCCCTTCTGTCAAGGCATGTGGCACGCAGAACCGCAGCATCCTTGATAATTTCATGCATATCGACCGAGATCTTGCAGAGAAGCGTGAGTTTGCCGCCTTAGCCAAGGACTCGGCCTTACAGAGCACCAGGGGCGAGAAGAAGAGGCTGAGCTGGACAGGGCTCGGCGCCACCGCGAATGATTCGAAAGGGAACATCTCCGGGTTGGTCGGGTTGGAAATGGCGAGGAAGGGCTGCAAGGACTGCAATGGCCACCGAGGCAGGGAAGTCAGTTGGCTGGTGAGATATGTGTGCATTCCAAGTCATTGCAATACGGAGCACAAAGCCGCCGGGACGAGGTTGACTTGAAATGAGTGAAGTGAAATATGATTAGAGGTTTTTCTCACGGGGTGGAACGGCTTGGAAATCCATCACTGTAAGAGTAGAAGGCTGTTCTGCACCGGGTCACGAGAAACTTATACAATATGGGCTATAGAGGGAAGTCGGTAAGGACCGGTTTTGGGCCCAGAGAAGTTGTTTAATATTTAATATGTACAGAGTAATTACCAAACCACTTATTTTTGTTGCTGAACACACCCGTATCAACATAGGAACTGATACAAGGTGCCTGAGTATAAGCATCAGGAGCTAATTCATCCCCTCTGCCCTATCTCAAATGATAGCCGTGTCGTGTTGCACTTAGAGAAGCCCAGACAGAAGGCTGGAGACAGTGCCGAGAACGGAGTTGACAAGACCCTCAACCTCCGCAAGCAGTCCACCGACAACGAGGTCCAGAGACTTGATCAGGCTTCCGAGAACGACCAGGAGAGGCTGCAGGATGGTTTGGAGGTCGTCCACTGCGAGTGATACAATTAGTCGGCAGTCATTGTGAGTGGTTGGGTAGAAAGGATGTCTTACCGAGGCCAACCTTGGCAACGACAGACTTGACAGTGTACACAATCTCAGAAACGAGACCCAGAACAGTGCTCACGAGCTCAGTTCCATCGATGTCCCAGAAAGCGCTAGTGGCGGCGGCCTTAGTGGCGGCGTGAAGGGTGTCGGTGATTCCCTCCAGGTCGGGAGACAGCGCCTTGATGGCAGCGGTCTGCTCAACGGCGGTGGGGTTCTCAGCAATGGAGACGACGGTGGAGTCTGCATTGCGTCAGTATTATTTTGCTTTCTGAACAACTCAGGGATTACTGCTTTCAGACATACTGATAGAGGAAGTGTAAGTCTTGATGGTCTCCGTCAGAGTGCTGATGGTAACCGTCGTGTCGCGCTCGACCAGGGCACCGGCACCAACGCGACCGGTGCTGGCGGCGAAAGCGCCGGCGGCCAGGGAGAAGAGGGAGAAGAATGAAGCCTTCATTTTGAATAATTTAAGAATCGAAGTGGATGGCACGAATGAGTGACTGAAGTGGGATTGTTGAACGAGTGCGAGAAATCGTTGCGAAATGCAAGGTGAATTAAGTAGTTGGAATGAGTGTGATGTCGAAAGGTAAAACTTCTCAACCAGCGGCTGCGAGACGGTACATATTTATAATTACTCCAATGCGCAGCAAGTCCTTTTCATGACCTCATTGAGGCCAATGTTGAGTGTATCCAGCATGGCAACTCCGTCACTATGGGGGCTTGGGCCCAAAAGGTCTGTGATGCTGCTAAACCAATCTCCCGTAGCATCTGATAGGCAGGGACTTGGCACATCCTCCCGCTTTTTTGACCACGGTGATGCCGAATGAGTGTACAGTAACAAGTCTTAGGAAAGGGTGTCTCTAAGCGCTGTGACCAAGGGGTCATGACTTGAGCTGATCGCTGTAGAGATTGTGCACGTTTTGGTGGGTCGCGTAACTCACGAGGAAGATCCCAATGAAAAGCATCAAGATGTTCAATGATGTTCAACTCTGACACCCAATTCAATCAACACATTATGCATGGCAAAAACCCCTCATCAAACGTTATTCTCTCAGACGGCACATCTCAACGATGCTCGCGCGGTGATTCCGATGAATATCCATTCCTACAGCTGCAGGTGCAGAGACAAGACAGGACAACCTTGGCCTTTGGGTACTTCAGCACAAAACATGGATTCACCTTATGGTATTGCAAGCGTCAGAGAAGACGTCACAAATTTGGTTTATCATCATAACATGATACGTACATTCGGCTATACCATTGCCTAGAATACGCAAGGTTTTATGTCAATGTCCTCTGTGACATCAATCTCGATTGGTATTATACTATGGAGGTTGAAAAGAAGGTACGTAGGACTTATGTATCGGGTAAAATATTGCAATTTGGCTGCCAAGTATTTCTCGAGGTCTCCATACAGGCAAGGTCTCACTTGACAGTCATCCCCCTTCCCCTCTTATTAATCTTTCCTGACATCATCAGCCTACATTTGTATTTATAGCTTGATATTCTCACTTCGAGACTTGGTAGACTATTTTCGAGAGCAAGTCTCCATCAAAGTGGATATCGGCCTTGCAGAGCATTCCTTCTCTACAAGTTAGAACGAACATATGTGGACTCCGCCGAGCCACTCCACAAACAACTGTCGGGCTCTCCTTCATCCCCTTTTTATCATCGCCTTCGACGGGGGGAAAATGACTTCGTTTCGACAGATAGAAAAGAACCTCCCCTCCCCCCTTTCACCTTCTGACGCATGTGATTGAAGGGCGCTGTGTCACCTCCATTTCTTACCAGCGTCCGATTTTGTCTTCGATGGGCGTAAGCGGGCGCACAATGCCGCATCATCTGCTTATCGAACCGAGAACAATTGCTGGCTGGTATTAATTGGGGCCTGTTTTGATAGTCTTGAGGTAGGACACCAAAAGTGTCGCCAGATGCAAATCTCAGCGGTTTTTGCGGTGCCTACACACTGGGATGCAGGTCTCACTTGTTTTCATATCATTCTTTCTTCTCAAAAAACACTTTTGTTAACGAGCGACTAAATACTTGTTCGACACTATCTTTCTCATGCCTTTCTTTCCTACTGCTTTTTTGTCTCTCTTTCTCTCTTCTTCATTTTAATGCCTGTCTTGCCTTCGTCCTATGTAGTGGCTTGGTGAATAGTCCACACTTTTGGTTGCCAACTCTCGACCTGCAACAAGCACTTGATTAATCCTTCATCACGGGCCACCTAGGGGTCACAATCGACAGTCTGCTTCTTGACGAAATCTTGGGTCGCCTTTTTCTGAGAGGCGTCGATGTCCTCTGCAGCAACTGCCCACTCCTTCTGATTAAATCGAGCACTGTACTCGTTGTACTCGATGTCACATGTGACCTCCTGTTCCGTTTTCTTGGCGTTCACCACGTTGCGCATGTCTTGACTGACGCTGAATGAGATCACCCGAACATCTTCAAAATGTTAGTCGAGCATGATAAGTTCCAGATCTCTGGGGGAGAATATACTCACACGAGGCAATGACGTCGGCCTCCGGGAGGTACTCGTATTTCTCACAGACAATCGTTTTGGTATCCTTGGTGCCTGCACTGTTCTCGACAGTGGAGGATATGGATTGGAGAATGGCCTCTAGGGTCTTTAGGATGTTGGGGGTAACGTCGATAAACCCCTTCAAGACGTTGGTGACCAACTCAGTGTGAAATTGCCGGGAATAGGCCCGGATTTGCTTGCTGACATTATGGTCTACGTCCATGGCAAGCCTGTATTCACTGTCAGCACGAGAATGAGAAGAAGAGCCAAATAGGCTGAAGCAAGTTAGACTCACCAGGGTGTGGTTTTCATGTCCGTAATCGCGACCTTAGCGCAGTACGCGCTGCGCGCATCAGTGGAAGCCTTGCTGCCGTCCTGAGGAACCTTGTTGTTGGCGTAGACCGTTCTCCACCACCGGCCGCTGGCCCAGCAGCGGTAGTCAATAACGTTCTGCATGTAAGCAGCCAACTGCTTTGAACCAGCCGTGGCCGCATCTTTGGTGGGAAAGTTGACAAACCACAGAGATGGGGTTGTCTTGCTATCTTCAACAGCCTTGTCGGCGACAGTCTTGTCATCGATGTTCACGGTGTCACCAAGCCTGGTGACAGCATGGAAGTTCTCGGGCGCAGCAGGCCCCCCGCTGATGGATGAGCTGACCAGAGTGCCAAGATGCATGTTGATTGTTGAGGAGTGTCAAGAGATGCTGAAAATTATTTGTCTCGGACCACAAATCTTTGAATATGAGATGTTTGCGTTGACGAATGTCCGACAAGACATTGCTCAATCCACAAGAGAGCGAGTGCCCTGATTTATAGCCCAGAGCATGTGCCTTCGATAATTTTGTACTCCAAGCTCTCACATTTGACTAGCCAGGGAATTGTACTCTCAAAAGTCCAGGACCAGGCAGATGCTGCCCAGAATGCTTCAGAGCTAGACTGATAGACCATGAGGCAAGTCGATGCTCTGCTGCTTTCATTCTTGTGACGTCTCGGGCGGAGTTGGCCTCTGCCCGTTTGCAGGCCCAGCGGAAAGCTTAACTCTGAAAAATACCGCTGTCGCCGTAGGCTTAATCGGTGAAGGCAGGTGGCTTCCTCCCGATGTGCTCGTTCACCAAAAAGAAGGAAAGAGAGAAAAGAGAAAAAAGGTTTACGTGTTCTAGATCTTGATCCATCGTTTTGAGAGATCTACTACATTTAGAAAGAAATAGTTTAGGGCCAAATATTCGTTTTCGAGAGAGCCAAGTTTTAGACAGCACGGAATCGTATACTAAACATCACATCTGAACCTATTCTATCCTCTTGAGAGGTTAAGGTCTGGATTTGGCCGCGTTTCTCTTACGTATTAGTGGCGGCTCAAGGCGCCGGGGCAACTGAATCTGAAACATATAACTTCTTGTACGGAAACTTCATATTCATCTGGACGAAAGCATGTTAGCATGCATACCTGAGGGTATGCCATCAAAGCAGTAGTTATGGTCTAGATCTGTGATATTTCCGTTGACGTATTAGTGACTGATGGGGATGGAATAATCGCTGGTCTGGAAGCATGTTTAGTGCAATGTTACCTTACTGAGAAGATCCAAATAGGACGTCTGGGCCCTATCTTGCCGTATGCGTGGTGTACAATTTGAACATATGAACTAACTACCCGTGAAACATATGTGCCGTCTTTGCTATTGACTTAGCCCAGAGAGTACGAGTTCCCTTATCTATCTGATTCGGTGACTATTTTCTCATTTTGTTCTCATCGACCCTCCGTTACACATAGTCGGACCTGATCTTCTGGTTTTCTTTTTCTTCATAAACAGTCTTACGATAATCAATACTCCGAAGATGGCCAATTTGATTCAGAGCAGCCTCGCCTCGCTCGGGGGAGTTGATATCCAGAGCCTCGCAAAAGACCCGCGAGATCCACAGACCGTGTTCTATCTCAATCCTGTCTACGCTTCTGAAAAGGACAATGCTGCAGTCAATGATGCCAAAGAGGCTTTGCAGGACACGATCTATTCATGGGCACCCAAAATCGAGCGTACGGTCCAGGAGAAACTCCCGAAAGATCACAACTTACAGGCAAGCTGGGATCGCGCTTCATTTCGAGCTAAGCTGGTCGACGCACTTGCCAAACAGACACCTTGGTGAGTACCCTAGACAAATCAACTTCGAGCATGCCATTGTTGACGAAGGCCTGGATTTAGGTTGGCCATGACTGGCAATACCACTGCGAGTCCTGTGGATAAATCTCTTACAGGGGACTATGGCAAGGATAAGTTGATGTTCCAGAATCTCATTGATGGACATGTCAACAGTCAGCTACATGATATTCCCACGAACCACCTCAGCATCATCAGCAACCTCATAGCAGAGACTATGGTCCTCAGCCGTACATCCCTGGCCAAGACGCAGAGGTTTGCTATTGTATTGCCCTGGGCCAAGGCGAATGAGGCCAGTAAGTATCTTCGTGAATAACCTTTTAATACTTATGGGCTAAGAATTTGGTTCAGCCATGAAGGTTTTGATCTTCAATTTTGAGCAAAAGGAGGAGAATGGGAAGGTTGATGTTGAGACAACCAGAAGCTTCTATTCGGCCAAACTCAACTTGAGTGGATTCCAGGATGAGAAGCTGGACCAGAAGGAGCTGGCACTAGGGAAGGGACTTGTTCAGGATGCCACCATGGACATTGTGGTCTAATCGGATAAATTGACTCACTTTTATTAGCTATCAAAGTAGGCCCAGAACCCACATCGTAAATGAACCCAGAGATTTGAAACTTCGAGACGAAATTACGTGTAAAATTCCTTTCTTGTCTCACAAAAAATTGACTGATAGCAGAGGCCGAGAGACCCAAAGTATGATCAAACGTTGAACGGTCCAGCCCCCTTCAACGGGACGCGGAGGATATTTTGCCGGAAGACTATTGCGCTCTTTGACGTCTTCATCGGGGAATTGCTATTTTCTACCTCATTCGTACCATGTAATGTCATTAGTGACGACCCGTCTACACCAGTTGTTGTCGACTTTCCCTATGCTGGCTTGGGCGGCACAGATGGACCTGTCCAGACCAGATTCCCATGTTGCCCTTACTGAGAGACGAAAATTGTCTCAGCCATTGAGACCGAAAACGTAAATGCGAGAGAAAACAAAAAGGAAGAAAGTGGGAGATACTTGAGACACGGTTAACAGCAGCTAAATTCTGATGCATTGATTTCTACTTCTTGCAGATCAAAGGATTGGGTAAGAGTCTGTAACTAGGCAGTGTAGAGATCCAAATGCCACCTCTGCCTTGGCAATCATGTTCAGACATACCTGACTCTGTCCTGTAAAGACTTTTGAGGAAAATCCAGGCTATTCGTGCAGTTCAATCCTTAACATGCCGAGATTCGATGATGAACAGGAAGATGAGGTCATCACCGGTGAGCTTATGCGGTGCCCCGATATCTTCCGGGCAAGGCAAGCCGTCGCCTTCGAATCGGAAATGAAGACGGAGACACTCTCAGCAGACGTCTTGGGATCATTGAATGGGGTGGCTCTGGCATTCCCTCTCTTGGGAGCTCAAGGTATGAACGATGGCGAAATCCCATATATTCATCAGTGCAATCATGCTCACCTTTCTTTGGTATTTAGCCGTTGCAGGTGCAATTTCAAGCGATCACCAGCCCATATGGTTTGTCAATTTCCCATTGGAGCTGTCAGCCTCTGTACAGAACTCACTCCGAGATTATCAACAAGTAGTGCTTGATTTCAGATGTTGGTCGAGCCTGAAGTGGTGGACGGAGGTCTTCACACGGATTCCTGTCTCTGATGACCCTCTCACCAAGATCAAGCAGACGAGTGAGTTCGCTATGGTAGCATGCAGAGATATGACTCAGATGCCATGGTCAGTTAACTGCCTCCACGATCTTGTTGAATATAACGTGTAATACTCAGCGCCTCGCTCTGCAGGTTGAAGACGACCATGAGCCCTCAAAGATCTACCAATGCAATCCAATGCCCCATCGGCGAGCTTCATCCAGCTATCATAGCTGGAACAATGTCGAAGTGGTTTGCAAATAATCCAGCTGCGCTTGCGCCGCTTGAAACCGTCTTACAGGCTGTCGTAGGGTCGATCAGCGAGGCAACATTCAATTACAACGATACCAGGACGGTAGTCACCGAGAAATATGAATACATGAGCGAAGCTCAGAGCATAAAATCTTGTAAGTCATCTTATCCTCATGTTACTTGAGGTTCAATATGCTTATGTCATCTAATAGCTGTGCGGCTGCTTTGTTTCGAGATCTCGAGGTCTTTCTACGATGTTCAATCCGGAAAATCAACTCAAATATGGGTCAATTGTGACATGAGCTATCTGGAATACGAGGCAGAGTTCAAAATCGAAGAATGGAAGAAATCTCAAAATAGTATAGACGAACAGCAAAAACCGGTATTACAGGAATTTGTCAAGAAACAGACTGTTGATATTGGTCCAGACAGCATAAATAAATAGATAAATAACGTTGGAAAAGACGGAATTTCTGAAAAAGAAGCCACCCCGAGGGGGGGAGGGGGTTCAGAATTTTGCCTCAGTTCGTACCGTCAATCACAACGTCAATCTTATGCTGCCAGGCTGAGCATAGGAATTAGTGTAGACCTAAACTCATTGCCTCTCAACGGTGGATTTCTGCGGCGTTCCGTGGACTGCTTTCGTCGATCAAGAATTTACTTCAGCCGTGCAAAAGTTGCGACTTGACGTGTCACCAGGAATTTGGCTTACCAGCGGGAGATGTGTTTTCGCCTAGAGATTAACCAGTCAAGCTTCACTTGCATAATCAGAGCCTGCGATCTACTGATGTGCGCCTAGAGGCTCTCTTCCGCACGCATGACGAAGATGCCTGGGTGCGGGCTTGTGGGCTTGACCATCCTTGGGCTTTTTTACGTAACGAAGTAATAGTCACGTTTAACCTTTCCGGCCCTGGGCCAGACTTTACCTCTCCTGCTGGACTTTGTAAGGGCCCAGCCTTTATAGAGCTCGTAAGATAATCTGACATAACGAACTACCCATTCACCTGTTATGGGATATGACATGTTCAGGAAAAAGGTCCAGACCCTGTTTCAGCCAGATAGACAGGAGCTCGATACTGTTTTCGTGAAAAAGCTGTTTTCAGAAGCATGTCCTAAGAAGGAGGGTCATGATTTCAGCATCTTACTGCATTCATGATGTTGTGTCATTCTTCCAAGAGAGCGATGTGTTGAATGAGACGTTGCTTTCAGTAGAACGTTGCTTCCAGCAAGGACGTTATGTTTTAGAAAGGTGATGTTTTCAGCAGGGCGTTCTTTGCAGGCAGGTTAGCTATTGGTCGGACGTCATGGTTGAATGTTGCCCTGCAATTCAGACTGCCTCGAATTCCTCGCCCTGTTTGATAACCCTTAAACGATAAAGATAAAAGCTGGAGTTACTGACTTTGAATATTGGGAAGATGCTAGGAAACGTACTCCCCATCCACCTCATCTCGTGCCAATATCATCAAGAGCAAATCAGTCCGATATCATGGCAACAAACGGTATGTTCCCTTGTGTCTCTGCATGCTTATCCCATATCAGCGTCCAGTCTTATGAAGGTGGTGAGGATACGTGATTATAGCATCGCCCGCCAGCTTGCCTTGAACTCTAATTTCCATGGCCGTAATTTCTAATGGTCTTCAAAGTGCTTCAGTCAGATGCCGAAATCGTCGACAAATACGACGAAGTTCTGCAACCCGAACTCACTGCGGCTCTTCAGTCAATCCAAGGCCTATCTTGGGCATCTTTCAGTCTAAGCAAAGACAGCAGCCGATATGCCTTGAAAGTCAGCACGACTGATCCCTTGAATTCCAAGTGGAAGGAGGCAGCCGATTCACTCAAGGCCGTCTTTTTGAAGTCGACAAAGCAAGCACTAGACGTCAACGTCATAGAGGCCAAATGGTTTACAGAAACTCGTCATGTGGCTCCTGGCGCGCAGCAGCCGTATGAAAGAGGCGGTAAGAATCCATTCGGCCTGTACTCGATCGGCCGAAGTATCGGGGTGGAGCAACTCAACGGTCCAGGAACCCTTGGAGGGCTCATTACCATCTCGATTGAGGGAAAGCCCAGGGTCTATGGATTGACCAATAACCACGTTGTTAATGTCGGCAAGACTACAAATCAGCAGTGTGAGTTTTCAAAGAGGCGTTGAGTTTCGTTATCCGACTTATTCGTTGACTCCTATGTCTGAATAGCTGGTGATCCGACTTATGTAGAGAAAGACAACACTATTTATTGTCCAAACTACCAGGATCTAGAGGCGACCAAGATTGCACTTGGCGACGATAAAATTCGATCGTATAAACTGGGCCAGTTGCGAGGAGCCTCTGGACGCACCCTGTTTGTCCCGCAAGGAGCAAGCAATCCCTGTCTTCTTGACTGGGCTCTGATCGACCTCAACACTGCTACTTTACGAGACATACAAGAGAGTGATAGAAAGCTCAAACCTAACTTTGAATTGGCTCGGACAGATGCACAAGTGAGTTACTGATTGTTGTATCATAAGCTTCCTACGACAGTCGTGGGTCCCAAACACCGACTGACGAGACGTCCTACTCAGATAAGGGAGCATCCGTACCCGACCTCGATCAGTTACGACCCTAACATCCACCTTGTTCCAGGTATGGAAGTCTTCAAGTGGGGACGTACAACAGGCGTGGGATCAGGTGAGGTGAACATGACTAGGAAGGTGATGAAGATCGCCGATGTCGAGACTTGGAAAGGCTCAATCTACAATCCGAACGGTGATGTAACGGTCGCTGAGTTATTCGTACCTCCCAGGAGACTCGAGCCCTTCTGCCAACCAGGGGACTCGGGCTCTTTGGTCGTCGATGGCGAAGGTCATCTTGTTGGGCTTCTTTGGTCACTGGCTGATGACGACACTATTGTCACTGACATTCGTGTGGTGTTTGAGTCCATCAGGGAGAAGATGGAGTTGAAAGCTGACACCGTCTTCGGTGTTCCTACAAAGTTCTGAGGAATAGAGACAGAAGAGTTTGCAACTCGGCGATTTGTTCATAATTCTGAAAAAGCTTTTGCCTAATTCTTTCAGTTGTGTTTGACTATTCCAAATGATGTTATTTCCGACGAGGCTACCATAAGTCAGAGACGACTGCTAGGTTATATCTTTGCAGGGGCCTCGCAAGTCTGGGGAGCGGATGCAACATAATGAAGCTTCAATATTAATAAGACCTCGTGTGGCAACCCAGGTGTACATCTGTGGTATTTGAGTGCATGGTATTACCAGTCGTACTTAAAGACGCGTCAGTGAACGTATAATAATTGGCAGTAAGGAGGACTTCTCGGAATCAAGGAAGGCTGGTATCCACTGACTGCCAAAGGCTCATAGTTAGTGGGGACTCATTTGATGACATTCTGTTCTTCGACGGGCGCGGCCCGGCTGGTAGTCATCCGAACAAAGTACGCTGGCCGCATACAAAGAGCCCACAGGGCCGAGGCTTTTGTAGATCTCAGATGAACGACCAAGGCTGAAACGGCCCTGTCAGAATTCTCCCCAGACGCCTCTAGATCTGCTCAACGTTGGGGGCCCCCAAGCGTATCATTGGGATGACTGGGCCTCCTTCTCCTAGAAGCGTCCGCGGAAACCCACATTGCGGATACTTCTCACATAAGCTTCCTTTGAAGTCTTTCACCGGCTCTCTGGAGACCTGAAACCTGCAAACCGGTTCTTCGACCGGGGTTTCGAATTTGGCCTCCGGACGGGTAAGCGTGAGATTGCGGAGCCCGCCAACTTACAGAATCAGAGATCCACGACGGTCGTAAAATCGATGAAAGGTGAGGAAAAGGCCGAATTCCTCGAAGCATGAAGATGTGCAGCAGGAGAAGTAAAGGAGAGAATAGAATGGAGAAAGCAACTGACAGGCTTCAGTCACAACTAATCGCCTATTCGTGAAGTGGAGTTTTGGTCCAATCTTACACCAGACGCTTGCGTAGTGACTGAGCTGCCATTTGACCTCGATCATTGAGACACAGGTCGTTGCCAGGCTCCAGGTTTAGGTATTATCGCCTTCGAGTGATAAGGCGCTCAATTGAGGCATATTACTACTCAAATCATTGCTCTTTGGACAAAAACAGAGGCTCTACTTTTCAGGCCTCGATCAGTTGGACATTGCAACGAGGCCACAGAGTGACCCGGGGTCAGGCTGTGCAAAGGGTTCCCGACCATCTAAGTAATATTACTACATGTGGCCCGGGGGAGAGGCCTGCAACGACCTTTCCGTATTGTGGAAGAACAAATGCATGAACCCAGACAATGCTAGATATTTAGAAGAAGATGTTGCGCCGAGTGAATATTGAAAATTGATGGAATAATTACTTTGCTCTGCCGCCATTCAAATATCTTGGCTCTCTCCTGTGCGCCATTCAAAATCATCTATACATCAAACAATTCATTGTTACGGTTGTGCCTACGTTTTTCGAGACTGAAAAAGTAGCAATTCCTAACTATTCTTCCACCTCACAGCCCGGTAAGTTTGACATAATCACCAAGTATATTTCTGTTGAACGCAAATCTCTGACGGTGCTCTAGGTCGGACCGCTATTCGAAATCGTTATCAAGAACGCTCCAAATCATATCATGTTGGACCACCAGACCAGAGTGTGGTACGACCAAACCCACGCCGAGATGAAAACAATCCACCACACTCCCGCGACACATGTCCGACACATGTCATATCCAACACCACCAACCCAAGCCCGCCACATGTCCTATACCACGCCGCCACCCACCGTCCCGTCAAGAACTCCATCCGTCAGGTCGAGCCACCAAGACTTCCAGTGGCTCGGCGAGCTGCAGAGCCACACCTCAGACTACGAGTACCTCAAGCCGCTGCTGAGAGACAGGCGGTTGGAGCTGCAGCAGCGCCAAGCACAGCTAAACTTCTGGACGCGCGAGATCCAGGACCGCCAGAAACAGGTGCGGGACTCGAACTTCTCGAGCGGGGCGCAGAGGAGGGAGCTCCAGATCCAGCTGCAGACGCTGCTCCGCGACCGCGAGGTGGCCCGTCAGGACTATCAGAGGCAACAAGCTGAGTTTGAAAGGCTGAGCAGGCAGATTCAGAGCCATAGGGAGATCATCGATAACCTCATGCAAAGATTGAGGATAATAGTTTCGTCTTGATTGTTTCTTCGAGTGGGAGCAAGAGGGGCAGAGGCTTGACGTTAATAATTAATGAGTGGCGGTATGAAAGGCCTCGGTAGCCTGGAGGTATTTTGTGACTTAATTGATGTATAATCAATAATTTGGAAATCAATTCATCCCGGCCTTGGACCTGTTATTCGTGAGCTGTTCCTCGCTGAAAGTAGTGCCTTGCTTTCAAAGCCCTTGTAGACACGAAATCGACTTGCGGACGTAACCCTCAAGGCACTGCATGTCGAGCAAGGAAATGGCACAGTGTTAGATGTGTTTGGCCGAAGCCTTGATTACATTGAATTCTTCTAGTCTGAGGAACTGATCTGAGGGGATAGTGACCTTATGTATAGATAGAGTGCGTGCCAGCGGGGGTCCATTTCCTTGTCAACTGTTTCGTTTCTCAGCACTGCGGGCCTCAAGGCACCTCAGACGGCCAGGATCTGGAAGTAGATAAGTCTCTAACAAAATGGCCCCTTCCATGACTGGCGCTAGAAGAGAGTGACAGTTTGTACGCTCCAAGGAGAATCCTCCAGATAGGCAGCCCCGAGCAGTTCATAGGGAAGAGATCCTTCTAGGACGGTCCGGTTCTTATCCGTATCACGAAGACTTAGTCCGTCGTCAGTATTTAGATAGCAGTCTCCAATCAGTTCAAATGCAGGTAGATGCTTCTCCTCACACCACAGCTGTTCCAATTTGGAAGTTGGGTGTAGTGAGGCAACGTCCCGGAGAACAAAGTGAGAAAGACCGCTCGGGAACATGTGCACCGTATCTCCTGGCTGCATTGACACAGGCCCCAAACCGGTTGTACCCTCCTCAGACACGAAGAATGCGCGGCCATCCGTTGCCAGCTCGATAGCCTCGAAGAAAGAGCTCGGCGGCGCAAGGCTTTCAGAGACGCCTGAAGAGAAGGATGCTGCAAAGTCTGGCGGAATGCGCAAGATGTTAATGTCTTGTCTCCCTTGCTGTCGTGATGAGACGTGCGCCACCTGGGTCCGCAGAAATAGCCTCTCAAGCCAGTCAATCAATGGCTCAAAATCAGGGAGAGAAATCCCTCCAGTAATGGTTCGTGCAAATCCCAAGAGCTGTTGAGAATCCAGCCATACTTCGTCAGGTCTTCCCAAGTTTGAGCCTTCGGGGCGGGAACCGACGAGGTACATCCAGTGCATTAAGGTTTGCGTTGCTGCCTGTTTGTCTGACCATCCGAGCATTCTAGGACCGACCTGCTTGACGCGGTCGCGAAGTACAGTCTGCAAATTGAGGACCCTTTCTGGGTCATCGAGACTCAGGTCCATTGGTGGGGCCGCGCACCAGGACATGTCCTCACCATCCGGTCGCGGGACCACACGCTGAACATTACTCATCCAGGAGACGTTCTTCCGGAATGTATAGGAGCATCTGAACAGCTCCCATGGGTTTTTTCTATCGTTTGGATCATCTGTTTGACTGTTAGAGTCCACTTAGAAGGCTATGAGTGAAGTAGTGTGACCATGACAACCGCGGAGGGGAGAATGTCTCTGAAAAGCAGTTCTGCTACTGTGAACTCCGCGTTCCCCGGCCTTGCCGACATATAAGAGTGATAGAACAGGTGAAGGACGAAAATGCAGACGCTAATATCTCGAGGGTCTGTAGGGGCTGAATCAAATACGTACTGCAGAATGTAGCAAGAACCTTGCACTGATCAATGAGGCTGCCAAGAGCGTGTCCGATCCCCTGTTTCTGGCGGGCTAGTGTCGGCCCCATGTCGCTGACTGACGCCCAGTCGGAGTCAAGAAAGTTGAGGGATAAAAGCGATTCCGTCCAGTAGTAACAGCCCTGCACGAGATCCTTTATATCAAGATACTTTCGATTTCTTGGCGCGGAAGAGCGAAACAGCTCGTTCATGAGCCAACTCATGGTGAACATGGAAGGATCCCTCACGAACTTGGCGTCTGTCAACCGCTTTTGGGAGGGCAGGCACCAGTATGTGCACGTATCTCGAGACGCCTCTTGCAGTTGGATTCCCAACTGAAGCCGACTCCCCCGTCCTGACCGTGGGGCAACGCCTTGGAGTTGCCAATGATCCAAGGCATGGAGAATAGCTCGAAGGCAGTTCTCACAAAATCCGGTATCTAAGGCCCTCACCCGCGCTTCAAGGCATCTGATGTACCAGTCCAAGACTGGAAGCAACGACCCCGGCAATTGCTTGCATTGTTTCTTCAAGTCATCTGTAAGGCGCTTCATTTCATTTCCCACGGTGCACCAATACTCCTGCTCTTCGTGGATGACTTTGAGCGTCCATCCAGTCTTTGCTTTGTACGTATCAAGGAGGGTCATGCGACGTCTATCGGCTATATCGAGACCATGGCTCCAGTCTGGGATCCAGGATGGGAGATCGCGACGATTTTTGCGTTTCTGGTCACCGGCCCAGCAGGCTAAATCAGGACCTGCTGCGTTGCGACCCAGGAAGGTGTTCCTGTAGACCTGGAAGACGTCGAGAGTGTAGTCTGGTGATATCCCGTGCTCCCATTTCGCAAGACTGAGAAGGCCATACACTTTATCACGGTCGTCGGTAGCTTCACGGTTTGAGAATTCCTGGAGGAGATGGACAAGATGAGTGCCCCCCTCTTCATGCCATCTCTGTCGCGTCCGCTCGAGGTTGGATAGCTGGCTGTTGAGTAGGTCAAGGACCTTCAAGTTCTCTGGCTCCAGCTCTGCCAGGGCTGTCGTCCTTTTGTGGTGTGAGGATATGAAATTGGTAGCGCCAACGAAGATCTCCCAGCATGCAGAGACGGTGCCGTATTGCACGATGACTTTTTTGCTCACAGCAACTTCCTGAACGACCCAAATCCTTTTCCACCATGGACACACCAGAAAGCATTTGAGGCACTCAAATAAGTGCCGCCTGACTGGTTCCCGAAGGCTCATGATCTCTCGACAATATTCGTTCTTGTCTTCAGCTGAGAAGAGCCGCACCAAACCCATCGCGCAGAGGCCTGCGCTGGCCGGTGACCTGAGGACCTTGAGCTTAGCGGAGCGACAAGTCTCGAGGAACTCGTCTAAAAAGGCATCGTCTTTATAACCGCCGTAGATCTGCCTCTTCGGACACATCGGTGGTTCTGTCAGATCTAAGCGCTGGATTCTGTGGCTTCGCCCATCGCCCATGAAAACAATGACCTCCTTCGCTTGTTCATATATTTGCCGCATGAGGCTAACCTGATGACTGCGCTCTTTATCGTCTTCCTGATTGATACACTAAACTTGTCATCAAAAGGCACAATCACTGTGGTAGCGGGAGAAGGAAGCAAAAAGCAACCATGAAGAACGGAGTACTAGCCAGCCAGTGGTTGGAGTGGGGAGGGAGCTGATGGACAGAAAACTGGGAAAAGGAAACCTACTAGTGCGTCCACCCATAGAACAACGTCGTGATCGGTGTGTCTCAGGTAACGGAGAGCACAAAACAGGTTGAAGGTGATCTCTACCGGGTGGTCTTCAATACGCACGATGTTCCCAACACGTGAGATGTCCTCAACATAGATGATGTCTTTCACGACAGAAGAACCCCACACGTATGAGAGTGCCTTGTAACACGAATCGGCCTCATGGAGTTCGCTAAGCTCATAGTGAAGAAGCCTGCATCGTATTGGGTCTTTCCACTGACCAGGAGAAATGCTGACCACGCGGATCTGCTTTGGCCTGCACAGCTTTCGGTAATATTGAGGCAGTGCGCTGGTGCGGGGGGGTCGCTCCAAGGACGCTGCTGGGTCTGATGGATCCATGACCACACACGCACACGCAAATCATCAAGGTTTGGAAGAAATGAAATAGAGAAAAGTGAAAGATAGTAGCAAGTAAGGAGAGCATTATATACTGCTCAACAGGAGGGGGATTTGCCAGGCATTTCTGGTACCGGGCAGTGGCAGGTGGCTGAGCCTTCCGGAGGCCTGTTGTAGCTGCAGTCACCCTGCACCTAAGTACTGGTGCTCAATCTAAGCCACGTCATTCAGAAATTGATGATGAGGTTCAGCTTAGCACGAGAGAAATTATGTCGTCCACAGGCGAGGATAGTCATGTGAGTGAGCAGGCCTGGATACAATGTCTGGTGGTTGGCTTATTGAGAGCTGTGCCTTTAAAGTAGACAAAATACTGAGTTGGTAAGCTTCCCCCAGGGCCCTGCCGTTGGCAGGTAGTGTATGTACTTCGGTGACAGGCTCCTTGTTCCATGCACTATGTTGAGCAAGGAAATGGCACAGTGTTAGTTGTGTATTGGCTTGAAGCCTTAAGCATTGAATTTCTAGTTTGAGGACCTGGTGAGGGGATAGTGATCCTATATACAGAAAGAGTGCGTGCCAGCGCGGGCCCATTCCCTTGTCAACCGTTTCGTTTCTCAACACACTATAAAGGGAGGGCTCGTAGGCAATTCGAATATCGATCGCCATTCGAAATGGTTACGAAGATCTAAATGTACATCGCAGTGCGGTGATTATAAGCTACCGCGACACCTCCTCGCCTTGTTTTCTAGTTCTACGGTTATCAATTGCCAAGTTTTTAGCCATCAGGGAAAGATCAATATGAGCCGTCCTATCCAGCTCTTTGGCGGTGGTGGCGTTTCTATCAAGAACCCTCTTGAGGACCAGGACGAAGGGCCCTTCGATCTAGATATGGTCTCTCCAAAGTGGCGAGCCTTTAATAGCAGTCTTCTCAACGACTGCGAACCGACAGGACGGACATCCCCAGTGTACTGTCGTCAGCACCCAGCGAGATCAGATTCAGGGCCTGGCTAGCTTTTACCTGGAATCCCAGGCGATTCACACCCGGTGTCTCCTCCATGTAAGCCTTCTCTCCTTGAACTAGCACCCTGCTTCAGGTCGAGCTGACACGACCATCTTGCCGACAGAGCATCGCTACCATCACGGCCTCTCAACCTCAGTTTCCATGACACAGCTGTCACGAATACATCGTCCAATGCTATTCCCTGCCACGCATCGTCCCATACTGGGCCAGGTCGCAGCAGCAGCTACCACAAGAGGCCCAACCCTCACACTCATGGCTGAACCCTCTCTCGTCCGAACACCGAGCTTGACTGACCTCCAGAGCCCATCCTTTGTCCGCAAGCCGCATACTGGGGTCGAGCCGAGGATCACGCCGTCCCTGAGTACGGGCGAACCGCCTGTGGTCGAGTAGAGCAATCTGATTACGGCCGCGGCGGGGGGCTCAGGAGGCTGCTATCGCGGCCAAATATGCCATGCATGGTGACCAAGGGGTGTGAATTAGCTGGTGCGCTTAGCGAGAACATAATTGCTGCAGACTTCTTGCTGTCATAGTTGACCTCCTATATCATCTGGCTAACCAGTCCTGGAATGATTCCCATCCTGAAGGAGTGGCTGTGGCTTGCTTATGTTGGTATATCACGGCATGCAACACTGTCTTCTCGGGTCACCCGGCGCATATATTCCAGAGGTTTTTTTGGTTTTTTTTTTTGGTTTTTTTTTTTTTTTTTGGTGTAGATGGAAAGGTCTTTGCGACTATGGCTCCTTTGAAAGTCAACAGAACTTATTTACCACACACCTTAACAGACAACATAATTGATATTGAGTTTCTCAAGCTAATTGCTGAAAACAAGCAAGTGCAATCCGATTTTGCACTCCATAGCAGGCTTGCAACGTCAATGCCGTGAGCCCAAGATCGCCAATGATGCTTACTCGTTCCCTGCCCGGCCTTTCAAGACGCCCCGCTTGACTTCTCGCGTTTGTTCATACCCTCAGCCTGTACCGTCGTCATCAACACAAGCATGTTCACATTATGCTCGGCCTCATACCTCTCCTTTGTTTTCAATGTTGGGAAGCCTGGGAATGGGGAGCTGAGATAAGGCAGATGCTGCACGCTGTCTATCACGTGCTCGTGTGCAAACAATATGACAGGAGCGAAATCTGCCTGGCCTTCGAGGATTACATTTTGCCAACGTCGGCTTCCGTCCACCCGCTGACCGGTACTTGCAAACATTCCAGGCATTGCGGTGAACTTGCTATCAAACCAGTGCTCTGTGACAATCTTGGTGACGTTCTTATCTTCGCGGAAGAAGCTGCCAATGACGCGGGGTTTGTTGTCAAGCGCCAGAGAGCCCTTGAAGTACGGTTTGAAAGTGAGAGTAGCGTCACTGACTGCGGCTTGAGGAGGTACTTGAACGACGAGGCTGGTCTTCTCGAGCTGGGAAGTGGACAATGGCCAGAGTTCGGGGTACCATCTGTCGCTATGCGATGGGACCAGGACTCCGATATGACCGGCTTCTTCGCAACATGCCAGCGAGATGCCCTCGAGTCTTTTCGTCATGGACGTTGGTGGAAGTAGAACCATGTCGTGGCTTCTCATCAAGGTCTGAGGCGTCATGTCACGCTCTGTCCGTAAAATCTGATCAGAAATCCACTCCGCGCGCGTGTCGCATGAGGGTGGGCTACACGCACCTGCTTCCACAACGCTGTAGCCATTTCTCTTGAGCTCCATGATACTCTGTACTTGCTTCCGAATCTTCTTTGATACGAGTGCAATCGGTGGCATAGGGGGCACTCTGTCGCAGAGACAAACATCTACAAACATGGATGGCTCGTTGTCGAGAATATTGGACAAAATGGCATCTTGAATCTCGGCTGGCAGTTGAGGGTATAAGAGAAATGACTCAGCCGACGGACTCATTGAGTAGACAGGCGTATCGGACGCTGGCGCTAGAGTCGTGATCACAGGGGACGCTGTTGAGCCTGCAACGAGGCCTGCAGACAAGTGGGTGCCCTTCATCTTATAAGTAGTAGTGGTTATTTGAGAAAAGAACTTAGTCTCGCAACTCAGGAGAGAGGAACGTGATATATGATGGCGGATTGGGTTCGGTGTTTGGCTTGCTGAAAGGGAATAACCATGGGACTGGAGAGGGAAGCTCTCTTCTTAAACGTGAATACTGGGAGCTTTGAAGTCAAACTTAGCTCTCCCTAGTATCAAGAGCTGTCCTTTCCTTCCTTCCTGATTGTAGTAGGTAGGGGAAAGCTACTTGAGTGGGAAAGAGCGTCCAAGTAGTCATTTAGATCTTCACCTCAACGGACAAGAAGTATGAACAGCGTCTCGAGGCAACCACGTGGGTGCTTCAATATTTATAAACTCGAAAGATTCATCGTCAAAGGAAAAAGGTATCGAAGCCGTAACAACATGATCCAGTACAATTAATTACAAACAAGACAACCACTGCGCTCCGGCTCAATCGGTGTGGACAATTCCTCACCTCCATGAGCGACCCTTCCACTGGATAGCCAGCACAGGGATGATGGAGATAGCCACCATCATGCCTACTGCAATGCCAGCGCTCTGGCGATAACCAACGGTAGCGAGCAGCTCAGGGAACCAGAATGGTCCGATGAAACCCCAGATCTGCCTGACGAAGGTGATGAAAACACCAACACTGGCAGCATCGGATCGATAGCAGTCTACGGCGTATGTAACCAGTACGGTGGTTACGATTTGGTTGCCTGCAAAATTGACAAGTTAGAGAGATGTAGTCCGTAATATATGCAGGTAATGCGAGCAAGGGAGATAGGGACCTACCAGCAGAGCAGATACCGACGCCAATGAGGGGGGTGACGTTCCAGGTAGTGCCGGCATAGTACAGCTGCACCAGGAAGACCACGACGCCGATGATGCACAGTGCAAAGCCGAAGTAGCTTAGCCACAGGCGGTACTCAGGGTCGGGGTTGCGGCCACCCAGCTTGCGGCGGCGCATCGACATCCACAGATCCGACATGCGACCTCCAACCTGTTCACCGATGATGGTGCCAACGATGACAGCGATCATCTGCAGACCGTTTTGCTGCGTGTTGAAGCCGAAGAGCACAGGGAAAAGCTGAGGAATCTCGACGGTAACCATGATGCTGGTCCACAGAAACTCCATCGAATAGGCCACGGCGGGGATGACGACACACGGGTGCGCGGCGTGGGCGAGGGGCTCGACAAAGTCATAGACGGTAAGGGGCGACTTGTCGATGCGCCGGAAGCTAGTGTACTGCTTCTTGAAGTCGGACTTGTTCTTCTCTGTCTCAGGGACCGCCTCGCCGCGGATGTAGCGAGACTCCGGGCCGAAGAAGAAGTAGAGGACAAACTGCACGGCATTGGTCTAGAATAGAAAAAAGGAACAAGTTGTTAGGAGACAAGCACAGTATAGGTGTGTATAGATGGAGTACGACTCACGATGGCGAGAATGTAGTAGATCCATCGATAGCCAACCCTCAGGGCGACGAAGCCAAAGATGAAAGGGGCGACTGGGACACCAAGGGTGACCATGATGGTCCAAATACCCATGTACCTCGCCCTCTCGTTCTGGAAGAAGGTCTCGGCGACGACACCAGATCCTATGGCGGCGGCGGGGCAGATGAAGAAAGCCGTGATGGCACGGCACAGCCCCATGGTGCCATAAGAGTGAGCATTGGCGCAGCCAATGTTTCCGACCAGACTGCAGACCAAAGAGATAAGGAAGATCGGCCGTCGTCCGTACCGTTGTGAGAGCGGCCGCCAGAGCAGGGGAGCGATACCAAGAATACAGATGACCAGCGAGGTGAGGTAACTGGCCGTCTGTACCGCGATGTCGAGGTCCTCAGCGATGTTAACAAAGGCAGCCATGATCGCACTAATTTTCGGTCATATTAGCATCTCCCGAAGTGACATGCATTTTGAGATGATCGACAAGAGTGTAACGTGGAGATGTTTTGAAAAGCGAGGGCTACTCACGCCGCCGTAAAGGTTCCCATCATGGCGTGGAACGCAACGAGAATAAGGTTGACGACTTTCTGCAGATGCGAGACAAAAGATTTGGTTAGCAAAAAGTTGTTCCATCTTCCGATCAATGACTCTTGTGGCCTTCTTCTTACCTTTCTCTGCGACCAATTGTACGGGTCTGCGTCTGTCATGTCGGGAATTGGCTCCAGGTCCAATGTTCCATGTCTCTGAAGAAGGAATTGCCGATGCTCTTCAGAGAGCTGGTCGATGCCGTCCTGCTGGGGACCGAAGTTAGAGATTTTCATCGTAGCTGGAGAGACACACATATTGCGTCCTCTCGGGGGTTGGATTCATTGTACGCACGGCGTATTCATTCTGGACGTGGTGCGGCTCTTGCGCCGCCTCCACCTTCGAGGGGGAAGGCGAGCGCTTCTCGTCCTGGCTCATCTTTGTTGAAATTGTGTGCTGTTGAGGAGGGTCGAAGGAGGTAGGACGGCGGAACAAACAACAAAGAAGGGGATCTAAAGTTGATGGATGTGAAGTGCGGCCAGAGAAATATAAATCAGAACGCATGGATTGTCGGACACATTTCTTGCTTCCGCCGAGGAATCCGAGGGGGATGCTATTTGGGAGAAGGGAAGGGAGTTGGTGCGTATAACGTTAGGGGCAAATAACACATGCATACACATACACCTATAGTACGCCAGCCGCTCCCGACAATTGCCAAAGGCCACGCCTCGTCAAGGAAGGGCTGCTCACTAACAGTGCGTTTACCTACTATGGTAGAGCCCATAACCATTCCTACACTTCCAGCTACTGTTGATTTTTCGAACAAGTATAAGTGACACACGGGACACTAACCAGAACCAGGAAATACCCACCGGCGACACAACCTCAATGCGTCCTCTGACATGGGACCTGGACCAAGGGTACGCGCAATCAGGCCACTCTCACGAGGAGTTTCTGGGGAAAGCGGGTCACTATGGATTGCTATGGACCTCGGGATGGGGCCGCAACTTACACGGGGGGGTGGAGAGAGGATCTGCGGGGGTGGAGGCAGCTGGGTGTCCAACCTCGTTTTGCCTCAAGTCGCTCGGGGAACCCCCAGCACTACCCTCCCAGCGCGACCACCACTGCCAATTGACTGCATTACCAACACCCTAATCCACCCACCTGCAGCGCAATGAGGACCCATCTGCATTCTTGCATCGGGGGGCCTCTGCAACCATTCCGAGGTTGCACCGTACTACCATCACGGCTCCATGAATCCACTCCCGGCTGTGACGCTGCCAGAATCTTCGCAAGAACCCCCAAGACGTGACGTCTGAATCTTGTTATATTCCCTACAATACCAGTATATGAGGTCCAAACGCCTTCTTGTGAGCCTCACACCTTGGCATCGTTAGCTGGGTAAGTAGCAAGCTTTCTTGGCGCAGACACTGACTGCTGACAGGACACCAAGCTCAGCAGGGCTCGGCGATAAAACAATCTAGCGTCGGGATACCGGCATTCTTGTCTTTCAGAAAGAAGGAAGAGGGAGGGACACAGCACTGGAGGAGGCGGTGGCATAGGGGGGTGGGACCCTCGGAGCCTTGTCACCCCCGGGGATGGGAGGAGGGGCTTTTGTTGAATGTGCTAGCTACTGTGTAATTTAGACCCGTTCAATGGTAGGATACATTATTAAGTACAGAGCTGGGCCACTGTACGGGGTAGCAGCATGCATTCTGATTCGCCAGCTCTTGGCCGGCTTTCGCGACAATCTGGGGATAGGCTAAAATGGTCGGTCTTTACCCCAACAATGTCCACTTGAGCTTTTCTCGAGCTGGATAGCACTACTGGGTAGCGAGGTGGGGGGAACCCGCACAGAGCAAACATCGTTTCAAGGAGGACGAAGCAGGAAACAAGGCACGAGACTAAAACGTACTATGTCGCTGCTAGCCCATCGCAAGGGCTCTTCATCGTCCAACTTCTTATGTAGACTTATTTTGAGATCATGTACATCGCGAAGGAAATATGAATCTTCATGAAGAGCATGCTGTACAGAACAAGGGTTTGTATTGTGTTTAATAAACTGCACATTACCCCCCCGGGGGGGGGTGCATAAAGGGCCACGTCAATAATAGTAACCACGGCGCCTATTTCAGAAGTGAGGACGAGGATCGATCAGGCGCCCCTTTTCCTTCACCAAAAAATTCAATCAAGAAACCGTCACCAGAGAGTGAGCAATAGCCACACGCCTCATTCAGCTTACTATTTTAGTGGATGTTTGTCACCATGCGCGTGATGAGAAGGAAGCGCTACCTGGCCAGCCACGTTTTCTTCCCAATTCTGGTCCCCGTGAAAGCCAAACGCGAATACAGAAGTCTATGCGGTGTTAGTTCGATCTTTGGATGCATGTCCATCCTGCAGGGACCTCCATGAGGGGTAGCTCGCAGTCCAGCACGATGAGCGTGTTGAGCTGGGGCGCTTGGGCGGTGGAAGTGTTCGTCACAGGACTGCGACACATGGACTGTCGTGAAGACCCAAAGGCTAGAGTATCGAATGCATAACAAGGTACATAGGTACAACAAGCTTCTCTAAACGGAGCTTCGATCTGGAGTCCGAGTATTTTCACTGATGTGTGTTCCTGTAGTTGGTTGTAGACATGTCTCTTTTTTTTTTCTTCCATGCATTTCTTCTCCTTCGGTCGATTTCCGTTTCCTCCCTTTCGCCTTGTGGCCGGACAAAAATGTGTCTTCTTTTGCGTCTCCTCCTCACGCAGATAATTCGAGTGCGTTATTAACTGGTGCCGAATTACCGAGCGATACGAGTCAATGCAAGAGCCTGTGTTCTTCGGCGGAGACGATCGAGATACTCACATTCCCGAAGACTCTGCCCTCGACCTTGGACAGACCCGAGCTTCCCAATAAAATGAGTGGATAACAGCATGATAATCCATCTTCTGGCCGCACGAGTGAGCTGCCACATTGGAACACAACAATGCGGCATCTAGAGTATGTAGAACATGCTTATTGCTGAGTGCCAGCCGCTGGCAACAGCGTAGCCCTTCCACGTCACATTATATAGTGGTTATCTCTAGCAGGTAGGGCGGTGGCAGAGACCTGTTTTGATGTCTTCTGATGTCTTCTATGATTATAGTGTTGAACGAAACTCTCAAATTCTCCAAGTGTTTTGTCCAGAAGCATGGTCAGTCTGTTTCCCCTGCCTCGTACATGTGTAAAGTAGTTATGCGTACTGATTAGCGACAGAACAGCCCACAGTGGCAATAACCAGCCATGCAACCCTTCAATGCTCTTCACTGGCCATTGCAACGGTTGCATAAAATTGCATCCACGTCGTCGTTCACTACAGTGTCACCGGTCTCCCGAACAAGACCAACCCCCGATGGTAACGCTGCCCAAAGCACCCCCAATCCTTGCTCGGTCAAGACTTCCATTGCTGCAATTTCGCCGATATTGCAGTAAAGACAAAAGTCTACCACGGGGGTTTTTTTGGGGGGGTGGTTTTCCTTTTTTTTTTTTTTTTTTTTTTTTTTCAAAGAACAATCCTGTTGTCATCTCACTGCGCATGTCGGAAATCCTGTTGTGATGAAACAATAAAAGAGATAGACCTCAGCCCACTTTCGTAGTATTGCTAGCTTTCGTCCGCGGAGCCTCGTGATGGCTGGCGGACGAACGACGTGAAGGATATTTTCAACCGAGAGACAGAAATATGGTCCGACTCTAATGAACAATGCATCAATACCTGCGTGACTCGTCGACCCGTAACTTGTTCTACCGAGTTCGCATTGATGTCCTCGCGGCCACGAACTGGACTATGGACTCCAGATTCAATGCTCATGCGTGCGAATACCACCAATCTCTCCTCCAGTTATCATGCCGTTCCAACCGCAATGGACGCGACGAAACCACATACACATAGCCAAAGTTTGCAGAAGAGCGTGGATGCTACGTCCAATCTTCCCCCCTTTGCCGTAAGATTCGTCATAATTATGAAGCCTCATTTCTTGTACGATGTCAAACAACTTGCACAAGCAACTCGACAGGCAGTGACCATACAATGTAGTTGGGTGTTCTAAGCATACACTATGAAGACACTGCTGCCATAATGATCGACTACAATTCAACCTAATTACAACAAAAGTAACAATGGTAGGATAGTAATTAAACTATGGAAAGAGCCCTACGAATATCTTGTCATTGGGGGACCAGAGGAGGATGTTCATGCTGCCACCATTGGCGTTGCAATCTGGCTCGCTGTTAGACATTGTACGCACGTCTCATAGTTTGTAGCTATGTACGATCATCGTCACGACTCTCGGAAGCTGGAGCCACACAAAACGACAGTTCGACATACCCATCACCAACGAGGGTATATATTTGCCTCTGGAGACAGGCTCGACTACTTACTCAGAGATACCAAGGACTGAGAGTCTCTTTCAGCGCGGGTATAAGTGCGCGTGGCGCACAACGCCTACTTATCCCACAGAATGGCCAGTCGAAGATCACGGATACAAAGTCTACGCTCCTCAAAATAGTACACAACGGGCTTGTGATGAAGCTTAGCAGTCTCTGAGAGCCAGCAAGCCGCAGCGGATAGCAAAGCACGGTAGGACAAACGGCTAGATGCCACTGTCTTCGTAGGGATTCCCGTAGATAAGTACTTACTGACAATGCAAATTAAGTTGCAATCTTCAGGTACCTTCAAATATTAGAGATAGGTCAGCTGTGGAAGATTGTTCTATATAAAGCCACCTGGACCGTTTCAGTCCAAGGACAAGAAATGGGGATGGCCAGCCCTTTCACGTTCGCACGTGAAACAATGAGCACCAAGTAGTGCCAAAGAGACGACAAATGCATCAATTAACTATTTCCAATGGAATTGTTGGCCCATTCGTGTCTTGAGATCATATGTCACAACTAGTGTTGACTGCTGAGAAATAGAGAGAGGGAAGAGTACCGGGGAAAGGAGGAAAGAGGGGGGAGGGGGGCTTACAAGAGACTTGGTCTCTCTACGTGCAAGGCGTCTAATGGGTTGCATTTACGGTCAGGGTAGATGGCTGGGGGTTGTCCAAAAGCTATGAATTCTTGAACAGGCGATCTATTAAATTGTGGTGAGCGACGATTGCTGTAGCACACGTCACTGAGCCTTCAAGAGCAAGCTGGGTGAGTTTTAACTCGAAATACACGCAAGACTTCAGTTACATGTCAAGTCAGTCTCGCGTTGGTATTTGGAATGTGAGCATTGACCAGACAGTTTTACGAGGTGTATGCGGCGTAGAGCTCGAGCCTCTCGTTCAGCTTCTAGGTTGGCTCGATACATAGAATCTGTAAGGGCTGGAGTCAACGAGAAAACCGTCTCCGGCTCATACTCAGGCTATATATTTGCACGTAGCCAATCTTCGATGATTTTGAGCCGTTCAATGTAGGCTAGGAGGGGTAAATCAATATGTCAAATAGATCCTTTTGAACATGACATTGAAGACTAGTACGGTCGCGTTGATAGGGGAAAAATTGCTCTTCCCATTTTCTACAGTACACATCCTCCGGGCTTGAGGCTCCTGGGACATGATCAAATATGCAGACTAAGCAGGCAGGCCCGAACAAAATGTCTGGAGTACGAGAGAGTGACTATTCAGCTCTGAATTACGCTATTTAAACAGATGGACCGTGGCACGTCTACTCAAATAGCTTGAGCGCCTTTAAAAACTTCTAACGCTATGGCTAAAGTGTTATGATAATTGAGTCATTCCGTCTAGTATAAGAACATCAGTACCAAGAATAAATAAGTCGATTTAAGGGAAGTGGATGAAAGAAAGGACAGATTGGCCCCATAGGAGGAGAGTGAGTCACTCCTCAAGTTATCGTACCCTCATAGTCCTACTCCCAGATAGCATTTCCAAAAGGAAACTTGTCCTCCAGACCAGCAACGATCACATAGACGTAACGTGTATCAGCCTCAGGGTCTGTCATCATTTTTCGTATGGCTGTTGCCTGGCGATTAAGATGATGTGTCTTTGGACTAGCACATACGCAGTCCAGGCTGTGACGAAAAGGAACAAAGAAAACAACCTGTCATCAAGACGCAGTCAAGCATATAAATCATGGCGAACCTGGCTAGTATGTCTCGCACTTACCAATTTGAACCTCTGCTCATACCTATTGCGCTTGTTTGTGCTGTCTCATGTAATGGACGAGTGCCTAAATTGACACCCAACGTCTGCTTGCAACTATCATTTCGGACCCCTGTACCCTTCCTCTTACGGCGTTGAGGGGCATGACGTAGGGCCCCCTCAGACTGTCTGTTCTGCTACCCGACCCCCGCCGGCTTCGCTGTTGTCAGAGGCTTGGCTCCCCAACTTCCAGCCCCGCCAAGCCCCGCGTTCCTCCTGCGCCAGTCCCTTGTCGAGGTGTCAGGGTCCAAGGGGCAGCTGCTCTGATCTCGTGCGTGCGCCTCCAACACCGACAAAACGCCCGCCTCCGCCGTCCAGGCTTTGTCTCGCCCAAACCTGAACAACACAAAGAAAACGGCCTATAGTTAAACCTCTTGTCTTTGCTCTTACAACGACATTTACATATCGCATTCTTTGAACCAGATCCAGACTGTTTGTCCGAGCACATCGTGAAGTCATGTTCGACATATTCGCTAAGCTCTTATCGTGCGTCCTTCCCCATCTCCATCACAGCCGCGATAACGGCGCAGAGCCCCACCATCGATCGATCCAGGGGCCAGTGCCATGAATCCACCATTCCGGCGCGCTTCACCACGATCGTCACATATAGCGAAAGAGCTTCCTCCCATGGCTGACTGATTTACCCTTATAGCTCGATCGCATCCTTCCTCTTCCCTCTTTTCGCCTCCTACAAGGCCCTCAAGACCTCAGATCCGGCCCAACTGACGCCATGGCTGATGTACTGGGTCGTCCTGGCCTGCGCCCTCCTCGTTGAGAGCTGGACAGAATGGTTTCTCGTCTGGTCAGTGCTTTGTTGGACTTCTCTCCCTCCCGTCTGCATCAAGATGCGGCGAGGTTCTTAACTGACAGATGGATTGTGTGCAGGATACCGCTCTACCCTTACATCAGACTCCTCTTCCTCCTCTACCTCGTCCTTCCCCAGACCCAAGGCGCCCGCATCATCTACACCACCTATGTCCACCCCTACCTCGAGGACAATGAGTCCCAGATCGAAGACCTCATCGCCACGACCCACGATAAGATGAAGGCCGCGGGCATGGCCTACCTGAAGCGTGCCATCGAGCTCCTGCGCACCCAGGTCCTCGGCATGCCCCCGTCCCCCGAGTCGCAGAGCGCCTCCGAGAGCGACATACCCGCATCACAGCGCCCGCGCAGCTACACACAGTCGTTGCTCGAACGCTTCCAACTGCCCCAGGCCCGCTGGCCCGGCGCGACCGGGAGCGCGAGTCAGGACTTTTACAACTTTCTCACGAGCGCGGTGGCGGCGGCTTCCGGATCCGGATCCGGCGGCGCGACCAGGGAGGAGGCTGCCGACGGAGCCACATCCTCGTCCGCAGACATCTCGGGCGTTGGTGCCTTCCCCGCTGGTGATATGACCGCCAGCGGGACGCTGGTCCCACCCACCATCCGCGGCAACGTAGACAAGATGTCTTTCCTGGCTGCGCAGCGCGAGCGGCTGAACCTGGTCCTGGGGGCGTTGGACCGCGAGGCTGCGGCGCTGCAGTCCTCGAGCACGGCTGCGCAGGACGTCAGCTTGGACTCGGGTACTGACAGGCCGCCCACGTCGGCTAGCGGTAGGAGTGGGCTTAGCAAGAGCCGTAGTGAGGTGGACTTTGAGAAGATCGAGGCCGAGAGTGGCGCAGAGGACAATGCGCCCGAGGAGGGCGAGAGTGCGAGGCCGACGCCCGCTGCGAGTGGAAGTTCGTGGATGCCCTGGGGCTGGGGAGCATCATCGTCATCTGCCAAGGAAGACAAGAGCAAGGCTGAGTAGCAGACTTGTGTCGGTGTGATTGGTCGGTCGGCCGAATCGGCGTTCATATAGGCTTGATCAATATTTGTTTTAGACGGACATCGCACGCGCAGAGAAGAAACCTAGGGCGTATACCTTTTGAATGAATGCTTTGCTACTCTTAGCCTATGCTACGGCGTTTGTTCCCGTTGATTCACTGAGAGAGCTCTTCTTGTGTTGAGAGGCACGCCATCCATGAACATCTAGGAACACATTCCGGTAAGTGTGTCGTTTGTTAGACCTGGTGACTGAAGATTGGAGAAATGGTCTTCATTTAAAGAGTAGCGTATCTCATTGTCTGTGGTCGAGATCTTCGTATCGTTGTACAAATGAGCCAAGCCAGAGTCTATCCCATTGCCAGATCATATCCGTTCCGCCTCTCCCTGTCTCTCTCATTCACACACGCAAGGGTATCAACTCAACTACTACAGCAGGTGTAAAAGATCCAGCAACCCTATCTACTCAATCTTCCCCAGTCATGCCGCTCAGCTCTTCTTATAAGGATACTGCGGGTCGTCCCCCTTGCGCACCCAGATCAGCCGCTTCTTCTTGGTGGCCACATGCTCGACCCAGATCTCCTGGGTGTACTTCTTCTTGAAATCGCGGATGTAGCGCGGATCCCACAGCTCAGAGGCGATGCCCAGATCCTTGCAGCAGCGCATGAGCGCGTTGCTCTTGCACCCCTCGCCGGCGGTGGCGATGCCGTCGTCGTTGCCGAAGAACTGGCATTCACCACGGGCCTGAGCTATGAATCTGGACAAAGAGAGAAAGGGTGTTAGCTTCGTGTTTCGTTTCAACATTTGCTTCCGGAGTCTGTATCACTGAGGCGAGAGTGTGTGAACGAACGAAGAAGGAAGGGGGGGGGGGAAGGAACCTACCGCCCGTGCACCAGCAGCGCATACTCCCTCGTAACGACCTTCTCGCCAACCGCCAATTCACCCCGCGGGGCCATGCCCCAGCCGCCAGGGCCAAATGCCTGGTTCAGAATCCGCCTGTACTTGATCTCGGGCAGGTAGATAATGCCGTCCGGCTTGATCTCGACGTCCTCAAACGGGATGGCCCTCATCAGCACCGCAGCAACGTCCGGGCTGAAGGGCGTGGTGGACAAGCCGTGGAAGGACGAGGACCAGTCGATGCCGTTGTTGGCGAAGCTGTTATCGCTGCTGGAAGAGGAGGAAGAGGCCTCGGGTATGGATCCTAGGCTTGAAGGTGGGCTGTATGGGGTGGCAGCGACGGGGTTGACTTGATTCTCGGCGTAGGCGGAGGTTGTTGGTTTTGAGGCGGTAGAGGAGGAAGAGGAGGAGGGTGAGGAAGACGAGGACGTCGTCGTTGTGGCGGAGCGCTTGTAAGTGGACTGTACTTGTGCTGCTGGCTTCCTTTGGCTGGACGATGTGGTCGTGGAGGGGCCATTGTATGTCGTTGCTGCTCTGCTGGCTGGTCGCAGGCATTGGGACTGCTGCACCTTGGCGGCAGCAGTCACTCGCATTTGGAGGGCTTGTTGGGTGCCGTGCAGCCGCATAGGGCGAAGCGCTGAGGATAATATGCGTGTCATGGTGGTTGTGTTGTGGGTTGTGCGAGTGGGAGAAGGGGAATGGAAACGGGCGTTTGCGGATGGGGAATTGAGGAGTAGTTGAAAATTGGAGGTCGCTTCTAGATTGAGATTTGGGAGGCAAATGTTCTGTTTGAGCTTGACGCGGTCAGCGGCAGGCGGGCGCGCCTGATCCCGCAAACTTACAGGGATTGTCAGCGTCATCTCTTTGTTGAGTGCGCACTGCACCTTAGGCTGTATTCTACACCAAGTTCAGCTAAATGTCTGGGCCCTGGGGGAATCAGATGGAAGTACGAATGAGCTGAAATTTGTTTCATTATTTTGGTTCCCAGGTTTCTCCTTCTCCTTTTCCCTTGCCTTTTGCATCTCTATTAGAATAAGTCTGGATATGTAGTCTGTCTCTTCATGATTTCGTCGTCTTGTTTTCGGCATCTTTCGTCGAGGTCCTCTCATCGTTCCCATGAGCCTTCCAGCAGCGCCTAAAAATCTCCATCTTGAACAGACCAGTCACGTCAGAGAAATCCTCATACTTACATTTTGGAGATGAACAAGAACGCAGAATTGAATGTCATGAGACACGTACCTCTTCTTTGCACTTTCTCCAATCCTTCTTCTCGTAATAACAGTCTGTCATCTTCATGTTCTCGTCTAGAGTTTTCCAACGGCAAAAACAGGTCAGCCATCATCCATCGGAAGAAGAGGCTGGCTTCCTCTCTTTTCAAGATATGAATTATCACCACATACCTGCACATCCTGTGCTAAAGATGCGTTTGTCCCTGTAAACAGAAAAGTTGATGCATATTAGCCTAGTCTCTGGTCTCTTGAAGAAGCTCGGGGGATTCGACGCGGATCGTATTCTTCTCGGGCCCCGTTGGGAGATTTCCCGAGCGCACACCCGCGAAAGAGGCTTGCCTGACTGACTAGCGAAGCCTTCTCGACAAAAGGAGCAGTAACCACCTCCACTCGAGAAAAACAAACAACCCAACAACCAAAGAGAGAGGGTTCGCCTTACCAATCATCTGGCTCATCGTCATCCATAGTTATTGTCTGCTCTACTACAGCTTTGGTTGTGTCTTTGGATGCGTTGCCTCCCATCTTGAGATCATTCGGGTTGATGTGTCAGAAGGAAAGTTTGCACTGGAATTTTGGACTGCGTGTGTTATTCAACCACTCTCTGACTCTTTGACTCTCTCACCTCACTTCACTTCTCGCACCCAAAGCACACGCCACATACACCACAACCCGATATGTCGACGAGAAAACTCAACGTGTTGGTCTATACAGGTTTGTCGTCTCATAGCAGAATGTCCAATTTTGGTTTTATGACATAAAGTATACAAATACTGAAACTCATCAGGCACTGGCACGACAATCGCCTCGGTCCGCCAGTGCATTTACACCCTCCGCCGTCTGCTCTCCCCCAACTACGCCGTCATTCCCCTGACTGAGTCCGCTCTCCTCAAGGAGCCATGGGCCCCCACAGCAGTCCTCCTCGTCGTCCCTGGAGGCGCCGATCTTAACTACTGCCGCGTCCTCAACGGCACCGGCAACCGCATCATCGACGCCTTTGTTCGCCGCGGCGGTTCCTACCTTGGCTTCTGCGCAGGGGGGTATTACGGCTGCGCGCGCTGTGAGTTCGAGGTTGGCCACCCGGAGAGGGGCATGGAGGTCGTCGGGTCGCGGGAACTTGGCTTCTTCCTAGGCACGTGCAGGGGCGGTGCCTTTGCAGGGTTTCGGTATGCGAGTGAGGTTGGGGCAAGGGCTGTGAGGCTGGATGTGCGCAAGGAGGCCTTTGCTGGCGCTGGCGTGCTGCCAGAAAGCTTCAGGTCCTACTATAATGGGGGAGGAGTCTTTGTCGACGCGGGCAGGATGGGCGAGGCTGGAGTCGAGGTACTGGCTAGCTACGAGGAGGAGCTCAATGTGGACGGTGGTGAGGGCACTGCTGCGCTGGTATATTGCAAGGTGGGCGCAGGCGGTGTCATTCTTACAGGTCCTCATCCAGAGTATGTGGCTCTTTCTCGCCGTCGTTACATACACGTGCTGGTGGCACACTACAAGACAGACTGGCTGACTGACGACTCACTGCCAGATTCGCGGCCGTTAATCTCGAACCCCATCCGGATGTTGAAGGCTACGACGAGGTAATATCAGCCCTGGCGGAAGATGACGAGCACCGGACCAACTTCCTCAAAGCCTGCCTGGCCAAGCTTGGTCTGGAAGTCAATCATGACAACACATCCATCCCTTCCCTCTCCAAGCTTTATCTCTCCGCCCTCGATCCCGAGGTAGTAGGCGGCCTCCTCACATCTTTCGACACTATCATAGACAAAGACGGCAAAGGCCGAGAGCTCATCCGAGGCGAAAACGATACCTTCCTCATCGAACGCCAAGACTCACGCTGGGAAGCTGTTGACGACCTGAGCTCAGCTCTAGAGTCCGCACATATTTCCACCAAGGACAGCGGGGCCGCAAAGAGCAGATACGATGCTGGTCAGGCTGCCGCTGTCGACGGCCTGGTCGACTATAACAAAGTACTCAAGACGGTTGTGCCCCACGAGACTTCCTGGCCGGGGCCGAAAGAGACGCCCTACTTCAACCACGCAGACTACTACGCCTCGCTCCAGGAGTTCCGCCGCCGCGAGGCTGAGGCCTACGAGTGGGGTGATACCCTCATGTACGGCGAGGTGGTTACCAGTACCAACACCCTCCTTGAGAAGAACACCAGCCTCCTCGCGCAGCTCCCCACGGGGTTCACCATGGCAGCCACCACCCAGATCGCCGGCCGCGGCCGCGGCACCAACGTCTGGATCGCCCCACCAGGGTGCATGATTTTCTCGACTGTCGTCAACCACCCAGCACACCTGGGCCAGGACCGCCCCGTCGTCTTCATCCAGTATCTAGCCGCCATTGCCATTGTTGAGGCTGTCCGCTCCTACGATGGCCGACTCCGCGACGGCGCCTATGCCGACATCCCCATCCGGCTCAAGTGGCCCAACGACGTGTACGCCCAAGACCCTGCCAACCCATGGCGGGACACCGCCAAGAAGGTGCCCAACTTTGTCAAAATCGGCGGGATCCTGACCAACTGCGCATACAGCGCCGGCAACTACCAGATGGTTGTGGGCGTCGGCATCAACACCACTAACGGACAGCCCACGACGTCGCTCGACGCGCTGTTGACCAGGTTCTCGCAGAGACACAACCTCCCCCCATTTCGGATCGAGAGGCTGCTCGCGCGGCTCCTCACGCGGTTCGAGTCGCTGTACAGGGACTTTGTCAGGAACGGCTTCACCAGGGATATGGAGGAGCGGTACTACGACGCGTGGCTGCACTCGGGACAGGTGGTCACGCTTGAGGCCGAGGGTGGTGTCACGGCTAAGGTTGTGGGCATCACGAGGGATTGGGGCTTGTTGAAGGCGCAGGAGCTGGGGATTGATGGGCGGGCCACTGGGAAGGTATGGGCGCTGCAGAGTGATGAGAACAGTTTCGATTTCTGGAAGGGGTTGGTGAAGAGGAAGGTGTAGGGTAGAGAGGGAAAAAAGAACTTGTCCCTGGCTAGGAGGATGTTACGACCCAGCAGCACGAGGCTATGTGAGAATTATCACCATCACAAGAGACAGACCAAATAGAGCAGGGTCAATCAACTTAGTAGCCTGGTCGACCAAGTACTTACCTACCACGTATGCTGCGCTGCGTCTTGCTCTTGGCAGGTGCCCAAGTTAGGCAGGTCATCCTTGGTGGTGCAGCAGCAGAGAGTTGTCGTGCCTTCTTCTTCTCTTGGCTGGCCGGAGTCGGAGGTGAGCGACGGCGCCCCGTGGCGGGGAGCTGCATGACGTGTGCCAATCCCGGGGGCTCCCGCTGCCCTAAATACCCCCTGGCTTGCCTGCACAGGCGGCTGAGTGGCTCATTCCCCAGCATGCCCTGCCTGTATAAGGCGTCTCAGGCGGTGCGAGTTCACCGCTCCCACGGTAGCGGACGAGCGGCTGGCGGGTGGGTGCCCACATATACGGGCGTATATCTCCAGACCTACACCCCTCCGTTCCCCACGGCTGTGGTCTAGACGTCAGGGTAAGGAACTCTCTTGATTGTCCTTGTACGTACACGACTTTGGCATGAATTATCTATAAGCAAATCGGATTCTGCTTTTTGGTCGCCACCCTCATAAATTTTAAATCATCTGCCACCTTTTCTCCTTTTGCGGCCTCTTTCTTACGATTCCGTTTTTCGGAATCTCTTTTCTTCCATCACGTGGCCCGATCACGCAGTATCTGGAGGTGCTTCGAGTCCTGCTTGTGGTGTGACTTGAGTCAGGTACAAGAACAACAGACTCGGACTATAATTCAAGACTGGAAGACAAAATCACAGGCAGATTCATTGCAATTCCTTTCTACCTTTTCTTGCACATCGATTGGCACGAATATCTTGTCTGTTCCGCGGTCGATCATCGACATTCCATTTTCCAGAAAAATAGCAACCGGGCAACCGCTCAGGTTCAGAAGAACCAGAACTACCATACACCATGTGTATCGCTCTCCTCACCACCGCGCACCCCAAGTATGCGCTCATTATCCTCGATAATCGCGACGAGTTCATCCTCAGGCCAACATCCCCACCTCACTGGTGGACCACAAAAGCATCGCGGCATTCATCAAGGACAGCAACGCCAGCCAGCAACGAACACGCCACCCAGAATGGCGACACCTCAGAGGAGGAGCTGCAGCACATACTCTCCTCTCGCGATCTCCTCCGGCCCGAGCAGGGCACCTGGCTTGGTATCACCAGATCTGGCCACTTTGCCGTGCTGACCAACTACCGGGAGCTGGACACGAGCACCGGCGCACCGTCCATCAGTGGGACCAAGAGCCGTGGTGGTATGGTCACCGCGTGGCTTGGGAACTCCAGCCAGCAGAGTGTGACTGACTTTGTGGAGGACATGATCACGTCAGGGGGGACCCAGGGGGTGGGCGGGTTCTCGCTGCTCTGTGGCAAGCTGCGGAAACGAAAGACAGAAGGCGAGAATGAGCTGGAACCGCTTGGAATATTGTCGAACAAGGCCGAGCATCCAGAGCAGATACCTTGGATCGCCGGGAGGAGAGGGGAAATTGTTGGGCTGAGCAATGCGGCATATGACGCCCCTCAGGAGTGGCCCAAAGTCACCAAGGGCAAGGCTCTGCTCAAGAAGGCGATCGAGGAGGCCGTGGCCGCGGATGCCAGCGAGGGCGAGTTGCGAGAACGTCTCTTTGGCGTCCTGGATCAGGATGATCTGCCCAGAGCGCCGGAATCAGCCTTTGAGGACTACCTGAAGGTCCTGCAGGAATCCATCTTCATCCCGCTCATTGGCGACCAACAACACAGAGATGACATGGTCTCATGGACCTCGAGGGCCAAGGAGAATGTACACGTCAGTGCGGAGCTCAAGGACGCTCTGGACAAAGTAGAGGGCTTGCAGAGGCCAGACCCTCAACCAGCCCAGGGATTCAGCAAGGGCATGTACGGGACGCAGCGACAGACCGTCATACTTGTGGACTGGGACGGTAATGTGACGTATACGGAGAGATCACTGTTTGACGCAGACGGAAATGAGATAGAGAAGGGGAAAGGGGATGCAGTCTTTCACTTTGCTATTGATGGGTGGGAGTCGTCTTCTTGACGACAGTCATGCAGTCAGTGCCAAATGTTATGGACACCTGCATGACCATGACGGGATATCAAATCACTTTACGAACGAGTAATGAGGTCATGGCTGAGGTGATCTGGGTTATGGATTGGAGTTCGAGGATGGCTGGTGATCATTCAGACATTGGCTTTATCATGATACCCCCTTCAGTCCTGACTGTGATCGGGGCACGGCTTATGATGGTGGTTGTTAGGTGAGCATACATCCACATCTATAGTACATTGATAGATGATGAGTGAGAATGAAGGACGAAATGATGGAGAGTCTTGTATACTTGGCTTTATGTTTGTGTTGCAGCTGCCCTTCTATGCCTACCTAGGTACACACGTATAGGGAAGGCACATTTTGACTGTAGAGGCTGTACGCTCTCTCCTGCACATGGCCAGTCCTCCTTCGTAGAGAAAAGGGTATGGGTTGCCACTTCCATCGTTTTTGATCATTGATTTTCTTCATCTTCCTCCACACACACTGTCAATCAGGACACATGCTGAACAGCTTGATGATTCGACACATCTGTCGTCTCTTCATTGCTGCCGCACACTGCAAAATAACTTTATTGAAATCGACAATGGCCACCCAGCACCAGCCTTTCCAGCTTCATCAAGAACCATCCTGTCCTGTCCACAAGTCAGTCGAGTCTGTTGAGGAAACGCTCAATCCCAACCTCGAGATCTTGGGCCGTTTCCCAACTGATCAATCCCAAGAATCAACCGAGCAGCAGGACAGAGGAGACCACCAACCCACCACTCTCCTCCTACAATACGTCAAATTTCTGCGAGTAACACTTTTGGTCTGCCTCCACCAGACTATACACATCCTTTCTCTCAACCTTAGGTGCACGTGGATTCTCTTGCATGAGCTGCCTAGAAACTACATCGAGTCCATCTGCATCCTCCTTCAGCTCGTGTATACGGTCGTCCGAGCCTTGGCCTTGGTCCTTATTGTCCTCTGTGTTAGGGCCATCTTGGAGATCAGATACAAAGTCCGAGACTCCTTGGCGAAGTATTGACAGTGATGGACCCGCCTTCACGCGTCTCCCGTCTGCCAACACCACACCTCCCCTTACGTCGCCGCCCACCCATCAGCGCGCCCATCAGCCAGGCCCAACACAACATTGGCCCCTTCTCAGCTACAGAGAACAGCTCCCCATATTCCTCCAGCACAAAAGCTTCCAGTTCAATCCACGACAGACTCGACACCACCGTCGATCTCGTTGCTACAGCGGACCATGGTGGGCAAAACTCAGCGACCCGTCTCCAGAGTCCCGATAACAAGCAGGCTGAGAAACCGATACAACGCTGGCCGCTGCCTAAGTCGCGCACCCTCAATGTCTTCTCAAGCATTTCTCATTCCCTTTCGCGGTCCAGCCTGATCCCTAGTCGTCGTACCAACTGCTCATCCAAAGCGTCAGCATCCTCACTTTCTGTTAACACGGCCGTCTGGGCCCCTCCCACGCCCATCGGGCTTCCATCTGCTCTTAGCCCCAAGGTCAAGGGCAGCCGGCGGTCTCTTGGCTCGCACAAATCTGAGGTTCCCTTCTCGCCCGACCCTTGCATTGTCTACGAGGCTCAATCCTCGGCCTACTGGGCTGGCCGCTTCATGTCCCTCCACGACAGGTTTCAGTCCGAAGTGCTCAGCCCAAAGAGCATGCAGTCTCTCATCTCAACGCACTCACAGCGAATGCAAGATGTCAGCCAGCGCAGCCAACAGGCCCGGGTCTCGAACGCCCGCTACACTCGTTTAAACACCCGACTTCCGCCATCTGCCACATCCGCTGCCATTCTTCAGCAGACCAGCGGCAACATGGCCAACGCCATAGCAAACGCAGACGCTGCCTTGCTACTTGATGATGACGAGCTGTGCAAGCGGGTTTTTGTGCACCTCGAGGCGTTCTGTGCGACCGACGAGGCTCGTCAGAGCCTGCGTACCTGGCAACAAGACTATGCACGCAAGACGGGCCGCAAAAAGCTGCAACCCCGAGACGGCATCACAGAAGAGCTGAATACCACATCCCTTATCTCGCGTCTCATTCGTGGCAAGAAGGCGGGGAAGCGCGCAAGCATCATGTAGGGTACAAGTCAAGAACGTGCTCCGAGAGCAATGCCCCTTGAGGCATCCTTGTGTATGAAACCTCCTCGGCATGTCATAATCTTTTATTAAAACGCCTGTCGTACCCTCAAACCAATAACATTCCTTTCCCAATTAAGCATCACATCCAACGCCTCGATCAAATGTGGAGCCCATCGCCCTGAGGCTTTTTCCTCGTTTGTCCTTTTTCATCCGTCAACATCCTGAACGCCGTAGCCTGGATGCCATCTGGCACCATAACAGTCCACCCACAGTGCCACTTCAAAATCCTCAAAGAAGACTCAAAGCAGCGCGCTACCGACGACCTTGGCTTCATAGTTGATTTTGATCTTGTATTTTTGCCTGGGCCGCTGAGACTCCCTCCTCATCTCGGGCCTTGACACATAGACGTCGTCACCCCATCCAAATCGCATAGCACGCGCAAACTCGGTCTCTGGGGAGCGACCGGAACTTCCTTCATCCGAGTCCTCGAAGGCGGCATCTCCCTAGATATCCCGCCGGTTCTTCAGCTGCTTCAGGAAGTCCCGCAGCTGCTCGTGTCTGCTGGCGAAGAAGCTCTGTTTGACGTCGCTCTTCCACACCAGGACGCCGATCTCCTCTGCATAGCGCGCCACGCTCTCATACTCCTGTGGGGTGTCAAACTCCTTGAACAAAAATCCCTTAGACGTCTTCATGCGTTCGTTCTCGAGCTGCCACAGGCGGATCTGGTCGACGACTGTGGGCGGGAGGACGGGCTTGTTGTTGAGCGCCGCCATGCGGTGCATCTGGTCGTGGGCGTGCGTCGCGAGGTAGCTGATGATCTGGTCGGCCGTGATGCCGTAAGCGACGGCACTGCGGATGGACCGGCGGGTCAGCCGGCCTGTGACCATGCCCGCGAAACGGTGCTTCAGCTCGCAGAAGAGAGCCAGGACGGAGATCTGCAGCGGCGAGGAGGTATATGCGTAGATGCGGTAGTTGGTCTCGAGGATTATGAATCCCGTCTTCTGGCCGCTGTCCGCCACGCCGTCCGCGTTGCTGGCGATAGCCGCGTCGACGCCCGCCGAAACGCTACGCAGCGCCCCGGCCCCGCTCGTAAGAGTTGTCGCTAGGCGTGTAGGATAGTATTGACCTGCATGGGCTGAGTCGACAAACACCAGTCCGAAATCCATAAGATCAGGCAGCATGTTCCGTCGCATCTCGGTCAGCGCGGCCGTGTCGTACGCGTGGCCGAGCTCGAGGCTGGCCAGCATGAACAGAAAGGACAGCATGTCGACGCTATCCAGTCCATGACCGCGCGTTGTCTTTTGGCCCCGTTCGTGCATCTCAGTGGCAATGTCGGCAGCGTCGAGCCACTGCAGTAGCAGGGTCCACACCTGCGCGTTGGCCTCCTGCAGGAGGAATGTGAAGCCTGCCTGGGTGATGCGCACGCCGCCCATCTCTGTCCGCTCCACGAGCCGTCCCGCGACGAGAAGCTCCTTGACACTCGAGTTGGGGCCCGCGCCCTTGCCGCCCATGGAGCCGGCGCCGCCCAGCTCAACACTATTGACCACATAGTGCAGAATATCTTCCCACTTCTTCCGTGCGACTCGGTCGAGGAAGGCAATATCGAGGTGTGCAGGCACCGGCTCGCTACTAGGAACGCCGAAGCTCTGGTGATCGCCGCCGCCCTCGAGGGCAAGACGCATGGAAGCACGAAAGTTAGTCGTGAGCGAGAGAAACTGCCTGGACTTCTCCTTGCCGGCGGAGCTGATGCCGATGATGTGCAGCCGGCGCAGGATACCGAGAGCTTGGTCTCGCGCGCGCTTGGCCTCGGGCTTGACCCAGGTCTCGATGTGATCTAGCGGGAGAGGGTCGGGCATGTAGAGCAAGGCCATAACCATGGTCTTGGCGAGGTTTGGCAACATGCGACGGAAGATGGCGAACGTGGTCGAAGGTTGTTGGTAGAGCCGGCGGTAGGTGGTGCCGGGGAGCTTCTCGAGGTAATCGGACAGGGTGAGGGAGGGCGTTCGGGTAGTCATGATGGGCGACCTTGAAGGAGGACACAGGAGAGAACGGAAGAGAGGAAGGTGGGCGGAGGGAGAGGGATTTCGGTCGAGGTCGAGGTCGACTATCGTCGTCCTTTGTCAGGCAGTGATGCCTATGAAGTTGTCATCATAAGAATCGATACCTTGTATGGGCTACTGTTTCTGATCATCGAGATGTTCAGATGCCCCTTTGACCTTCAGCCAGCACGCACAGGGCAGCTGGGTTCTGGTGTTGAGAGGCAACCAAATTACTTTAGAGATGCTGCAGAAGGGGGAGAAGGAGAGAAACAGAGACAATAAAAGAGTGGAGGATGCTGTACTGGGTGTGACTTGGAAAATTCATGTGAAGTTGGGCCTGTGGCAGGCAAAATGGCAGTTCATCCCAGAGGCGATTGCAGGGGTAGGTGACTGATAAGCAGTGTGTGACGTGCCCAGAGAGGCCCCTGGCCACAAATCCCCTGGGCCCCTCCCCCAACCCTGGGTAACCTAGCACCTGCTGCAGCTTCTTGGGCAGTCCGAATCTCGGCCATCCTTATACCAAGTAACCGCAGACACAACACCCATTCTATCAGCCCGGAATTCGAGCCCATAATCTATCATCTTTGTTGCTGCGAATCATCACCATGGCAAATCCTATCAAGACAACACCTTTTGTGACTAAGGTACGATACACTATTGCACAGCCATGGTGGCTACCAATCGGCTCACAAGACAACAGGTTTTGAAAGACTTCATGAATACCTCTGGTCTCGAGCCCACGTACGTTTACCCAAGCACCTACTGCAAGAGCTATCTTCAAAGACTGACTTCTTACAGATTGTTAGGAATCAAACATGTAAGAGGTTAAATCAGTTTTCACGGGTCTACCTCAAGAAGCATGGCTATACTAATGTCGCTGGGTTTAGCTGAGGATACTTAATGCCCGTCCTGGCCAGGTCAATTTCGAGCTGGAGATCCACCGACAACATACTGTGAGACTGGGAAAGCCAAGATCCAAACATTGATCCGGACTGACAGATTTTCCAGAACCGATTGAACATCCTACATGGGGGCACAATAGCCAGTATGGTCGACTTGGGAGGCTCCCTTGCTGTCGCGTCCATGGGCCTGTACTCGACCGGAGTCTCGACTGATCTGAATGGTACACAATCTCAATCTTGCCTTGAAAGAATCGGCACGGCCGCTGACAGGAAATTTTGATCTAGTCACGTACTTGAGCAGTGGTGGAAAGGCAGGGGACAAGATCAAGGTGTTGGCCGAGTGTGAAAAGAGTACGTCGTCCCCGCCTGATGATGACGGGCTGCATTTGCTGAAGAAAATGGGGTATAGTGGGAAGAACGCTTGCATTCACCCGCATGTCCTTCTTCAACGAAAAGGGTGACTTGTGTGCACGAGGAAGCCATACGAAGTATGACCACATGCCTTCCCTTCCTGTTCAGATCAGTGAGAGACAGCCAAAGTCTGACAAGAGTCACAGATTCATCGAGACCGCCCGTAAAGCACAGGTAACCCCATATCGTGTACCGGGGGAATCTCCAGAAGATATTCACGGTTCCGACCCGAACAATGCACCAGCAACATCATGAGAGCAGCTCGTATCCTCGGTGGATGCAGCGGAGGAACTTGGTGAGAGAGTTTCGGCAAAGCGTGCTAAGTCACATCTCGCACCATATCGGCGACGATCACGCCCCAGCTAAGGTCTTCCCGCCTGCTATCGATTACGTCCAATAATCAAGTCGGTGCCTGCCATTGACAAATCATGTCCCAATGATGTTCAAGAAAAGGCCTTTTGCCCGAATGCTCACCTTGCAACTTGTTTCTACCTTGACACTTGCACCGAAATGTATCATTCGATTCGACTATACAATCTTCTCGCCGTTACACAGGAACCTTGCAGATGAGCGCCATAGCTGATTTCACTAGCTGTGCTGCTTAAAGCAGCGGATTCGAAGGTCGAAAAGTCCGGCTTGGACGTGGAAACGAGTGTGTATATGGTCACTCCTGGACACTGAATACTGATGCCACCGTGACTTCGTCAGTTTTCAGGACTTCTGCCCTAGGACATCGTTGAAATCTGAGTGAAATTGTCTTGAACGAGATAATGTGTTGCCCCCCCCCCCCAAGATTTCATGCTGCCCTGTACCAGAAAGATTCATCATATTGCTGACCAATCACGATGTCAGTGTCGCTGGCTACCTTGGTTAATCTTGAGATATATGTACGCACGAGATGATGGCCCTGTATACTACAAGTCTTCGAATTCGTCATTTGAAACAAGTCAGCAAGGCCTTCGTGTCTCCGACAGCCTGGACTGGGAAAGACCGGGCTCCCAACATGGAAAGGGTCAATTTAGTCGAAGACTGTTTCTTCAGCTGCATGGATTCTACTTAAGGTAGGTGTATACATTAGCAATAGGAGATATTTCCCAAACGTTGGAAACACGGGAATGGCAGGTAGAGGCCGAGGTCTAGTGCGAAGAGGGTGCCGGTTAACCCGTTGTAGTCTGCGTCGCTGCTGTGAATGGGAGCTTATTTCGTTTCACTTGCAGGCTCTAGGGGCGGATAGAGCCAAAGCTTTACTGTGAAACACCGCGTTTCCGCAGCACCATCCGCCACCGAAACCAACCTCAGACAGCTCGTATCTGTACCATTTGCTTCGGATGGAAATCATGTGAAAACCTCCATCAGACTTTGCTACTCGAGCCTCTCGATCGTGATGCCTCGGCCCGGTTAGCGGCACCGCGTTGCTGATGAATATTGATGCAAACCCGAACATTTATCTGCAGCCTTGACTCATGAAGAACACAATCCGGTTTTGATGCTCTCGAAGAGTGTACCAGCCTTTCTTGATCTCACACACGTCTCTGAGAAACATTCGTGAACAGCGAATGGACCTGCCCGCGAGACTGGTCTCTTGCGCCGTGCTCGAACTATATATTTCACGAGTGCTGTCCGAGTGAAAAGGAAAGCAAGGAGTCGGTCGACATTGAATCCGAGATCTCATGCCAAGACCTGTCATTTTTGCTTGGCGAGGGCTTGATTTCCTGATTTACCTTGACCAGATAAGATGCCTAAGCGCTTGGACCCTGCACAGCCCTTTTCGGCCAATGTGGCCAGTGCGGCTGAGCAATGTACGGCTTCGCAGTGAATAGGCACGCTTCACGCTGGCGTCAATCGTCTGATCTCATGTGAAAGTCTGTATCTATGCTACAAGATTACAACTAGGGGCTGCTTAGACTCCATCCATGCCGCCGGCTATGGCCTGGCCGAAGCCATCAGGAGCTGCCCTGTTTTTCCAGACGGGGACAACTTTTCGGGACAACATCTAGCTAAGAAGGATGATGTTGTCGCAAAGAAAAAGTTGGGATTTCACAGGACGCAAGCGCACTGGCTCTGAAGTTCGGGCCAGTCTCGAATTATCCGAAGTATATTACTACAGACTTGTGCCTGAGCTCCGAGAACAGGTGGTATCAGTTATAAGACCGCGGTCGACACTTCACATGATTGTATTTGATCCTGCGTGGCGCTTTTGCTTTTCTTGCTTTGCCATCGAACGCTTTGTACAAACTTCTTTCTGGCGATATAAGCTGGAACGTGACCAAGTTACTCTAATTTCACCAATTTACACCAAAACGTACCGACCAGTCTGAAGGAAGTCGTCCAGCACTCGGCAATATGTATCGCGCCAGCATAAGTTGTCTTCTGCTTCTCATAACGGCATGCAGCCCAGTCATCGCTCAGGCTACTATAGATGGGATCACCACTGGGGTAAGCCCGACTGCCCTCTCTGTCCTTTCTTCAATCTTGTTATCTCTCATGATGTATGGTTGTTGACAGTAAAACAGATTAAAGGAAATGCCACAGTAGTAAAGGACAACCCAGCAGGCGTGGCATTCCGCGCGTTGTTTCCCACCAAAAATCAATTCACACTCACTCCATCTGGGCCAGTGAAAGGCGTTGTGGTTGCCCAAACGAATAAAGGAGGTACAGGAGTATCATACAATATCAAGATGGAAAATCTCCCGGACGAAGGCGGCCCTTTTGGTGAGTCAACATCAAAGAATACGAGGTGCCCAACGATTCTCCTCGAAGAGAAGTTTGCTGACGATAAATATTGCGCAGTTTATCACATTCACCAAGAGCCCGTGCCCTCGGACGGAAATTGTACCGACACTGAGGCTCATCTCGATCCTTTTGAGCGCGGCGAAACCCCTCCGTGCGATCCTGACTTGCCTCAGACCTGTCAGGTTGGAGATTTGGCTGGAAAACATGGTGCTATAATAACCTCAAGCGGGAGCACCACGTTCACAGAATCATATACGGATGACTTCACTGCCGTACGTTTTTTCCCCCCTTGTTACACTTGCTCCTGTAGGCGCAAAAAAAACAAAAATTTGAGCCAAAGTAGCTAGAGCTGACTTGAACACTTCACAGACTAGCCATGGACAATCTTTTATCGGAAATCTGAGCGTCGTCTTGCACTTTGCCAATCTCACAAGAATCGCATGTGCAAACTTCAAGATGATGAAGCTCACGCAGAACATGATGTCAAGTTTGGATGATCTACTCAACATGGGAGATGATGGAAATGTGACACTGTCGACGTAGTGGAATTTTCAGTACTTTGCGGTTGTCTTCCTGGTTGGTTGATACATCATGAGTGAGCATTGTACCACTATCGAATGTATATTAATAATCTTTTGTGAAAAATGGGGCATATTTAACCCTAACCCTCTGTTTTGGTCTCCTCATAAACCATCTCAGAGCCTGGTTTAGTTACTTAGAAGATCTTTCTTTTGTATTAGATAGATTCAATCTCAATACTCATTCAGCTACTTCCACGTGCTCAGCTTATATGTTTCTCCTTAGTTATGAGCCCGGTTCGCAAGAATCAGATTTAATCTTCCCCTTATCTATCGAAACAAACTGAGCTATTCACTTCTTATTCTTTCAGAATACATCTTTTGTCCTAAATAGTTATACTTACGCTCTATCAAAGCCTACAATAGAGCGCGAATCTAACGATCTTACGCTTTCAGTAAAGTATACCAATATCTACTCCTTTCCATTCTGGTATAGCATTTTGCAGTCCCAGAGCAAGGGAAAGGGTGTTTGGGAGTATCTAGATCCGGATGGCCCAGATGCGCTCTCTTTCGAATCTGAAGACTTCAATCTCGAGTTCTCCAAGTTTACTCAGGATCTTGAGAAGGAGCATAAAAACATTATAACGGAGAATTACAAGCTATTCTCTATCCAGAAATAAGCTATTCTCTATGATTAGGAGATGAAATGCTTTCAGCTTTGTTAAAACAAGCAGTTGCATGCTCACTAGAATATATAGAGGATGTGGAACTGGATTCAGAAAACAGTATCTCCGTCAGTTCTCGTTCCTTACATGCATATCTATCCAGGAAAGAAGTCTCCTTTGATTCAACAGGTGCTCAGAAACCTGAAGAAAGATCTCTGTCTGTCTGAGGAGAGCATGAAACAGGTTGTTCGCCTTTAGTACTGCTATCACTTTGAGCTGGCTACCAGGCAAGGCACTGATTTCCAAAACTGGTGCCAGCAGCATCAGGATCTTCTGAATCTAGCTTGGGTTTACAGTATTGATGAAGTTGAGGGATTTCAGAGCTCTGATAACTTCCTTGCTGCTATCGGAGTTCGCTTCCAGATAGAGTAGGCCAAAATACAATAATATCTCCTTGCTACAGCACCTAATGATGATCTGCTTATCAAGACTATTGAATAGCTTTAATGAAATCTCGCTTCAATCTACTGATTTCAGTCTGAGCAGAAAAAAGGCTTAATAGTATTCGCTACTATAGGCGGAGAGAACTTACAATCCGGCAATTTAGGTACAAAATCTGGGAAGAAATAAGATGAATCTTCCAGCTAGAGCAAAAAGAGAGATTATAAGTGCTTCTGCAAGTTATATCAAAGGAAGCATAAATGGGGCTCTATGAGCTGCAGAAGGCTGGAATATGCTTGTATCGGAGTTAGGCTAGATTCAATCTTCAAAGCTTCATCTGATAAGCAAAGAAAGAAGATTCTCTTTAAGCTAGCTAGCAAAAACTATTAGGAGCTCTGTTCAGATCTTATTAGGACTGGATAGCTTTCTCAAGACTAAATAGAAGGGATTCTATAAAGAATAGAGAACAATAGGAATCTCTATCTAGGCACTATTGAGTGCTAGAACTTCTTAATTATAATATTAAAATGCTAGATTCGATACTTTTCAAGCTTGAAACAAGGTATTCTCAGTTTCTTCAAATAAACGCTATCTTTAATCCTCAACTCTTCAACTAGGCAGTATTGCTATAAGCAAGCACAGCAGTTTTCTCAATACTGTTTCAGATATCTCATATTCTTTCCTAAAGCATAGTTCTGAATAACTGCAGAGCTGTATACCTTATTAACAGCATCAACCTTCTGAAGCTAAATATCTTTTCTCTCTCAAGGAATGCGGAAGTTGTGAAAGCAGAGAGCTTATTGTTGCTAATATGAGGATTCAGGAAACAATGCTTCAAAAATGCACTGAATGGAAAGCAAGGGGAATGCACTGAGAACTTAGTTCTTAACTGTATAGCAGTTATAGATAGCTTCTATATTAATATAATTGCTAAGGCTTTCTTATATGAGAAAGGGATCTGGTACTGTGATAAAGATAGCACATTGTGCTTAGGAATGCTTGAATAGAGTATGATAATTGCAAATCTATATAGAGAGTTCAACTTAGTCTTCTTCGAATACATTTCTTTTGCAAACTCTTTCTACTCTCAAGCTTCAGCTACGCTGCTATACAGCTGAGCTGGCATTCTCGTGTTCTCAATTCTAAAAAGAAATAGGTATCCTTGTTCTTTATATAATAAGGTGCTTGAAAGAAGTGATTCAGAGCATCTTTAGCATCTAAGATTGGAATATCTGAGTATCAATGCTCTGAAGAAGCTTGTTTATTCAGTTTGTAATATTAGAATCAACGGAATCAGACGAATTGATTGTGAATACTATGCTCTAGAGCATATTATAAAGATCATTCAATGCGCAAGATCTGAATATCATAGCTCTCAACTGTTCTAATGCATTAGTTGGGATCTTCTCGATTATAATGAAGTATAGAATAGCTTAAAATGAGCTCTTATATTCAAAGATGAATATAGTAGCAAGTTATTTGCTTTTCCAATATCTAACAAAGCACAATTCATAGTATTTGATATATTCAGATTATTTGAAATCTGGGTATAATGCTAATATCGCTTCTTTGTCTGCAAAATCAGATAGAATGCAAACTTCTCAGTCATAAGGAAGCTATACAAAATGATATATACACAATAGTGCGCTAACAATAGCATCAATCTGGAGATTACTCCACTGCGCATAAAAGAGTCAAATAGCGCTGCTAAGCAAGCTGGGTATGAAATTCAGAAGCATGCGCTAATCCTTCTATTGTTAGCTAAACTACTGAAAGACCTATAGCCAGAGTATGTGAAAGCAGCTACCTGGCTGTTCAACATCTCTTCATCCATGCTCAAGCACTCCGAAACGCCAAATTCACTTCTGAATAGCTGATTCAGGCAGTACTTTCGTTAGTACGCGCTGGAAATAGTCAGAACAGCAGTCTCAGATCTACAGCCCAACTGAGCCAGGATTTATGCATATGAATGCTAGGCATATATTCTGCAAGAAGAGTGCGAACTTAGCTCTTATAAATGGGATATGAAAACAGAACTAAGAGTATATAAGAGCTATCTTGTAGGATATATTGCAAGCAATCTGTATTGCATATAGCTTTCAGTGCTTGCAATGTTGTGGTGGCCAGGGTGGTAGTCCGTGGGACGTGGAGTACAGTGGGTCAAGGGTCCTCATACATATAAAGGATACCACCCACTTTTCAAATTCTTTAGCTATAAGCAACAAAAAATAAAGCATCCTTTCTCTTCTTTTCAATTTTGAACCCTTTGGACAGGTCTAAGACAGGTTTTTCACCCTGTTCTTGTGCCCGTGTGGCCTTAGTTTGCTGTCCTCATCTGCACAGGCACGCTTGGGTTGCACGAGCCCTTGCCCATTGCTTCGGCAGCTGTTTGTCCCTTTTTCTTTCGAGGGCGACAGCGCCCTAGTTCTGGTTCAATGGTGCGGTGAGTGTGGACTTAGCTGTTCAGGCTGGTAGCTCAGGGCTGTTTGCGTCACAGTTCGTGAGGATCAGTAAGAGCAGCAAGTTTACCCTATGGACGGGCGCACTCTTTTTCCCTGCTGAGCTCTTTTATTTCCTTTATCTATTACGCTTACACGACAGGCTGTGCATCATGTCTGGACTCTGGGTCATGCCTGAGACCTCTCGTAGAGGGGAGATGGGTGAACAGAGGAGGAGTGGTGTGAGTTCTGGTCGTGGGCCGGTGAACGATGCGTTGAGCCCGCAAGCCAATATTACGAAGAAACAAATTCCTTTTTCCCACATCAATCAACGATCCTACACAGAAGCTGATACAGCTCAGACCTGTACAGGCTGCGGCGGAAAGTTTAACCATGTCGGATGTGGGTCCATGGTTAAATTACAGAGTGGGATGCTTTTGGTGGATGGTACTCTGCGGAGAAAAGTGGCATGGTTAACAAGGTCTGTGCTTCTTGCGATGGTCCGATCAGCACGCTCTATCTGGATACGTCTGGCTACATTGATCCTTTGGATCAAAAGCTTGCTGATTGCATTATCCCAAAAGCGAAGGATACAGAGAGGTGAAGATGAGGAACTGTTAGTGCATACAAGGAATAGAAGTCGAGGATTACGACGACATCATCCGATATCGAACTTTAATCGATGCCTTATACCTGGTCAGAAATGCCTCCATTGATTGGCAGGACTATTGATAAAGGAAATCCCAGTGCAGCACAGAACAGCCAACTCAATCCCTTGTTGTTCATCACAAGACAGACCTCATGTACGCTCCACTTACAGACTGAACCTCCCTCAAGCACCTGAACCCCCTCGATCTCCATAGTATTGTCTTCTGCAGGATACGGAAGGCATTCCGGCTGTGGCGTTCTCAACTCAAGGATCTCGAATTAGGAAGGCAAAGAAACATCGGAGGAAGCAACAACCAAGAGGGAAGATAGCCTCCACGTCTGAGAGCTCTTCCAATCAGACACCCAGTTCGGCCGACTATCTGGCCAACAATCACTATGGTCAGAACTTCAGATTCCCCTCCCACAGTGAGCTTGCTGGTGGTGGGTTAACGTTGTTTGCCCGTATGGAAGTCTCCTCGTGGCTGAAGCGATTCAACTAGTGGCGTCAGATCAAAGGGATTGATGATACTCAAGCACTCAACTTCATGAAAGGCTTCTATACAGATACAATCGTTGCCGGAGAAGTGGAGAGATTCACTATAAGCGCCAAAACTTGGGATGAACAGAAGGAGCAACTGTTGATTGCTTATCGCCCTTGGAACCATCTCCAGGCATACACCCCCAAGCAGAAGCGCCTGAATATCATCAACAACCGTTTCATTACCGATGCTGCTAGCCTCTAGTTGTTCATTGTAGACTATGATAACGCTCTCACTCATCTTAAGATCAGAAACAGTCAACCTGTAGCAGAAGCATGGATGAAGCTCCCTTCAACCTGGATCAAGCGCCTCCGAGCTGATCATGGTGTTACTGCTGAAAGCATCAGCAACAAGAAGTAGCCTTACCTTATGGAAAAGCTGTTGA